CTGGAGTCTGTCATTGTGGGAGCCCAGAAGAACCTCAGCCTTCTTGCAAGAACACCTGCAAGCACTTAGTTTTGGCCAGAGGAGGTTGGGCGCATGTTCGGCTGAAACGGCGGCATGTGGGGAACCGGCTCTGTTTGTGCAAGCTCCGGGCTGACGGTGCCTTGATTTGACTTGGCCCCTTTCCCCATCCCAAGGCTTTGATGTCCGCTGGACCTCGAGGGTGGAAAGAGAGAAGGAATCGTTTCCGCCGCCGTCTCGGACTCTGCCGTAGTTTGTCCACAACGCAGGCCGGCTCTGCAGAGAGCTCTTGGCTGAACAGCAAGAGCAATAAAATCCTAGAATCATAAAGTTGGAAGGGATCAAAAGGGTTGTCTAGTCCAAGCCATCCCGTTTTCTGATTTGATCCTGGAACATCCCACTTTTCCTTAGGACGGCCCTATTTTCAGGGGAGAAACGTTGGAGGGGATGGAATAGGACGGCCCTATTTTCAGGGGAGAGGGACGTGGGTGGCACTGTGGTCTAAACCACAGAGCCTAGGGCTTGCCGATCAGAAGGTCGGCGGTTCGAATCCCCGCAATGACAGGGTGAGCTCCCGTTGCTTGGTCCCTGCTCCTGCCCACCTAGCAGTTTGAAAGCACGTCAAAGTGCAAGTAGATAAATAGGTACCACTCCGGTGGGAAGGTAAACAGCATTTCTGTGCGCTGCTCTGGTTCAAGATGAGCGCTGCAACCCCAGAGTCGGCCACAACTGGACCTAATAGTCAGGGGTCCCTTTACCTTATTTTCATGGGAGAAACGTTGGAGGGGATGGAATAGGACGTCCCTATTTTCACGGCAGAAACGTTGGAGGGTCTGGAGTTATGTGACCCCCAAGCCAAGGATATAAGTAACTATACAACCTTTAGAAGATTTCTGAAAGCAGCCCTGTCTAGTTTTATTATGTTTATTATGTATACGGAAGTTGTTTGTTAATTATTATTATTATTATTATTATTATTATTATTATTATTATTAAATAGGTACCCCTGCCCGTACGGGCCAGTCGTATCCGACTCTAGGGTTGTGCGCCCATCTCACTTAAGAGGCCGGGGGTCAGCGCTGTCCGGAGACACTTCCGGGTCATGTGGCCAGCGTGACGAAGCTGCTCTGGCGAGCCGGCACCAGCGCAGCACACGGAAACGCCGTTTACCTTCCCACTATAAAGCGGTCCCTATTTATCTACTTGCACTTAAGGGTGCTTTCGAACTGCTAGGTGGGCAGGAGCTGGGACCGAAAGACGGGAGCTCACCCCACCACGGGCATTCGAACCGCCGACCATGCGATCGGCAAGCCCTAGGCTCTGTGGTTTTACCCACAGCGCCACCCGCGTCCCGTTATTATTGAATAGGACATCCCTATTTTCATCAGAGAAATGTTGCAGAGTCCGAAGTTACCCGACCCCTGAGCCAACGAACTATCCAACCTTAAAAATTCATCCGAAGGCAGCCCTGTATAGGGAAGTCATTTTATTTCTTTAAACAGTTGCTGTTTTCTTACATTTTTATATACGTTGGAAGCCGGAAAACCCAAGTCAGATGGGGCAGGGCATCAATCACATTATTATTATTATTATTATTATTATTATTATGGAATGGGACGCCCCTATTTTCACTGGAGAAAGGCTGGAAGGTATGTGCCTGGCCCTCGCGAGCATGGAAAGGAACCTGAGGCCAGGAGGCGGGGGGAGCCAGCCAGCTGCCCCCTTTCCCCTCGCCTTCAATAGGGCCTTTTTCCCCAAGCAACAGCCTGTCGGTCGGGAATCCTGCAAGCCTTTGCTGTGGTCCAGCCTCTCGCCTGAGCTCTGCGGCCTGCCTTGCCTGGCTCCCTGGCCGCCCTCCAGAGCTTTCAAAGGATTTCTGTTTGGGGCTGGAGGAGGGTGCCAGGTTTCTTTCCACCGGCCCCCCCAGTTGTTGTGCTTTGGGCCGCGTGTTCGCAGGAAGGGGAGCCAAGCAGGGCTTCCTGAACGAACGCCTGGGAGAGGAAACGAAGGCATCATCAGCAAAGGGGAGGCAGGCGGTTAAAAATAACTTGGGTATATAAAGGCTGCTGAGGATCCCCTCTCTCTCGCAGCCGGTCCTTGCCGCTGCAGCAACAGCCTCCGGGCCGCTGCGCACTCCTGGCAAGGGGGCCTTTTGGCAGCCGAGGCCGGCCTGCCTCAGTTTCCCCTCCGGGGAAAGGGCAGCAAAATGCTCCCTCTGGCCCTGAAGACATACACACACCCCACAATCCATCACCCACTTTCGCCGCCTCCTGTCCATTGGGAGAGAGGCGTCCCGGGGACCAGTGCCAGATTTACGTATAAGCTAAACAAGCTCCAGGGCCCCGCTCTCTTGGGGGCTCCAAAAAAATGTAAAGGGAAAAAAACAGCAACTGGATGTACATTTCCAAAATATAAGATAAAAAACAAATAGAATAAAACCTTCATCCAGCAACAGTGTTTTGTGTTGTGTAGGCTCCTATGGTGTAAGTCATGGGCCCCGTCTGCTAGCCTGCACCCGAAAATATCACTGCCTTGCTCCTTTCTATATACAGGGTGCCTAAAGGTAAAGGTAAAGGGACCCCTGGCCATTAGGTCCAGTCGTGGCAGACTCTGGGGTTGCGGCGCTCATCTCGCTTTATTGGCCGAGGGAGCCGGCGTACAGCTTCCGGGTCATGTGGCCAGCAGGACTAAGCCGCTTCTGGCGAACCAGAGCAGCGCACGGAAACGCCGTTTACCTTCCCGCCAGAGCGGTACCTATTGATCTACTTGCACTTTGACGTGCTTTCGAACTGCTAGGTTGGCAGGAGCAGGGACCGAGCAAGGGGAGCTCACCCCGTCATTGCGGGGATTCGAACCGCCGACCTTCTGATCGGCAAATCCTAGGCTCTGTGGTTTAACCCACAGCACCACCCGCGTCCCTATATAGCATATATTCAACACAAAGGGATGGAATAGGACATCCCTATTTTCAGGGGAGAAACATTGGAGGGGATGGAGTTATCCGACCCCCCAAGCCATCTGAAGGCAATCCTCTATAGGGAAGTTTTAAAAAATGTTTAATGTTGTATTCTGTTTTTCTATATGTTGGAAGCTGCCCACAGTGTGCCGGGGCAATCAGATGGTATATAAATAGTAAAAATCATCGTTATGGAATGGGACGTCCCTATATTCATCGGAGGAATGTCGGAGGCCATGCAATGCGGTCATCGGCCTCCTTCCTCCTGCTGCCCCCAGCCAGCCTCTGAATCACACTTCCACGAATTCAAGTTGGGAACAGGACGGCCCGGGCAGGTGCTGCCAGCAAAAAGGGGTCCTGACTCAGCCACCATGGACGCTTTTTCAGCACGGAAGATCCCAGCATTGCAAGGGCGAATTGGGCAAGATCTCAGGGCGCCTTCTCCCTCGACCCGGAGAGCATTCTGCACATGCTCAGAGGGACCTCCATTTCGGACGCTGCCCTCAAAAAATCTGGCACCAATGCTGCCACCACAGGACTGACTCCTTCCTTTGGGATTTAGTTCCTCCGATTAACAACACCGGCCTGCCATTTTTGATAACCGAGCTTTCTAGGCCATCCCATAATACTAGGCTCTCGGGCAGGCAGTGGATTTAGGATTTGAGCAGGAGAGAGCAAACCTTTGTCTTTCATTCATTCAACCTTTATTGGGCATAATTTAGACAATGAAATCATAACAGAGATATAAATAATAATAATAATAAATTAAACGTTAAACGAGACTCAATAGCCACCGTTGAATGAAATTAAGCAGTTATAATTTGACTTTAGAAAAGCTCAGCTAAATGTCCTGAACAGGGGCCCTATCTCTGCCGGGCCGTGGGAGCCGACGCACCCCCAGATTTTCAACGAGGGGGGCTAGGCACGTCTTTCCTTTCCTTTGATGGGGTTCCTGCTTTACACCCACAGTCTGAATGTAGCCCTTCTTTGTTTTTGTGGGGTTTTGGGGTTTTTTGCGTGTAAAGTATCTCCTATAAATCGCTACATTGAATCTGGAACTTCGTGGTTTTGTTCTTTTTATATCAGTTATAGAAAAATTTAAAAAGTACAAAATTACAAGTGCACAAAGTAAGACACTCAAAAAGAAGAAGAGGAAACAATAAGCAGTACCCACGTAGAAAACACAACACAACAACAAAAAGATACTGTGTACATTATTTTAAAAGTGCGGGGGGGAATTCAGGCTTTGAATAACTCTTGCAATGTTACGAAGACTTTGGAAACAAGGGAGGACTATAATTTGGATGGACTAAAATATGCAGTTGACAGAGGTATTTGAAGAAGCCATGGAGGGGAAGAGGAAAGTCCTAAGATTTGAAAGAACCTTGTTTTATATTCTAGCGGTGGGACAGATGTTAGCTGGCTTATGCAATGCATGCAAGTCTGTTGGGTGACCCGGAAACTGCAACTAATCCAGAATGCGGCAGCCAGACTGGGGACTGGGAGTGGAGACCATATAACACCGGTCCTGAAAGACCTACATTGGCTCCCAGGACGTTTCCAGGCACAATTCAAAGGGTTGGTGCTGACCTTGAAAGCCCTAAACGGCCTCAGCCCAGTATACGTAAAGGAGCCTCTCCAACCCCATTGTTCAGCCCGGACACTGAGGTCCAGCACCGAGGGCCTTCTGGTGGTTCCCTCCCTGTGAGAAGCGAGGTTACAGGGAACTAGGCAGAGGGCCTTCTCAGTGGTGGCACTCTCCGATCAGATGTCAAGGAAATAAACAACTATCCGACTTTTAGAAGACATCTGAAGGCAGCCCTGTTTAGGGAAGTTTTTAATGTTTGATGTTTTGTCGCGTTTTTAATATTTTATTGGGAGCCGCGCCGAGTGGCTGGGGAAACACAGCCAGATGGGCAGGGTATAAGTAATAAATTTAGTATTATTATTATTATTAGAGTCATGCTGGGGACACAGCGCATCCCCACCAAGGTCGGGAGTCCCTGGTGGTTCCCCTAGATTGCACATGGCGAGGATCACAATATTTACCCGTAGCCACGAAGAGGTGAGCATGCACATTCTCTCCTTCCCCAAGAAGGCCTGGTGCGTCACGCAAAGACACCCACAGGCGCTTGCCTTCTTGCGCCCAGGAGGAGCGTCAGCTAGGTTTCCTTGGTGAAGGGGAGTTTTCCACCCACAGCAGCGACTGACAAGAGGAGGCCTTGCACAAGCGCGACATCGCAAAGGCATGACTCACGTGGGGGTTGCCGGTTAAGGAGGGAGCCCTCCTTCTCCTCTCTCTGAACTCTGGAAGACAAAAACCTCTGAACTGCGCATCGCCGCTTTCAAGTGCTTTGCAGCGGGGAAGCTCAGCTGTCAGTGGCTGTCAGAGGATGGTCTTCTCCTCTTGAGTAACGTGCCGCCGATTCTTCATGTCACTGAGATGCAACATGCAAGGCAACACAATGACCAAATACAACGATATGATATCAATATAGACTCTTGATATAATACAAAATATAAGAAATCACCTAAACAGAAAACTTGGGGATCTCTGAAAGTCACAAAATATGCACTCTTAATGGATTCTCTTGAAAACATAAAATACAGCCATACCTCATGTTACATTTGCTCTGAAAGGGAAGCGGTAGGGCAGAGCAGGGCAAGCTCCTTTGGGGCAGAGCGACCAGGGAAATAGGGTCCAGGTAAGGCCCTATTTGACGTGGGTGGCGCTGTGGGTAAAACCTCAGCGCCTAGGACTTGCCGATCGCATGGTCGGCGGTTCGAATCCCCGCGGCGGGGTGCGCTCCCGTCGCTCGGTCCCAGCGCCTGCCAACCTAGCAGTTCGAAAGCACCTCAAAGTGCAAGTAGATAAATAGGGACCGCTTACCAGCGGGAAGGTAAACGGCGTTCCGTGTGCTGCGCTGGCTCGCCAGATGCAGCTTGTCACGCTGGCCACGTGACCCGGAAGTGTCTGCGGACAGCGCTGGCTCCTGGCCTATAGAGTGAGATGAGCGCACAACCCTAGAGTCTGGCAAGACTCGGCCGTACGGGCAGGGGTACCTTTACCTTTACCTTTAAGGCGCTTTTTAAACAGGCCAGAGCAAAGTCGAAATATAAGAAAACGTTCTCTCTCTCTCTCTCTCTCTCTCTCTCTCTGTGTGTGTGTGTGTGTTTTAAGCTCATGTTACTGGGAAGCAGTGAGACAGGATGGTTTTTTGAAACACATTAACAACAACAACTTATTACTTACACCCCGCTCACCTGTCCGGGCCTCCCCAGCCACTCTGGGCAGCTCCCAATAAGATATTAAAAACATGATAAAACATCAAACATAAAAAAATTCCCTAAACAGGGCTGCCTTCAGATGTCTTCTAAAAGTCAGACGGTTGTTTATTTCCTTGACAGCTGACGGGAGGGTGTTCCACAGGGCGGGCGCCACCACCAAGAAGGCCCTCTGCCTGGTTCGCTGTAACCTCACTTCTCGCAGGGAGGGAACCGCCAGAAGGCCCTCGGGAGGAGGACCCCGGTGTCCGGGGCGGAGACGCTCCTTCAGGGATACAGGGCCATTTAGGGCTTTCAAGGTCAGAACCAACCCTTTGAATTGTGCTCGGAAACGTACTAAACGTATAAAGCATTAATAAAGAAACAGAGTGAAAGAGAGAGTGTTGGTGCTGACCTTTAAAGCCCTAAATGGCCTGGGTCCTGTATCCCTGAAGGAGCATCTCCACCCCCATCATTCTGCCCAGACACAGAGGTCCAGCTCCGAGGGCCCTCTGGCGGTTCCCTCCCTGAGAGAAGCGAGGTTACAGAGAACCAGGCAGAGGGCCTTCTTGGTGGTGGTGCCCGCCCTGTGAAACGACCTCCTGTCAGATGTCAAGGAGATAAACAACTACAGTGGTACCTCGGTTTACGGTCTTAATCCGTTCCTGAAGTCTGTTCTTAAACCGAAACCGTTCTTAAACCGTGGTGCGCTTTCCCTAGACTGAGGCAAAGTTTGCAAACTGGGACACTACTTCTGGTTTTGTGGAGTACGTAAACCGAATAGTTCGTTAACAGGGCTGTTCGTAACCCGAGATACTGCTGTATATGGCTTTTAGAAGACAGCCCTGTATGTTCTTTGACCTTGTATCGTGTTTTTAATATTCCATTGGGAGCTGTCCAGTGTGGCTGGGGCAACACAGACAGATGGGTGGCAGATAATTAAATTGTTGTTGTTGTTGTTGATCATACAAGCTTCTTGCTAGGTTGTTGCTCTCAGTTCCAGCCTGTGAATGAAGTCGAATACCTCTGGACAACACAGCAGGGCTGTTGTTAACCACTCAAGAGTGTGAACTGTATTGCAGGGCTGTTCTTATAAGCCGCCGCCTCCCAGCCACAGGCCCTTCTGAATCTGGGGGTGTACCCAGGGTTTGTGTGGGGATGGGGGCCCCTCCCCCTCATTCAGCACGTCCTCTGGGGCCCATATTATTTCCCCCATGGAATCTGGGAAGACCTTTTCCATGGAAAATCCAATAGCAGTTCTTCCAGATGAGGACTGTAAACTCAATTAGCACTAGTGGGTCAGGGGGCTCCCACCCCCAGGAAAGGAGTAAATCGGGATGGTTTTGAATTGTTTTCATTTATGAAATCGTTTTCTATAAGGCGTGCCATTCTTGTTGAAGTGGTTTTATGTTGTTGCTTAATTGCTGAGCGATGTTTCATACGAAATGGAAGGAAAATAAATGCATAAATAAATAGGTTGTGTGAGAGAGAGATTTGCATGCCAATGGCTGTTGAAAAAATGACCTTGCATGGGGAGCATTCATCCCATAATAACCCCTCTCTGCTAAAAACAAAACAAAACACCACGCTGTTTTCTTGGCTCTGTACACCCGGGAAAGGCACCCTGAACGTGCTCAGAGGCACCAGCAACGCGCGCAGTCAGCGGGGGAACCGGATTAGCAGCGGGTCCGCTTTGTTGCTCCGCATCCACCGATCTAGAACAAACGGGCCACCGGCTTCAAGAGCACCCACGGGGGGGTCTGCCCGCCACCCAGACTATTGGCGAGGGGGGAGCCGCCCAAAGAGGTGCCGGGGCTCAGGCGCGCACGACGACCCGCGAATGCCTTTACGCGCAGAGCGCGCAAGGAGCCAGCTGGCTAAGCGAGGGGTTCCCCGAGCATGTGCAGAGCGCCTGGGGGGGCTGTGAGGCTCTGCAGCCGAGCAGGGAAGGTCCGAAGCCGGAGGAGGAGGAGAGGAGGCTCGGCCCCTCTCTCTCTGCGCGCCACCGCTGCTGCTTCTCCTGCGCTGTCCGCCTTCCTTTTATAGCGGGGCTAAATTTAGGCCGGCCCGGGGCCGGGCCAAGCGGCAGTTCCAGCCCCCTCCAGGCAGCAGCGCCGGGTCCCTCCGCCGCCTGCCTTCCCGGGACGCGCTTCCTGCGCCCCCGCCATTGGCCTGCGCGCTCGACGGCGCGGCTTAAAAGGAAGGCGCCGGCCGCGCCGGGCAGACACATCCAAAAGCCTCCGAGATCATGGCGCTCCTGCCCGCGCCTAGCCTGCCCTCCTTCGCCTCCTTCTGCAGGGACAGCAGACCGGCCCACCAAGTAAGTACCTCGCTCGCTCGCCCTCCAGGCTCTCTGCACATGCTCAGAGGCACCGCGCTGGGCGCTGAAAAGAGGGACTTTGGGGGTGCTGCGGGGACTTCTCCAGGGGTCAGGAAGGGAGTGGGCGAGCCGGCTGCTTTTTTCCGACGGGGCGGGCGGGCGGGATCCGGGCTCCGCGCGCCCTTCGCTCACGGGCCCGTTTCTCCCCTTCTTGCAGCGCTGGAGCTGCGGACTGCCAGCGGAGAAGCTGCCCTGCGGAGGAGACCTCTGCTGCCCTCCCGGGCCGGGCCTGGACGGGCTATGCGCGCCGTCGAAGGACGACGAGGACCTCAACCACGTCCTGGACTTGATTCTCTCCATGGGCAGCGGCGCAGACGGAGGGTCTTTCGGCCCTGACAGCGGCGCGCCCCGCGGGGATTACGGCGCCGGACGGGAGCCCTTCTACGAGCTCAGCCCTTCGCCCGACGGCTGCAGCGGCGGCGGCGGCTACGAGCCGATGGAGCGGGGCAGCCCTCCGCCCTACGGCGCCACCGCTGCCCTCCTGCCCGAACTGGAAGCTGCCCCCTATGTTTCTTTCCCGGGGGCCAACGGTGGTTTCATCCAGGGCCGCTTCTTCCTCACGTCGGCGTTCGCGGAGGGCCCCAAGCCGGAGATGTCGTGGCCCCAATCCTGCGCGCAGATCAAGCAGGAGGGCGCAACCCCTACGCCCTGCATGCTGGCTGCGTCTCCGCCGCTCCCGGGGGCAGAGACCCCTCCGCTCAGCCCCGACGACCTCTTGGCAGCCGCAGCCGCCGCCGAGTGCCAAGCCCCCCTCGGGCGCCACGCGCAGCCCCCCTACCCGGCGCCCTTCGCCCATCCTCTCCACTACCGCCAGCACCCATCGCAGCAGCAACAGAGCGCGCCGCCCGCCTTCGCCTTCTTCGACGACAGCTTGCCTTGCCCGGCCTCTGCCCCGAGGGGGCTCCTCACGCCTCCGTCGTCGCCGCTGGAGCTGCTGGAAGCCAAGCCCAAGCGCGGACGCCGCTCCTGGCCGCGCAAACGGACTGCTACCCACACCTGCACCTACGCCGGCTGCGGAAAGACTTACACCAAAAGCTCCCACCTGAAGGCTCACCTGCGCACTCACACAGGTAAGCGCAGGCTTTGCGCGCGCCAGGTGGCGCTAAGGACCCCACCAGAGAGGTCTGGACCAGAGAGTCCAACCCCCTCGCCTCCACCTGAGGGTCTGGACAGGCCACCTAGCAACTCCCCCCCCCCCCAAAAAATCTTTATTGGTTTTCTTTTTTACAAATCAGTGAAACAAATTAAAACAAATTTAACACGCGATTCCCACGCCCCCCTGCTGTAGCAACCTGTATGCCCTGGATCGGGGTGCCAATTTGAATTTTTAAAATGGGGGGGGGGTTCCCCGGGTAAGCCCCGCCCCACATAATCGATCACATGGCACTACACACAACTGGAATGGCAATGCCCATTTTTATATATATATATATAATATTTTTTTGGGGGGGCTCTAATATTTTATTGTGGGGGGAGGAGACCTTTCGGCCCCTACGCGCTGGATACTTTTCAATTGCGTTCCGTTATTTGCTGCTTTTGCTTCTAACCTCTTGCATTCCGATGCGAACTCCGCAGAATCACAAAAAAAACGCAAAGTTGAGCAAGCAATAAATAATACAATTGAAAACCCAGTGCAAATATTGAGGGGCGCAGGGTGGAGTTTGTGGACCACCGCAGTTCGGGAGCCCCTGGTGGAGGCGAAGCTGAGGTGCATGGAGGGAAAAGCAGATTTTTTTTCTTTCTTTCTGCGTCCGTTAAGTCTTCCAAAACAGCAGAGAAAGAGGCTTCCTGTAGCCTGGCCCCAGTTCTCTGAAAATCTGGCAGGCGGGCGTTGGCTGTTGCTAAAACCACCGTCGATGCCACCACTAAAACTCTCTAACCAGAGAGCTGTGGGCTCTCCAGATTGGCTGGCCGACCCACCTCGCCTTGTGGCATTGGGGTGTTTGTGTGTGTGTGTGGGGGGGGGGACATCGGTGCCCTTGCCGGTGCTGGTCCTCTAGGTCTGTGACCATTGGTCATGCTGGCTGGGAGTGCAGCAACATCCCGGCGTGAAATTGCGCACAGTGGCTCATGAGAGCTTGGCAACGCTTAAGGTGGGGCTGAGCGCTGGGGGGCTCTGGGCTTGGGGGCGCAGCTGAGAGGCGCTGCCAATTGACAGAGGCAGGCTGTGTCTTAGGGGGAACAAGGTGCCAGATGGGCGGCGTATAAACATTATTATTATTGCTATTATTATTCGCGCGCAAAGGGCGTCTCCAAGCCCAGCTGTGTTAGAGTCGCGTTTCCCCAACTTGGATCTCTTTTTCCCCCCGGACTACAACTCCCATCATCTGTAGCTAGCGGTCAGGGATGGTGGGAATTGTAGTCCGGAAAAAAACACCCAAGTTTGGGGAACGCTGGGTTCAAATCTTCCCCACCCCCCACTCAGCTTCGAAGCTCACTGGGTGACCTTGGGCTACTGCCTCTCTACATAACCTGCCTCACAGGGTTGTCGTGGGGATCAAATGCTAGAATCGTAGTTGCGAGGGACCCTCAAAGGTCATCCAGCCCAACCCGCTGCACTGCAGGAAGAGGGGGAACCATGCACGTCGCCTCTTTGAGCTCTTTGGTTGCATTTCTATCCCGGGTATTCCTCCAATCGACACTTACCCCGCTTCCTTCCCTCCACAGGCGAGAAGCCCTACCATTGCAACTGGGACGGCTGCGGCTGGAAGTTTGCGCGTTCCGACGAGCTGACGCGCCACTACCGCAAACACACCGGGCACCGGCCTTTCCAGTGCCACCTCTGCGACCGCGCCTTCTCTCGCTCCGACCACCTGGCGCTGCACATGAAGAGGCACATGTAGAGAGAGAGACAGGGGGACTCTCCAGGACTTAGTCGGGATCCTGTAGCTGGTACTACGTCCGCCTGCGCCTGGGATGAGCGGGGAGGGAAAGGCTTGCGCTGGCCCCTGTAGGAGCGAGCAGGAGACGGGGGGGCTGCGGCCAGCGCCTCTCTCCAGGAGGCTGCGCGGAAACCTGACGGGCTGCTCTCTGCCCCCAACCTCGGGAGGGAGAATATGGGACTTAATTTATAGGGCTCTTCAGACGAAAGGGCTGTCCGGGTGTAAATAGTCGATCTGCGACCGCCCAGAAGATCAGCTGGAACGGAAGGCTTGACTTGAGGATCGCGCGGAAGGATCGCGCGGAGGCAGGAGACGCCTCGCGCAAAACGCTCCCAGCTGCCTTAACCTACACTAGAGCTCCTTAACAAGGCTTGAGGTCTTGTGAAGAAACGACCTTTTTTTAAAAGAAAAGAAAAGAATCTATACATAAATAATGTACATAGTTTTATACACAAGTGTTGGGAGGATACAAGCGAAAGACGAAATGGGCACGTTTCTTGCCCGTGTCCACTTTTTGGGAGGGAAATGAAAACTTTTATAAAATATATATATTAAAGATTTTTTTTTTTCTAAAATAAGCCTGATTCTTTCGTCTAGGAATCCTTTGGCCTGGAGGGGATGGGGGGAGGCAGGTGCAAGCCCCGGGTGCAAAAAGATGGTTGTTGCTGTTGTTACTCCTTGGACCTATAGGTGCCCATAACCTACCTCCCCTCCCAGCTCCCCCAAAATCCGACGCCTGCCCCCCCCCCGCCCCCAGAGCGCAAGAAATAGACCCGGGCACGGACCGCAGTAGGGCGAATGCTTTGCACCAGAAACGGCTCTCCGGTTCAAAAGCAACCCAAGGCTATAATCTGAGTCTCATTTTTAGTTTACTCGACAGCTATTTCGGGAGCGCCCTGAAATCTCTTCCAGATGCTGCGGCAGCTGTGCCCGCGCTCTGTGGGCAAGCTGGTTTTGCGCGCGCGTGGGTATTTTAATGTGAAACGTAAACACGGCATGTCAGTAATTGCAGAGTCCTTTTTGGAAGGAGGGGGGGGGGAATGCAGGACTGCTCCTGCTGCTCCCCAAAAGCTGGGGGTGGGCGGATGGAGACACTGGAACAGAGAAAGGTAGTTTCTTTTCTAACTAGATCCTTAAACGCGCCCGCCACCCGCTTGCGGTGCGTACAAACTGCGTGAGAGGCGCGCATCTTCCTCCACGCTCCAGAGGGTCGTTTTCTGCCCCTCTTCATCGCATCTCTGCAAATTAACCCCCGCCATTTCCCTTCCAGGGGTCTGTATCTGAACACTTTGTGATTGCTGGGCTGGCAATTTCCACAGCGCCATTAAAAACAAAAGACAAAAACGGGGTGACGCGGCGGGGCTGCAGAGATTTTTTGCAAAAACAACAACCACCGCCACCAAACCCTTTTTGCAAGAAACCAACGTCTCCTCCCGCAAAGCAAACCGCGCAGAAGCAGAGCGAGGTTGCAGTTGGTTGCTGTTTCTCAGGGGTGGGGGAGGAGGAGAGGGGAAATGGGTGTGTGTGCAAAAGGCGCAGGATTGTGCCCTCGGAGGTGCTCACAAAGCCGCTTACCCAATATAGCTTATTGAGAGAGTCAGCAAAACTGCGGCACTTTGGAGAGAATTCAGATCCCTTCGCTGTGCGTGCGCGCACACGCACACAGGTTGTCTCCGGATTATTTCGACTACTAACAGCAAGCGCAGGCTTGGGTTTAGGAAAGGAGCTATAGTTTAAAACCTCCCAGGTTGTGGGAGGTGGAATAAAATTGATCCTGCTGCAAACTGGAACGGGCACCTCTTGCAAGTGCGCAGAGCATCGCAGGCTGCGCGTTGCCCGAAGAGGATCGCAGCCACTGACAGCCTTGAATTTATCCGATTCTCTTTTTCAGTTTGGGCCAGTAAATGCCACAGGGCATCCCATCATTGCGCCTGCCTTTGGATAGCCGGCGGCGTTTCTAAGTATTCTCAAGAGGAATAAAAACTTCTAAACTCGCGCCTTTACGCACGCTGTTCTTCCAAACCTCTCTCTCCCCCCCCCCCCGCAACCCCACTCTGGGAGTCGCTCCGGACTCTCGACATTTCTAGACCTCTTCCAGCTCCGCAAAAGGGTCCCTTCTGGAAGCGCATTGCGCACAGCCAGCACCGCCCCACAAATTCTCCCCTGGTGAGCCCAGGAAGGCGAGCCGTTCACGGGTTAACCGGGCAGCGCGGAGAAAGGAAAAAACAGGCTCTCGCTATTTGCATGGAGCCGCGGTGTGTGTGTGTGTGTGTGTGTCGGTTGTTGTTCACCAAAAAAAGGTTTGCCCGAATTAGCTCTCCCCGCAATGAGAGACCGCTTTGCAGAAAATGACTGGGGAGCTATTTAAAGGCCGTTGCCGAAATAAGCAACGAAGAAAGCGAAACGCTGTCATTTCTGGAAAGGGGGCAGGAGGACAGTCCTGCAAAGTTGGCCAGCAGGAGGAGGAGGAAGAAGAGGAGAGCCTTGGAGGAAGCAGCCCCGCGGCTCCAGATTCTGCAGAAAGCCGAGGTTGCACAACCTCGCTGCAGCTCCGACCGCGGGCGCAGGAAGCGCGGCGACGACGATGGGCTCCGATTGTTGTTGCAATGGCTTCAGCCCTTTCCGGCCGCAGCGCACAGGTTCACCGGCAAGCGGAGAGCCCAAACCCCAAAGGGGCAAGCTGGGGGGCGGAAGGGGGCGGCTCAGGGACCAGGAAACTTGGGGACACACAAACACACACAATCATTTGCCCTCCCCGCCGCCTTCAAATGCCACTGGCTTCAAGGCGCGCCCTCGACCTCCTGCGAGGTGCATCGAACTCCCTCCGAAAGTGGCTCTGTTCCTTGGAGGTTTGGGGTTTTTAAGCAGAGGTCGGACGGTCACCTCTCAGGGACAGAATTGTAGAGTTGGAAGGGACCCCACAGCATCATCTAGTCCAACCCCCTGCAGCTGCCCCCATGCAGGGATTGAACCTGCAACGTTGGCTGGTTCCTCAGCACCATGCTCCAACCAACTGCTCTAGCTGAGATTCCTGCATTCTTCTTCTTGAGATTCCTGCATTCTTCTTCTTCTTTTCTTCTTCTATCCCTCCTAGCCGAGTGAGATTGTCTTCCATAAACACGATTTTAACAATGAGTCTGTAAGTGACTGGGGAGGCCAATTCTGGATCCCCATGTCTTTCCACAGTGGGGACAGAGGTTTCTGGGCGGGAGTTGATCACGGTGTGGGTTTGCCAAGCGTGCCTTCCTCTTAGCCCGTTTCTCCCTTGCGTCCTGAGTTCAAGTGTCTCCAAAGCCCATGACACCTTTGGTCAAGGCTGTTCTCCAACTGGAGCGCTCGCAGGCCAGTGTTTCCCAGCTGTTGGTGTTTATACTACATTTTTAAAGATTTGCCTTGAGAGAGAACCTCTTTTGTTGACCACCAGCATTACGCTTTCCATTTTTAAGTTCGGAATAGAGGAGTTGCTTTGGAAGGCGACCGTCAGGCATCCGCACAACATTCCTGCATTGCAGGGGGTTGGAATGGATGACCCCTGGGGGTCCCTTATCAACTATGCCATTTGGCGATTCTATAAGCGCTAACATAACTCAGCTGTTTACAACCTTAGGGGTTTCCCTGATGGCTTCCTCCCTGCCCTCACAGCAGCCCAAACCTCACCACGAAGGTGTCTGGAAAATGAGGTGGGCCGCTGGCATACAAAGCCCAAGGGGGCTGGAGTTAAGTGGGGTGGGGGGTGGCAGCCAGCCCCCCCAGTGCTTCCTGCGAAGTTCCCACCAGCCTCTTTCCTCCAGTGTAGCTGGAGATGGGGAACAGGGAGCTCCTCTGAAGCCAGCCCCACTTGTGGGCAACTGGAAAGAGCCAGGAAAACCAGTGGGGCAGAGGTCAAGGGGTCCAGGTCACTCCCAGAGGAGGAACAGGTGGGGGGGTGCCACTTCCATGTCCCCCTTCCCGTAACAGAGGAGGAGGAGAGACAGGAGAGGGGAGACTGCTTGTGGCCACAAAGGACCCTGGAACCGCCGGGAGGAAGACCCCAAACATAGGGGGGCAGAAATATGAGCAGGTCCAACCCACTCAGCTCCCGAACCCCCCACCACCAAAAAAAAGAAGGGAAAGAGAAAGAGAGAGAGAGAGAGAGAGACAGACAGACAGACAGACAGAGAGAGCCATCCCAGAGTCTCGGATGCTCCAAAATAAGTAACTTTTTCATTTATTATATTAAACAATAACATTTCTCTTATATTAAACAATAAAACACAGAGCATGGGTTAAAATTCAAACAGTCCCCCCTCCCTCCCGGCAAACCTTCTCTCTTCCCCGCTGCCCCCCACCCCACTCCCCACCCCCTTTGCTATAGGGTAATTCCAAGAGCATAGATACAGTCATGTACATGTCTGGATATATAATACATCATCAGCCAATCTCCTGGTGGGGGGAAATGGGGGGGCAGCGTGGCCGAGGTCCAAAGGATGTGCCGGGTGGGGGGGGCTTCTTGGTTCCCCTTGCAGCAGCAGCAAAAGACACACACACATCTCCCCCCCCCAAAAAAAAACCTCCCTCTCTCCCTCCCCACTGTTCCAAATCCGTCTGCCCCCTTGGAGAGACCCCCAAGCTCAATTTGATGCACAAATTTTCTGGTGCCTGAGGTCCGGGAGGGGGCACAGCTGCTCACCCCCCCCAAAAAGAAAACATTTCTAAAGAGAGAAGCAACGAAGGGAGGAGAGGAAATGAAAGAGAATGATTTCTCCTCCACCAAAAAATGTAGAGAGCCATTGTCCCCCAACTTTGTTTAAAAAGGAAACTCTGCAAACAAGAGACCACTTGAGCCAATGGGTCTACTCTAAGGAGGACTTGGAAGCAGCTGAGAAGAGTTCCTAGCGGAGGGGGGCAGGCAGAGGAGAAGAGAGACAGCAGCCGGTTTGCGTCCCACAAGAAACGAAGTGGGGGGGACAGGGACGGCGCGGATATTAAGAGCCACAAGATGAGTGCTTTTTTGGGGGGGGGTGAGAGTGTGGAAAACACTAATGGGGAAACACAAGAGGAGAAACTGGGAAAGGGGGGGGTCTCTTTAATACCAAGACCCTGCGACAACCGGATCGGGAGCTGGGGGGGCGGTTTGGAGGCTCCTAGGTGAAGAACGCTCCTAGGTGGGGGACCCGAATCGAAGGAAGTGCCCACCCACCCTCGCAAAGTGCCACCCGGCGAACTGCAGTTCCCAGGATTCCCCATGGGCTGTAAAGAGGGGTGCAGGATAGCTCTAAATGCCCCCCACTCTAAATGCACATTCTGGCACATTTTCCCCTTGCTCTTTTGCGCCGTGACCCCCCTCCTAAGACTGAGGGTGGCCTGTCTGGGTTTGGCCGCCCCTCCCCACAAGCGACAGCCTTGCCCATCCCTCTCCCCGGGGGGCTGGGAGTAGTTTTGGGGTGCTGCCAGGGAGCCCCACGCTCCCCCCCGGGTCAACCGAAAACCGTGGCTGCTTCTGCCAACAGGAAAGGAAACTGAAGAAAACTCTCTCTCTTGTTCGCACACAAACACACAGAGAAATGGGCGCAGGATTAAGAGGGGGTGTTGTGTTTTTTTTGGGGGGGGGTTCCTGCACACGTCTTTCTTGCAACCCCAAAACGCCACACTCCAGAACTGAATTGCATTTACCCGTGCCCCCTATATTTGAGAAGCAAGAATTTGCAGCGCGAGCGCGAGAGAGAAACAGACTGTTTTTATCTCTTTCTTTCTTGTTTGGCAGAAGTTTGAGATTCTAACCACAAGAATCGCTCTTTCATTTCCAGATCTTAGGGACTAAATATATATATATATACACACACACAAACACACACACACACAAGAGCGACACACGAGGCCGGCAGGATCACGTTTTTGCAGCGGGCAGCGCTCAGAGACCAGGTCCTTCGGCACGTTCACCCCCAGATATATACATATATAAAATCTCCTATATATATCTACATTTCTCTTTATCGCAAGGGGGTGGGTCGCGTCCCGGAGGGGTGGGGTGGGGGGCTGCTGAGGAGATGGCAGATGGGGACAATATACACGGGGGGGGGGGGAGGGCGGTGAAAATTAAAAATACAAAAAAATTGTAATAGATCTGGAGGCTGCGGCGGCACATTTTCCCAGCTTCTCAGCCCGCAAGGTGGAGGCGGATGGGGACCCCAAAGGAAGGCGCGGATCTGGTCATCCCTGGGGGTGTGTGTGTGGGGGAGGGACAGGGGGTTCTCCTTTGGGTTCTCCTCCTCCTCCAAAGAAGAACCGGCTGAGGACCCAACTCTCTCTGGAAGCCTCGGCACCCGAATTTGTCCCGTCTGTTTGGCCGGCCGAACCCCTCCCCACGCAAAGGGGGCTGGTGTCTCTGAGTGCTTCTGTGGGCCAATGGGACCCACCCGCCCGTGGGGCGGACCCCGTGGGGGGGTGTCTCCCCGCAGCGGTGGCCAAAAGGGTGGCCCCGATTCTCCGCCGGAGCTGGGAGGGAAGGACGGAGCCGGTCTCGGATCCCGCAGCCATAGGGGGAACGGGCGCCTTGGAGAGGGGGTGGGAGGGCGAGAGAAGCCCCCACCCCACCCGCGATGAGTGGGGAAGGGCGGTGGGGAGCCCTCAGCCCCCCCAGGGCAAAGGCACCGGGGTCAAGAGGCCCCTGGGGAAGATGGAAGGAGGGCCGGCCTTCTGGAAGGAGGAGGGCAAGGGGGCAGAATTTAGGGGGTCCCATCTCTGCACAGAGGCTGGGAAGCTGGAGGTTTTCCTGGCCTGGGGGAGAGAGAACCCCTTAGAGGGGGGGATGCCCCTATTGCAGGAGGAGGAGCCGTTTCAGGGGGGTGCACAAGACCCCCCAACACGCCACTCGGACCCCGACCCACGTGCCCAAAAGGAACCCACCCTGCAGCTACACATTTGCTCCCCTGCTCTCACCCGCGTTGTCCCCCCAGCTCTGGAACAGAGACCCCCCTCTTGCCCCACGGCTCAGAAGACGCCGCTTGGCTTTTCTCGAGACTTTCCAGGATGTTTTTCAGGCAAAAATACAGAGAAAGAGAGAGAGATATAAACACACCGACCTGCCCTTCGAGGCTGCAACGTATTTTAAGTTCCCCCGGTTTCGGTATGAATCGGCGCTGGTTAACCGAACGTTCGAGGCTGCTGGGGGGGGGGGCGGGGGCCGTTAGCAGTGGGGTTTTTCCTGGGCGATCAAAGAGAGCGTTAAGAATCGGGGCGCCTGGGGGGTTTTGTGGGGGGAGAGAAAAGGGGGTGCAAAGAAATCCACATTGACAGTGCTGCAAAGAAAGGGAAATATAGGCAGAGAGGGCCGTCTTCCTGGCGCCCCGCCGTGGGGGGAGGGCCTGGGTGGGACCCCTTTCTTCCCCCCCCTCCACCCTATGCCCCCCCCCAAGGCTGGCACAGCTGAGCAAGATTCAAGCCCCCCCACGGGAGGTTTCGAAGAGCGAGAGGTCCAGGGCAAGGAAGCAGGTCTTTTCCGGCGGGGGGAGGGCAAAAAATAAAAGGAATGGGGGGGGGGAACGGCCGGCTGAGTTCACCAGGGGGTGGGGGAGCAGCTTCTTGGGGGGCAGCCCCCCACCTGTCCGTCTGTGCAAGGAGACGGCATCCCCGTGCGAGTCCTGCGTCCTTTTCCCGCAGAGAGGGGCTTCCCCGTGCCGGATGCGGCGCCGTGGAGAGGCGGTTCGCTTCGTCGTGTCGAAAGAACGGAGACCGGGGTCGGCGGATCGGAGATGGTGGTCTAGGGAGTGGCGGAAGGGGGGGAGAGGGAGGCCCCCCCCGGAGCCCCCTAGGAGGCGGGCATGTCCGCTTTGCTGAGGGCGATGGCCAGCTCAAGGTCCTCCTGCTCCTGCCGCCTCAGCCGCGCCAGGCGCTCCTCCTCCGCCTTCTCGCTCTCTCGCTTCGCCCAGGCGAGTTGCTGCTCCTCATTGCCAAGCTGGGGAGAGAAGGAGAGGGTTGGGATGGATGACCGCTGGAGGGCCCCCTATCCAAATCTCTCCCTAGGGGCCACCGTACTTCCCGCCTCCCGGATCATGGGAGGGTCTTTAGCCGCGGGGTTGGGATGGATGACTGCTGGAGGGCCCTTTTCCAAATCTCTCCCTAGGGGCCACCCTACTTCCTGCCTCCCAGATCATGGTAAGGAATGGAGGGGGGGCGCTCCCGCTTTCCCTTCCTTCCTCCCCACCCTCCGAAAAAAGCAGCACCCGGTTCTATCGGGGAAGGCCTCCCTCCCGGCTTTTGGGGTTCCCCACGGAGGCTGCATCTGGGGGACCCCTGTGAAGACTGGACTGGCCCCCCTTCAGTTTGACTGGGCGCTCTTTGCCCTGTTTAAATCCTGCCTTGCAGGGGGTTGGTCTAGATGACCCACTGGTGTCCCAGTCCAACTCTCAGAGCTCAGTGCTCTGACCAGAACATTGAGGGCAGATCACACCGCAGGGAGACCCCATGTTTTCCTTCAACCCTCCTCCCCAAAAAGCCACGAAGGGCGTGGGAGTCAGACTATTGACTCCTAATTGCACCACATATGGTCTCTCTGTCTCTCTCACACACATACACAGAGCTAAGAGCCAGGGGAACTGCCCGCCACTGGCTGCAAACCCTTTCCCCGTTCCTGGAGGGAAGGCGGCCAGCAGTTCCCCCGATAAAAGAGGGGAGGACCCACACAAAAATCAAGGACATAAGGGGACGGTTTGCCCTGTTTCAAACGGGGACAGTCCGGAGAAAAAATATCGTTGAGCTTTCTCTGCAAAATCTCCTAAGAAAGTTTTTGACTTAAAAAATAAAATAAAATAGAAAATTTGACAAAAAAGCAACTTGCCATTGTCAACGGACATTTTAACCCATTTTGCAAAATTCTGCCCAGACGTTATTTTTGCCAGGGAAATCGTAGTCTTAATAATAATAATAATAATAATAATAATTTATTAATACCCTGTCCATCTGGCTGGGTTTACCCAGCCACTCTGGGCGGCTCCCAACACAATAATAATCATAATCATAAGGCAATAAAACATTTAAAACTTCCCTAAAGGACACCAAGCCTTATAGCAGCACAATAAGGCTATTCCGCTTATGAAACCTTGCAATTCTTTTAATTGTTTTAACCTCCTGCTCAGCGACTCTTGTCTCTCTGATCTTATTCTGGCTCGGTTTTTTAAAAATAAAGCAAAATAAATGATTGCATCTTGCTTTCACCATTGTATCTTAGCTATTTTAAAAATGCCGGCCTGCGACCGTAATAAACTGAAAACTGCAGCGGCGATTTCACCGGCCTCCTCCTTTTGCAAAGTCTGGTTTTTCGCGGGGGAAATGGATGGGATGGCTCAGCAAAAAACCCCCAAAACTCAACCAAGGAAGGTGAGAAAGTTTGAAGGTGCCTCGGAAATTAAAAAAGAAGAAAAAAGAATTAAAAATAAAACCAGCGCAGGTTTTCCTGTTTATCAGCTGAAGCCTCTCTCTCTTTCTCTGTGTCAAACGCTCAACGCCAAACCTGCTGTTAGAATAAAGATCCACAATGTGGCTTTGAGTTCCTTTTGCTAACACAAACATACAGACTCCTCCAACACTAAAAAGCCGAACGAAATAATTAAGACGTTAGCCAGGCGTCTCTCGCTGCAAGGAAGGAGATTCACACATTTCAGTCCCTACTGAAACCAGCCCTTTATTGCAAAACCTTGAGGACTAGAGTCTTAGCTTACGGAGCAACACTATCAGGCGGTTTTCCTACGCCCCAAACATTTCCAGGAAAGGGATTCCCCACCCCCAAAAAAATCCCCAACTCAGGTCTGGAGAGAAAGGGAGAGCGCTCTCCACGACCAATGTCCCCAAGCGAACAGGATCAGACTCAAAGCTTAATACAGTGGTCCCTTGGCTCTCAAACTTAATCCGTTCCAAAACCAAAGCGTTCCAAAACCAAGGCGCTCCTGCTTTCCCATAGAAAGGAATGCAAAACGGATTAATCTGTTCCAGACTTTTAAAAACAACCCCTAAAACAGCCATTTAACGTGGATTTTACTATCTAACGAGACCATTGGTCCATAAAATGAAAGCAGCAATCAATGTGCTGTGCTATAAAATAAACAAGACATTATTGTAGATGATAAAAATTAAAATTACCTGCACTGATGAGAGTTCATTGTTTGGATGGGGGGCTTTTATCCATTTCCGCAGTCACACAATCAATCAATCAATCAATCAGTAGCTGAACTGGGTTCCACACAGTCACAAAAACAAATGAACCGAAAAAGCCTCAAAAACAAAATCGCAAAATAAAGAGCGAAAACCAAAGCGCCAAACTTAATCCATTCCAGAAGTCCGTTTGACTTCCGAAATGTTCGGAAACCGAGGCGCGGCTTCTGATTGGCGCGGGTGCCCCGGAAACAATAGCCGACAGCCACGCCGGATGTCCGGCTTCCGAAAAACATTCGAAAACCGGAACATTGCCTTCCGGGATTTCAGGGTTTGGGAACCAAGGCGTTTGAGAACCAAGGTACCACTGCAATAATAATAATAATAATAATAATAATAATGTGATGTGCCACCCATCTGACTAGATTGCCCCAGCCACTCTGGCTGGCTTCCAGCGAATCAAAACCTTGGGGACGTACAGAGGGACTAATGCAGAACTATGGAGGAAGCGGGTTGGTCTAGATGAGTTTTGGGGGTCCCGTCTAACTACCGTTCTATGGGAGAAGAGAGGGATTTGGGGGGAACTAAGAGAGAGAAATTGCCAGAGGGGGGAGAGGGAAGGGGAAGGAGGAGGGGGGAGGAGGAAGAGGATGAGGAGGGGGAAATGACCCCAAAAGCCCCCCGCCCAGGTTTTTTTTTCCTTTTTCCATCCAGATCGAAGGAGCGTCAACTTACAGAGGTGAAGTCAGCAAATCCCGTGGAGGAAGGGTCCTTGGGAGCTTTGCCTGCCGAGGGGGGAGAAATTCCGTCTCTCCCCCTAAATAGGTCCCCAAACCCCTTTCTACTGTGAAAGGGGTCGCTGACGTCAGCCCCGAACGGCCGAAACAGGTCAGGGGGCTTGTCAAAATCGGAAGAGCCGACATGGATGACAGGAGGAGATTTACCTGGAAAAGGTCGAGAGAGAGAGAGAGAGAGGGGGAACGAGAGAAAGAAAGAGAGAAAAGAAAAAAAAATGGGGGGGGGGAACCGAGGAAGAAAAGGAGAGGGAGGGGTTGGGAAGAAGGGAGAAACGAGAGGAAGAAAGGGAGAGGTTACTTACCATAAGGGGCAGGGGGGGCAGTGGTTGGAGGGGGGGTGTCTAGGGAAGCCCACCTAACCCTAAATTGGCAGCTCAGGACTCCCCCCTCCCAGCTTTTGCCTAGAATTCTGCTTCGCACAGCCAAATCCGCAACAATGCCCCCCCTCTTTTCCCGTTCAAAAAATCCTGAAATTGAGGCACCCTGCCTGCTCAAATGCGTCCCGTCGCCCGTCCCCCCCGTCTCCCCAAATTGGGCTGGGGAGTTTGGCGCCAAGTCCCCCCAGACCCCCCAAGCACATGCCTCGGACTCACCCGCCCTGCAAAAAGAAAATGGGTTTTTAAAGGGGGTGGGGCAGCTCTGCAGCCAGCGATAGGCGTATTTCGGCGTTTGACAGCTTTGGGGTTTTTTCTGGGGAGGGGGAGACGGGATTCTCGCTGCCTCTCGCTCCCCCGAAAAGCCCAGAGGACCCGCGTGAGGGTTTCGGCAGCGGTTGAGGACTAGCGGCTTGCGGGCTCGGGCACGAGGGTGGCACCCTAGAATCGAAGAGTTCGAAGGGCCCTCTAAAGGTCATCCAGCCCAACCCCCTTGGAGGGAGGGGTCCTGCCCGCAGCCGTCCCCGGTTCTCTCTTTGCCACCCCGCAGCCGCAAGCCTGGAATTTGGCCAGGCGACGATTTCTTCCCCACTTCCCTTTCTCGAAGAGAGACTGGCGCCAGGATGGCAGAGAGGAACTGGGAGAGGTTTCGCACAAAAAAGCAGCCGCTCTGGTTCCCTTTCCTCCATCGGGCAGTTTTTCCTTTGCCCTCTTTCAGCTGCGGGAAAAGGGGCTCCCCCTCTGCCCCCGGTGAAACACCCGCGGCGATGGCGGCCCCTGTACCCCCCAAAAATAGCCGATTAATTCAGAGCAGGGAAGTCCCGGACGGTGTTAGAAACCTAGATATATAATCTCATCGCCTTAAACATGGGCGCAATGCAACGTCTAGGAGCTGTCCTCTCCCTATGATGGGACAATATTATTATTATTATTATTATTATTATTATTATTATTTCCGTTTCTATACCGCAAAGAACAGATCTCAAAAGCGGTTTGCAAGCACGTCGAAACGTCGGATAAAACCACCCAGAATAAACCGAATTCAAGCTCCACGGGAAAATATTCCAGGTCCTTTTCTCTTTATATCTTTATTGTCATTGTCCCCTACAGAACAATGAAACTGAAAATCTACATAAAACATTCAAAACCCCCTAAAAACTCTGAAACCCCATTTTAAAATACAATATACTATAGGGGTGCTTCGCTTCCCCCGGCCTCGGCCCCCAGAGATCTCCGTGGGGGCCACAAGGGGACCCACAAACAGTGCTTTTTTCAGGGGGGGGGGCACAGGGGAGCACATACCCCTAAACGTTTTGCGAATCTTTGTCCTTTTGCTGTATTTATTTGTCCCAATTTGAATGTTAAAAACGGCGATTTTCTTGAGTCAAAATGAGAGTACCCCATAACATTTTTTAAAGGGAAAAAATGCACTGGTCATGAAACGTAGCTGGATGGTTTTGGGGGGCACGTTTTAAGCGACTGGGAGCCCCCGGCCCGATCCGCAGCGCGGCACCGGTTTGGGGTGGAGAGGAAACCCAGCCTGATCAAGGTTTCTCCAGCACAGCCGTGATGCCACCCAAAAGGGGGGAGCCTTGCAGCAGTGCCGGATCAGGCCCAAGGAGGTCCGCTCTTAAGTCCTGTCCCCGGGCAGCGGCCAAACCCTATTTGCCCGGAGGAAAACCTGCTTGTTCTAAGATAGACTGGCTCTGTCCATGGAGGTTCTGCTTGGGAGTCGTGAAAAAGAAGGGCTCTGCTGGATATTGGGCCAAAAGGGGGGCCGTTTAGTCCAGCCCCGCCGCACGCCCCCCAAAGGAAAGCCAGCCCCCTAACAAGCAGGAGCGGAACAACAGTGCCCCACTTGCGGTTCCTGGCAGCGGGGGGGAAAAACGGAGTTTGTCAAATGGACTGCAGACAAGGGTTCACCCCCACCCCAAAGGCGTTATTCTCCCAGAAAAACATGGATTTTAAAAATAAAAAAAACAGGCATGGAGGGCGCAAGGGAAATCGAAGGCTGGCACAGCTACACGGCGAAGCTCGGGCGCAAAAAACGACAACAGTTCTCTGTTTTTCCCCTGCCCCAAGCAAACTTCTTCTGCCTCCTCTTTTAATATTTCAGCCCCTGAGAACCAGCTTCGCCGGCGGGTGTGGGAACTGGGTACCCGGTCCTCCTCAGAAGAGGTGTTAACCACCGAGAAACAGACGATATGCCAACTTTGCAAAAGGATGCCTTTTCAGCAATGCCTCGCGGGCGAGAAAGCCTCGAGATCAGCAGCCGCTGCTGCACACACACACCCCACGCGAGAAAACAGACTGTGAGCGCATCGCCCCCGGGCCTCGATTTCGGCCGCACGGCCTCCTCACGACTGACGGAAACTCGAACACAAGGCACACCTCTTGCTTGGACCTTTGGTGGAAAGCCACCGAGCTTTTAGCCTCGCGAGAGATTGAATGTCTTGCCCTCGACTGGACTTGAGGGACGATGCCAACAGATGCCACACGGAAAACATCCCTGCGGAGATGGCAGTCCCGAATCGGCGGCGCACGCCCTTCTGGCTTGCCTTCTTGATAAAGACTTGAGGAATGAGATTATCACCCCCTTTTATTGTCCGTTCCGCGTCGCCCAGCCACTGCCCCAGGGTCCTTCCTCTCCGCCCATCAAAATGAGCAGGTGATGGCAAAGGTGGCAAGGTTTTTAGCTGGGGGCAATCGGAATAAGACCCACTCCTTGACCATTGATTCAAAGCCCTAAAATGTATTTTATATAATTGACTTTTTATTTCTGTTCTTTGTATATCGCGTTGTTGTTTTATTGCTATGGCCGGTGGCCGACGCAAATAAAGATTAATTAATTCATTCATTCATTCACCAAGCGTCGTGTCGCACGGAACATCCTTGCGCTGTGGTGAAAATGGACGTCGGCCGGCTTCAAGCCTCCAACGGCAGACCAAAAAAAGAGGGGGGGTTCTGGAAGCTGCTTGTCCATGCACAGGGGACCCCAGAGGCCATCCAGCCCAACCCTCCAATCTGTGCTGATCTTACAAGGGCAGAATCCTTGGCAGACCACCTTCGTCGCTCCCCGGGCCCTTTAGCCTTCCCTGCTCCAAATTATATCACCCCTCCCTCTTTCACCCCCTCCTCAGAGGAGAACTGTAGTTCGCCCCTTGCATAGCTACAATTCCCAGTACCCTTACCAAACTACAGTTTCCAGGATTCTATCCCCGCCCCCCCGGAAAGGGTGTACTTTAAATGAAAGGGGTGTACGCAGGCCTGCCCTCCAGCCCCCCACCCACCATCCTGGCCCACCCTGCTTTAAATGGGGCACACCCAAAACTGGACTCAGCCTGACCGGCACAGAACAAGGGTGAACTCCGTGGGTTCTGCCGCAGATCACAGCATTAGAGCCTTAAACCAGGGTTGCAAACGCCAAAATGGAACATCCAGTTGCCATTTTGGGGGGAAAGACGGCTCCGAAATCTTATTTTCCAAAGGATGGACCGGGATGGATTCTCAGTTAAATATCTGGCTAGTTCAGAGGACAACCTTGAACTGAGCTTTGAGAACTTGAAAGAAGAAAAGTCACTTTATCCGGGGACAGTCTGCCTGGATATTGCCTTATTCCTACCTTTTTCTGAATGGCGACACAGACTATTCATAATGTAGGAATATTCTCCCCAACGGTGAGAAGGGGAAAGCGAAGACAAGAGACAATTCGCTGCAACGCCGGGAAAAGCATTTTTGGGTCCCCAAAATCCATTCCGGTTGTGCAGATAAAGTATCACGGAATGCTACAGGGTGGGGTCTTAAGGGTGTGGAAAGGGTCCAGATCCAGGGACCCCCCCAGATGGCAGGGACGTCAGGCGCTGTCCCAGCACCCGGGCATATTTACTCGGTGGGCGATGGGTGCAAAACGCAGCTGGCGGGTTTCGAACGCTGACCACAACGAAGCAAACCCGCGAACCCCGGAGGCCGGCTTTGGAAAACCGGCCGAGCGAAAGACCCCCGCAAAGAAGCAGCTTACGGAACTACCCGTCAAAGTGTCCCGCAAATGGCAGCACCTTTTGAGACCCCCATTCCAAGATGCCTGGGCCAAGCGACCCGCCAGCCGGGAGCAAATCTGTTTGCCGCGATTGCAGTTCAGCAGCGGTCAAAGCGCCTCCGCCCAGACTCTCTGGCCCACTGGAGGAAGGGGGACTGAGCCGCAGAGTACATTCAGGGCTGCCCTAAGGCCCCGATCCCATGCACAAACGCTGTGCGCTACACCCTGGCCCCGGGGTCTTGAACCGCAGCCCTCTCCTGTCCTGAGGTTTCCAGCGACCGGCATTTCGACTGTGGGGGCCAAGCCATTCTAGGCGGGAGCCTCCTCCTCGAATCAGTCTAACTCAAGTTGCCAGCCACCCCTGTCTCCTGTGGCAGGGAGTCCCACAGTCCAACCCTACACCTTCTTTACAAGGGTGTCTCGTACCGAATGCAAACTGTGAAAAGGACTCTTACGGATTGAAAACGTATGCGTCTTCCCTCGCTCGTTTGCTTCGTATCGCTCTCTCTCACACACACAAATCCTCAAAGAAAAACACAATCCGCCCAGAACCCCTCAACACCCAGCTCTGCGGGAATTCTAGCGCCAGGAGTGAAGGCTGTGTGTAATTCTACAAATCTCTATCCCGTCTCCTCTCTTCCCGAAACTAAGCAGCCCCGAACGCCGCGTGCTTTTCTCGTTCCCTTTCCCCCAACTCCGACGGTCTCCTTTTTGGGGGCAGGGGGTGCTTTGCAGAACGGGCAGCCCCTGCCCCGTTCGGGCCACAAGAGGCGGCCGCCACCCCCCCCAAGGCAGCGGCGGCTGTGCCTGGTTGACGGCGCAGGCCGGGGCCCCGATATTGCTGGTGAGCGCCGACCGCAGAGAGAGGAAGTGGCTGAGGGTGGGGCGGCTGCAGATGGTCCCACGATGGTGGTGGCAGCAGCCCCAGGGAGGCTTCGCAATCACTGACACCCACACAGAGACTTCCTGCCCTTTTAAAGAACCAGAATAATACACACACACCAGAGAGAGAGAGAGAGAGAGAGAGAGAGAGAGAGAGAGAGGGGGAAAAATAAAATCTGTTTTTCTCTTTTTGAGGCTCAACAGCTTTTACCTAGAAGCTAGTTAGCGGCGAGGACGGAGATCTCTTATCAGCAGCCGGTGCAAAAAAGCAGATGAAAGGAAGGGAAGACAGGAACGAAAGAACGGAGGTGGTGGAGGAGGAGGCAACTCCTAATAACCGCTTTTGAACTCTCTGGGCTCGGCCGGGGAAGGGTCCAGTCTCGGTGCAGCTTCCTCGCCAGGGCTGCAGGAGCAATTGGATCAGGCCCCTGGGGCCACACTCCTCCCCATGGCCAGCCAGGTGCCCCCCAGGTTTAACACCAACTGCCCCCCTCTTGCCGTTCTCAGCAGCTGGGGTTTCCTGCCTCCGACAGGGGAAACAGGATTCGTGCATTTCAGTGCCCCACAGGGTCTGGGCATTAGTTAAAGCCACCGCATTTTTTGCTCTATAAGACGCACCAGACCACAAGACGCACCTAGTTTTTGGAGGAGGAAAACAGGAAAAAAAAAATTCTGTCTCTCAGAAGCCAGAACAGCAAGAGGGATCGCTGCGCAGTGAAAGCAGCAATGCCTCTTGCTGTTCTGGCTTCTGGGATAGCTGTGCAGCCTCCACAAGACGCACACACATTTCCCCTTACTTTTTAGGAGGGGAAAAGTAAGTCTTATAGAGCAAAAATACGGTATTTTTTCACACTTCCCGTTCCTATAGCTTAGCCAGATGAACTTCTGTCCAAAAGCAAAGACGTGAACTGCCATTTCCCAAACCTGCTGGGGGGGGTGGAGGTCACCCCGAAATCAATCGATTTTTGTCTATGGAACTGTATAATGTCGTATGCAGAGTGAGTATTGCATGACACAGGAAAAACATTTGAGCTTGCAGGTTTTCTAAGACTTGTCCGGTGTTTTGTCAATTGCACGTCCCTTAGAATAAAGCGAGGTTGCAGCTTGCCTTTGTTTCTGCCGCAAGCAGAATCAATCAATCAATAAATTACAAAATAAAATAAAAATAATACTTTTATCATTTATACCCTGCCCATCTGGCTGGCTTTCCCCAGCCGCTCTGGGCGGCTTACGGCATATCTAAAAACATAATATTAATATTATTAATAAACCTCTTGTATTGCGTGTTCTTTTCTATAGACCAATATTTCGGATTCTTCTAGGACGTTCTTGGACCGTTTTAGGAAGTCCCCAGACAGCTGTAAAAGCTCCACAAAGCTTTTTTAAAAAGCGCTAATACTTAGAGGAGTCGTGACGTTACGTCACGGCAATTCCAACTTTTGGGGTGACTTTTCCCCTCCCTGCAACGGAGAAGAATTATTTTGTTTTTCTGAGCAAAGGTTTGTCACATTAGGATGCAGGAAAGTTGTTTCGGGGAAAAAGTATGAAGTTATAACCCTAGCGACCGCAAATTTTAAACGGGGACCCGGCAAATTCACAGAGGAGAAAGCCATCGATGGCTACTGGCCAGGGAAGCCGTGATGCTCCTGGGAACCAGGAACCGCAGGTGTGGGGAATACCTGTTATGATGCTCAGATACTGCCGGGGGCGGGGGGTTCCCTTGGGGGCCTCCCAAACACAATTCAAAGTCTTGGTGCTGATCTTGAAAGCTCTAAATGGCCTCAAAGGCCCAGTAGACCTGAAGGAGCGTCTCTACCACGGACACCCAAAGCTTATACCCAGAACAAACTTAGTTGGTCTCTAAGGAGCTGCTGGACAATTTTTAGAATTTATTTATTTATTTATTTCGACTGCGTCAGACCAACACGGCTACCTACCCGAATCTAGATTCATGTTTACCAGTCTCTGTATTTCTAACAGCACAACCAAATCGGTTATTTTGGATATAGCTGTAAAAATGTATTAACCTTCATCTGCTTGTAAATATTAAGATTACACCAGCAAGAATGAGCCTTTCTGTAGAAAAATGATTCAAATGAAGTCCTGCTGACTAGTGATTTAAACCATGATTTAAACCAATTTGACTTAAACCGTGATTTAACTGATTTGATTTAAACCGTGATATAAACCGATTTGATTTAAACCGTGATTTGAACCAATTTGATTTAAACAGTGATTTAAACCGATTTGATTTAAACTGTGATTTAAACCGATTTGATTTAAACTGTGATTTAAACCGATTTGATTTAAACCGTGATATAAACCGATTTGATTTAAACAGTGATTTAAACCGATTTGATTTAAACAGTGATTTAAACCGATTTGATTTAAACTGTGATTTAAACCGATTTGATTTAAACTGTGATTTAAACCGATTTGATTTAAACTGTGATTTAAACCAATTTGATTTAAACCGTGATATAAACCGATTTGATTTAAACTGTGATATAAACCAATTTGATTTAAACCGTGATTTAAGCGGATTTGATTTAAATCAAACCCACCCTGGCCCGATATTCCCCCCCCCAAAACCCCCCAACACACTGCCCCAGAGTTTGGCTGCGGACCGGCAAGCATTCTAGTAAAAAGCAAGGGGGGGGGGGAAGAGTGCAATGGGGGGGGGCAAGTGCATGTCTGAGAGAGAAAGAGAGAGGGAGGGAGAGAGGCCAACCCCCCACCATGGAAAGTCCAAGACGAAGGCAGCCCCCACCCCGCCTTCCGTGACGGCCGGCCACCCCTTCCCCGGCGCGAAGTGGGGGTGGGGAGGAGGAGGACCGCAGAGAAGACTCACCACTGGGCGGTTTGGGCCTGGGAGGCAAGCCTTTCTTCGGAGGGAGGGCGGGGGTGTCTAGCTTGCCCTTAAAGGGGTCGTCCGGGAAGCCCCCGAAAGAGGAGGCCGAGAACGGGTCGGAAGCCGGCGGCTGCAAAGAGAGAGACAGAGAGAGGCAGAAGCGGAAAGGGGGTTTGCAGAAAGAGGGAGGGGCAGGAAAGGAGGAAGTGGGGGGCTCTGGGGTGACGGGGGGGCGCAGAGGCAGACCCGGAGAGGCGCTATGGCTTGCAAGCAAGAGAGCAAGGAACCGGGAGGAGCCAAGCTTTGCGACAGCTGGGAAACTGAGGCAGGTCCGTCCCCAACCCAAACGGAACAAAACCACAAGGAAACGGGGGTCTGCAAACCGGATGGGGTTTCGGGTCCTCGGCTAACCGCCCCCCCGCCCGTCAATCGCCTGACATTGGGGGGGGGCAGGCTGACTCCGACATAGGCCGATCGCAACCAGAGGAGACCCGGCGGATATCCGCTTCCACGGGCCGCCCCCAAACTTGACACCGGCTTGCGAATAGTAGACCCGCTGAAACGGGTTTAAATTCGGTGAATTGTTTACTGGATTTCCAATTTTTTTTGCAACCCGCTTTTTAAAGGACTGCGCCAGCACGAGCCCTTTGGAACTGCCCGCCTCATGATACCAAGTGGGGCACCGACTCTTTCCGGCGCCCGCTTAAAGGCATTCTCGTTCAGACAAGCTCCCCAGGACATTAAGAAAGTTGGCGCAATTTTAATCTACTTTAATATTTCAACTTTTGTATGGTTTCCCCCACCCCAATATAATTTTTACCGAATTTCCATTTCCCCCCACAAATCAAATAGCTAAGCCGTTTCCTGTACTGACTTCCCACCTCCGCTCTTTTCTACTATCAAATTTTCACCTGTTGCTAAAACCTCCTCTAACGTCGTTAAAAAAGTTGGCGCAATTTCAATCCGTCTCATTGTTTTGAATTTTGTACGTTTCTAAAGCGCTGCTGCGAAACATTCCTTGGTTTTTATCGCCTCATCCTTTCGCTAACTACAATCGCCCAAACCCCAAAATTAATGTTCCGGTTTCCAAACATTCCTCGGAAGCTGAACGTCCGACGCGGCTGTTGGCTATTGTTTCCGGGGGCCCTGCGCCAATCAGAAGCCACGCCTTGGTCTCCGAACATTTCAGAAGTCAAACGGACTCCCAGAAGGGATTAAGTCTGGCACTTTTGTTTTTGCTATTTATTTTGTGGTTTTGTATTTTGAGGCTTTTTGGGTTCACTTGTTTTTGTGACTGCGTGGAACCCAGTTCAGCTACTGATGGTCTGGAACGGACTGATCCGTTTCGCATGACTTTCTATGGGAAAGCGCGCCTTGGTTTTGGAACGCTTTGGTTTTGGAACGGACTTCCGGAACGGATTAAGTCTGAGAACCAAGGTACCACTGTGTGTTTATTTTTGGCTGGATTTCTGAATGAAAAGCAGGGGTTTAATGTTCTTAATTTAAATGGAACGGGGCTGCGGGGAAGGTTCTCTCACGCCACCCTGTGGCAGAAAAGTGTTTCAGAGATTCTCTTCTAGATCATGGGTAAGCAAACTAAGGTCTGGGGGCCGGATCCGGCCCAATTGCCTTCTAAATCTGGCCTGTGGACGGTCTGGGAATCAGCGTGTTTTTACATGAGTAGAATGTGTCCTTTTATTTAAAATGCATCTCTTGTGGGGCTAAGGAATTCGTTCGTTTTTATTTTTATTTTTAAAATATAGTCCGACCCCCCACAAGGTCTGAGGGTCAGTGGACTGTCCCCCTGCTGAAAAAGTTTGCTGACCCCTGGGATAGATGCTCCTCTCCTCTCTCTCTCACACACACAACATCGTCTGCAAGGCAGGACTGGGCCGAGGGAGAGGAGAGGGCGCTGATAATTCCTGGATGGAATTGGGGAAGCGGCAAAGATCAAGGGAGCCTTCGCCACCTAAGCATGCAAGGCTGGAGCTGCAGTGAGGAGGGCGCCAAAGCTGCGCCCCCCCATCCCAATGAACCCTACCCCCCAGCTTAAAAAAAACCCCCAAATAAATAAAGTTTCCAGTACAATTGCACCTTGGTTGTCAAACACCTTGGTACTTGGACATTTCGGCTCCCGAATGCCACAAACCCAAAAGTGAACGTTTTTCAGAACCCGAACGTCCGACGCAGCTTCCGATTGGCCGCAGGAGCTCGCCGCGGCCAATCGGAAGCCGCGCCTCAGTTCCCGAACGTTTTCGGAAGTCGGACGGGCTTTCCGCTCGACTTCCGAGGTACGACTGTATTTGCAGAACCAGAGATAGGAGGGGAGACACGACGGCTCACCTCCTTTTTCTTTTGCAAGTAGTTTTGTAGTGTTTTATTTTCACCCCACCCCCTAAAAAAACCCCAGGGTTACAGGACCCGACAGAAAGCAGGTCACAGGCTGGGCAAGATTTGCCTGGGGGGTGGGATTCTGCCCCTGCGGAGGGAACTCAAGAGGAGGGAATTTGGGGATTTGTAAGTCAGGGGGGGCTAAGTGGCCGCCACAAATCTGGCGAGGGAGGAGGGTTTACCTTCGACATCCGGCTGAAATCGGCGAAGCCTTCGCTGCCGGCCCCGCCGCTGTTGAAACTGCTGCTCCCGAAGGGATCTAGTGTCCCAAAAGGATCTGAAATCAAAAGGGGGGAGGGTGGTCAGTGGCCCCGGCCAGGATTCCCATTCCTAGACTTTGCCGGTTCTAAAAACGCAGGCTGGAGGAGTCCCTGTTGGGACCCTCAGGGAGGCAGCCCTTGTTCTCCCCCCCCCCCAGTAACCTGCAAGCCGTCCCCCCCCCAACCCTTGAACCAAACAACCTCCCTCCTGCACAGGGCTCCCCCCTTCCAGAATTCACACCCCACCGGTGTTTCTTCTGCAAGAAATAAACGCCGGGCAGCTTAACCGAAGCATCGGACCAGAGTTTGAATTTTTGGAGGGCGGGGACAGGGGGGTGGACGGACACCCAATGCCGTGGGGCAACCCCCCCCCCACCGTGGGCCTTACCTGGCCCTTTCAGAGCGGTGGCGACGACACTCGGAGACTGGAAGGGGTCGCTGTTTTCAAATAAGTTCGCCTAAAGGGGCAGGAGAACGAGGGTTTCACGGCAGGGCCCCCCAAGCAGCTGGGCTTAGGATCCTGCGGCCCCGAATGGAACCGAGGGACCCCCCCCCCGAACGAAACAAAGCCGTCAAGGGAAAAGCCCCCCCCTCCTCCTGGAAACGTCCTCACCTTGGAGGGCAGCGTGGGGTTTTTGGAGAAGGGGTCGGCCGTGAACGGATCGCTCTTCTCGGGCTTTTTGAAGAAATCGTCGGGCGCCGCTGCGGCGCGGAAGGGATCGCTTTCCTTAAACGGATCTCCGCCGAAGGGATCTGTGGGGAGAGAGCGAATCGTTCACCGGAGAGTGAAGAGGAAGGGAGGGAGGCAGATGGCCTCTCCGGGAGGCGAGAGACTGACACCCGTCCCCACGCCGCTGCAGAGGCCTTTTGGGATTCCGGGGTGAAAGACTAAATCTGGGGTTCGTGCGCAAGCAGGGGAAGCAAAGGCGACGCCGGAGCAGCGATTCGAAGACCGGCACACGTATCAGCATCGATTCCGCTAAGGGGGTTAAATTACAAGGACCCCTGGACGGTTCAGTCCAGGCCAAGGCGACTCTGGGGTTGCGGCGCTCATCTCGCTTTCAGGCCGAGGGAGCCGGCGTTTGTCCACAGACAGCTTTCCGGGTCGTGTGGCCAGCAGGACTAAACCGCTTCTGGCGCATGGCGGAAACCAGAGCAGCGCACGGAAACGCCGTTTACCTTCCCGCCGGAGAGGTACCTATTTATCTACTTCAAATCTCCGCTTGGCCCTGAAGCTCACCGGGTGTGACTTTGGGCCCGTCACTGCCTCTCTGCCTCACTCAGTGAGGTTACAAGGAACCAGGCAGAGGGCCTTCTCGGTGGTGGCGCCCTCCCGCCAGATGTCAAGGAAAGAAACAACTCTCTGACTTTTAGAAGACATCCGAAGGCATATTCCCTGTTTAGGGAAGTTTATAATGACTGATGTCTTAATGTCTTTTTAATCTTTTGTTGGAAGCCGCCCTGAGTGGCTGGGGAGACCCAGCCAGATGGGCGGGGTAGAAATGATAAATTATTCTGGTTATTATCTCACCTGCTGCCACCGCCGCCGCAACCACGGGGGCTTGCTCCGCAAAGGGGTCGTTCTGAAAGGGGTCACCTGGGTGAGGGAGGAAGAGAGAGGGGGGCGCGGTTAAGAGGAGGAACCAGGCCAGGCTCGTGGCGGGAGACGGTTCAGGGCCCGCTGCCCCCCGTCGCCACTCACTGCCTCTGAAGGGGTCCGCGCCCTTGAAAGGGTCCGTCCTAAAGGGGTCTTCCGCCTGGAAAGGGTCCGCAGGAAGCTCCTGCGTGTGGCCGCTGAACAGGAGGGCCTTGCTCTTGAACGGGTCGTCCTGCCGGGGGGTGTCAGAGGGGAGAGAGAAGGGAATCAGACACAAAACAGACCCCCAAAGACCCCGCCAGGTTCACGTCTGAGTCATCAGAGCTGGATGGGACCCCCAGCTAAAGGATCCCTCTGCTGAGAAACCCCCAAAGAATCATGGAATTGTAGATGTGCAGAGCCGGGAGGGCCCTCTTGAGGTCCTCTAGCCCAACCCCTGCAAAGCAGCAACGGCAGCTAATTTGCTTAACTGGCTTTGCGTTTCTAAATCGCTACGGAAGTCGTGGTGAAGGGCCGGAGAGAAGACTTAATAATAATGGTGATGATTATAATATTCTCGGTTCCAGGGACGCCCTCCCTGCTTCAGCCTTAAAATAGTAATTTATATAAATAGTAATTTATTATCTATACCCTGCCCACCTAGCTGGGTTTCCCCAGCAACACTGGGCGGCTCCCAACAGAATATTAAAAACACGATAAAACACCAAACATTAAAAACTCCCCTCGAAAAGCCGACCTTGGCTCCCAGTGTACGTTTCTGAGCGCAATTCAAAGCGTCGGTGCCAATCTTGAAAGCCCCACACAGCGCCTCCAACCCCATCGTCCAGCCCGGACGCCGGGGTCCGTCTCCCGAGGGCCTTCTGGCGGCTCCCTCGGGGCAGGAAGTGAAGCTACAGGGAGCCAGGCAGAGAGGGCCTTCTCGGTGGTGGCTCCCTCCCTGTGGAACGCCCTCCCACAAGATGCCAAGGAAATAAAAATATCTGGCTTTTAAGAAGACATTCGAAGGCAGTCTTGTATAGGGACGTTTTCAGTGCTTGGTGTTAAGCTTTTAATATGTGCTGGAAGCTGCCCAGAGTGGCCGGGTGGTTGAGATATGAATAATAAAGTTATTGTCGTTATTGAGCAAAGCTTGCTCCCGCGAGGAATCGGCCCGGCGCCTCACCAGGGTCCCGAACCTGCCGCCCCGCTCCTTCTGGGGGTTCCCCTCGTTCAGATCCGCCAGGTTGTTCATGCTGCCGGCAAGCACCCCGTTCAGGGCTTCGTTGTACTGGTCGATCCCCCGGTGGGCTTCTTGCTGGCTCTCTTGCAAGCGGGACAGCTTGCTCCTCGCCTGCGGGGGGACAGGGCGGATAAAAATCAATAATAAACTTGAAAAAATTGGGGCGGGGGGATATAGTCTTATGCACGGAAAAATAGGGTGGTCTGTAAGCATAGGTGTGCAACGTATAAAGCGGTTTGAATTCCCTTTTGTGTCGTCTGCTTGGCCTCTGCTATTTCCTCCTACCGATAGGGAAGCCACTTAAGGACTCTAGACGCGCTCAGATACCCCATAAGGGAAAAGGAGAAGTTTTTTTCTTATAACAAGAGCATGCAAAGATATCCTCTATTTCCTAAATAACTTCTAGGGAAGATCTGCCTGGTCCAGCCTCACGTTTCTCACATTGCATAACCAGATATTACATCTGGAGATTGCAGAAACTACAAATTGAAGAGTCGGAGCCTGAGCTCGCTCGGTTTCCTCTTCCCTCCCCATTCCTCTTTCCTTTCGTGCTGTCTGCTTGGCCTCTGTTGTTTCCTCCTACCGATAGGGAAGCCACTTAAGGACTTTATATGGGCTCCGGAATACCCCATACCCATTTATGGACTCTTAGAGGGGCTCTTGGATACCCCATAAGGGAAAAGGGGCAGTTTTTTAAAATATACAACACAGGAAAGACCCATGTGCACAGAGACCCGTGTCTCTGCCCCCCGTCCCAGGCATGGCCGCCGTTCGAGGAAACACCTGTGGAAATTTGGGAGCGAGGTCTTGGCCCTGGGGGGGGGAAAGGGGGTGTCACCCGAAATCCGCCCCCATTTGGGGTCCCCACCTGGTTGATTTCCTCCTGAGTGGACTTCAGAGACTTGATGATGGTTTCCAGCTGGACTTTTCCTGCCTGAATGCTCTGCTCCAGCTGAGACTCCTCCTGCTGCAGCCGGCTGAGCTCGGATTTCGCCCGGCTGATGTCGTCCTCCTGGGATCTCAGGTCCGACTCCTGAGACTGGATCTGCATCTTCAGCGACGAGATCTGGAAGGGCAAAGGCAGTCTTGAGGGGGGGGCGCGACCTGGTTCGCGAGAGGAGGAGGAGGAGGGCGGAGAATTTACACGCGTTACAGGGCCTTCTCGGTGGTGGCACCCGCCCTCCCGTCAGATGTCAAGGAAAGAAGCAACTCTCTGGCTTTTAGAAGACATCTGAAGGCAGCCCTGTTTAGGGGAGATTTTAATGACTGATGTTTTAAGGTATTTTTAATCTCTTGTTGGAAGCCGCCCAGAGTGGCTGGGGAATCCCAGCCAGATGGGTGGGGTATGAATGAATAAATAAATTATTATCATTATTATTATTATTATTATTAAGCTTGCATAAAATACACAGGGATTTGCATTTTGCAAAACGAACAGGAGAAGAGGGGAAGCCGTTGGCGTTTTAAGGTTGTGCGAATGAACATTCCAAAACGTAAAACAGAAAATTTAATAAACATTATGGGGTTGGGAAAGAGCATACGCTTTAACAGATGATGCAAGGCTCTCCTCGAAATTACGGATAGGCAGCCGTTCTGCAAGGCTAAATGCACACACACCCTGACCGGTAAAATCTCCCTACAGAGCACGGTATGTTTGTATGAATAAATAAATAATCTGTTCATAATTTATCTATTTTATTGATTGAATTTATAATTTATCTGTTTATAGTTTATCTACTTTGTTGATTGAATTTATGATTTATCTGTTTATAATTTATCTGCTTTACTGACTGAAGTGATAAATCATAAACAAGACGGATTATACAACTTCAATAAATAAAACAGAAACGGAGTTGGGAAAACAAAACCATGGGGGGCGGGGCGGAAACCAACTCTTAGAAACAGAAGGGAAACGGGGGGGAATCCTGTGGCAGGGAGTTCCGCCGGTTTCCCACGTGTTGTTTTCCACTCACCACGTGGGTCTCCTCCTGGCACTTCTGCCGGACGTCGCTCAGCATGTCCTTGAGCTTGGCCTTCTGCTGCTCCATCTCGTCGAGCCGGCCCTGAGCCTCCTGCTTCTGCGCCTCCAGCTCCTGCAGGCTGCTGGTCTCCCGGTCCAGGTCGTTCTGAAGCTCCTGCGGAGGCGGGAGGAGGAAGGAGAAGGCGGCTTAGGGGGGCGGGGAGTGCTGGATTTACGTAGAAGCTAAACAGGCTCTAGCTTAGGGCCCCACTCTCTGGGGGGCCCAAAAATAATTTAAAGGGGAAAAACCACTGGATGTACATTTCCAAAGTATTATCTATCTATCCAGCTACCTACCTACCTACCTACCTATCTATCTATCTATCTATCTATTAATCATATATCCAGCATCCTATCTATCTATCTATCTATCTATCTATCTAATCTATCTATCCAGCTATCTATCTATCCATCTATTTATCTATCATCTATCCATCTCTCTCTCTCTATCATCTATCCAGCCAGCTATCTATCTATCTATCTATCTATCTATCTATCTATCTATCTATCTATGCCAGTGCCAGATTTACGTATAAGCTAAACAGGCTATAGTTTAGGGCTCCACTCTCTTGGGAACCTGCAGAAAATTTAAAGGGAAAAAACCACTGCATGTACATTTCCAAAATATCTAGCTATCTATAACTATTTATCTTATCGGTGGTTGCAAGAACAAATGATCCCTATATTCTGAACAAAATGCTTGTTTAACCTGGAGGTAGGCTGTATGAATTGTGTATTGCTTTGTAATGATTTGTTGGGTTTCTGGACCGTAATAAAGATTGATGATAGTGATTTATCTATCATCTATCCAGCCAGCTATCTATCTATCTATCTATCTATCTATCCAGCTATCGATCTATCTATCTATCATCTATCCAGCTATCGATCTATCATCTATCCAGCTACGTATCTATCTATCTATATCTATCTCTCTATCTATCTATCCAGCTATCTATCTATCCAGCTATCATTCTATCCAGCTATCTGTCATCTATCCAGCTATCTATCTATCTATCTATCTGTCATCTATCCAGCCATCTATCTATCTATCCATCCGTGCCAGTGCCAGTGCCAGATTTACGTATAAGCTAAACAGGCTATAGCTTAGGGCCCCACTCTCTTGGGGTTTGACGGCTGGGATAAGCTCGAAATGTAGAGCCTGAAACTCTTTGATCTCGGGGTCTTGGGTTCGAGTTCCACGTTGCGCAAAGGATTTTCCCGCGTTGCAGCGGGTTGGGCTGGATGACCCTTGGGGTCCCCCAACAGGCCTACTCTGAGAGCGCAATATCGCTGGGTGGGGGGAAAACCATTTACCTGTACTTCGTTGGTCTTCTGCCGAATCGCTCCTTCCCTCTCTCGGATCTCTTGCTCGAGGGAATACTTCTCTCTGCAAAAAAAAGGAGAAAGGTCGTGTGAGTCAAATTCTCTGATTTGGGGGGTTGGACTTAAATTAAATCCACCCTGGTCAGCAGCGCTTTTTGGGGGGTTCTCATGCCAGCTGAACCCCTCCCAGGACCCCCCAGCGCCCCAAACGCCACCCACCTCTGCAACTGGGCAATCTCCTGGCCGATGTCGTCCAGTTCCTTCATGCCGGTGAATTCGCCCCCGGAGCCGACGGAACTGGAGCTGTCCTGTTAAGGAGCCCAAACAAGTCAGGCTACACCCTGGCCGGGAAAATTGGGGAGTGCACAGACCCCCCCTAGAAAATACAGCCAGGGAAGGGGGGCGAGGAGCATGCAAAACGTCCGGGGTGCAAACACAGTGTCGACGCAGAAATTAAAAAGCATAAGGGCGACTTAAGCCAGGCTTCCTCAACCTCAGCCCTCCAGATGTTTTTGGCCTACAACTCCCATGATCCTTAGCTAGCAGGACCAGTGGTCAGGGATGATGGGAACTGTAGTCCAAAACATCTGGAGGGTCGAGGCTGAGGAAGCCTAGCTTAAGCCGGAGGAATATGCACAGCTTGCAGAATTAACGTATAGAACCTCGGCCCGCCAGGTGTTTTGAGACTACAGCTCCCATCATCCCTGACCGCTGGTCCTGCTAGCGAGGGATCATGGGAGTCGTAGGCCAAAAACATCTGGAGGGCCGAGGTTGAGGAAGCCGGGTAGAGAATAAGAGAGCAAGAAGAACATGCATTTAGAAGAAGCAGAGAAAGAGAGAGAAAGCAGACAGACAGATGATAGATGGATGATAGATGACAGACAGACAGATATGATAGATAGATAGATAGATAGATAGATGATAGACAGATAAATATGATAGATAGATGGATAGATATACTATAGTTAGATGACAGATGATAGATAGAGATAGACAGAGAATAGAAATAGATAGATGACAGACAGAAAGACATGATAGATAGATGATAGATAGATAGATAGATAGACAGATAGATATGATAGACAGATGGATAGATATATGATAGAAAGAGATAGACGATAGATAGATGATAGACAATTAGATATGGTAGATAGATGATAGATGGATATATAGATGTAGACAGATGATAGAGATAGATGACAGACAGACAGACATGATTGATAGATAGATCAGGAGAGATTCAGAGGTGTCCCCCTGCCCCACATCCAGAGGGTCCTTCATGCTTCTCGGAGCAGGCAAAAAAGGAAAATGGGAGAGGGGGTGGGAGCGCCACGTTCCGGGGATCCCCGCGGTCCTACTCACACGACGCATTTCCGCCAGCGTCGAGACCTCGGTTCCCACGGAAGCCAAGTAGCCGGGGACGGTCTGGAGAGGGCAGAAAGGGGGGGCAGCGGAGGGGGGAAAGAGTCAGTGCCGGGGTGGGGAGGACTGGGCAAGAAGGCTTCTCGGGGGGCGGGATGGGGGGGGCGTCGGGACGGAGAGAAGGGGGTTAAGAAGGGAGCCCCGACCTGCTCTGTCGGAGACCTGCTAGGGCCAGGAACACGGGAGGGGACTGTGGTTTTGTTTATCCGGGGAGCGGCCATCCTGGAAGAGCTCACCTGGGCAGGTGCGGTCCTTTCCGACGGGGGGATCATGTCCGGCAGCAGGACCTGTGGAGGGTCGATGCCCTTGCTCACTTTCTGCTGGATGAGGTGCATAGCCAGGGCAAACTGGTCCTTGTTCAATTTCCCCATCTGCCTCGTGTCCGCCAAAGCCCTGGTAGCGAGGAGCCGTCAATCATCCTTTATTATTATATTTATCCCACACCTTTTTCCTCCCCACCAAGGAGACTCGTAGGAAGCTGCCTCCATCAACACAGATCAGTATGGCTTCAGACTTTCTGTTTTATTATGTGCGCAACTACCCTTAGCCTGCTGCTAAGATACTAGTCCTCATGGGTCTCCAAAAAAAAGGGGAGTGTGTGAATAGGAATGTGTCCAGGGCAGCTGTCTCCCAGCTCCATCTGGAACACAGGATGAGACCCTCCCTGCCCGCAGACTGTCTGGTCAGAGTGGTGCATGCTCTGGTTATCTCCCGCTTGGACTACTGCCATGCGCTCTCCGTGGGGCTGCCTTTGAAGGTGACCCGGAAACTGCAACTAATCCAGAATGCGGCAGCCAGACTGGGGACTGGGAGCGGCCGCTGAGACCACATAACACTGGTCCTGAAAGACCTGCATTGGCTCCCAGGACATTTCCGGGCACAATTCAAAGAGTTGGTGCTGACCTTAAAAGCCCGAAACGGCCTCAAAGGCCCAGTATCCCTGAAGGAGCGTGTCCACCCCGGACACCAGGGTCCCTCTCCCAAGGGCCTTCTGGCAGTTCCCTCCCTGCGAGAAGTGAGGTTACAGGGAAGCAAGCAGAGGGCCTTCTCGGTGGTGGCACCCTCCCGTCAGATGTCAAGGAGATAAACAACTATCTGACTTTTAGAAGACATCTGAAGGCAGCCCTGTTTAGGGAAGCTTTTAATGTTTGATGTTTTGTGGCTTTTTAAATATTCTGTTGGGAGCCGCCCAGAGTGGCTGGGAAAACCCAGCCAGATGGGCTAGGAGTAAATAAATTATTATTATTATTATTATTAATTATTATTACCAGATGTGCGCCAGGATGTTCTGAGACAACCCCGAATGCATGAAGATGTCCTTGACCTCCAGGCCGCTGACGAAGCCGTCCAAGTCGAGGTCCGTCTTCAGGAAGATCTCGTCGTAGCGGAGCTTGTCGGTCAGGGGGACCACCCAGGACGCAGGCGGCTGGAATGAGAAAACCAGACTTTGGCGTGGGACCCCCGGGCACCCTAAAAAACTGCTTGTGGGGGGGGGGCGCCTCATCCGGGTCTGGCTTCCTGAGAGCCAACAAGATACGCCCCCCCAAACCAGAGAGAAATGGGCTCTGGTTGTCCTCCGCCATTCTAAGGTAGACTGGCCCTGCCTGTGGAGGCTTTGCCGCGGAATCGACAGAACCCTGACGCAGCGGCTGGGTCAGTTCAGCTACTGATTGATTGATTGATTGATTGATTGTGTGACTGCGGACATGGATAAAAGCCCCCCATCCAAACAATGACTGTCATCAGTGCAGGTAAGAAAAAATAATTTTCATTTTTATTAAATACAATGCTGTCTTATTTAGAGAGTAAAATCCACGTTCAATGGCTGTTTTAGGGGTCGTTGTTAAAAGTGTCGAACGGATTAATCCGTCTTGCATGACTTTCTAGGGGAAAGAAGAGAGCCTTGGTTTTGGAACGCTTTGGTTTTGGAACGGATTCAGTTTGAGAACCAAGGTACCGCCATATTCAAGAAAGGTTTCCCAATCTTCTTGAAACCTATCTTCTTCTTGATCTCTTATTCCGGGGTGGGGCACTTTTTGCAATCTAGCAGCGCACAAATCTCACGAAATAATTCAGCGGGGAATCTGCCGCCGCTTCAAGTTGAAGGGAGTTCCGTAGTCCAACCGTACCGAAGTTTGCATCACACGAGCGGCTGCCCCCCTCCAGCTTCAAGGACCGGATCCGCCCCCCCTGGGGGGCGGGGAGGCCCCGACTCCTACCTGCTGCGCCTGCTTGAGGCTGTGCTTGGGCGAGAGGCTGCCGGTGCTGTTGAGGCTGGTGACGCTGCCGTGCGAAGGGGTGGAGCGCAGGCTGTCTTTGGGCGGGGGGCTGGCCGGTAGGACGGGCACGGCCCCAGGGAGAGAGGGCGCCTTCTTCCTCTTGGAGGGGGGCACCAGGGGCGGGGGCAAGGCAGGCGGAACGGGCTCCTTCTCCAGCGCACGGTAGACCAAGTGCATCGCCTGAAATAATAATAATAATATATTTTTATTTATACCCCGCCCTTCCCGGTTCAAAAACCGGGCTCAAGGCGGCTAACAACAAATTTAAAACACTTTAGGCAGATGAAGATGATGGATTTTTGGGAGCTACCCAACCTGGCCAGAAGAGTCCATGACCAGAGGGAGGACCAAGAGGAGTGGAAGAAATTCAAAGCCTATTTAGCTAAATATGTTAAGATAATATAAACAGAATTACTTGCGAGTACCAAATAGGCCTAGGATTTGAAAATGTGATGTGCATAATACTATGTTAAAGTTAAAAGCGCAAAGAAAGAAAGATGTTAATTGACCAAGTAAATTTTATGAGGAAATAGTTTTGGAAAACTGTTATAATGATTTATATGGAAACTCAGCCAGGGGGATTTGAGGAAGTCACTTGACAATGTTAACAACAGTGGAACTACTACAATCAGGATAAATGTTTGCTTTTTGATTTTCTTTTTTTCTATTTGTTTGTTATAAATTTGGAAAACTAATAAAAAATTTTTTGGGGAAAACAACAACAACAACAAATTTAAAACACTTAATTAGAAAAGCAGCATAAAATAAGGTATAAAAACACGAATAACAATAAAATTCAAAAATCAATTAGATAATCCCCAGGGCTAGCTGGCTGAATTGGTCCTGCTTGGGCCAGCGAGGAGGCCAGGGGAGAATTAGCTGTGGGGTCTCAGAGCGGGTGATCTTCATAAAAGGGCTGGGAAGAGAAGGGAAATAAAAGATCAGGCTGAATTCAAATTAAAGGCCAGGCGGAATACCTCTGTCTTACAGGCCCGGAGGAAGGAGGTTAAATCCTGAAAGGGCCCAGAGAGGGAAAAGATGTCTGCGGGGGGGGGGGGCAAGGGGAGGATGGAGGGCAGAGAGGCTGTGCCAAAATGGGGGGGCCCCCCTGGGAAAGTGTGGCACCTTCCCCTCCACTTTGGGCAAATGAGAACCGGCAATCGATATAGACTGCGCCTGCAGCTGGAGGTTCCATTGGAGAGAGCACGGACCGGGCAACCAAGCGCTGGATAAACGTACCACGGCAAACTCGTCTCGGTCGAGGTGGCCGTCCTTGTCGATGTCGCTGAGATCCCAGACCTTCGCAGCCGTTAGGAGGCAGAGGGAAGGAGAGAGAGAGAGAAAGGGCAGAAAGACGTCAGGACGCCCCCAATAAACTACCCCATATTGTTGATTTTTAAATAATAATAATAATAATTTATTATTTATACCCTGCCCACCTGGCTCGGTTTCCCCAGCCACTCTGGGCGGCTCCCAACCGAATATTAAAAACACAATACAGCTTTAAACATTAAAAACTTCCCTAAACTTCCCTTTCGTTTTGTTCATGTCTTTTTGATAAGTGCCCTGAGACCCGAGGGTATAAAGGTAAAGGGACCCCTGACCATTATTATTTTTTTAATAATAATTTTTATTAATTTTAACATATAAATTATAATACATACCACAAAACTTCACCACTTATACAATCTTTTTTTGGACTTCCATCAGCACCTCTGATGATCCACCGTTTTAACCACTTCTTATACATTTCTTAAATTCATACTGCCTTTAATTATCTTAACTAACCATCCTCCCCTTTATCCATTTTTGCAATAGTTCCAAGAATTCACCTTCCAAGGTGAATTATTGGGACCCCTGACCATTAGGTCCAGTCTAGATGAATTCTGCAGCGGCTGAAGTCTCCGAACCGTCTTCAGAGGCAGCTCTGCGTAGAACGCGTCACAGTACAGTGGTACCTCGGTTTACGAACAGCCTGTTAACGAACTATTCGGTTTTCGAACTCCGCAAAACCGGAAGTAGCGTCCCGGCTTGCAAACATTGCCTCGGTCTACGAACGGAAGCTGAACAGTGGAAGGGCACCGGTGGCAGGAGGCCTCATTAAGGAAAGTGTGCCTCCGTTTAAGAACAGTTTCGGTTTAAGAACGGACTTCCGGAACGGATTACGTTCATAAACTGAGGTACCACTGTAACCTAATTATGCTCCGTTGATGGGGCAAATTCCGCCGTTCGAAGCAGGAAATTAAAAACTGGGGAGGATATGAGATAGAGAGAGAGAGAGAGAGAGAAAGAGAGAGAGAAAGAAAGAAAAAAAGAAAGAGAGAAAGAAAGAGAAAGGGAGGGAGGGAGGGAGAGAAAGGGTGAAAGAGAAAGAAAGAGAAAGAGAAAGAAAGAAAAGAGAGAGAAAGAAAAAAGAGAGAAAGAAAGAGAGAGAGAGAAAGAGAAAGAGAAAGAAAGAAAGAAAGAAAGAAAGAAAGAAAGAGAAAGGGAGGAGAAAGAGGGTGAAAGAAAGAAAGAAAGAAAGAAAGAAAGAGAAAGGGAGGGAGAAAGAGGGTGAAAGAAAGAAAGAAAAGAGAGAGAAAGAAAAGAGAGAGAGGGGAAAAGAGAGAAAGAAAGAAAGAGAGAGAGAGAGAGAGAAGTAAAGAAAGAAAGAAAGAAAGAAAGAAAGGGAGGGAGGGAGAAAGAGAGAGAAAGAGAAAGAGAAAGAGAAAGAGAAAGAAAGAAAGAAAGAAAGAAAGAAAGGGAGGGAGGGAGGGAGGGAGAAAGAGAAAGAAAGAAAGGAAGGAAGGAAGGAAGGAAGGAGAGAGAGAGAGAAAGAAAAAAAGAAAGAGAGGAAGAGAGGTCTGCTCACCCTTCCCAGGATATCGAGAGGCAGCTTGGAGTTCATGAGGACCGGCTTCACTTTGTCCCCCGACAGCAAGCCGTTGACGGGCAGGAGGCTCTCAAAGATGCCGTCAAACTTGGCCTTTTCCTCCATCTGGAAGTATAAAGGGAGCTCTGGGAAAAGGCGGCCCCACTGCGGGAGGAGGAAGAGGAGGAGGAAGAGGACCCCCTTTCGCCCAAGGGGGAGACCCCCCCCAATGCAGGGGTCAGCCAACTTTTCCAGCAGGGGGCCGGTCCCCTGTCCCTCAGACCTTGTGGGGGGGCCAGGCTATATTTTGGGGGAAAATGAACAAATTCTTATGCCCCGCAAATAACCCAGAGATGCGTTGTAAATAAAAGCACACATTCTACTCATGTAAAAACACACTGATTCCCGGACTGTCTGCGGGCTGCATTGAGAAGGGGATTGGGCCGGATCCGGCCCCCGGGCCTTCGTTTCCCTCCCCATGCCCCAAGGGGAGACTCACCCTGACGGCCCAGTGAGCGTCCGAGGAGGAGGAGATCAGCAGGGGGCTGGTGCTGTCGGGCTGGAACAAAGGAGAAACGGCGTCAAGACCCCCTCCCCAAAACGTCTCCGCCGGCCCGTTCCGGCACCCCAAATCTGAATATTCGGAAGCCAGAGCTCCAGCAGAAAGGGGTTGCCTGGACTATATGGAACTGGCGGAAATGACTGGTAGAATCCGTGACCAGGGAGAAGAGTCGGTGGAAGAAGATTGGAAGAAATTTAAAGACTATTTACAGAAATATTGCAAAATTAAAGAATGTTAGAGTGATGTTGGATTGAAATTAAGTGGCTTCTAGCTGTACAGGCTTTAAAGTTATATATAGATTAAGATTAAGGATTAGGACTAAAAAAGTCAAAAGAAATGGAAAATTGGTTTTTAATAGATTAAAATTTAATGTTATATTATATTAAGATTAAGGATGGGATTAAAAAGGAGGGAAAGGAATTGCTGGACAAACAAATTGAATTGGAATACAAAAGAGGGAGGTATGAGGAGGTCCGGGAAATAAGTAAATGTAAAAGTTGTGATGAAAAGATGGAATTGTTTTTAACTGTTTTTTCTTTTTTCTTTTTCTATTTTGTATTTTGTACTTTGTATGGTGTTTTTTCTTTCTATTTTTAAATTTCTTTTTTTTTATTAATTAAGATTTTTTTTCATGTGAAACTCCAATAAATATCATTAAAAAAAAACAAAAACAGAAAGGGGTTGCCATTCCTGCCCGGCCCAGCACCCAATATTTGGAGAATATTCAGAGGAAAGGGGTTGCCGTCCCGTCCCACCCCGGAGGAAGGTCTCAGAAAGCAAACAGGTAAAACGTACGGCGCACTTACGAATTTTGGCGGAGGCAGCGCCAGGGTGAGGTTGGTGAGGGCGACGTCGTGCCCGTTCTGCGCGCAGGCTACCAGCCGCAGCGCCACGAAAAAACCCTGGGTCAAATGCAACAGACAACGGGGTCCCTTGTATCTCGAAATTAATAATTCCAGACAGGGTGGGTTTGATTTAAATCAGATCACAACTCAAATCGCTTTAAATCAAATCACGATTCATTATTTAAATCGCTTTTTTTTACAGAAAGATTCAGCCTTGCTGGTACCATCTTAGCGTTTACAAGCAGATGAAGGTTTCGTTTTTGGAGCAATAAATTTCCAGTGTAGTTTTTTGCACTTATATCAAAAACTACTGATTTGGTTCTGCTATTAGGAATACGTAAGACAGATAATTACGAAATTACTGCGAGGTTAACTGTTTACACTAGGAAAACTTTTCTGCTGTGCTTTATCGGAAAGAGAAAAACGATCAGTTCCTTCACAACTATTTAAACTATTCATCTAAAACAGTAACATTGCAGCATATGTGTCCATGTTTGTAAACTGATGTGGTTAAACGGTTTTTTTCTTATAAAAAAACAACCTTAGACTGAGTTTTAGCATACATGAAAAACTTAAAACAAATCGTCATTTCCTGATGAATAGCCTTTGGACTGTAATGTAACTTAAACAGAAAATCTTTAGAAAGGCATTTCCTCCAAAAGCATTTTATTTTTTAAAAAAAATCCGAATTAAACTAAAAACAACAGCACAATTCAATCTAATTTAAATAAATAAATAAAATCTGATTTTATTTAACTAAACAAATTATTTATTTAACGAAAACAACGGCATTATAGCCTACGTATCTGGGTCCCTGCATTGCAGGCGAACTGGCTAGATGAGTCTGGGGTGCCTCTTCCAAGCCTAAACAGCTGTAGGAATCTTTAAACTCCTCGGCTGGGCATCGCCACGTACCTGTTTGTCCAGGAAGCCTTTGCCCTCCGGATCGGCCAGATCCCAGATCTAAAAAAACACACATACCAAAGAGAAGGAAAATAAAAACCACACCCCGATCCAGCGCTATTCAATCAAGATCCTTTATTAGGCACATTATCAAACAGACACCATGTACAAATTGTGCAAAATACGAGCTCAACATAAGAAGGTTTGTCCCAGTCAGATCTTTGACTCCAGAGACAATCCATTTGCATAAATAATACAGTACAGCACTACCGAAAATCCCCACTAATTCTCTTTATAATGGCTCCGTCTTTCTACACGGACAGCACTCTGATCCGGCACTTTTGCTTTTCTCAGATGTGCCGCTGGAGCCTTGAATTCCAGAGACTTGGCGAGAACGCTAAAACTGCCGGTTCGATCCCTGGGTTGGGCTGGATGACCCCCGGGGTCCCTTCCAGCAATTGTACACTTCTGTGAAATGGGCTCGCGGGCCGACTGTTCCTGCAACATTTTCCGGAGCGGGGAATGGCTATGCAGCCCCTGCGACTAAAAGGGGGAAGGAGGAGGCCGGAGCGTTGCACCCCCAAACTCCTTCTCCCCGAAATCCCGGGCCGAGCTCAACTTACCTTCCCCAGAATGACGTCGGCCAGACCCGACTTCTTGAGAAAGAGGGCGGCTTCGCCGGCCCCGATCCGGCCCGTGCAGGCTGGGTCCACCTGTGGAAAGCAAACAGCCACACCTGAGCTGAGATAGAATAAATAATAATAATAATAATAATAATAATAATAATAATAGATTTATTTATACCCCGCCCATCTGGCTGGCTCCCAACAGAATATTAAAAGACACGATAAAACATCATTTAAAACATTCCTAAATAGGGACAGCGCCCTCTGCAAGCCAACTGCAACCCCCCCAGGTTTTGGGGGGCTGTCGGGGTGCCATTTGAGCTCCTCCGCTCGACGTCCGGGTGGGGTCATTATTTTTAGCCGAAAGCCCATGGTTCGAATCTCCCTGGCGGTATCCCCAGGCAGGGCTGGGAGAGGCTGCCTGCCTGAGACCCGGGAGAGCCGCTGCTGCTGCTGCCAGCCCATGCTGGCGATCCCGACCCCAATTCTTGCCTCCTCCCCGGGGGTTTCCAGGGGAAGGGGGTGAAAGGAGCCCCCGGCACTTGCCTGCTTGTAATACGTCTCGTAGAGGGGGGTCCCGGCGGAGAGCTAGACAGGAGAGGGGAAAAGGGACGTGGGGAGAGAAACAAGGGGAAACACGTATTCAGATACAGAGAGCCCCCCTTTCAGCGGACCCAGTCCCTATTGAGACCCCCAAGAAAGGACCCTCCCTCCACGCTCGTCTGAAAGCGGAGGGATGGGTTTGTGGGAAGGGGGATCGGGGCCACAAAGGGCAGGCAAGCCCCGAAGCAGAGAAAGGATGTTTTCAACCCCCCCATATAATTCGGAATTAAAACCCCCAACGGCTCCATCCGGCACACAACTTTTTGGAGCAAAGGCGAGCTCGTCGGATCTCTCCGGACCGGGGGCAGGAAACTCGCCCCCACGCTTCCGAGGTCCTGCCCTCCCTTCCTAGGGACGGGTGTGCCTGGGGAACTCCCTGCCACTGTAGGCGGAAAGCAGGGATTCCGGCATCCCAGCCCAGACGGGCGGGGTGCAAATGGCGAAATGATTAGGCTTGTTCTCCCTGCCCCCCTCTTTCGGACGTGGCCTCTGCAATGCATTTATTGATTTTCATTATTGTGCCTGGCTGCGATTTCCCTGTTTTTACGGACGTGCAATCCCAGGTCCTCAGAGCAAAGAACGCTGAGCTCCCCGCTCGTCTTTCTGCCGCCCTCCCTGGACTATTGTCAACAGAAGGAGCCTGTTCCCTGGTTCCTTGGCCTCAAGGACAGGCAGGGGGGAAAATAGCCGCTCCCTGCCCTCCACGACGCCGAAGGTCAGTCCTGCCCTACCCAAACGCCGCACGCTCCATTTCGGAACAACATCCGCCTGCGGAACCAAGGCAGGTCGGCCCCCAGTTCCTGGCAAAGCTTGGCTTCCAAAGGGAAGGGAGAACAGAAGCTCCCCCCCCCAAAAAAAGCAGCCACCCCAAAATAAGAGACCCCGGGAAGCAAAAGGATTTCATATTGGAAACGTCCAAATTCCAAGCAAGGAAGGAGCTCAGAGTACAGTGGGCGCTCGGGTTGTGAACGTGATCCACGTTCGCAACCTGCAGCGGTGCATCTGCGCATGTGCCGGTTGCGATTCGGCGCTTCTGCACATGCGCAAAGCGAGATTGAGTGCTTCTGCGCATGTGCGACCGCCGAAACCCGGAAGTAACCCGTTCCAGTATTTCTGGGTTTCGGCAGTCCGTAACCCGAAAAAACACAACCTGAAGCGTCTGTAACCCGAGGTATGACTACATCGGAAGCAAAAAGGTGTATCTAATGGGAACAGAAATTCGGATAGATAAGCTAACTGCTAATAGAGCACGGCAATAATAACAATAATAATAATGGTAATTATTATTATTTGCACGCCGCCCAGCAGACTGGGTTGCCGCAGCTGCTCTGGTTGGCTCCCAATATTAAAAACATGGTGAAACAGGTTGCATACACCTGCGTTGCAAGGGGGGGACGAGGCGATCCTTGGGGTCTAACTCTGAAATCTGGGTTGCGATCGCCACAACGGAAAGACCAGGAGCCATTCTTCCTTCTCCCCCCACCCCAGTGAGGTTTATCATTCTTAGCAGGGCCGGATTTCAGTTTAATGCGGCCCTCGGCTCCTGAAGGTAACAGGGCCCTTTCTATCTCCAGCTGTCCTTTGTCCACAACAAATTGCCGCTGGTTTTGTGTGTTTAATATATGCTTATATGGCAGGCGTGGCCAAAGTTGGCCCTCCAGATGTTTTGGGACTACAGTTCCCATCATCCCTGACCACCGGTCCTGTTAGCTAGGGATGGTGGGAGTTGTAGTCCCAAAATATCTGGAGGGCCGAGTTTGGCCATGCCTGCTATATGGTCATTGGTGGACCTCAGAGGTATCTCAAGCCATTTGCACATCTTGCCCTGCAACCGGTCCATGCAGAATGTTGGCACCCCATATATAGAAAGGAGCAAAGCAGGGATATTTGAGGGAGCAGGCGAGCAGGAGGGGCCCATGACTTACATCCGAGGAGCCTCCACAACACAAAACACTGTTGCTGCATGTAGGTTTTATTTTATTTGCTTTTTATCTTATATTTTGGAAATGTACATCCAGGGTTTTTTCCCCCTTTAATTTTTTGGGGGCCCCCAAGAGAGTGGGGCCCTAAGCCATAGCATGTTTAGCTTATTATACATAAAATCCGGCACCGATCCTTAGTATTATTTCATTTCTATGCCGCTTTAGATTTCAAAGAAAAAGCATAAATGCTTCTGAAGACCAGCTGTCGGGTGCTGTGGCCGAGATTCCCGCCTCGCCGGCGGGTTGGGCTGGATGACCTTCGGAGGGCCCCCTTCCGACTGTACGGTTTTATGAAACAGCAGAAGGCTGGCTGGAGAAGTTGGGCAAGCTCCACTGACGCAGCCAGGAACTTCCTTCCACAGCCTGGGCTGGCTCTCCCTGCAGCCAAATTGCACAACCGGATCCTTTGCAATCTTGTGGCGGGGAGAGCATTCGAGGGCACGCAACTCCCTCGGGGTAAACGCCGCCTGCCCGGCAGCCTCCCTCACCCCAATTGTGCCCCTGAAGGACCAGGTGTGCAGCTTAAAATGGGAAAGAGGGGCAAACGCCTCGTTGCGGAAAGGAACGAAGGCTGTGCTTTTGTGGGCCCACAAGTTGGGCATCTCCTGCCTTGCCCACCTTTCAAATGCCCCTTTGCGCGAAGGACCAAAAGCTGTGTTTTTGGGCCCACAAGTTGGGCAGCTCCTGCCTTGCCCACCTTGCAAACGCCCCTTTGCGCGAAGGACCAAAAGCTGTGTTTTTGGGCCCACAAGTTGGGCAGCTCCTGCCTTGCCCACCTTGCAAACGCCCCTTTGCGCGAAGGACCAAAAGCTGTGTTTTTGGGCCCACAAGTTTGGCAGCTCCTGCCTTGGCCACCTTTCGCTCAGCGGTGCCAGGACTTTGCCAGCACGAGGGGGGCAGGCACGAACCCCCCTTCCCCACACGCACACAGAGCGCCGTGCCCCCCTTGCCTCGCCCCACCCCTTCCCCGCATCATCCCCACATCCCTCGTCTTAACGCCATGCGCTCCTGAGAACCATCTGGGCACCCAGGCTTTTCCCTTGCCAACTGCAAGAAGGCCTTTTCTCTCCGTCAACAGCAGGCCGGCCGCTCGGCAGGAATACAAATCAGCCCCCGGCAGACGGAGCTCTCGAGATTTGGGTCGGCGTCCAAGGAGGGAGAGGCCTGGAGAGCGGCTCTCGGCGCCCGGCGGGTCTGGACCGCAGGTGCCCCCACCCCCGGGAGGCAAGAGAGCTCCCTCCCGGCTGCAGCGCCCGCCAGGAGGCGAGCAGGGAGGTTGCCTTCTGCAGAGTCAGACCCCCGGGTCGCCGCAGCGGCCCAGATCAGCTTCCAGCGAGCATTTGGAACATCAAAATACCGGAAAGAAAAGCATGCAATATGCAGGTTCTGCTGGTTCGTTCAAAAGTGGCCCAAACCAGTAGCCTGGGCGAAGGAAACACATGAAATTGTCGGAGGAAAGTCGCCAGTTTCTCTCTACTCCCTGAACATGCCCAAAGCTTTGCTCTCTAGCCAAACAGACCTGCCACACTCCAGAACGCTGGAATAATAGTAATAATAATAATAATAATAATTGTACCCTGCCCATCTGGCTGGGCACCACAGCAATTCGGGGCGGCTTCCGACAAATGTAGAAGCATACAAAAACACTGAAAATTAAGGACTTCCCTAGAAGCTACGGGGGAGGTTGGGTGGGTGCTTTCGCACTCGGGTCCAAAATCCCTCGAGGGAGATCCCTGCGCCCATTCCGACGCTCGGCCAACAGCGATCCGCGCCAGTTCCCCCCTACAGATTGTAGGAGAGACAGATCCCTTCGAGTCACGTAACAGGGGAGTCACAGGACCACCGCGCCACGAGGGACCCCACGAGTCATCTAGTCCTACCCACTTCGACGCAGGGACCTGATGCAGAACTCGAACCCACAACCCTGAGACCAGCAAGCAGGTTCTGGGCTCAGCGGAGAGAGGCTGAGGAAGCTCCTCTGGCCTTCGTGAACCCGGCACTCGCACCCGGCCCTTTGGGGAGCTGTGACACGAGAGATTGTGCAACACCCCGCCCCTCTGGTGACACAGCACATCCGACAGGCGGGGCAGGCAGCATGGGGGCAGGGCGCCTGCTTGGCCTGCAGAAGGCTCCGGGTTCAATCCTGCGACAGCGTCGCCAGGTAGCGCTGGGAAATAAGGGGGCTTCTGCTGAATCTTGAGGACTAGAATCCTGGTTTATTTTTAAGGAAAGGACACCTGCTTGGCCTGTAGAAGGCTACTGGCTCCGTCCTCAACAGCATCTCCAGGCAAAAATGCTCCTGAGAGTTGCTACCGGCCTGTGCGGGCGGCACTGAGTCCCCCGAGGGCTCCTTGGCGCCTTCTCGGAGCCCCCTTCGACCCTCGTGCCCCTGCGGGTACCTGGGGAATAGGACCCCCTTCCCCACGGGGGTCTGGGAGACTCAAGCCCCACTGTCGCCCGGGGAGAGGTGGGCCTCTGCACCCGCTCAGAGGCACTGTGGTTCCCTGCGCCAGCGGGCCTGGCATCGCGTGGGGACGTGCCGTGGAACCGGGACTCCCCCCCATGGCCATTAGGTCCGACCCCCAACAACGCAGCACTCTTAGCTTTTAAAATACCCCACCCTCAGAGATATTATTATTATTATTATTATTATTATTATTGGCTGGGGGGGGCACAGGGCCAGGTGCATGGCTTGAGGTCTCCCCCCAGCCAAAGGTCTGACTCCTCTCCAGCCCTTATTTCTCAAGAGGGGGTCCAATTATTATTTTTGGGGGGTGCAATTATTATTATTTGGGGGGGGAGGTGTTCAGCGTCTTCCTAAGAAAGGTCTAAGGGGGGGTCCTGCCTCCATCCTTCTCTCTTACACACACAAACAGCTGGTTCCAGGCCCAGGAGCTTCTTGGGGGGGGGTCTTCTGCTGGGGGAGACCCTGCCAATACCCCCACCCCACCCCCCTGCGGCAGATGGAGCCCATCTGGCGGATGACCCCCACCCCACGTCGCCAGATGGACGGGCAGGCAAATCCGGGCGGCCGAGACCTGGGCGGGCTGAGGGTGACCCCCCCCAAAAGCCGGGAGGGTCTTGGGCCCCCCCACTCCCCCCCCGGACAGCCCTGCAAGGGAGGCTGGCCTGAGTCACCCCTGAGGGTGGGGGGTGCAAGATGGGGGTGGGGGGCGGCTTTGGAGCTGCCTGCTGGACCTTCCAGACCCCCCACCCCAAGACACGGGAAGAGGGGGGGTGCTGCCTGAGCCCCTTCCCCAGGCCTAGTAGTGGGGGGGGGGGTGAGAGAGAGGGAGGGGCAGTCAGAGGGGAGGGGGGGAAGGTCTAAAGCCCCCTCTCCCTCCCTCCCCAGGCACTTGGGATGCGGGGGGGGGTGTTGCCTGGGGGTGGGGGAGAGGGTGGGGGGCTCAGACCCCTCTGGTGAGAGGGGAAGAAGGGGGGAAGGTTTGAAGCCCCCCTCCCCAGGCCCTTGGGATGTGGGAGGGGGACCCAGTGGGTGGGGGGGTGAGGGGGGGCTCAGCCCTTTCAGCCCCTCTGGTGGCGGGTGGGGGAGGAAGGGGGAATGGTTTGAAGCCCCCCCTCGCTCCCCAGGCCCATGGGATGTGGGAGGGGGGCCTATTGGGGGGAGAGGGCGAGGTGGGGGAGGGGGCGCCCCTCCTCCCTCCCAGGAAACCCTCCAATGCATATCATGGGGGGGGGAATGAGGCGATCATCCAGGTTGGGGGGGTGGGGTGAGGGTCTCCCTGCCTGGCTCAGCCCCCCCCCCCGCAATTTGGGGTGGGTGGGGGCGCCCCCAGCTGCCGCCCCCGCCCCTCCGGGGAGGAGGGGTCTCCCTGCCCTGGCCCCCCCACAAGGGCCCCTCCTGGCCCCCGAGGGGACACCCCCGCCCCTCCCCTCCCCGCCGGCTACCTGCGCTCCTCCGCCGAGGGGGCCCAGCGCCGCCATCTTCCTCCTCCTCCTCCTCCTCCGAGGCCGGGGGGCGGGGCCACCGAGGGGCGGAGTCAAGGGAGAGGCCGAGCAGCGACACCTGCCGGCCGGGATGGGAAGGGGCGACGCCGCAGCCGCGCGAGGCAGCGCTCTTTGCACATGCTCAGAGGCAGGGGATGGCATGCCCTCCCACGTTTCTCCCCTGGAAATAGGGACGTCCTATTCCATCCCCTCCAACGTTTCTCCCGTGAAAATAGGGACGTCCTATTCCATCCCCTCCAACATTTCTCCCCTGAAAATAGGGACGTCCTATTCCATCCCCTCCAACGTTTCTCCCCTGAAAATAGGGACGTCCTATTCCATCCCCTCCAACGTTTCTCCCGTGAAAATAGGGATGTCCTATTCCATCCCCTCCAACGTTTCTCCCCTGAAAATAGGGACGTCCTATTCCATCCCCTCCAACGTTTCTCCCCTGAAAAGAGGGACGTCCTATTCCATCCCCTCCAACGTTTCTCCCCTGAAAATAGGTAAAGGGACCCCTGACCATTAGGTCCAGTCGTGGCCGACTCTGGGGTTGCGGCGCTCATCTCGCTTTCAGGTCGAGGGAGCCGGCGTTTGTCCACAGGTCATGTGGCCAGCATAACTAAGCCGCTTCTGGAGAACCAGAGCAGTGCACGAAAACGCCGTTTACCTTCCCGCTGGAGCGGTACCTATTTATCTACTTGCACTCTGACATGCTTTCAAACTGCTAGGATGGCAGGAGCAGGGACTGAGCAATGGGAGCCCACCCCGTCATTGCGGGGATTCGAACCACCGACCTTCCTATTTCATCCCCTCCGACGTTTCTCCCCTGAAAATAGGGACGTCCCAAGGAAAAGCAGCACATTCCAGGTTCAAATCAGAAACCAGGACGGCTTCTCTAAATCCAGGATTGGAAAATAGGGACAGTGGGAGGGTCTGGCATAGCTCAGTCGGTAGAGCACGAGACTCTCAATCTCAGGGCCGTCGGTCATAGGCCTGGCCAAGGGGGGGGCAGGGGGACAGCTGTCCCCCTTATCAATCAGAATCAATACAAATCTGAGGTTCTGCTCCCCCCCCCTTGCAAAGCCTGTCTACCAAAAAAACCTCTGGCTAAGCCCATGTCGTGGCTTCGAGCCCCATGTTGGGCAAAAAGATTCCTGCCTTTTCGGGGGGTTGGGCTGGATGACCCTCGGGGTCCCACTTCCAAATCCAGGATTCTGCAATTCTACAAGCAAGCTGTGAGGCAGCCTCTGCTGAGCAGGACCCCCCCCCCCAAGTGTTTTGGGCCATCAGCCCAGGATGAGGTAAAGATAAAGGATGCCCTTTCCCTGGACACGTGATGGCAGGAGTGGGATTGCCCCCCCAAAAAACCCTGATTTCTTTGGGCCACATGGCAGGTGGGGTGGGGTGGGGAGAGAGGAGGGGGCCGCTAGAGGAGAGACAGGAGGGAGCAGCTCCCTGGTTTTGGTTAGTGTGTCGTCCCTCCACAAATACACACCCTTTTCGCACAGGAAAGCAAAGAACATTTGAACGGGGCAGAGGAACTTTGCCTGTTTATTGAACTTTTCCAGAGCTAAGTTCACTGAAAAGGCCCCCCCTCCTTCTCTCTCTCTGTGCACCCCTCTCTTCGCTTTTCCAGGAACATTTGAACAGCGTAAAAATAAATACAACCCTTCCTTGCCCCTTCCTCCCCCAGCCCCAAATTTCCCAGTCCAGGTTTGAGAAGGAGATTCAGAGCTCCTCCTTCTGTGCCACAATCCTTGTCTCTGGGACGGTTTCCCTCTTCTTCTTTTTCTCCTTCTTCTTCTTCTTCTCCTTCTTTTTCTTCTTCTTCTTCTTTTTGGCCTCCTCCTCGGCTTCCCTTCGCTCCCGCTGCTTCTCCTCCTCGATCTGTTGCTTACTCATTTTCTCCTCGGGCTCCTGGAAGGGGATTGCGGATCAAAACCCGCAGAGTTTTCCGCCCAGCAAACAAGTCCGAGGGAGAATCCTCTCCGCTGCCCACCTCACCTGGAGGGAATTGGGCACCTGGGGGAACCGGCCGGCCCAAGCCCTCCAAACACGGCCCTCTAGTCTCCACTGAGCTGGAAAGGGCCTCATTTCAGGAGGCAGGGAAGCCCCCAGTCAGGGACCAGAGAGGCTGGGGCAACTGGTGGCCACACCAGGGCCAGCGACCCGTCTCAGAGAGCGAGTGATGCCCAGAGATAGATGTAAATAAACCCAGGAGAGGAAGCTGCCCCCCTTTCCCCTGGGCCCTGCTGGGTCAGGCAGGACCTCTGATACCTTTGTTTCTCCCCAGGTCTCGTCCCCAAATTCTTCCGCGTATCCTTCGTCATCCGTGATCAAGAAGTTGTCGAAAATGGTTCCTGATCGCACCTACAAGAGAGTGTGCCTTGTTAGACGCTGCACACCTTGCTCCCAGCCAAAGATTCCCATTTATTTGGGACGTTCATGCCCCGTTTCGAAAGGCCACCAGAACAAAAAACCACGTTCTACTGTGGGGTTGCCCTGGCAGCCTGCCCTGCCCTCATCCTGGCTCTCCAGCCCTTCCGGGCCGCAGAGCCCACTGCAGATGACCTCTGGGGCAAAGGAGGGAGAGGGGCTGTGAAGGAGCTGGACGCTAGTCTCCCCTCACTGGCCTTTGTGGGGAACAGAAAACGGGAAACCCCACTGACCTGCCACAGGTCCAAGCCGATGACACTGATGTTCTCGTAGATGGAAATGGTGGTGTCCGGCAGGTACTCCGGATTAGCGATTTGCGGGTGAGGCCAGATGCCTTTGAACCTGGGGTTGGGGATCTTCCGGGGCTGCCATTCCCCCTGGAAGAAGCCACAGGGTGTTAGAGAACCCCATCGTCCAGCCCGGACACCAGGGTCCAGCTCCCAAGGGCCTTCTGGCGGTTCCCTCCCTGAGAGAAGTGAAGTTATGGGGAACCAGGCAGAGGGCCTTCCCGGTGGTGGCGCCCGCCCTGTGGAACGCCCTCCCGTCAGATGTCAAGGAAATAAACAACTATCTGACTTTTAGAAGACATCTGAAGGCAGCCCTGTTTAGGGAAGCTTTTAATGTTTGAAGTTTTATTCTGTTCTTAATGCTCTGTTGAAAGCCGCCCAGAGTGGCTGGGGAAACCCAGCCAGATGGGTGGGGTATAAATAAATAAATTATTATTAATTATTAATTATCATCATCATCATTATTATTATTAGAGGGCCTCAGCGCTCGTGGACCAAGCTAGCCATTTCTTTTCGCAATTTAATTTCACTTATGAGGCCGCTCAAAACGACTTGCGGAGCAGCGGAAACAATTGCGATTTAGAAACGAAAGGCAGTTATGCAGAAAGCGAGTTTAAAAGCTAAACCAACAGCTAGACAATTGCAAAGAGCCACCCAGCTTCCATCTCCAAGGGCCCCCCAGTGACTGGAAAAGGAGCTGCCCTACCCGGTAAAGTGGATTCTTGAGCTGGGGGGGCTCCCAGGGGCCTTGCGCCACGGCATCCCAGTCCTTGGGTTTCTCTGCGCTGTTGTCTACAATGTACTCGGGGACGTCCCAGTCCTTTTGCAGAGGGAGAAAGAGAGTGGAGCAGGGGAGAGAAAATAAGCAAAATTAGCAAACACTGCCCAGGTCTCAGGGAAAGCCACAAGGGATGCGACTCAGCTGTTCATTAAGGTGACTGAAATGCTAGCAGATGACAAAGGGGAGGATTGAGAGGCCCAGCTCCTCGTCTGCCTCCACCTTCAGCCCAAAGGGGGATCAGAGACTGGAAAGACACACCTGTTCTGCCTGGGGTGGGCTCTCTGGGCTTCCTGCTTCTGAGGCCTTATAACCAGCAGCTCTAGGGCACGGCTCACCCACACCAGAGCAAGGCAGTAATAATCACCTCCGGCTTGGTGTCCTCTGGGTCGTCCATTTCGGCAACGTCATCCCAGTCCTCCGGCTTCCTCACCGTCGGGTCGTTTATCTTCCGCGGGGGCAAGAAATCCCAGTCGTCTTCCAAGTCGCCGGACGCTACCCTCTTGTTATCGATTTTCACTTCGTACGTGAGGTCGGGTCTTAGAACCAGCGTGTACAGGTGAGTGAATCCATCCACCTGAACCCAAACCACAGGGGAAGAGAAACATGGTTTTCTATCACCGTTGACGTCGCATTCCAGCTGTGTAGGCCCTCAGCTCCTGAAGGTAATGGGGCCCTTTCTATGTCCAGCTGTCCTTTGTCAACAACAAATTGTCGCTGTTTGACATTTGAAGGCAGCCCTATTTAGGGAAGGTTTTAATGTTTAATGCTGTATTGTGTTTTTAATATTTGGTTGGGAGCCGCCCGGAGTGGCTGGGGAAACCCAGCCAGGTGGGCAGGGTATAAATAATAAATTATTATTGTTATTGTTAATGAACTCTCTGGACCCAACAAGGGTCATGTGTGCTCATATGTAAAAAATAAGTAACCCTCTTGTTCCCCTTGACCGTGCCCATTGCATAACAAAAGGTTATGCTTAATTCTAAGTTCACAAAGATATTTCCCAGCGCGGTTAGAGGTGGTGTCCATTGCTGTCCTCTGATTTCAGGTTCGTCCTCCAAGTTTAGTCCAGATAATATAGTATTTTGTGGGGAAACAAGGCTGATCCGGGCATTGAAGTCACCTCCCAAGACAAGGCAAGGGTTGGGTGACAGAGAGTCTATACTTTTGAGTAGTTGGTCAAGTTTTCCCCAATATGATCTCAGTTCCCCAGAAGACTTTACTGGAGGTATGTACACGCAGATACAGTAAGTATTTCTCAGGAGACTATCATATGTGTGGGTAAGGATTTTGGGGGTCCTAGCTAGTTCTGGAAGCTCAAAACAGTTTGCAGAGCTGCAAACATATGAGAAGCTGCCCTTTTCCCTGCCATAGGAAAGGCTGTTCTTCAGGTACAAGGCAGGGATAAGTGAGGGGCAGCGAAAGGTAGCCACAACGCCACTTTCCTCTCAGGGCTCCCTATCACCCTTCCAAGGACATGCCCCCGTTCTCCACAAGCCGCACCCCAGCTGACTGCCAAGAAGGATATTTCAAAACGGAACTCAAAAACGCTTCCTGCACTTACTTTGCAGCGGATCTGCCTCTTAATGGGATAGAGTTTGTTCTTGTGGTTTAAAATGACGTGGACCTTCTTGATGTCGGAGCCGCAGATGTCAGGCCCTTAAAAGAGAAAGAGTTGGGTTTTGCCTCTCGTGCGCTACTTTAAGCTTTCAGAAACTGGCTCCACTCCCAAAACACATCGGATAAGATGCTGGGTAGCTTAAGGAACAGTTTTCTAGCCGTTCCTAGCACCTACGCCCAAACGCAGCAGGTTACAGCAGCTTTGCAAAAGTGGGGAGGGGGGTATCCCTAATGAAACCACAGAATGCGAAGGGGCTCTTGAGAGGTTTTGAATATACCGTATTTTTTGCTGTATAAGACTCACTTTTCCCCTCCTAAAAAGTAAGGGGAAATGTGTGTGCGTCTTATGGAGCGAATGCAGGCTGCGCAGCTATCCCAGAAGCCAGAACAGCAAGAGGGATTGCTGCTTTCACTGTGCAGCGATCCCTCTTGTTGTTCTGGCTTCTGAGATTCAGAATATTTTTTTCCTTGTTTTCCTCCTCCAAAAACTAGGTGCGTCTTATGGTCTGGTGCGCCTTATAGAGCGAAAAATATGGTATGGGGGGGGCAGAAATTCGGGACAGGCTTGAGATCAAATTGACACCCAGTGCCATTTTTATCTGGTTCGGTTTTTTTAGAACACCCCAGCCATCTCACCGAACATGACATAATACAAGGATTCCCCGCTCATATTCTTCTGGTCCAGGTCGGAGGGGAAGATTTTCACATATCCGCCACCGCAGTCCATCTTCTGCTCGTGCTTGACCGTGTACTGAATGACCAAGGGCTTTCCCCTGTTGCTGAAGGGCTTGAACCGCGACGAAATGGCATAAAACCTGACGTTTTCCGTCGTCTGCAGTCCTGCAATGCACGAGGCAACGTCTCAGACCCACAGGCGATAAATGTGAAGCCTTACCAGTACAGTCAAACCTCGGTTTCCCAACGTTTCAGCTGCTGAACGTTTTGGAAGCCAAACGCCGGAAACCCAGAAGTGAATGCTTCAGTTTTCAAACGCGCCTCGGAAGTCAAACGGATTTTGAAGGCGTGTTTTTCATTCCCCCCCCAATTGATTTTGAAGCCCGCCCTTTGATCCTTGGTTTTTGAAAGTTTCAGAAGTCGAACGGACTTCCAGAACGGATTACGTTTGAAAACCGAGATTCCACTGTACTTTATTCCCTCTTCCCAATGAGCACAGCTCTGATTTTGTGGGGACTATAATGAAAATGGAGAACACGCTTATCGTCAGTTATCTAAGATTTGAAGCCGCATTCTTGAAACAAATTTGTGCGCAGAATAAAGAGAAATGTTCCAGCATATGTTTTGGGACTACAATTCCCATCATCCCTGACCATGGGTCCTGTTAGCTATGGATCATGGGAGTTGTAGTCCCAAAAAACATCCGGAGGGCCGAGTTCGCCTATGCCTGGTGTATGTAGAAACAAACCAAATTAAAAACAATAAAACTAACAGTAACTGCCCCACCCCACGTTTGCCTCTGGTCCAACCCCACACAGGTATGTGGCCCCTGGAAAATGGCTTAGAAGCTAATGTGGCCCTCGCCTTTAAAAAGCTTAACAGCAGGAATAAGTCAAAGCTGATGTCGTGTTGCTAATGCGTCCTTGGAGGACGTTCCCAAACCTTTGTCCGTTTCGCGATCTCCGTAAAAGCTCCCGGCCGTCAGCCGGAACTTCCCATAGTTAGATTTGTGCTGGGAGAGAACCCACCTCTCTTTCCATTTTGCTGTTGACAGAGAGAAGGGGAGACTCGTCACGGCAGGTGGAAACGCAAGTAAAGCCTTAAAACCCTTGGGAAAACGCAAGCCCCACCCCACCGAAAGGCGAATTGTTCAGCAACACACGTCAGGAAGCCAACAAGCGAAACACACCCGGGTGCTCATGCAATGCACTCAAACTGTGTACCTGTACGTCTGTATTTGTGTATTGATTGCACAACACACTGGTGTTATTATTAATAATAATGTTATGCTGGGAGCTGCCCAGAGTGGCTGGGGAAACCCAGCCAGATGGGCAGGGTATAAGTAATAAAGAATGATAATAATTAATTATGAGGGGTCAAGTTACAGGGAGCCGGGGGGACTCTCAGCCTACCACAAAGGGGTGTCGTGAGGATAAAATGGGGGTGTACAAGAACTGGGCAGGCAAACCTTGGCTCCCTTGGAGGAAAGGAGCGGGTTATAATTAAAGTTAATTAAATTAAATAAATGGTGTCGCTGTTGTTTTCCAATTTTGGTAGATTTTAAAGAAACACAGTTTTAGTGCCCTTTCTATCTTTTCTAATCTCCAAATGGGTTGTTTGAAGGCCCCTTTCGTTTTTGTGCAGCGCCTGGCACCAGGCTTCCTCCTCCCTGATCCTGGGGGAAAGGACAGAAGGAGCTGAACTCGAGTGCACATGTGAATGGGGCTCCAGACGAGTGTCAAGGGGGAGAACACGGCCCTCGCCGCACCAGGCTTCCTCCTTCTTCCAAGCAGAGCCTGGGAAAAAGGCCGGAAGATGCTGGACTCGCAAGTGCACGTGTGAACGGGCCCCCAGACGAGTGTTAAGGGGGGGAGAACCACACCCCCGCTCGACTTCTCCCTCCAAGGGGAAAGGCCGGAAGGGGCCGAGCTCTCGAGTGCACGTGTGAACGGGCCGCCAGATGCGTGTCAAGGGGAAGAACACCGCCCCCGCCGCGCCAGGCTTCCTCTTCCCTCCAAGCAGAGCCTGGGAAAAGGCCGGAAGATGCTGGACTCGCGAGTGCACGTGTGAATGGACCCCCAGACACGTGTCAAGGGGGAGGCCCCGTCTCTGCCTCCTCCACCTCCGTCCAGGAACTGCTCCCGGAAGTAGACGGTGCCTCGGGCGGGCCGGGCCAGCGCCACGGCCAGGGCAGCCAGCAGCAGCCGGGCGAGGCGGCCCATGGCGAGGCGGAGGCTCAACGGCCGCTGAGGGGAGAAGCCGCCGTCGCCGCCGGCCGGCCGACGGACGCTCCCTATTGGCTGCCTGTTTTCCCGCCTCGCGCCCCATTGGTCCGCGTCCCACTCGCGCTGCGCTCCGATTGGTGCTTTCCCTCTCCCCCCCCCCTCACGGGCCGACGCCCTCGAGCTCGCGGATTGGCTGCCGCCTCTCGCCAATGAGAGAGAGGCTCCCAGCGGCGACTCCGGACCAATCCGGGTGGAGGATATTGCCAGTCGGGGCGGTTGCTAGGCGACGGGGAAAGGGCCTTCTGGCGGCGGCCATGGCGGTGCGGAGGGCGGAGGGCAGGAGCGCGGCGCTCGCCCGGGCTCAGGCCCAGCTGACGGGGAGGCGCCTCACTGGGAGGGTAAAGGGTTTGGTTTTTAAAAATGAAGGTGCCGCCGCCGTGACGTCTTACGTCTCTTCTGCTGTGACGTCAGAGGGGCCGGCTGCGTGACGTCACGCGCGTCACCCCAAGGGGTTACCGAGGGTGGAGGGTGTCTCTGAGCATGTGAAGAGCGCTTATCCTGTTAGGCGTCGCTACTCTGCGCCCCGCACGGAGAGCAGCAATAATAATAATAATATATATATATGTATAATAATAATAGTAACAATAATATATGATATACAATTGCTGTTATTTGTAAGGGATGAAAGGAGGGGAGATACGAAGGTCCTAGTAACGTGGAATTAAAAGCCACACATGGAGAGCAGGAATAATAATAATATATGTCTAATAATATATAATAAAATAATAATAATGACAACGATAATACATAATATATAATATATAATAGTATATAGTAATGGCAACAATAATATACAATATATAATAAAATATAATATTTGTAGCCCGCCCATGTGACTGGGTTCCCCTATGCACTTTTGAGCAGCTTCCAACATGTATAAAAACATAAACATTTTAAATCATAAACCTTGTTTTTTGCAAATGCAGCTTTTAGGGACCTGCAGGAGACTGTCCTCTCCCATGGAGCCTGGAGGAGATGCGCTGCTTGGCTTTGAAAGCGCGGCTGTAGTTAAAACGCAGAATTGCATATGTAATTATTTCAAAATCTCTATATGCGTAATTCTGTTTCTTATTGCAAGTCGCTTCAGGAAGCCTCAGAGAAAGGAGTTGAAATCAGTAGTGATGATAAAGACACACCCAGGTAGGGTTGCCACCTTTGTTCTGGCAAAATTCAGGACAGGGTGGGGCGATTTTTATTTTTCTTTCCATCTGGTGTTGAAGCGACTTCAGAGCAATCCATTCCAATCTCTTGCACCCCAGCAGGATGGCCGCTCTGGAATTTGTAACACATTCACACATGAATTTGTAAATCTGTCTGTGCTGGGCCAACTAGAGCTTAAATACATGATGTTTCACACACCCATTCAAACACATGCATTTAGAGAGGCTCCCTAACTTGGCAGAGAGAGAGAGGACCTGAAATACAGGACCAAACTATATCAAAACAGGATGAAATATGGGACAGTCTTGTATTAGACAGGACAGGTAGCAACCCTACCCAGGTGAACCCTGTTACTCACTTTTTATTTATTGCATTTATAACCCAGCCTAAGGAGGAAAAAAGAGCTTGATTAGGCTGAGAGCCGGTGTCTGGCCCCAAAGTTCACCCGTTGAGCATTATAAGTAAAGGTAAAGGGACCCCTGACCATTAGGTCCAGTCGTGACCGACTCTGGGGTTGCTGCACTCATCTCGCTTTACTGGTCGAGGGAGCCGGCGTACAGCTTCCGGGTCGTGTGGCCAGCATGACTAAGCCGCTTCTGGCGAACCAGAGCAGCGCACGGAAACGCCGTTCACCTTCCCGCCGGAGCGGTGCCTATTTATCTACTTGCACTTTTGACGTGCTTTCGAACTGCTAGGTTGGCAGGAGCAGGGACCGAGCAACAGGAGCTCACCCCGTCATTGCGGGGATTCGAACCGCCGACCTTCTGATCGGCAAGTCCTAGGTTCTGTGGTTTAACCCGCAGCACCACCCGCGTCTCTGTTGAGCATCATGGCCAAGTGGGAATTTGAAACCCTCTTCTCCCAGGTCCTAGTTTGACACTAACCACTATGCCACCTTGGCTCTCCTGTCATCCCCCCAACCGTCTTCCTAATATGACACCTCTTAACCCTCCGTCCTTCTCCCTGCAGGAGGAGCTGGACGGGGCTCCCAGGAACAGATTGGCGGCCTTGGAGCCCAGCAAAAGCCCTGGCCTGTCTGCCATCCACATGGCCAGTGACCTGAGCGACCTCTCTGACCTGGGAAGGAGGGAGCTGGAGGGGGCCAGCTTGGCAGAGACCCCAACACCACCGCAGACTGGACCCCGCCGCCGGTTTGTCAAGCAGAAACCGCAGGAGGTGGTCCTAGACACCCAGCAGGCAAGGCCCAGTCCTGCCACAAGGACGGGGTTTGCCGCAGCCTCCAGAGGGGAGAGGTCAAGCGCCGTCCTCAGGAAGCTGGCGCAGATCGAGAGCAAGATCCGCAGCCGGAAGGCCGGGCGGGATGTCGGCCAAGCGCCCACGACGGACGAGGAGATTTCCCTGAGCGACTTCAGCCGCAGCCCTGAGCCGAGGCTGGGAGGACGAGGGAGCCTGGGAAAAGCCATGGGGCTGAAGGAGACCGCGGTCCCCATCCGAGGCAGCAGCCAGGGTGGCACTGAGGGACGCAGGCAGGCCCTTTCCAAGGAATCAGGGGAGCAGGAGGACCTGCTGGGCAGGAAGGTAATTCGGGGGCCGTGCCTAGGCTTCACAGCGCTGCTGGGGAAAATAAGGGCGTGTCTTACTGACAATGGCAGTCTGGGTTTTATTGGCCGTCCAGGCTGAGCCCACAGCGTGTTGGGCTTTGAACCCCAACATTTCCCCAACAGCGCTTCTGTCTGAAAAAGTGTGGAAAAGGCAGGGTGGGGGGCGCTCAGCAACTTGCCACTTGGCCCTCCGCTCTGGCCCGTGAGGCAGTGGCCCCTCAGCTGTTGGCTTCTCCAGATCCTAACTCGGATGAGAAGAGCAGATCCTGCTCAGATTGGGGCGGACGGCAAGAAGACCAGAGGCCAACTTGGCCTCTGCAAAGCACAGCATCTGTGGCAGGTTCCATTCGGCTGCAGGAGGAGTGGTGGTGGTCGTGATCGTTTGGGGATGCTCAGAGCCGCAGTGACCTGACCCTTTCCCTCCCGCATGCTTTCTTAAGAAATGGATCCGGTCCCCACCTTCTTCCCGCCCGAGGTCTCCTTTGCCCGGCAAAACTTTCCTGAAGAGGCCCACGCCCAGGAGTCCTTCCCCACCCGGCAAGCCCCCCCCGGCACGGCTGAGCAGGGGAGCATTTCGTTCCTCGACCCCCGCAGGCTCCTCTTCCCCCGACGCCAGCTCTGTGCCCCTGAGGGAGGCGTCTCTCTCCGAGCGAAGCGTGGTGCGGTCCCTCGACGAGCTCTTCTTAGCAGTGGGCGGCGGGCCCAGCGACGACGACTCCAGCAGCAGCAGTGGTGAGTCGCCTGTGCGAGAGATGCGCCAGCAGAGGAATGCGTGTCTCTGGCAAAGGGAGAGCCAAGTTGAAAGGGAGCAGGAAGCAAGTGGAGGGAGCTCTGTGGGCAGAATCCGCTCGAGGGGGGCTGGTCGAGGGTGAGAATGAGGTGACCCGGGTCCTTGCCCTGGCCTGGGCACTCCTTGGCTAACAAACGACTGTGGAGGCTGCTGTGGTGAGAAGAGCAGCCTCTGAGGTCATACACTTCCTGTGGGGAATTGCAGGAAAAAGGGGGGCAGCTCCTGGACCCCGGGAGGTGGGGAGAGACTCCCCCCCCCCGCTGCTGAATGTCCATCTCATTCCCTGCTGCAGATTTCAGAGTGAACGTGTTGAGCCTGGACGACTTGGCCCCTGCTGCAGCCAGCCAGACCGAAGTGTCAGGAGCAGTAAGTTTAGGGAAGTTTTCAACGTCTGATTTTTTATTGTGCTTTTAATTCTGTTGGGAGCCGCCCAGGGTGGCTAGGGAGGCCCAGCCAGATGGGCCGAGTATAAGTCATAAATTATTATTAATATTGCTGTTATTTCGCCCCATCCTCAGCAGGAGCCAAACGTTTGCCACGTCTGTTTCTTTCTGGTGGCGTGAGCGTTGCAAGGAAACCACAACCAAGAGTCTTAATAACAATTATTATTATTGCCAGGGTTTTTTTTCCTCTGCCAGCTTCTGGCCAAAAGAGGTCCACCACGAGGGGGCTCAAAAAATCAACATCCAAATTACGGAAAAAAAATGCAACTTAGAAAAATGTAAAGACAACGTAACCTTTCAGAAAAAACTAAAAGAGCCAGACGTGCTCATTTTCCTCCTATGCAAAGGCAAATAGAGGCGCCCCCCCAAAAAAAACTTGCCTGAGGGAGCAGAAGTCAGCCCTGATGGAACTGAGCTCCTCTTCCTTTTCAGGGAAAACTCATTTGCTGGAGCTGCAAGAGACTAGCTTGGAGATGAGCGTAGAGCAGCCTGCCTGGGGGTGAGGGATGGGCTGTGACTTGAGTTGCTAGCATGGAGTTTGCCATTCAAGGTTGGCGGTGTGGGGGGGGTGCTGTGCTTCAGAGACCCTCGTTGCCTCCGCGTCTCACATTATACTCACAGGAAAACGTCCTTTCTAGGCACCTGCGATGCCTACGGAGTCAAAGGAGGAGCTGGGAGCCTCCCTCTTTGCTGCCGTCAGCCAGAGCCCCTTCAAAGCCCAGAGCCCCCCCAGGAGAGAAGCTGCTTCCCTGGAGGAGGAGGAGGAGGAGGAGGAGACGGAGGAAGACGATGATCCAGGAGACACTGAGATTTCCGAGCGGCTAAACAGCACTTCTGCTGGGAGCTCCCATCCCGAGGAGGAGGAGGAAGAGGAAGAGAATCCCACCAGCGCAGAGTATTCGGAGGACTTTGAGTCCTCGGCAGCATCTGGGGAGCGACCCTCCTCCAGGGACCCCTCGGGTGCCTGGGCGCCTTCTGAGCATCCTGCCTCGTCCTCCCTCACCTGCCCTCCAGGGGGCGCCAGGACCACCTGCCTGCCAGCGAGGGTCCTCATGAAGGATGCTGCCGTCCAGACAGGCCGCTCCTCTCTGGCCTATTGCTGGCTGCAAGGTAAGCCGCTCCCGGCCGAGGCTGGGCGAGATCCGTGCAAAGCGCCGACGTCCTTCTAGGCCTGGCCCAGGTGCCTCCGGTGCCCCTGCCGGTCTCTCACGAGCGTCTCGTCCTTTCCCTCCTCCAGGCGACGCTCCTGCAGCTCTGGGCCCAACGATGGGAGCCGAGAGCCTTCTGGAGACCCCGCCCATCGCCAGCCACGTCGTGAGCTTGGAGACACTGGAAGGTACCCCTCCCCTCCCTCGATCCTTCAATCAAGCGCCAGCTGAACCCAGCCTTTATTCAGTTGTGTGGAATGCCGAAGGGCGCAGGAACAGGTGGCAGAGACCTCTAGCCCCAAAACCCCAGGCAGCCATTGCTGCCGGTCGACGGCGTTGCCTCTGTCCCCCTTGAAAGCGCTGGGGGTCCAGAAGAGAGGTTCCTTCCCTATGGGGCCTGAGCAAAGGCTGCCCTAGAGCTAAGTCTGGGGACCTGGGAGCCTTTGGCCCTGCCAGGCCTCTCTTCCTCCCCACACCCACCTCCCGTTCTCCCACCCGCAGCGCTGACCACCTACAGCCCGGCCGTCTTCGCCCTGAACGAGCTGCTGAAGCAGAACGTGCTGCTCATCCGGCAGTTTGCAGACGCCACCCGCCAGCTCCACGCCTCCTGGGTGGCGTCTCTGGAGGAAGAGAGGGGCTTCCACTACCACACCCTGGAAGAAGCCAAGGAGGTACCGCTCGCTCACAGGCCCTCCTTAGGGCAGCTGCGGCCAGCCTGGCACCTGGCAGGCGTTTGGGACCGCAGTGGCTGTGCTGGCTGGGGGAGGGTGGGAGATGCAGTCCAAAATGTACCTACGGGCCCGCCTCTCCTGGTGTGCCCCGTGGAGCACAAAGGTCCACAAATGACAACACTTTGGAGGTCCCAAGCCGCAAGGTGGTTAGATTGGTCTCAACTAGGGCCAGGGCCTTTTCCGTACTGGCCCCGACTTGGTGGAACGCTCTGTCTCGTGAGACCAGGGCCCTGCGGGACTTGACATCTTTCCGCAGGACCTGCAAGACAGAGCAGTTCCGCCTGGCCTTTGGTTTGGACTCAGTCTGACCCTTATGTTTCCCCTCCCCTTATGGTCTTGATTTATCAGCTCCTTTAAAATGAGGCTGCATTTTAAATTGTACCTTAACCTGCATTTTAAATCCCTGTGGGTCTGAACCTGCTTTGTCCCTTTACAGTACATCGAGCGCCACAAGCCCCCGCCTCTGACGGTGGAGCAAGCTTTGCGAGAAGAACTGGAGTGCCGAGGGCAAGCTGTCTTTTGAAAAGCGCATGGGAGGGACGTCAGAACTGGCCCTCTGGAACGAGAAAGAATCTGCTCAGGAACGGCCAGCACTTTTACCGGAATGAAGAGCCGGGCTCTTTCGGAGCAAGAAAAGCAGAGGCCATCCAAATCACGGGAGAGGGGGGAGAGGCCACTGCCCCATCGACTCCTGCACAGCCCCCCAGGACCATACAGCTTCAACCAGAGCCCTGAATAGAAACCTCAGCAGAGATCGAATTGGGGAGGGAGACGAAAGGACACCCGGCTGTGTTTTGAGCGTGCAAAATTCAGCTGTGCTTGGGATGAAACCACTTGTACGTGGGTGAGAATGCGGAGACGGGCCTCCCCACCAAAATAAATTGCACAATCTGTATAGAGGGAGGGGGAAAAACTTTCTTTATTGGAAGGCAACAGTAAGAACGAGGCGGGTAGCTGACTCGGAGCAACCCGAGAGGCAGCCGAGAAGTCTCACAGGTACAGAAGTCGATCTTCAACAGTCGCTACATCAAGCTGGGCGCGGGCGGTTGCGAAAGGGGTCTACTGTACAGGGAGGGGGCTGTGTCTCCCCTCGGGGCGCTGGTGGTCTCCGGGCACCCCCCTCTTGGGGCGTTTGGGCAGGAAAGGAGGGCGGCTTCGTGTTTTGAAACAGGCGGGTTGGGCAAGGAGCGTGGGGGTGACACTACGGAAGAGTCGGCCTACTCAGCTCCTTTTCAATCTTGCCCGAAAGTTATGTACAAAAATAGAAAAGGCCCAAATAATTTCTCTTCTCGCAAAGACATTCTTGGGAGCAGGTTAGCCCTCTGCACCCCGATGAGCAGGAGGGGGGTCATCTGGGGCAGGGGGGTGGCGGTCAAGAGGTACAGTAGAGAGCCTCAATTCACGTGGCCAGGCCGGGGCTCGGGCGCTGATGGACGACTGGCTGGGCTCCCTCGGGTCTGAGCGGCGTTAAGCTTTGGGAGGAAAAAAAGAAGGGTCAGGCGGGATCCCGGGGGCAGCAGAAGCCCACAGTCCTGGGCTAGCAGGATGGGGGGTTGCATGCCACACTTAATGAAATGACAGAGGAAGCGGGCCCTTCCTGCAGCCAGCAGGGAGGCGGGTACCCTTAGCTGCCCCCATGAAGACACCCACCTGAAAGAGGGTTGCCCCAGTTCCTGCCCTCCTTCGCACTGGCCTGGCAACCTCAAGAGACCCTCCCCCCTTTCTAGCTTTCCCCGTGCCAAAGGGAAGGGTTTGGCCAAAGCCCTGGGGCCGAGCAGCCTGCTGGCTCCCCACACGTTTGCCCTGCGGCTCGTGGAAGCCCTTCTGCCTTAGCGTCTCGGGGAGATGGGGTCTCGCCGTCCTCGCCAGGTGGTTGCTGGCAGCCCACCAGCAAGGGTGCAGTAACGCCGTCCTATAGATTGAAAGCGAACCGGAAATGGAACGAGGGGCTTCCTCCTCCCCGCAGCCGGGGGTCAGACGCGGCAGCTTGCCCACTTACTTTCGTCCCTGGCCTTCATGCGGGCAATGAAGGAGTAGCTCTTGTTCCTCCGGTAGTTCTCGTAGGGGTCGTCCAGGGCCACCCCCACGCCCTTGTACTGGTCCCACTTGTCTCGGATGTCGCCGCCTTTAATGGGGTCCTGGATCCCCTGCTCCTTGGCCCCCAGCCCCCCGGAGCCGCTCCACCCTGGGGGAAGGGAAAAGCAGGCGGTTGGCAGGAGGAGGGAGGGAGGTGGCGTCAAAGCACCTCTATCCGGAAACCTCTGACCCAATGGCAGAGGAGCCCAGCAGCAGCAGCAGAATCGGACCCAAAGGGTCCTGACCCGGCAGTGGCCAATCAGGTGCCCCCAAACCTGAGAGCTGGACTCAGGCGCCACAGCAGCGACTTGCCCCAGCTGTGGCTGGCGGGTTGCAGCTGTCTGCCCAGTCGTCAAACGCTCTAGGTTGGCAGGCAGACCCACAGAATTGTCGGAAGGGACCCCGAGGGTCATCCAGTCCAACCCCTGGAATGTTTCACTCAACGTGGGGCTCGAACCCCCGACTCTGAGATTAAGAACTCCGTGCTCTTACCGACTGAGCTGCCTGCCCCAGAGAGAGAAGGCGATTCCTCTGGAAGGCTTTTAATTCCACGTTACTAGGACCTTCGTATCTCCCCCCGCCCTTTCCTCCCAAGGGTGGCCTACACAGTTCTCCCTGTCCCCATATGAGCCTCACAACGCGCCTGCAAGGTAGGCATCAGGGCAGGGAGTCAACGACCAGCCTTGGAGCCACCCAATTCCTGTCCGAGTGGGAATTTGAACCCAAGTCCTCCTAGCCGGACACCCTCTAACCACCGGAGGCGTGGAACAGGCCCCCTAGACTGACCCCACCCCTGACGGACAGAGCCAACGGGCACCAGGCTGCCTTACCCATCTTCACCAGCATCTGGTGCCCCTTGTTCTCCTCTCCGAGTCTCGATTCGGGGATGGGGGGCCCCGAGCTGGATCCCAATCCGGCCGAGGAGCTACAGACGGGGCGGGAGAAACCGAGGAGAAGTGAGGATTATCTTGTTGATCCCTCGACCCCCAACCCTTCCCCTCCCAAGCCCCTTCGCCGAGTCAAATCTTACGGAGGCGTCTGGCTGCGGGATCGGGACCGGTGCCGCCTTCCGGGGGAGTAGGATTTCGACCGGGACCTGGACCGAGAGCGGCTCTGAGAGGACTGAGAGCCGCTTCTGCTCCTGGGAAGACGGACGGGGAAGAAGGAAAGTCAGCCCCTCTCTCTCTCGCGAAGAGACTGCCCAAAAATTGTCTCTCAATAACTTCACTCTTGTGGTTTATCCCCACGACAGCTACTCACTTTGAGTGTTAGTAAAGCAAACAGCCTAATTTGTCAGCGCCTAAATGATAATCAAGCGTCAGAACAACTTGGCCACAATATGGAAATTTTGCCCATGGCTTGGCTATTTCCCACCTTCCTATTTCGACTCTCTGGCACCCCATCTCCATAACCGAGAAATTCCAAAATACAGACGCGCTATTACTCTCGCAAGATTGAATGTCTTGCCCTTGGCTGGACTTGAGGGACGATTCCAAAAGATCCCACATGAAAAACGTCCCTGTGGAAATGGCCATCCGGAATTGGTGGCGTATGCCCTTCTGGCTTGCCCTCTTTGTAAAGACTTGAGGAATGAGATTATCACCTCTCTTTTATCGTCCATTCCGGGTCGCCTAGCCATTGCCCCAGTGTCCTTTCTCTTGGCAGATCAAGATGAGCAGGTGACAGCAAAGGTGGCAAGGTTTTTCGCTGGGGCAATCGGAGTAAGATCCACTATTTGACTACTGATTCAAAACCCAAAAATGTATTTTATATAATTGACTTTTTATTTCTATTCTATGTATATCGTATTGTTTTATTGCTATGGCTGACGCAAATAAAGATTCATTCATTCTCGGCTGCTGCGGCATCTTGTGGCGGTGAGTTCCGCCGGCTAGCTGCACGTCGTGAAAAACGACCAGTTCCTTCCCCAAAAAGCTTCAAAGGCAAGTGGGCTGAAGAAGCAGCCGGCCGGCCAGCCCCCCCCCCCGAGTCTTGCCAACCTGCCCCCGCGCCAGCAAGCGAGACCCAGGCCCTCCTGCCCTGCTCTTCCTCACCTGGACTGGGAGCGGGAGTAGGACCGCGACCGGGAGCAGGATCTTGACCGGGATCGGGAGTAGGAGCCGGAGGACTTGGACGACCTCGAGTTGGAGCGCGAAGAGGAGCGCCCGCGGCTCTTGGACCGGCTGCTGCGGGATGGCGAGGGGCCGCTGGGCAGGGGAGAAAAGGGGCGTCTGAGTGGCGCCATCGCCCTGGACTCCTGCAGCCAAAGCGCCCGGGAACCTCGGCCGGCCCTGCGGCCCCCAGACAGCAGCTGAGCCAGGAGGCCCCCTCTAGTCCAGAGGGCAGACTCTCCTTCCCTCCAGGTGAGGGCTGTACTCGCTTTGGAGTCCCTCTGCACCTCCTCACTCCCCCTGCCGGCGGCACTCTGCACGCTCCCCGGAGCCCTTTGCCCACCTGTTCCTCTTCTCCTGCCCCTTGCGCCGCCGGGCCCTCATCTTTGCCCGGAAGAACTCGTACAGACCGTTCTGCTCCCAGCCCTCGCTGTAGGAAAAAGAAGGGGGGGGGGCATTAAAAAAAAATATCATTAGGTTCTCACGTAATGTATTATTGAATTTATATACCGCCCTATACTTGGAGGGTCTCAGGGCGGATTGCAGAATAAAATCAAGATATTAAAACCACAAAAGACATAATAAAAACGACAACCCATCACCACCATAGGTTACCATTCTTATTTTTCTCATCCCATATCACTCAATAAGATGTTATGTCTCCACTCCCCAAACTGCCAATTTGTTTCTAACATTACACACCGTTTAAAATGTAAAACTGAAAATAAATATTATCATTCTTCCGTCTTATACTGAAGAATAAAACAAAACAAAAAACAAAACAATACTTATTTATACCCCACCCATCTGGCTGCGTTTCCCCAGCCACTCTGGGCAGCTCCCAACAGAATATTAAAAACATAATAAAACATCTAATGTTCCCTAAACAGGGCTGCTTGCAGATGTCTTCCAAAAGTCAGAAAGTCATCTTCAGTCTCTTAACTCTAGGTTAATTCTCCAGTTTCAGCACGATCCATCAATTTGTTACTCCTTTCTTCTTTTGCGGCGATTGCTGCTTCCTTCCACTTCTGCTCATATATAAAAATCCGTTGCACACATGAACAATTTTATCATCATTTTCGCTGTCTCTGGCCCAATCAAACCCGGGGGCATTTTTCGAAAAAACAAGCCAGCCAAAGGAGCCCTTTCTAGGCCTCGCCTCTCACCTGTTCCTTGGCCGGTCGTGCGAAGGTGGGCTGTAGAAAGCCTCCACGGCTGCCAGGAGCCTCTCGCTGGGGGGCATCGGGGGCGGCAGGCGGATATCTTTGGGGTCCAGAGGCTTGTAGTCATGATCCTCCAGCTAGGAGAGGAGGGGAAAGGAGCCGTCATGGCACACAGTCCAGCTGGAAAATACTTCCCTGCACCCCTGGGACCACGAAGGAGAGGCCACGGGGGTCGGGAGAGGCCTCCTCCTGCCCTTCTGGAGGTGGGGTGGGGGAGGCTCCCCCCCAGGTCACTTACTTTGACCAAGGGGGCCATCAGTCCGGCGGGGAGGTCGAAGTAGGGGACGTTAGGCACGAGGCTGGGGTCGTCGTGGTTGACGTGGGGGGGCCCCTGCCTGCGCATGTGGGGCGGCTGCCCGTTGAACCCGTGGGGCGGGGGCCCGAAGTCAGGGTGCTGAGGGCCCCCCCAGGGAGGGTGCTCGCTGATCCCTGGGTGGGGCATGCGGTGGCCCGGGTGGTGGTGCGGGGGCCCGATCTCTGAAAAGGAAGGAAGGAAGAAGCTTCAGAACAGCCCGAGTAGCTGCAGGATCCGAGCACGGGAGCAATGGGTTGAAGCTACCTTCTTGGGGTGCAAGCCTGGTCAGTGTCTCTGGGGGTCCTGGGCTGCCCAGACGACAAGGCACCCCCCCCCTCTGCCTCGCTGGCGGGGGTCCAAAGGAAGGCATTTGGCACCAGCTTGGCAGGAGGCGGACACGGCGCCATCCAACCGCCTTAGGGACTCCGCTCTCAATTTGTGGAGGTTTTACCCCTTAGCCCAGGGGTCAGCAAACTTTTCCAGCAGGGGGCCGGTCCACTGTCCCTCAGACCTTGTGGGGGGCCGGACTATATTTTGGAGGAAAAAAATGAACGAATTCCTATGCCCCACAAATCACCCAGAGATGCATTTTCAATAAAAGGACACATTCTACTCATGTAAAAACACGCTGCTTCCCAGACCTTCCGTGGGCCGGATTTAGAAGGCTATTGGGCCAGATCCAGCCCACCTTAGTTTGCCTACCCATGCCTTAGCCCAGGCTTCCTCAACCTTGGCCCTCCAGATGTTTTCGGCCTACAACTCCCATGATCCCTAGCTAGCAGGACCAGTGGTCAGGGATGATGGGAATTGTAGTCTCAAAACATCTGGAGGGCCGAGGTTGGGGAAGCCTATTTTAGCCTTTTCTCCTCCCGAAGATAACCCATAAGGCAGTGGAGGTTTCGGATCAAAGGATCCCACGGGAATTAACCTCCCCTGAGCAAAGTTTCTTTCAACTGGGCAAGGACCAGGGCTGGGCGACATATCAATATTATCGCTCAAAACTGCTTTGAGGTTCACACCGTGTGACATGTCATTTCGCAATTTTTGGCCTGGAAATACATCGCGAATCATGTCGTCTATAGCTCCATCCTCATTTCAAACACTGCGATATATTGGTATACGGCAGTACCTCCATTTCCGAACATCTCTGTTGACGAACGTTTCGGAAGTCAAACGCCGTAAACGCTTCAGTTTTAGAATGCTTTTTGGAAGTCGAACGTGCCAAAGCGCAGCTTCTAAACTGAGTTTCCCGGAAGTAAATGCTTCTGTTTTCAAACATTTCGGAACTCCAATGGTCTTCCGGAACGGATTATGTTCGAAAACCAAGGTACCACTGTATCGTGATGTTTAGCGGCTGATATATCATCAGCGCGGAAACCAGATTATCGCCCAGCCCTAGCAAATGACCCCCTTGCTCCCGGACCCCCCGCCCTAGCCCCTGCCAGCCAGCCTTCTGCCCCCCCCACTCACCCTGGGGGAAGTCGCCTTGGGGGTAGTCGAAGCGGTGCGGGTAGGGGGGCCGCTCGAAGGGGTGGCGCGGCGGGAAGTCGTCCTGCATGAATCGCGGGGGGAAGCGGTTGAAGTTGTGTGGGTGGGGCGGCTGGTTGAACTGGGGGTGCTGCTGGTGGGGCGGGAAGGGCCCCCGGAAGTGGGGGGGCCTCTGCATGCGGAAGGGCGGCTCCCTCTGGCCCCCTCCCCAGGGCGGCTGCTCGTGCTGGTTGTTCCAGGGGGCCTCAAACTGGCTGTTCCAGGCGGGTTCCGGCTGGCTGTTCCAAGGGGCATCGCGCTGGTTGCTCCAGCCGGGCTCCCGCTGCTCGCTCCACATCCCCTCGTGGTTGCTGTTCCAGGGGGGGCAGTGCGGGGGGCCCTGGTGGTGGGGGAAGGGGGGCTGCTCAGGAGGCTGCAGGAGACAAAAGGCCTTGGTTAGCAGGCGGGAGGAAAAGGACCCTCCCTGGGCGCGGACTGTCTGGCCAGAGTGGTGCATGCTCTGGTTTTCTCCCGCTTGGACTACTGTCATGCGCTCTCCGTGGGGCTACCTTTGAAGGTGACCTGGAAACTGCAACTAATCCAGAATGTGGCAGCTAGACTGGGGACTGGGAGTGGAGACCGTATAACACCAGTCCTGAAAGACCCACATTGGCTCCCAGGATGTTTCCAAGCACAATTCAAAAGGTTGGTGCTGACCTTGAAAGCCCTAAACGGCCCTGTATCCCTGAAGGAGCATCTCCGCTCTGGACACCAGGGTCCCTCTCCTGAGAGCCTTCTGGTGGTCCCCTCCCTGCGAGAAGTGAGGCTACAGGGAACCAGGCAGAGGGCCTTCTCTGTGGTGGCGCCCACCCTGTGGAACACCCTCCCAGCAGATGTCAAGGAAATTAACAACTACGTGACTTTTAGAAGACATCTGAAGGCGGCCCTGTTTAGGGAAGTTTTCAATGCTTGATGTTTTAATGTGTTTTTAATATTCTATTGGGAGCCACCCAGAGTGGCTGGGGGAACCCAGTCAGATGGGCGGGGTATAAATAGTAAAATTATTATCATTATTACCAAGGTCCCCACCCAAGCCCTCCCCTCCCGCTGCCCGCCCAAAGTACCTGCTGCTGCGCCCAGGGGGTGACCGGGTGCGGCTGCTCGAACCAGGGCGGCTTGTTGGGGGGGATGTGGTCGTGGGGGCCGGGCCCTCGGGGTCCAGGCGTGGCCGGGTCGGCGGCCCCAGCCCCCGTGGCCTCGTATTCGGCGGAGTCCGGCAGCTGCGGCTTCCCTTCGTCTGAAACAAAGGCGGACATGAGAGCCAAGCTCCTGGGGGGGTTGTGGCTCGGAAAGAGGGCAGGGTACACCCCCACCACGAACGGCGACCCCAACGTTACCTGTGGGGGTGATGGGGGCGGCCGGCGGAGGGGGGGCGGGGGTGGCCTTCACTTCGCTTTCCGGAGGTGGGATCTGCAGTTGCGGCGGCTGCTGCTGCTGTTGCTGCTGCTGTTGTTGCTGCTGCTGGCTGAGGCTGCTGACAAACTCCTCGTGTTGTGTTTTGAGGGTCTGTATCTGCTGTTGGAAGGCCACTTGGACCGGCTGGACCACGCTGCCAAACTCCATGATCAGGGTGGCCTGCCGGGACCACGCCGAAGGGGGTGGCATTTGCAGAGAGGGAGGAGGGGGGACGGACAGAGAACAATAATAAACGATAATAAATTTTTATTTATACGATATATGATATCTTTATTGTCATTGTCCCATACAGAACAAAGAAACTGAAAAACTACATAAAACATTCAAAACCCCCTAAAAACACTGAAACCCCATTTCAAAATACACTATACTATACTATAAAATACACCCCGCGGTTCAGAAAACTGGGCTCAGGGCAGCTAACAACAAATTTAAAACAACTGATGCAACAAAAAACAGCATAAAATACAGTATGAAATGTGAACAATAAATTCAGAATAATTTAGGGGGGAAATCCATCCAATAAACATTCGATGATCACCAGGGCTAGCTGGCTAAATTAGTCCTGTTTGGGCCAGCGAGGAGACCAGGGGAGAATTAGCTGTGAGATCCCAGAGCGGGGAATCTTCATAAAAAGGGGAAGGGGAGGGAAGGAAGGGGAATAAAAAGATCAGGCTAAGTTCAAATTGAAAGCCAAGCAGATCCCGTTCGTATCCAGAGGTACCACCGTATCTGACTTTTAGAAGACAGCTGAAGGCAGCCCTGTTTAGGGAAGCTTTCAATATTTGGTGAATTAATTGCATTTTTAATATTTTGTTGGAAGTTGCCCAGAGTGGCTGGGGAAACCCAGCCAGATGGGTGGGGTAGAAATAATAAATCATTATTATTCTCCAAAATCTCTTCCTGAAGGAGGGAGCTGCTTTGGGGGAAGACCGGGCCGTTTGCTCTTATTGCCCCCCCCTCGAGCTCCTCCTGCTCCCCTCCCTCACCTGGTACTGGCCCAGTCCGAGGGCCGGGCTCTGGAGCTGTTGGATGATGGCCTCGTCGAAGTAGCCGTTCTTCTCCCACAGCTGAAGGAGCTGTGGGAAACCAAGAGGGAGAGAGGGGCTGTTATTGGGCTCTGGGGCTCCAGGCAGGGCCCTGGGCACCCCCGAGGCCACGCCAGGGCGGCTCACCCGGGCAATCTTCTGCTGTTTGTCCTCCTCCACGGCCAGGAAGCTGGTGCAGTAGATGGGGACCACCACTTTCTGCAAGGCGGCCAGGAGGTCCCGCTGTTGCTTCCGCTGGCTGGGAAGGAAGAGAGAAGAGGGGGAGCTTCAGAAGGTTTGGCCTGAGGTTCAGTTTGTTGCCCTCTGGGGGTTTGGGGGTCCTGCCCTCCGGAGCAGAAGGAAACAGACTGGCTCCACCTTGCCTGCAGATATCTCTGGTTATCTCCTGCTTGGACTACTGCCATGCGCTCTCTGTGGGGCTGCCTTTGAAGGTGACCAGGAAACTACAACTAATCCAGAATGCGGCAGCTAAACCGGGGACTGGGAGTGGAGACCATATAACACCGGTCCTGAAAGACCCACATTGGCTCCCAGGACATTTCCAAGCACAACTCAAAGGGTTGGTGTTGACCTTGAAAGCCCTAAACGGCCCAGCAGACCCAGTAGAGGCAGGATCTCACCAGTGGTGGAGGACGTCGTTGATCAGGTAGATCAAGTGGAGGCGCAACTCGAAATGCGCCCCCTCGGCGGTGATGCGGTTGCGCAGGTGCCCGGCCATCAGCTCGCAGTGCTGTGGGGACTTAGCGTTGCTGAACATCCAGTTCTTGCCGGCCTGAGGATAACAAAAGGGAACAGTCAGAGGCAGCCAAGAGGAGAAAGTGCCCCACAAAGTCAAGAAGGGAGATTCCCTGGAGCAGCAATGCCTCTGGGGTGAGGTTAGGTTTTTCATTTTATATTCCCTTATTTTATTTTCCCTTTAATTTTTTTTGGGGGGGGGGCCAAGAGTGTGGCCCTAAGCTGGAGCTTGCTTAGCTGATACGTAAATCCGGCACTGGCATAGATAGATGAGAGAGCGAGAGAGATGATAGATAGATGATAGATAATATTTTGGAAATGTATATCCAGTTGTTTTTTTCCTTTAAGTTTTTGGGGGGACCCAACAGAGTGGGACCTTAAGCTAGAGCCTGTTTAGCTTATACATAAATCCGGCACTGGCATAGATAGATAGATAGATAGATGACAGAGAGAGAGAGAGAGAGAGAGAGAGAGAGAGAGAGAAAGAAAGAAAGAAAGAAAGGAAGAAAGAGTGTGAGAGAACTGATACATGAGAGATAGAGAGATGATAGATAGATAGATAGATGATAGATAATATTTTGGAAATGTATGTCTAGTTGTTTTTTTCCTTTAATTTTTTGGGGGGACCCATTAAGAGTGGGGCCCTAAGCTAGAGCTTGCTTAGCTTATACGTAAATCCGGCACTGGTCTTCAGGGAGAATCCACAGCTGGACCCAAGAGCGCATCCTCTGGGGCAGAGTGCTACGACATGTGGACTTTGACGCCTTTTGGGGGCAGCCCCCCTGCGACACCAGGATGCAACCCCACCCACCCCCGAGCCCCACCTACCGAGATGGCGTCTTTGGTGCAGGTGTCGATGATGGGCTGGAGCAAGTTGTCGAACTCGTTCATGTCCAACTGGGTCTCCTCCAGGACCTTCTGCATCTGCTGTTCCACGGCCAGCGCGATGGCGGAAGTGATTTGCTCCTGGGGGTGGGGGGAGCGACAAGGGTCTTGAAGGCAGAGCTGGGTGGCGAGAGAGCGTCCCCCACCCACACCCACCTCCGAGCGAGGCCCTGGCCCCTTGAGGGCTACTGCGCCCCTTAACGGACTGGGATGCAGTTGTAAATACAGTGGTACCTCGGGTTAAGTACTCAATTCGTTCCAGAGGTCCGTTCTTAACCTGAAACTGTTCTTAACCTGACGCACCACTTTAGCTAATGGGGCCTCCTGCTGCCGCCGCGTGATTTCTGTTCTCATCCTGAAGCAAAGTTCTTAACCTGAGGTACTATTTCTGGGTTAGCGGAGTCTGTAACCTGAAGCATATGTAACTTGAAGCGTATGTAACCCGAGGTACCACTGTACTGACATTGGGACCGCTGGAGCGGATGGGGGGAAGTTGACTTTGAACTGACTTTTATCTAAGTTTATAATTTTTTAAAACAAACCAAATAGAAATTTAAAAAAAGAAAAAGTACAAAAATGCAAGTGTGCAGAGTAAAACGCAAAAAAAAAGAAGAAACGAGAAATAGCACCCATGTAGAAAACAAAACAGAAGAAGAACAATACGTATATATATTGAGCCAAGAGCCCTTGCTTGCTTGCCCTCACCTGTCTCAGAGCCAGCAGGTGCTGCTCCTGTTGCTGGAGGTTCCACAGGCTCTGCTGGATCAGCTCCTCCATGGAGGGGGTGCCCTGCGGTGTGGCGATGGGGGCAGCTGTCGCGGCCAGGGCGGGCTGGGGCAGCGGCTGGATCTGTGGGGTGGGCTCCAGATCTTGGCTCTGCTTACACAGCACTGAAAGGGAGGGGAGGGAGATAGGAGCCCATCAAGGAGGGACGCCACTCACTTGGGTCAACAGTTCCAAACCCTGCGCCAACTCAGGGGTGTTGCGTGGGCTGCGGGTGCCCCTTCCAATAATAATAATAATAATAATAATAATAATAATAATAATTTATTTATACCCTGCCCACTCTGGGAGCTCCCAACAGAAATAATAATAATGCGATTTAAAAACTTCCCTAAACAGGGCTGCCTTCAGATGCCTTCTAAAAGTCAGATAGTTGTTTATTTCCTTGACATCTGATGGGAGGGCGCCACCACCGAGAAGGCCCTCTGCCTGCTTCCCTGCAACCTCGCTTCTCGCAGGGAGGGAACCACCAGAAGGCCCTCGGGAGATGGACCCAGGCGTCCGGGCTGAATGATGGGGGTGGAGACGCTCCTTTAGGTCTACTGGGCCTTTGAGGCCATTTAGGGCTTTCAAGGTCAGCCCCAACCCTTTTTATTGGAAAAAAAGATGGCAAAACAACTCCAATGATATGCGATGAGCCGGGTTGTGAGCCCCTGCAGCAAAACTCACATTTGATTCGGCAAAGGTCGGCCGGTCCCAAGCCAAAAGGAGGGTCGGCCAGAATTTGCAAGGGGGGGGTTTCAAAGGGAAGGAAATTCTTTCCCCAAAAAAGGTCGGGAGAGAACCAAGGATTCCATGAAGCCCCTCTCTCTACCCAGTGCCAGATGCCAGGGCGAGTGCCTGGCACCCTTTGAAAACTGATACGTGCCATACCGATATATCGAAATGTTCTACAGGGTTGTGGCTACTAAAAAGTCTCCCGCTAGCGGCCCCCCCACCACCCTGGCCCCCCAAACTCACGCTGCTGCTGTTCCAGGGCCAGCTTGTACTTGTAGTAGCCGTAGAAGTCGCCCCCGAAGAGGAAAGAGAACTTGGGGTTCTCCTTCTGCTTCTCCATGGTCATCTTCTCGAACTCGGGGCCGTTCCGCGCCACAAACTGAGCCAGCTTGTCGATGACATTGCGGAGCTCCTGGTCTGGGGTTGGCAGGGGGTGGGAAGGAAATTGGAGGACCAGTCAAGGCTTGTGTCAAAGAAAAGGTCCTGACTTTCAGCTCTTTGCTGGGTCACAGGGAGCAAACTAGCACAAAATCCTCAGGAGCCACACGGTAACACCTTCCAAAGCGTTACTCATAGCCCCATATCTACCTACAGTGGCGCCTTGGTTTCAGAACAGCTTAGTTTATGAACAACTTGGATTAAGAACACTGCAAACCCGGAAGCAGGAGTTTTGGTTTGTGAGCTTTGCCTTGGAAGCAGAACATGTTCTGCTTCCTGCTGAGTGTAAATTGAGTCCTCCGCTGCTATGGGAAAACACACCTTGGTGGAAGAACGGTTTTGGTTTAAGAATGGAATTCCAGAACTGAGTAAGTTCGTAAACCAAGGTACCACTGTAGATAGATAGATATGGGGCTATCAATAGATAGATAGATAGAGAGATATAGATAGATAGATAGATAGAGATATAGGGCTATCAATAGATAGATAGATAAATAGATGATAGAGAGATAGATGAGATAGATGAGATAGATAGATAGATAGATAGATAGATAGATATGTGGCTATCGATAGATAGATAGACAGACAGACAGATATGGGGCGATCAATAGATAGAAAGACAGACAGACAGACAGATAGATAGATAGGGGCTATCAACAAATAGGTAGGTAGATATGGGGCTGCCCTTTGATTCTCAATCCCAGAACCCCTCCCTTGGTGTGACTCCAATGCACCTGTAGGCCCCTGCCAAAGGCTACTTCCGCTTGCCCCCCACCCATCCAAGCGCAAGATTTCGATCCTTTTCTTTTTCTTTTTACTGTATTGTCTCATTTTATTAATTTGATTTAATATTTAATTCAATTCGTTTTTCCTCCCCCCCCCGGTCAGCCTCCTACTCGGAGCAGGCATTCGATCTCATCCCCTTAACTTCTTCTATTTTTATTATTTCGTCCCTCCCTCTCAGTTCCATCTACAGCACTCAGAACATTTAATGGCAGATGAAGATGATGGATTTTTCGGAGCTAGCCGACCTAACCGGAAGAGTCCACGACCAGGAGGAGGAGGAATATCAGGAAGAATGGAATAAATTTAATGACTATTTAGTTAAATTCGTTAAGTTAAAATAACCGGAAACAGCTTGCAGATACTTAATAGGCTTAGGATTTTGTTTATGTTGAGCGATGAATTAATATGTTTAATTCTATAAGGTGAAGATTTAAGGATGTTAATGTTTAAGTTAAATTTCATAAAAATTGGGATTTGGAAAACCGTTCAAAGGACAGGCAATGAAATTCAACCAAGGGGAAGCGAGGAAGACACTTAACAAAGTTAATAAGTGTAATTTTCAATAAGGCGATGATTTATGTTTGTTATGTTTGTTAATAATATTGTGAAAACCAACAAAAAAATTTTTGGGGAAAAAAACCAGAACATTTAATTTAACGGATTTTATAATTTCGTTATTTCTTTCCACCCCTCTCTGTTCCTGCGGGTCCCAACCACGATCAGTCTCCCCTACTCAGAGTAGACCTATTGACATGCAAGGGGGGGTTTGTCCTCGGGGGTTCAGTTATTTTGGGGGGGTCTACTCTGAGTAGGGGGCGTGGCTAAAGGAGGGGACCCCCCTTTATTTCCCCCCTGGGGGTCTCTCACAGGAAGAGGCGAGGGGGGGGTCGGGAAATGGGGGGGGCTCCTCGTGCTCCTGCCCCAACCGGACCTCTGAGCATACGCAGAGTGCCTGAGAGGGAGACCCCCCCACCCCTCCCCCTCACGTGACCCCCCCAACCCCCCCAAGGGGGGGACACACACACTCACCTTCGGGCGGCGGCGGCAGCGGCATCTCCATGGCGGCGGCGGCGGCGACTACTCGAGCAGCGCCTCCGAATGGCTCGCTAGGCCCCGGGCGGCCGTCAAGCGCGGCGGCGGCTGCTGGAAAAGGGGGCGGCGCTTCGCGACGGCGGCCGCCAAGCGCGGTTGCCGTGGAGACTGACTGGAGCCACGCCCACCCGCCGCGTTCCATTCCGAGGGAGGGGAGAGGGGAAGTTGCGCGCGCAGCTCCATTCATAAGGAAGCGGCGCCTCATTCATCAGGCTGCGAGGAGAGCGCGGCGGAGGTTATATAGAGGCAGGGATGCCCTGGCGGGGTTAGGAATTAGATAAGCAAGCCCCCCAAAAAATTAAAGGGGAAAAAACAAGCTGGATGGACATTTCCAAGATATAATTATCTATACTTATATAGATAAGTTCAAGAAGGACACTGACAAACTGGAACGTGTTCAGAGGAGGGCAACCAAAATGGTCAAAGGCCTGGAAACGATGCCTTATGAGGAACAGCTAAGGGAGCTGGGCATGTTTAGCCTGGAGAAGAGGAGGTTAAGGGGTGATATGATAGCCATGTTCAAATATATAAAAGGATGTCACATAGAGGAGGGAGAAAGGTTGTTTTCTGCTGCTCCGGAGAAGCAGACACGGAGCAGCGGATCCAAACTACAAGAAAGAAGATTCCACCTAAACATTAGGAAGAACTTCCTGACAGTAAGAGCTGTTTGACAGTGGAATTTGCTGCCAAGGAGTGTGGTGGAGTCTCCTTCTTTGGAGGTCTTTAAGCAGAGGCTTGACAACCATATGTCAGGAGTGCTCTGATGGTGTTTCCTGCTTGGCAGGGGGTTGGACTCGATGGCCCTTGTGGTCTCTTCCAACTCTATGATTCTATGATACTTTTCTTTCTTTCTTTCTTTCTTTCTTTCTTTCTTTCTTTCTTTCTTTCATCTATCTATCTATCTATCTATCTATCTATCTATGCCAGTGTCGGATTTACATATAATAATAATAATAATAAATTTTATTTATATCCCACCCTCCCCAGCCGAAGCCAGGCTCAGGGCAGCTAACAACAACAAAATAGTGCAACATTCTAAAAACATTTCATTATAAAAATTAATTAAAATCCAATTGATGGCAACCTTTAAGCTTAAGTTCTGTAATGATTGCCAGAGGAGGGAGTCAGGCTGCGCCCTGACCAAAGGCCTGGTGGAACAGCTCTGTCTTGCAGGCCCTGTGGAAAGATGTCAAGTCCCGCAGGGCCCTAGTCTCTTGTGACAGAATACGTTAAGCAAGCCCCCCAAAAAATTAAAGGGGAAAAAAACAACCTGGATGGACATTTCCAAAATATAATTTTCTTTCTTTCTTTCTATGCCAGATTTATGTATAAGCCAAAGAAGCTCTAGCTTAGGGCCCCACTCTCTTGGGGGCACGCAAAAAAATTATAAAGGAGAAAAAAACAACCTGGATTTCCAAAACATTATCTATCTATCTATCTATCTATCTATCTATCTATCTATCTATCTATGCCAGTGTTGGATTTACGTATAAGCTAAACAAGGGGGACGCGGGTGGCGCTGTGGGTTAAACCGCAGAGCCTAGGACTTGCCGATCAGAAGGTCGGCGGTTCGAATCCCCGCAATGACGGGGTGAGCTCCCGTTGCTCGGTCCCTGCTCCTGCCCACCTAGCAGTTCGAAAGCACAAAGTGCAAGTAGATCAATAGGTACCGCTCCGGCGGGAAGGTAAACGGCGTTTCCGTGCGCTGCTCTGGTTCGCCAGAAGCGGCTCAGTCCTGCTGGCAACATGACCCGGAAGCTGTACTCCCTCGGCCAGTAAAGCGAGATGAGCGCCGCAACCCCAGAGTCGGCCACGACTGGACCTGATGGTCAGGGGTCCCTTTACCTTTTTAAACAAGGTATAGCTGAGGGCTCCACTCTCTTGGGGCCCAAAAAAATTTTTAAAGGGGAAAAAAACCCTGGATGTACATTTCCAAAACATAAAAAACAAATAAATTAAAACCTACATACAGCAACAGTGTTTCATGTTGTGTAGTCTCCTATTTTGTTATGTGCAAATGGGTTTAGATACCTGTTAGGGCCATAGATTACGATATAGCATATATTCAACACAAAAAAGAGCGACAATTTGTTGTTGACAAAGGACAGCCGGACATAGAATGGGCCCCGTTACCTTCAGTAGCTTAGGACCTCATCAAACCTAAATTCGGCCCTGGTCTCCCATGCAAGTGTTTGGACCATAGGCGTAGCCAAGAAGACTCCATACAGGAAAGTTTCGATTCTTGCAGAATTCAGGTTTATTTACATTTTTGATATTTTAAAAGCATAATTACAACACACCCTTTTTTCCATTTTAACTTTTTTTTTAAAGTTTGCAGGCTTAAAAAAGAAAACCATTAACTTTTCTTTCTTTTCTTTTTTAAGTTTGCAGGGGCTTAAAAAAAGAAAAAGACAAACCACGGTTCCTGTACATCAGAAGAAACAAACTTGTAAGAAGTTCCTCGTACTTAAGGGCTAGGAGGGAACACTGTTGCTAAAAACATGTACACCTGCACCTATCAATTAAGAAACTTCCCTCCGGAAATCGCCCACATAATTTACAAATGATCGAGGCTCCGGTCCGGAGTTTCTCAAACTTGGGTCGGTCCCCAGCTGTCCCCATCGTCCCTGACCACTGGTCCTGCTAGCTACGGATGATGAGAGTTGTAGTCTGTTCAGAAAACAGCTGCAAGGCACCAGGTTGCCTCTGGAGTCAGGAGACGGATTGGAGTATTCGTTTTGGGGGCAGAGGCAACTAATAAACTGCTCTGCCATTTCCCTCCTGAAGATGCTGATTTTAGACAAGAGGGAATCCCACCCGCCCCCCAGTCCTGGACCTGACAGCCTCCACACACCCCATTACCCCTCGCCCATCGCTTTCTCCCAGGCCACCTGAGACCACGGGGGGGGGGGGGCTTTGGCCATGAAAGGACCACCGGCTACACCTCCAACTGGCCGCAAAGGAAGTGTTTGCATTTCGCAGCCAGGTCGGCAGGGAAAGGAAGTAAGAGAGGGGGGTCAAACTTCGGTTAATTTTGCAAAAAAATAAAAATACGATGCTCCGTCGACGCGGAGATTTTGAAAAGCAGATTCTTCTCTGAACAAGACCCCTTCCTCCCGGGCGGTGGTTTTGCTTCTTCGGAGAAGGGGCAGAGGTTTCTCGACACGCTCCAAACCAAATAAAATGGCAACATCCGGGCGGAATATATATATATATACACAAGGACTCAAGCGCTCCGCCTTCCCTCCCCTTATAGATATAACACACTCAACACGCAAACACGCAGCTCCCTGGCAAACAGGCCGAGGGGCGGCAAAAGAACCGGAACAGCCGCAGGGCTGGGAAAACCCCGCCATTTCGGACGGGGCAATGATGGGGGCTTTGACAGCTGGATCTGGGGCTAGCGGAGACTTTGGGGGGCAACTGGGGCAGGCAAGCCCTTCCTGAAGAGTTGCTCGCCTTGGGGAGAGGCAAGCTCTGAATGGGAAAAGCTTGGTGCCGTGTCTGGTGTCCTGCTCTCCTAAGAAGGGATCTCGTCATCGCTGAGAGAGGGGAAGAAAGCCACCAGATGAAGCGAGAGACTGTTATCTGTGGGGAAAGGCACAAAATTTGCCCACATCGGGACCCCCCGCTGCCTCGAAGAGCAGCTGCTCCCCACCTACGGCTTGCTCCCTCTCCTCTCCAAGCTGCTTTCTAAAATGAGACTCTCATCGGGTGTGTACGTATTAGAAAGCAAAACAGAGAGGGCAGGCGTGAAACTGTTCCCCTGCTTGTATCCAAGGCCGAAGAAGAGGGCTGGCCTCTTGAGACCTCCTGTCTCGGGGTCTCCAAAGCTTCCCCCCTCCTCTTTCCCTTTGGCCAAGGCAGAAACATGATTACAAAACTCAGACGAAGAGACCTACTCATTTCAGACAAAGCCCCGATGGCAGAAACAGCTCCAGGACGTAGGAGAAGGCAGAGGAGGGGTCTGTGTCGGACAGCGAAGGTGCGAATGGGACGAAACCGTGCAGAGAATTACGCACGGATTTATTTCAAAAGGGGTTTCCGGGTTGGAAGTCTTAACGGCCCCACCCGCTGTGGACCCCCTTTGGAAGGCCGGAGAGGAAGAAAGCAAATTGGCTCCAAATCTTCCCTGTTGCCCAGTGCTACTTCGCAGACACACTAAACTTAATAGGCCCGGCAAATCCATTCATTTTTAAAGGCTGAAATCTAGTTTTGCAACCCCAAAAAAGAGCCCTTTCCTAAATGAGCAGTTTTGCTGCAGGCGGGGACGTCATCAAAGGGTTCCTAGACCTCATGATTTAAAAAACAGGATCGGGGCACGAACAGGGAGAGGGAACGTTTAAGAAGCGTATCTCTAAATTTCTCACACGTCGCTCGGCGTAACATGATTATTATTTTAAAACAGATGGCCGCTCTCTCTCAGTATCTCTTTGCGACGGTCAGAAGCCGGAGCAGAAGGCAGCTACAAACTCGACTACACACACACACACACACAAAACCTCGCAACGGCTGCGGGATACAAGAAGCGGCCTGCTCCTCCGCAGGGAGGAGAGAAAGACGCTTCTTGCAAATTGCACTTTGAAAACAGCAGCAGAGCTCGGCCTCAGCCGACCCGGAGCCTCGCAGGGAGCTCTGCGGGTGCTGACGGGTGTCCGGAGCGCCCCGAGGGCACCAGGTTGGCAAAGGCCGGTGCAGCTGCCAGACAAAGCAACCGAAACAATAAAAAAGTTAGAGTGCAACCCAAATGAAAACGAAACAAAAATCCGTACGGGGGAAAAGGAAAAATAGAATACTGGCCATCTTTCTGCTGCCCCCAGTGGGTTCAGGGGCAACCGCAGAGGCCCAGGCTGGGCTTGGGGGGCTCAGCCGTGATCCGCACCCGTGTCCCTGGGCAGAAAGTTGATCAGCATGCAGCTGCCCTCCTCCTCCGTTCCAAGTGCACACACGGTCCTCCTCTCCTCCTGCTCACGGGGAGTCCCGGCCCACAAACGTACACTCCCAAGTGCTTGAGGACCCTTCTCCGTCCTGGGAGAGTCCCGGGTTCTGCCGGCCGGGACGGAGCCTCTCGCTAGATGTCGTAGCGGCTGGAGCTGTACATCGCGGGGTAGTTCTGCCGGCTGTACTGGAAGTGGTCTGCCAGGACGCCGCCGCCTCCCCCTCCCCGGTTGCCGTACTGGAAGTCCCCGCCGTGGTGGTGCAGGAAGGAGGAAAGTCCGTTCTGGCTCTTCTCCTGGGGGCTTCTGTGGCGCTCCAGGCCGCCGGGGAGGTCTCCCGTCGTGATGGGCAGCAGCTGCTTCTTCCTCTCCTGGTTGGCGTCGTATTTGGTCTGCGGGGAGAAAAGCTTCCCATCAGGCTCCCTTTCGGAGAACCGGGAGGTCTCCCCCAAAGGTCATCCAGCCCAACCCTCTATATTAATATGTATTCTATGTATTAAAAAAGAGAACGGAAAACACAGAAACGCGAAGGACAGCGAAGGTAACAGACGGCAATTGGCTACGAAGGCAACGCTCTCCCTCCCTCCACTGTCAGAGACAGTATACTGGGGAATCGTGAGCAGGGAGTGCTGCCTGCCCCACCAAAAAAAAAAGAGGCACCTACCTTGTTGTACAAGAAGACTCCCAGGATGGCAGTCATCATTCCCAGGACGTTGGTGGAGGTCACGGGGTTTCTGAGCATGAGGAGAGAGACGCTGATGACCGTGATCCTCTTGGTGGCGTTGGCGACCGAGTAGCTCAGGGGGCTGATGAGGTTGAGGATGCTGAAGGCGATGACGTTCTGGGCGAAGTTGCAGAAGCCGCTGATGGTGAGCAGGAGCAGGGTCCACGGCCAGTGGGCCATCGAGCTCTGCAAGGGAGGCAGGGTTCAAGGGACAGCGGGGAGTTTCCCCACCAGCCCCGCGGTCACTCCCGGGGGCTGTCGAGACTCCGGTAGAAATAATAAAAAATAATAGTAATAATTTATTACAGTGGCACCTCCGCCCCGTCGAGCGCCCATTCCGTCGGACGTCCGTGGCAAACCCAGAAGTACCGGAACGGGTTACTACCGGGTTCGCCGCTCACGCATGCGCAACACTTTGTCCAGCGTCCTGGGGTTTGCCAGTGACTGGGGCTCCGGAATGGATCCCGGTCGCAAAACGAGGTACTACTGTACTTATACCCTGCCTATCTGGCTGGGCTTCCCCAGCCACTCTGGGCGGCTTCCAACAGAATATTAAAAGCACAATAGAACATCAGGCATCAAAAACTTCCCTCAACAGGGCTGCCTTCAAATGTCTCCAAAAAGTCAGATAGTTGTTTATTTCCTTGACATCTGATAGGTGGGCGCCACTACCAAGAAGGCCCTCTGCCTGGTTCCCTGCACCCTCACTTTTCGCAGGGAGGGAACCGCCAGAAGGCCCTCGGGAGATGGACCCTGGTGTCCGCGCTACAGATGCTCCTTCAGGTCTACTGGGCCTTTGAGGCCGTTTAGGGCTTTCAAGGTCAGCACCAACCCTTTGAATTGTGCTTGGAAACGTCCTGGGAGCCAATGTGGGTCTTTCAGGACTGGTGTTATATGGTCTCCACTCCCAGTCCCCAGTCTAGCTGCCGCATTCTGGACTGGTTGTAGTTTCCGGGTCACCTTCAAAGGGAGCCCCACAGAGAGGAAGGGAAAGGGGCTCCCCGCCCCAGGAACTCACCAAGTCGTTCTCAACCAGGAAGGCAGAGAGATCGACCAGAACCCAGGTGGGGATCATGAAGAAGACCGCGTGGCAGCCCAGAATGTTCAGCAAGCGCAGGTGGTGGATCCGGGAGTCCCTCAGCACCTGCGAGGATGGAAAAAGAGATCAGGGACGGGCACTTTCGACTTGCTTCCCCCTCCTGCTCAGCACCCACAGGGAAAAAGAGGCCGGTCTCTGTGCCCCACACAGAGCGCTGCCTCACTTGAATTCACTGGGAAAAGGAGGATGGGGCGGTTGTGGGAGATGGCTTGTAACGAACATGTTCTAACAGATCATTTCCCCCAAAAGGACCAGGGGCATTTCTCCTAGAAATAACTCCTCCTAGGAGTCAGGCATCCAACGCAATCCGTTCCGGAAGACCGTTCGATTTCCAATAAACGTTCGACAACTAAGGCCCAACGGGTAGGTGGCAATTTCAACGGAGAAAAAAACAAGCCTTGGAAGCAGTTTGATTTCCGAGGCAAGTTCGAAAACGGAAGCAACTACGTCTGGGTTATCGGCACCCGGGTTCCAAATCGTTCTGCTCCCGAGACGCTCAAAAACTGAGGTTCCACTGTATTAGGGGCATCTCGGATCTTACAGGCTCAAAAATGGAGAGGTGCAAGGATGGTAACGCTCTAGACTCTAGGTTACGATGCCTATTATCTTCCACAAACCACCACCACCACCAGGGCACCACTGGTTCTTCTGCACCCCAAGCGCCAGTGCGATTTAGCCGGAATGGGCAGGGGCTGGTTTTGGGCTGGCAAAAGATTCCCAGGCCCAAGGCAGCCATTCCAGATTCTGTCCCTGAGGCCGGTGGCGCAGCTGTCCCTGCCGAGCAGAACGCGAGAGGCAACGTGGACGGTACCTTTTTGGAGAAAATGTTCTGGAGGGAGAAGCAGAGCGTGGCAGCCAGGGCACTGATGAGCCCCCACGTGTCGAAGGACAGCTCCGTGACCGTGGCCAGCAGGACACCCCCGATGATGGGGATGAGGGATAAGTACACCTGGGGGGAGGAAGGAGGGGAAAAGCACTTCAGGTGGGAAAGAAGCGCCGTAAAATCACTATCCCAAAGATAATAAAAATAACTTGTTTGTTGTACCCTGCCCACCTGACTCGGTTTCCCCAGCCACTCTGGGCAGCTCCCAACAGAATATTAAAAAGACGATGAAACATCAAACATTTAAAACTTCCTGATACAGGGCTGCCTTCAGATGTCTTCTAAAAGTCAGGTAGTTCTTTCTCTCCTTGACATCCGATGGGAGGGAATTCCACAGGGCGGGCGCCACCACCGAGAAGGCCCTCCGCCTGCTTCCCTGTAACCTCACTTCTCGCAGGGAGGGAACCGCCAGAAGACCCTCGGGAGGAGGACCCCGGTATCCGGGGTGGAGACGCTCCTTCAGGGATACTGGGCCATTTAGGGCTTTAAAGGTCACCACCAACACTTTGAATTGTGCTCAGAAACGTACTGGGAGCCAATGTCAATTTTTCAGGACTGGAGTAATATGGTCCCAGCAGCCGCACCCAGTCACCAATCTGGGAGGTGCCTTCTAGATTAGTTGATAGTTTCCGAGTCACCTTCAAAGGGAGACCCTCCCATAGAGCGCATTGCAGCAGTCCCAAGTGGGAGATAACCAGAATACGAACCACTCTGGCGAGTTAGACAACCGCCCTGGAGGCAGAACTGACCTGCGCCTCCATGGACAGCTGTGAGTCCGAAATGACCCCCAGGCCGCGCACCTGGTCCTTCAGGGGCACAGTGACCCCATTCAGGTCCAGGGAGTTTGTCTCCAGAAAGAAGGGCGGCGTCTCGCCCACCGTTCCTCCTCCCTCCTCCTCCCTCTTACCTTGGTTGTCTGCTTCTCCTTCATGATGATTCTCGACAGCAGCACCACCCAGATAGGCATCGTCGCTTTGACTGAAAGGAGAAGGAGGTTAGAGAGGCAGAAGAGAAGCTAGAAGAGGAGACTGGCGAGGAGGAACGCAGGGAGCTGTAGGTCCAACAAGCTCAGGACTGTCTACACCAACTGGCAGCCATGGCTGTGCAGGTTCTCAGGCAGGTATCTCTGCTAGCCCCAGCTGGATATGGGGGCTAGGGTTGAACCCGGGACTTCTGCATGCAGAGGGGGACAGAAGCCCATGGGAAACACGAGGGAGAATGACTGCACAGCGTGAGTCCTCACTCTCACAAGGGACCACAAAACCAAAGCAGGCAGGAAGCCACCCAATATTTCAGCCCCTTACTTGGGTTGTATCCCATCTAAGACATTTACACAGAGCAAACACAGTGAGGTTAATGGGCAGAATGTGGTCATGTCCAACAGGTTTAATAAATAAAATACTCAAGAGCTTGACAAATGCTAGATTTGACCCACTATTTATTACTGTGGTTAACAGGAGAATGCTTTTTCTTTCCCCAGAAAAAGAAACACCCTCAAAACCAATTATTTCAATGCGGCTGGCACCAAGAAGGCCCCGTCATGGGCTGGTGGCGTTGAAAGCCCCAGATCTGCCATTCCAGGATCAACTTTTCTTTCTTTCTTTCTAGGAGAACTCTGCACATTCCCAGGAGCAGCAGGATGTGGAGGGCCTGCCCCCTTTGTAGGGCTGGACTAGATGATCGAGGGGCCCCTCCCACATCTGCAATTCTAGGATCAACTTCTTCCTCCCTCCCGTCCTTTCCAGGCACTCTGCACATTCCCAGGAGCAGCAGGGTGCGGAGGGCCTGCCCCCTTTGTAGGGCTGGACTAGATGATCGTGGGGGTGCCCTCCCAAATCTGCAATTCTAGCATCAACTTCTTTCTTTCCAGGCACTCTGCACATTCCCAGGAACAATGGGGCACGGAGGACCTGCCCCCTTTATAGAGCTGGAATAGATGATCGTGGGGGTGCCCTCCCAAATCTGCCACTCTAGCATCAACTTCCTTAGTTCCAGGCACTCTGCACATGCGCAGGAGCAGAGGACCTGCCCCCTTTGTAGGGCTGGACTAGATGATCGTGTGGGTGCCCTCCCTATTCTGCAATTATAGCATCAACTTCTTTCTTTCCAGGCACTCTGCACATTCCCAGGAGCAGAGGACCTGCCCCTTTTGTAGGGCTGGACTAGATGATCGTGGGGGTGCCCTCCCTATTCTGCAATTATAGCATCAACTTCTTTCTTTCCAGGCACTCTGCACATTCCCAGGAGCAGAGGACCTGCCCCTTTTGTAGGGCTGGACTAGATGATCGTGGGGGTGCCCTCCCTATTCTGCAATTCTAGCATCAACTTCTTTCTTTCCAGGCACTCTGCACATTCGCAGGAGCAGAGGACCTGCCCCCTCTGTAGGGCTGGACTAGATGACCGTGGGGGTGCCCTGCCAATTCTCCCTCCCTCCCCAGGCCCTCTGCCCATGCCCCGGAGCCCCCGTACCGGTGTGGGCGTAGGAGACGGGCACCCTCCAGAGGGAGACGTGGGCGGAGACGGAGGCCAGGTACTTCCCGAAGGCGAGCGGGAGGATGAGCCTGGGGTAGGCGCGGGGGGGCAGCTGGGCGGGGCTGGCGGCGGGCACGCGCCAGGCGCGCAGCAGGGGGGGCAGCAGCGCCACCAGGCCCAGCACGTGGCAGAGCGAGACGGTGACGGGCCGCGGGAAGGCGCCCAGCAGCACCTTGTTGACCACGTTGCCGCCCGCGCTCAGCGCGTACCAGGCCAGGCCCAGCGCGGGCACGCGGAAGACCCCGGCGGCGGCGGGGCGCGCCTCCCCTCGGGGCGTCGGGGGCGCGCCCGGGGACGCGCCGGGAGGGAGGGCCGGCGAGGAAGGGGGCAGCAGGGCCGGCGGAGGAGGCAGCAGCAGCGGCGACGAAGACGACGCCATCCCCAGCCGGATCCGGCCCCTCGCGGCCGCCGCTCGCTCCCCGGCGCGCTCCGACGCGTCACTTCCGCCCGGCGACGGAAGCGGACGTGGCTACGGGAGCCGAGCGGGGACAAGCGGCCGGAAGAGGCGGAGGGCCGCGCCCACGAGGGGGCGGGGACCGAGGAGGGGCGTCGTGACGTCATAGGCCGCGCCCACAAAGGGGCGGGGCCTGGGAAAGAGAGGGCGGGGCCTGCCGCCGCCTGAGAGCCATTACTTCCTCTTCCTGCTCTTATGATTTTATGCATTTTCAATATTCTGAGATATATAACCTACACTTAATCTTTATTAGCCCTGTCTCCCTGGGCGAGGATTCTTATCAGTATCATAAAAATAAATAATAAATTTATTTATTATTATTATTACCAGTATTATTTGTTTATGCATTTTCAACATTATAATAATAATAATAATTATAATAATAAATTTTATTTATACCCCGCCCTCCCCAGCTCAGGGCAGCTAACACCAATAAAACTACAAGTAAAAACATAATAGGAAAAGAAAAAAGAAAAAACAATTTAAAATACAGATTAAAAGGCAGCCTCATTTTAAAAGTAGCCCTTAGATCAAAACCAGAAGGGGAGGGAAACATAAGGGTCAGACTGAGTCCGAACCAAAGGCCAGGCGGAACAGCTCTGTCTTGCAGGCCCTGCAAAAAGATGTCAAGTCCTGCAGGGCCCTGGTCTCTTGGGACAGAGCGTTCCACCTGACTGGGGCCAAGGCAGAAAAGGCCCTGGCTCTGGTCGAGGCCAGTCTAACCTCCTCGAGGCCCATGACCTCCAAGATGTTTTCATTTGTGGTCCTTAAGGTCCTCCACGGGGTATACCAGGAGAGGCGGGCCCGTAGGTACAAGGGTCCTATGTACCTATTATTTATACCCCGCCCATCTGGCTGGGTTTCCCCAGCCACTCTGGGCGGCTCCCAACAGAATATTAAAAACACGACAAATATTAAAAACACGACAAAGCACCAAACATTAAAAATGTCCCTAAACAGGGCTGCCTTCAGATTCCTTCTAAAAGTCAGATAGTTGTTTATTTCCTTGACATCTGATGGGAGAGGGTGCCACCACCGAGAAGGCCCTCTGCCTGGTTCCCTGTAACCTCGCTTCTCACAGGGAGGGAACCGCCAGAAGGCCCTCGGCGCTGGATCTCTGTATCTGGGATGGATGACGGGGGTGGAGACAATCTCCCTCAGCTACGAATGATCGCCAAAGAAGATATACGACTTACATTTATCTGTATTAGTCCCGTCTCCTTAGACAAGCATTATTCATCTTATTATATTATGTGTATACAGTACTATATCCTCAGGTCTCAGTCTAGTTCACGACGTAAGCCCTGGGACCGTCCACTGTGTTTCCCAAACTTGGGTCTCCAGCTGTTTTTTGGACCATGCACCTTCTTCATTGCAGTGCAAAGACGACCCCCCCCCCAAAAAAAAACGGATTCAAAGCATGCAGTGTTCAATTAAAATTAGCCAGAGACCACAAGAGGCAAAAATATACCCACTGGCACTTCTTGATTCTGCTACCTGAACTGGGTACCACCACAATGCAGGGTAAAGGCCCCCCCAGTGGTGAAAAAGAGGGGCGGGGGCTCTCCTCGCTTTTCTTTCCTTGCTCTGGGGTGCAGTGGTTTTAACAACTGAGAATATGCAGACGTTCGACAGAGGAAAACTTAATCTGCTGGGGAGGTAAAAATGAGGGGGGTTGAAGCTTCAGTTGCTGGATTTCTGCACAAAAACTGGTCCCAAGCAAAGCATGTCCCCCCCCCCAAACAAAACTTGGAGGTGGTGAGGTGCGCTTGCATTAAAAATAAACAAATCACTTACTTGGAAACCAGGGGCCGTGTTAATTGCAAACCCCTTTTGATTAAAAGAAAATTTTTAATAAAAAAAAAAAAATTGGTTCCTTTGGCACTGAAGTCCAAAAACAAATTTGCACACATCCCGTCTTCACTAACTTGCTCAAAGGAGATAGTGTCGTACCTTGGTTTTCAAACACCTTGGGAGTCAAATGTTTCGGCTCCCGGATGATCGAAAACCGGAAGTGATTGTTCCGGTTTTTGAACGTTCTTTGGAACGTCCGACATGGCTTCTGGCTTCCTGCAGGCAATCGGAAGCCGCGCCTTGCTTCCCAAACGTTTTCGGAAGTCGAATGGACTTCCAGAACAGATTCAGTCCGACTTCCAAGGCACCACTGTATTTCTAAAAGCAGACAAATAGCAAGGGAAGCGGGTAGGCGAAGCAAGTGACCTTCTGGATGTTACCTTTGGGACTCCCATCTCTTCCAGCCGGAAGGGCCAGCGGTCAGGGATTATGTTCCTGGACCGACATCAAAAGGGTCACAGCCTTCGACCCATCCCGGTTCTATAGATTGTAGGTACTTGACATGGTCCCCCTCTCTGGAGGTTATTGGACTACAATTCCCAGCACCACCAGCCAGTAAGAGAGGGTGGGAGCTGTAGTCCACTGACACCGCGCTGTAGGCCCAGGAGCGTCAGGGTGAGAAACGCACACCTCCTGGGATTCTCTGTACTGCCCTCGCCAGGCACTTTAGGCTACAACTCCCAGCAGACAGGGCTGATGGAAGCAGCAGGCACACACTACTACAACTCCCAGGACCGGCGGTCAGGGATGATGGGAACTGTAGTCCAGAATCAGATGGAGACTCAAGTCCTCCAGCTACAGGAAGCTGCCTTACTCAAGTCGGCCAACTTTCCGGGAACTTCCCTTTTTTCAAAAACGACAGCCCGTGCTTTTGTGCAAATTTTTGTTTTATTTCCACATGTATATCACAACGTGTCCACTTAAAGGACCAATAGCAAAGTTGCTCCCTTCTGCGTCCCAGGAACGCAGAAGTCTAGGATAGTTACTGTACATTCACTAAGGCTCTGTTTCGCTTCTGCAAGTCGCGCTTCTTCTTTTTCTTCTTCTCCCCATCTTTTTTTTTTAAAAAATTTTTTGTGATGGATCTCCATAAGGCAAACAAATTATCTAAAAAGGAATGGTAACAAGTGTATTTTCCAGCATTGCAGAACAGGCTTCGCCAATCTCTCTCTCTCTCTCTCTCCCCTCCTTTCACAGGACCTCTGTACGGTTCGGATTTTGCCTTTCTTTTTTAACATGGGGGGGCAACGGAGGAGAGAGGGCTCTTCCCCCTCCCTTGCCTCTCCCTAAAAAATGTGCAGAAAGAATTCCGGGAAGACACACTCAGGCTGGCGAAGGGTAGTGGGTCCAGCATTTCTTAGGATGAATCCAAAAATCTGATTAGAACCCACCAAGAAAGGAGGAAGGAAGGAAGGAAGGAAGGAAGGAAGGAAGGAAGGAAGGAAGGGATATTTGTGGAATGCTAACCTGAAGGTGGGCACTACCTCCTGCCTACCCTGGCAGACTGGCACCCCTCACCGCAAGCCACACGCCTTTTTCTGGAGACAGATGCGACGCCAGGAAGAACTACTGACCACAGGATTTTTGCACAGTTTCATCTCAAACCATCTCACTGCTGTTACTATTATCCTTACTCCCTTTCCAAGAAAGAAAACAAACAGAAACAAAATTGGGACAAAAATAAATAGGCTACGGCTACTCTTGGTTAAAACCTCCTGCTTCCCGCCATTCCTCTCCCCGCCTCCTGCCTGCCCTCGGATTTCGGCACCCGCCAATCACTGGAAAGAATCTTCACCTTTCGAAACGAAAATAAAATAAAAACCCTAACACTTTTTTTTCTTTTTGTGTTTTTTTCAGAGCTGGCTGGCTAAAGAGTTTGGAACTCTTTCCGTTGCCGCCGTTTAAATCAAACCTCTGTTCTGCGCCTCCTCCCGCTTTGCAATTTTGTTAGTAGACAGGTAGCAGCACTTCACAAAAAAAAAAGAATAATTAGAAAGAAACCTAGGGAAGAAGGAACTGCCGGGGTCCAGCTCTCTCTCTCTCACCCTCCCTCCCTCCCTCTCTCTTTCTCTCGCTGGATGAGCCTTTTTTTCAGCACAACAGGGGGCGCAGGGGTGGGCAGCCGTTGCCGCCGCACCCGCCTGCTCGCACCGAACTGCCCCTTGCGTCAGAAGCACCCCGGCGCTCAGTCCAGGCAGACGTAAGGCAGGACGTTGAGGCGCCCGTCGTCCCCGTGCGGGTCGAGGGATATTCCCTGCGTCCAATCATACCAGTTACCCTGTGTGTCGTAGCAACCATTCACGCCCGGCCAGTGGTGGCCGCAAATCCTGTCGAGGTCGCCCCGGGTCACCTCCCGGGTCACCCCGGGCAAGTCCGTGGGCTTGCTGTGGGGCGCCAGGACGTGGGTCTTGCGGGCGTCCCGGCGGGTGCTCTCCTCCTGCTTCAGGTACTCGGACATGAAGTAGTGAGCGCCCGGAGTCTGTACCCCGGAAGAGGAGAGCAAGCTGCTCTGCCGGTTCAAATAGGACTGGATAATCTCGTTCCGTGACAGCTCCTTCCAGTTGGTCTGCTCAAAGGGGCTTTGCAAGGAGGGCTTGGGCTCGGCGGCCTCCCCTGCGCCTGTCCTGTGCTGTTGCTCGGGGAGAGCGGGCGGGTGGGCTGCCGGCGCCGGCAAGGAGTCCCTCTGCGCCAGGGGCTTGATCTCGCCCGTCATGGGGTCAAAGGTCAGCCGCCGCTCCTTTTTTAACCGCACCGGCTTGACCCCCCCTTCCAGCGCCTGCCCGTCCAAGTTGACCACGTAGTCCTTGGGCCGGTACTTCTTCTTCTTCTTGCTGTCCGACCCCGAGGCGGCGCCGTCGCTGTCCGCCCGGCACGCGTCCGGCGAGAAGCCCGCCAGCAAGGGCTCTGCCAGGAGGGGGCCCGCCCCGCTGCTCAGAGGGGGCCCCGCCGTCAGCCGGCCTGCCGGCGCCTCCTGGATGCCGTGCAGGGGCGTCTCCAGCCCCGCCTGCGAATGGGCCTCCAGCCGCTTCTCCAGCGCCGGCTGCACGAGGGCAGGGGGTGACAAGGGAGCCCCGGCGGGAGTGTCCGGGGCGGGTGGCGGCCTCGTTGGGGAAGGGGCAGGCGGTGAGCCCTTAGGGGAGTAGGTGGTGTGCTGTCGGGAAAATGTTTCCGCCCGGACGTGCCTGGGGCTGAACGAGGAGCAGCGGGGGCTCTTGGGCTGGCCTGCTGCAGACGCCTCCTCCTTCTCCTGCTGGACCAGCAGCGCCACCTTCAACAGCGACGAAGCAGAGGGCTTGAAAAGACCCGGGGAGCTGGTGTGGGGGCGCACAGCGTTGATGGGGATCTTGCTGAGCTTGTCGCCCTCGACCAGCTCGGCGGGCAGGCCGGCGTCCGGCGGGCTGGGGAAGCTGTCTGGGCTGCTGCCCCCGATCCCGTTCGTCGGGGGCGGCGAGGAGTTCTGTAACACTTCGAAGCAGGCCTTGGAGGCCTTCGGCAGAGGCAGGAGAGGCGCCCCCGCCAGGCCATCGCGCGGCTCCCCCCGCCTCTTCCGGGCCGCTGGCTTCTCCGCCAACTGCTTCGGGGAGTGCAGCTTCTGGACGTCGTTCCGGACCTTCGCATCTTGCGCGGGCTTCGGCCCGACCCCCGCTGGAGGAGTCTCCACCCGGCAGTTGTGGGCCCCGCCGCCATTGGCCGACCCCGGCGGGTTGGGCGGCCCCCGGGCGGCCCCCTCGCTGGGCGCCCCCGGCTCGATCAGCTTCTGCCAGTTCCGCAGCAGCTTCTTAGCCCGCTTGGCCAGTTCCACATTCTCGGTTTTCTTCCTCACGTCGTTGATGAGTTTCCCCAGCCTCGTCTCCTGTGGAGTTTTTTGGGGGGAAAGGAACAAGAGAGAAAAGTGGGGAGGGAATGTTACTTTGCAAGATATCTGCATACCGCATCACCCCACCTTCAGCAGCCCGATGTTTCGGACTACAGGTCCCATCGTCCCCAGCTGGTGTGGCCGAATGGAACTGGGGCTGATGGGAGTCGTAGTTCAAAACACAAGGGAGGTGCCAGGCGGGCAAAGGCTCCCGTGAACCTGCCAAAAGCAGCAGGAGGCAGCTTCTCCTGTCCCAGGAAGGTCTCTCTCCAATAAGAGGAATTTGGGGTCTGAGTGGGTGGGTACCTGTGACACACAAGGGACACACAGCACCCTATGACAGAGGTTTTCAACCTTTTTGAGTCCACAGCTCCTTGAGCAACTACATTCTTTTTGCGGCACCCTTGTGGGGCTCAGTAGCCCAGTTATGTCACCCCTTGCCTGCAGAGCTGGCAGCCTCACCCTTTTCCATGTACCCTCCCTTGGGGAGCGTTCCCTCTGCCTCCTCTCCTCAAGGCAAAGAGGGCATCCGAGGAGTGAGGGAAAGAGGGACAGAGGCCAGTGTTGCCCATGGCACCCCTGACCATAAATCGAGGCACCCCAGGGTGCCACAGCACCCTGGTTGAAAACCGCTGCTCTATGGGCGGGGAGGCGCACTACCAAGAAGGATCAATGGTTGCACAAGTATGCACAGAAATTAGCTGCTGCCTTATTTTCCCTGTGGATTCCTCCCCCACCACAATTCTAAGGAGCGCCTCAGTTGAGAAAATTACTCTATAACCCAATGAATGGATGCGACACAAGAAGAAATGGACAACTGGAACCAATTATAAGTCAGGATCCAATTTGCTGCCACGTCTTCCCACAGATTATTTATATAGCCATGCTAGAATTAAAAGCTTGCAGCACTTCCACTTTTCAAAATCTGCGCAGTGTAAAGACCTGCCGCCGTGTTGTCTTAAAACACAACGTTAATACAGTCGTACCTTGGAAGTCGAACGGAAACTTTTCCCGGAAGTTTGCTCGGCTTCCAAAACGTTTGGAAACCAAAGCACAGCTTCCGATTGGCTGCAAGAGGAAGCTCCTGCAGCCAATCGGAAGCTGCGTCTGACGTCCGGGTTCCAAAGAATGTTCGCAAAACTGAACACTCACTTCCAAGTTCACAAACCAAGGTACGACTGTACTAAATAATAATAATAATAATAATAATAATAATAATAATATTAATAGAAACAAAGCTTTCAGTTTGACTGCAATATCAACACCCCAAGTGTCTTTTTGCTGAAACAAACATTTCACTTCATTTGGGCAGTGTGGGGACGTCAGCTCATAAAACGAACAAGACAAACTCTCAGCTTTGTCCTGCTAAATATTTCAGCCAACTGAATCAAACCCACCAAATCAGGGCAGCGGGTAAGGTCTCCAGAAAACCCTCCTGCCAGTTTGCATGTCTCCTCAGCTACCTACACAGAACAGGCCTCTCAAGACTGAGACAATCGCAAGCCTGCGAGGCTTGGAAAGAGAATCGCAAGCCGTCTGGCATTTGCAGAAACGACCAGAGCGGCTAAGGATCGCAGCAACGCGAGGCGGCTGTGAAAATCAGTCTCCGTATCTCCGGCCGACGCTGGCACAGGGAGCGCTGGGGACGCTTCCACGGAATTCCCCCGTTTGGAGGAGGCAGGTGGGCTGAAACATGTTCAGACAAGCGGCCAACCCTCACAGGGAGCCCCATCCCAGTCCACAAGGCTGAGTCAGCTGTTCACCTCCCACAGTTCTGGGGAAGGGGATGCCACAGAATTGCAGAGCTGTGAAAGGAATGCTTGGAAACCCAGGAGCTTTGTGAGGAAGACCAGGGCAGCGGAGAAGGCGCAGCCCATACAAGTCCGCTGTCACGGGATATGGCGACCCATCATACTTGCTTAAAGCTGCAAAATGGTCAAAGAAGTGGTTTTTTGAGGGGTGGGTGGGTGGGAGAAGGCAGGTCTTGCACCAGCCGACCCTTCAGACAGAAGCCAAACCAGCAAAGGTCATGGCAACTACAATTTTGAGGTTTGCTAGCAAGGCCAGGCGGGAGCCCCTGCAGACCACAAACCTTGTGCTTACCCAAGGTCACTTCCCTAAGCTGCTTCAAGGCAGGGTTACTGCGATGTGCTCTCTGAGGGGTTTTCCCTTGCACTTGACCCAGAAGCTGCAGTTGGTGCAGGATACTGCAGCACGATTGCTGAACGTGAGCGAGGCCTTGTCAGCGTATAACTCCTGTGCTCAGACATCTGCTCTGGTTGCCCGTTTGCAACTGGGCCAAGTTCAAGGCGCTGCTATTAGCATTTAGAGCCCTTTAACAATTTGGGAGCAGTTTAGCTGTGAGATCACCCTACCCAACAGGTGGTCCCAACTCAAACACTTTGACAGGCGGAATTGGCACGGCTGCAGGTGCCTGTTCCGCATCCAAAAGAACCCAGTTTTTCAGAGAGGCACACCGCATCACCCCACCCTATTGGAGTCAAGCAGGCGCCTTCGCCATACTCTTTTCAGCGCTTGCTAAACATGGTCCTGTTTAGGCAAACCCGCTCAGATGCTTAGAAAGCTGAGATGATTTAAATCTATTTCAGCGCTTTAACTTTTACGCGTTTTAAAGCACGGTTGCGCATTTTGTTCTGGGTTTCACCCTTTTATCTTTTGTACACCCCTTCGGCGGTTTCTTTTTTGTTTTTACCCTCAGTGGAGAACAAATTTTAAGAAATAAGAATGAGTGCTGTGCAGCTTTTGCTATTTCCATCAGGAGGTGAATGCCGACCCACCTCGAGCGCCTCTTTGGTGATGGGGTACCTCTCCAGGCTGGAGATCACTTCCAGTACTGCCACCATGTTACGAATCTGGAAGAGAAAGAGAACAGTTAAAAGTGAGGCTTTGGGCGGGAGCGTGCGCCAAACACCATGCACCATGCGCCGGGTGACGCTAGGAGAGCTCAGCATAGACCCGCTGAAATGAATGGATCTGGCTGACTTTGAAGGCTGCCCCAACTCCCTCCGCTGCTGAGAGGCAAGTCCAGCCACCCAACGAGTCAGAAGCCGAATGACAACCACCCCTTGCTTCCGGACTTGTGCCTCAATCACCAGTGGCGTTCACTGGCCAGGGTCGGTGTCCTTAAGAGGCTCCCAGTGACACCCCACACATCATAAAGTCACAGCGAGAACGGCAGAAATCGGCCCTGAAGACACTCTGCCAGTCCCTAAAATCAACATCTCTTCCTGCCATAGCCCGACCGGGTATGAAAACTGGCCTCTGCGGCCCTTAGCCTCCTTAAAGGTCACCGAAGAGGAATGGCCTTCTCTTCCAAGGTGCCTCCCCAGGAAGGTTCACCTGGAGAAAAACTTTCCCCCTTTCGATCATGGCTCTTTTAGGCGTCACCACACAAAAACACACCAAAAGGCGCCTTGCATGCAGGAGGGCTTGGGTTAAGTCCCAACTCCCTGAAGGAACAATCCCAGCACTGGGATGGTGCAAAGACACTACCCCCCCCCCGAGGCCAAAACCCTGGAGGACCACTGCCAGTCAGAAGGCGCAACAGAGAGAGAGAGAGAGAAAGACAGACAGCGTCCCTGGGCATCTTGCACGATTTCATCCCGAAAGATCTGAGGAGAATTGGGGGGGGTTAAAGCGCAGGCAGCAGGCACAGAAAGCGTGAAGGGGGAAGTTTGCAGGGCGATGGGGGGAAACGCGCAAGAGGTGCAGTCGTTCAGAAAGACACAAGCCCGAGGGAGTGGCCGGGTTAAGCCCCTCTGCGCCAAGTGCGGCCAGTGCGGTGGTGCCCATTCCAAATGATCAGCAGCCGTCAAGGCGCAAGCAGAGGGGTGATGTGAAGACCAGCAGGCGAGCGCAACGCCTCCCCCCCACACTTTATATATTAGGAGACATATCTACCCGACCCTACAGAAAACAGGGCCTCCTATACAAGCCCAAAGTAGTGCTCCCTGATAGCAAGACTCCACAAAGTGAACACGATCAACCAGGGCACAGAACAAGTGCCACCACGGACAGGTGGGGGGGAACGTGTGGGAAAGGGGGTCAGCATTACATGGCAAGGAGGTGCCGCAGTCTACAGCTAGGATCTAAGCCGCCGGGGCCAAGTAACATGGAAAGAGCGTCAGACTGGCATGTGCTGGGGCCCGAAGCGGGAGCACGGGAAAGGACCCACAGGCAAGGAGCTGGGGGGAGGCACCTGCTGGCCTAATAAAACAGGGGAATGGGCTGGGGGGGGGCAACTGCAAGAGGAAGGTCAAGCCCAGAGGATACATGTGGTCCTGACTCCCCTTCTTTGCAGACCCGGGTGGGTGGAGAGGGAAAAGGAGGCCCAAGGGCCAACAAACCGGACTTGGCATTTCTGCAGCAGAAGGGAGATTTTTACTTTTGCAGGATGAGATGGGAAGAAAGAAAAGAGGACATTATGTTAGCAGGTGAGAAGCCCAGGGAGGAGGAGCTGGCAGAGGCGGCAGGAAACCCGTTGAAGGAGAGCCCAACGCCCCAGAGCAACGCCTTGCACTGATGCAGCCCAGGTTGTCCACCCAGCTTGGCACTCCCTGCACAGACTGGCAGCAGCTCTCCAGGGTGTCAACCCAGGGGTCTCCCAGGGGACGCCGGTGGTTGAGATTGGCGGTCTTCCGCGAGATACCCTGCCACTGAGCACTGGCCCTTTCCTTAAAAATAAAAGCAAGATTCCTGACCTCGTGGCTCTCATTTCAGCTGGAAGCTGCTGCCTCACACTGTGTCACGCCATTGCTCCAGCCAACTCCACGTTGCCTAGGATGACTGCAGAGCCTTGGGCTCACGGATCCTACCTGGAGATCATTCTACGACTGAGCTGCAGTCCTTCACCTCCTCATGAGTCAGGCCATTGGGCCCCTATAGCTCAGCACGGTCTCTAGACTGACCGGCAGCAGAGCAGCTGACCAGGAAATAATTCCCCGCCCTTCACCAGAGACCTTCTGCATGCAAAGCAAGTGATCCACCGTACCAACGAGCCCTTCCCCACCCACCCCCAGCCCTTCCCTCTCTTGCAACCTGCCTGCTTACAGCAGGGGCCTTCCACCTTTCTGCACCCAGGGCCTGCTTTTAACCAAACCGTGCAACTGGGTACCCACTTCTCAACACTTTCCCCACAGACCTGCACGGCAACCCACCTTGCAGCAGGCCGTGACCAGGGGCACAAAACACCAGTTGGGAGACCCCAGATTTGGAGGACGCTCTCAGCATCGTTATTATTAGTTGGAGACCCCAAATTTAGAGGACATTAAGATCAGTAATATTAGTTGGAGACCCCAGGCTGGGAGAACACGATTATCCTCTTTATTATTAGCTGGGAGACCCCAGGTTTGAAGGACATCATCATCTTCATCATTAGTTGGAGACCCCAGATTTGGAGGGCATGCTTATCATTGTATGAGTGGGGTGGGTTTTTTGTTTTGAACAACTCTTCCTTTAAAAGCCCAAGCCCAGAAACCAGGAAGGAAACCAGGTGAGAGACCCTCCCCGGGATGGCAGCAGCAATTATCATGGGCTGGTGTATATATATATATATATACATATACATATACATATGTCTCTGTGTGTGTGTGTGTGTGTGTGTGTGTGTATATGTGACAAACTTCTTCTTCTCCCCCCCTTCGCATCCCCACGTGCAAAAACGCTACACCCCCCCCACAAACACATTAACCCTTCTCTCCCCAGTCTCTCCCATTAACCTTCCCCTGTCTCTCCCTCCCATTAATAATAATAATAATAATAATTTATTATTTATACCCTGCCCAACTGCCTGGCCCCCCCCCAGCCCCTCTGGGCGGCTTCCAGCCAAACCCTAAAACCCAGTAACCTATTAAACCTTAAAAGCTTCCCTCCATTAACCCTCTCCCTCCCATTAACCCTTCCCTCCCCGGACTACTCACGTTGCTGTTGGGGTCGACGGCCTGCAGCAGCCGGTCCCTGATCTGCTGCGGGGAGGGTCCCGGAGCCGCTGTCATTGCCGCCCCGTCGAGGCGGCGACCCGGAGCCCTGCGCTGGCGGCGGGAGGAGGAGGAGCCCCCCCGCCCTCCTCCCCCCGCTTCCTGCCGGGCCTCCTCTTCCTCCCGCTGGGCTCGCCGGCCTTCCTCCTCCTCCTCCTCCTCCTCCTCCTGGGCCGCCGCCTCCTCAGCTCACTCGCCGGCCGCGCCGCGGGGCAGCCGGAGCCGCATGTTCCTCGGGGGGCGCCTCCCTCCGCCGGGGGTGGGCCTGGCCCGGGCTGCTCCCCCCCTCCTCCTCGGCGTCGCCCCCTTGTCTCCGGGCCGGGCCGCCCGTCCTCCTCGGGGCTCCTCCGTCCAGGCGGCGGCGGCGGCGGCGGCGGAGAAGGAGGCCGAGCTGCTCAACTGTGGGCAAGAGCCAGCAGCCGCGCGCGGTGCACCCTGGGACACGCCCGACGCCGCCGTGACGCCGCGCGCAGGCCGACGCACGCACGGGGGAGGGGGGCGGGAGGAGGAGGAGGAGGAACGTCGCGTCTGTGACGTCGGGGCGCAAGCTGCGGGGCGGGGGGGCGGCGGCGGCGGCGCGGTTCTCTCTCTGGCAGGCCGGGCACGCATGCGCGGTGCGGCGGGAAAGGGGGAGAAAGGGCGGGAAAAAAAGAGAGGGAGGTGTTTGGCGCGAAGGGGCCCGGCCCTCAGATTTACCTCAGTTTAAACGTGAAAGAGATATACGTATATATATATATATATGCACACACATACATATACATATATATGTGTGTATATATATATATATATCTTATATATGTATATATGTGTGTGTGTGTATATATCACTATTGAAATATGTATTCAATAGCCCGTCCCTCAGATTTATGTCAGTTTAAACATGAACGATATAAAATATATGCAGAAAAGCAATATGTATTCAGTAGTTCATCCCATCCCTCAGATTTACCTCAGTTTAAACGTGAAAGATGCAACATAGTTTTATATACACACACACACACACACACACACACACACATATCTATATATACTATATGTGTATATATTATATATGTGTGTGTGTGTGTATATATTATTGTTGTAATATGTATTCAAAACCCATCCCTCAGATTTACCTCAGTTTAAACGTGAAAAATATAAAATACATGTATAAAAGCAATATGTATTCAATAGTTCATCCCATCCCTCAGATTTACCTGTTTAAATGTGATATATCATAGTTTTATATATATATATAGTTACAGGAACCCCTCTCCATTAATCCATTAACTATATATATATATATATAAAACTATGATGTATATAGCCCGTCCCTCAGATTTACGTAATTTTAAACGTGAAAGATATATGTATAAAAGCAATATGTATTCGTTTGTCCCGTCCCTCAGATTTACCTGTTTAAACATGAAAGATATCAGTTTATATATATATATATATGTTCAATATCCTGTCCCTCAGATTTACGTCAGTTTAAACGCAATATAAAATATATGTCTAAAAGAAATATGTATTCAATAGTTCGTCCCGTCCTTCAGATTTACCTGTTTAAAAATTATGAAATATATTCAATAGTTTGTAATATATATATGTGTGTGTCTGTGTGTGTTAAATAGTAGGAAAGACGGACAAAGATCTCAGCTCTTTGAGATTCTCGGCTCTTTATTGCAGCAGCTAGAACTGTTCCTGGAGTCAGACTGACGGCAGCCTAGCTGGCTTCTTTATATATAATAATACTAAGTGGCTTCTAACAACTTCCAACGAACTGACCAATCAGTGAGCGACAGTTCTCCATCCTGGTGGACCTGAGTGAGAACTGCAGTTCATCTTAATACATTATATATGTTAGATGGGACGTGGGTGGCGCTGTGAGTTAAACCACCGAGCTTCTTCGGCTTGCTGATCAGAAGGTTGGCGGTTCGAATCCCCGCGAGATGTGAGATGAGCACCGCAACCCCAGAGTCAGTCATGACTGGACCAAACAGTCAGGGGTCCCTTTATATATGTTATAAGAATTTTAATATATATTCGATATATTAATAGATTTTCAATAAATTCAGAATTCAAAAATCAATTTGGGTGGGGAATACTGGACAGTACAGAAATCTAGACTTCCAACACACCACCTAATTGTTGGCCCAGCCAAACCACAACGTTTTTGAAAAATTTGGCCCCCTGTCCACGATTCCTCTCAGGATGTTCCCTCAGAGCTATGAATCCATTATGTTACAGGTGCATTTTTAACTTTTTGATCCAGCAGAACCGAAGCTAAAATACATGTGCCCCATTGATCAGTAATAGGTAAAAAAAAGCATTCAGAAGGGGCCGTGGTGTTCCTGGGCATGTCTAAAGTACGCCCCCCACCGCTGGCCTTGCCGCTGAGGTAAACCAAGGCAGGCCTGGCTTCTTTTTCAAAATAAAAAATAAAAATGTATGTGACAGTAGACGCTTCAGTTTTAGCAGTCAAGCAGAACTGAAAATAAAAAGGGGGAAAACCTTTCTGTGAATCCCCCAAAATCACTGGGATCATTAAATTACATGTGATTGGCAAAGGTGTGTTTGCTTTTAAAAATGACGCAGGTTATGGTTGTCACTTAGCAAAGGAATAATCCGGGTGGGGCAGCTGCGGATTTTCCATCATGGCCGAACCATCGCTTCTGGTGCACCGTTAACAGGAGAGCCTTCCTATTCCTCCGCCGTTAAGGGAAGTGGAATGGGGGAATGTTTGCTCCGGACAGCTCCCTTGAACCTGTAATGGCTGCCTCCTTTCTGTAAGAGTCTTGGACAAGCGAACTCCCCTTGCCGCAAGGAACCTTTTCAAAATAGAGAACCATGGTTTGCTGAACAACTCCTCTCCAACTCCTCAAAAGAGTCCATCAACAGTGTCTCCGAAATATTTTACACACCACTTGGGAAGACAGGCGAAGTAATGCCAGTGTACTGGAAGAAGCAAAGATCTCCAGTGTCGAAGCGATGATTCCTCAACATCAACTTCGTTGGACTGGTCATGTTGTGCGGATGCCTGATGATCGTCTTCCAAAGCGACTACTCTATTCCGAACTTAAGAATGGAAAGCGTAATGTTTGTGGTCAACAAGAGAGGTTCAAAGACTCTCTCAAGGGAAATCTTAAAAAATATAGTATAAACACCAACAACTGGGAAACACTGGCCTGCGAGCGCTCCAGTTGGAGAACAGCCTTTCCCAAAGGTGTCGTGGGCTTTGAAGACACTCAAACTCAGGACGCAAGGGAGAAACGTGCTGAGAGGAAGGCACGCTTGGCAAATGCTCACCGGGATCAACTCCCACCTGGAAACCAATGTCCCCACTGTGGAAGGACATGGGGATCCAGAATTGGCCTCCACAGCCACTTGTGGACTCATTGTTAAAACCATGTTTATGGAAGACAATCTCACTCGGCTACGAGGGATAGAAGAAGAAGACAGAACCATGGTTTGCTGAACAAGCCACGGGTCATTCCAGAGACAGGCAAACCATGGCTTGGCTTCTCCAGAGTTCGGTTTGAGTGTCCAGCTACCCTAGCCGAACAGATCACGGCCGAGGAATCCCATCACACCAAACCGTGGTTAAAACCAAACCAAGCTTTTTGTAAAGCTGACAACAAACCATGGCTTCAGATTGGGGTTTCTTGGCCGCAAAATTACCACGGCTAAGCTGCTGGGCAGGTTTCGCACATTTCAGGCCTGACCATGGTTCAAATAAACCAGTTTAACAACTGGACTAAATAACCCCCACCACAGGCGAAATAAATCGTCTTTATATATGCTTGGACACAAAAAGAAGCCACAATTTCATGAGATTTCTCTTTTTCGAAGAAATAAGACACCAAGACACGTGCAGTGCTTAAAAACATGGCTCTTTTTTTTTTTTTAACTTCATGGACAAGACATTACTTCCAGCTGAAAGTCACTCCCCAGGTTGTTATAGCCAGCAGCAAAGTCCACCAAAGATGGTTTAAGATCCAAATAACCTAGAAGACAAAAGCAGGGAGAAAATGGACAACATATTATTTCGGTTATAAACAGGCCCAAGGTTATTGTCCCCAATATTGCAAAAGAAAGAGCCATGGTGTGCCAATGGCCGAGGTGAAATCTGGACCTCTTACTGGCTCAAATCCAGCTTCCCCATAGCCCTTCGGTTCCTGAGCAGCGCCGGGTACGAGGCTGCAAGTAATAAATATGAACGTAAAATGCCCCAAAACCAACCGCGCAACCGGGAAGATGACACCCTTTTCCCCCCACTGACTTACACAATCATACAGAACATCATGAAGATATTCCACAGGGCGATGAAAATCCGGAAGTATCTCAGGCTCAGCAGAAACTCCCTGATGTTATCACCTAGGTGGAAATAAAATAAAATAATATGGCAAGTGTCCCTATTGCTGCCCCAGTCCTCTCAAGCTATACTCCTTTCATGCACAACGACAATTGTGCACAATAACGGGAACTAATTAATCTACTAACAAGTATTTGGAAAGCTGTTTGTCTCTCTGCTTGCTCATAACCAGATTTTGCGCAACGGTTGCAAAGATCAAGGAGCATATTATTGCCGGCGTTGGGGTACAATGGGGCGCCATTTCAAATCAAGATGGGAGACCAAACCTTTAAAAACTGCACTGGTTTTCAAGTTTTGAAGAAACCCTGAGCCCCAGCTTTGAGGCTGCTTGCAGTTGTTATATTTTAAGTACCAAAGTGATGAGCAAGGCACTTTGCAATTCATTCTTTTTATAAAAAAAAAGTGGAAAATAGATGTAATGTGTTGGTGGGAATCCTTAGAAGTAATTCAATCATATGAATCCTGAAAGGGGAAGTTACAAGAGAAAATTATGCAGGGTGACTCTCCGGTTTATCAAACAAGATGCAATTTATAAGTAGCACTAGAACATTTTTCTGACTTTGGAGTTCAATTCTAGGCGCTTTTTTGAAATGCCACGAGGCACAGTTAATGCAGGAGGAAATTGTGTTTGAAAAATGGGAAGCCCCTGGAAGCTGGGAAGATTTGTTGTTTTTTTGAATATGGATTCATTCTTGCAAGATTGTTATTAAGAACCATCTTCATGGAACCAGGCTCAAGGGAGAGGCCAGGCACTGCTAATGGTCAACGTTCCGGCTCTAGCGTAAGAATTAATCGGGATCCTTAAGTGTCCAGAACTCGCAGCCGTCCTTGAGGAATTAGATAAAGCAATTGCAGAACCAATGTGGAACCAAGCGGTCTGGAATACCAGGCAGCGGTGTGGTTTCGCGTCGGGTTTCCTGTTGGCTCAACGGAGGGCAAAGCTATCCCATGCAAGGACTCTCTTGCAGAAGCAGCTGTCGGATCATTAGCCACCGATCTCAGAACAGCCTACACTGACTGGCAGCAGCTGTCCGGGGCTTCAGGCTGGAGGCTTCAGTGTCCAAGGCACCCTCCACCTGTCACCCAAAGCCCTTCCCCATGGTTGGCATGGGGGTATCCCAAAGCTATGAAATCACACCACCTCAGTGGGGGTTTTAGAGGGCACGGCAAGGTGGGCGCAGTATGGAGGCCTCAGCTACAACCCCACACCTGCCTGGAGGGTCTTACCTGTTGTGGGTTCCCTCACTTCTTCACCAAAGCCCTGGCTCTCTCTCGTCTTCCTAAGAGGCAAGAGAGAGGAGGATTTACAGCAAGCCAAAGCATCTCACAACTGATATGAAATGGAAGCGTTTTGAAAGGGATCTGGACAAATGAACAGAAGACGAGAGCTCCACCGATGAGTTCTGGCTTAACGGAACACCTACGTCCCAACATCCGTCCGTCTCGGAAGACAATGGAGTGCAGCTGGAGACTTGAACGCGGCGCTTTCTGCGAGAACAAGTGGCCGGAAGGTGGTTTCTCCTGAGCACCCGAATCCTGAACCCCTTCTTCCAAGCCAGAACTGTGGTCCTCCTCCCAAGCTGAACCCCACCTCCCTCCCCAGCCCAGCTGCTCCCCCCACCTCTGAGCACTTACAGCCTGAAGTTTAACACTGCTCCTGCGTTGACCAACAGTGTCCTGCATGGGGGGGGGGGAGAAAGAGAGAAGGAAAAAGAGAAACTGAGCAGCTTTCAAGGGATGGGGTTTTTCTCAACGGCTTTGATCCTGTATACCTGAAGGAGCGTCTCCACCCCCATCGTCCAGCCCGGACACTGAGGTCCAGCTCCGAGGGTCTTCTGGTGGTTCCCTCCCTGCGAGAAGTGAGGTTACAGGGAACCAGGCAGATGGCCTTCTCGGTGGTGGCGCCCGCCCTGTGGAACGCCCTCCCGCCAGATGTCAAAAACAACTGACTTTTAGAAGACATCTGAAGGCAGCCCTGTTTAGGGAAGCTTTTAATGTTTAGTAGGTTATTGTATTTTAATATTCTGTGGGAAGCCGCCCAGAGTGGCTGGGGAAACCCAGCCAGATGGGTGGGGTATAAATAAATTATTATAAGGCCTAGGACCCTCGTACCTACAGGACTGCCTCTCCTGGTATGTCCCACAGAGGAACTTACGATCTGCAAACAAAAACATCTTGGAGGTCCAGGCCACAGAGAGGTTAGGCTGGCCTCAACCAGAGCCAGGGCTTTTTCGGCTGTGGCCCCGATCTGGTGGAACGCTCTGTCCCAAGAGATTAGGGCCCTGCGGGACTTGACATCTTTCTGCAGGGCCTGCAAGACAGAGCTGTTCCACCAGGCCTTTGGCCGGAGCACAGCCTGACTCCCTCCTCGGGCAATCTTCACAGAACGCTACCCAATGGTTGCCATCAATTTGATTTGAAGTAATTTTCTAATGAAATGATTTTAAAATGTTGTCTTATTTGATTGCTGTTAGCCGCCCTGAGCCCGGCTTCGGCTGGGGAGGGCGGGATATAAATAAAAATTTGTTATTATTATTATTATTATTAGCACCCCCCATCGCCACACCATCCCTAACCACTGGTCCTGCTGGCTGCCGGGGGGGGGGGGAGGTCAAGAGCGCAGCAACATCTGGAGGGCCAGATGTCGGGAGGGAATGAAGCCAAAGAAGATCGCCTCTCCTCCTGGCCTCCCCTGCCGCTACCATCAGCCTCCTATCTGCGCGACAGGCAGGAATCCGTCAGGTGCAGCTCCTGCTGCAGGGGCGCCCTATTTAACCCCCCCCCATTGCAAGGGGGGGCTCATCCTCTCCTGCCCTGCCCCCTCCTTTGGGGACAGGCGTTGCTTAGCAACCCTGCATCTTTCCCCTCCCCCCCCCGCCCCACTTACCCGAAGAGCAACAAATCGCCCAGCATCCTGCTGCTCCCAGTCTCCTCCCGGAAGTAGAAGGGCTCCCCCCAGGCTTAGTGACGTAAATCAGCGCCGCAGCCAATCAGCAAGCGGCATCCCCCCCTCCCTGGTTTTTAAATTTCCCCGCCTCGGCCGCCAGGTGGCGCTCGCCCGTTCCGGGAAGGAGCCCCGATGACGCGTCAGACACGCCCCTCCGCAGGCCCCGCCCACCCGCCGGAGCCCAGCCCGCAACCTGCGCACGCTCAGTAGCAGCTTGTGAAGCCACTTGCCCTTTCTGAAAGTCGGGTTTCGCTGATGAGAAACAGCAAACGTGGGAATCAGGAAGGGAGTTTGTTTTAGGGGGAACTGGGGGACGGGAAGGGCATCTGGGGAGAAGGGCAGCTGGCTCAGAGCAAAAAGCCCCATCGCACTGGGTGTCTGGGTCCATTTCTGTTAACCTGTGGAACTCCCTGCTACCAGGTGGTGGCCAATGCACGGCGGGGTTTTTGAATGGCTGGGGGGTTAGATGAGTCTACGAACGGGAAAAGCTCAAACCAGGGTCGGGTAGCCGTGAGATGACTAACGGGCTCCAATTTTTCACAATTTACTTATTTCATAAAATTTTTCACAATTTACCGTACTTATTTCATAAAATTTTTCACAATTTACTTACTTCATAAAATTTTTCACAATTTACTTACTTCATAATTTTTTCACAATTTACTTATTTCATAAAATTCACGCGCCGCTGGATACAATAGTTAAAATTTTTTTAAAAAAACCTGCAACCGGTTTACAAAAAAGCAGAACAGTAAAATCCGTTTTTAAAAAATCACAGTACTTTAAACAGATTAAGATCCGCATCAGCTTTCTAAGCACCTGCCTGTATTGCGAGGCGGGGTCAGACTAGATGACTCTTGGGGTCCCTTCCAACTCTGCAGTTCTATGGTTCCTAGCCGGAGTTCATCCGGTATGCGGGAAGGAGCCTCTGCCCACGTTCAAAACCCCCGAGCTCCCTTTCATTCGGATCCTGGCTGGCGAGACCGGCGACAGGGGTCGAAAGCGGAGTTGTGGAATAGCCATCCGAGGTGGGGTAAAGTTAATCCGGATTAATTAAGCAAAGTGAAGATCTGGAGTCCCACTCTGCCTGCAGAATGCGAACCGAAGAGCCGTGCACTTGAGTCAGGCCAAAGCGGGGAAACTGTTTCTCACGGTGGCCAACGACACGCTTCTTCCAGGAAACCCAGAAGCGGGGCGCTCAGACGCAGCGGCTCACGGAGCCCAGCACCGCCTCCCCTTCTTCAAGTCCAAGCTCAGATGAGCCTACAGGATCAGGCCTAAAGGGACCCATCCTGTCCAGCATCCCCTGGGTAGCCAAATACCCCAAGGAGGACCCGATCCGAAAGAGTTCTCTCTCTTCCTGTAGCATTGCCCGTCCCTTCTCCCTATCAGCCTATTATTATTATTATTATTATTATTATTATGTTCGTCTAGTGTTAAGATTTGTGTTTTAGCCGCCCTTCCCGCTGAGTTCTGGGGGAGGTCCCCCCCAACTTCCCCGGCGCCCCCTTCTTCCCCTCTCCTGGGGCTCCTACCCCTAGAAATAATACATTATTATTATTATTATTATTAGGCGAGCGAGAGCGCCGCCTCTGGTCGCCTCCAGCCTCCACCAAAGCCACGTATCCCCTAATATGTAATATATTTAAAGAAGATGAACAAATGAGCAAATTAGGCTGCTCAGGACATGCAAAATATATGAAGATTAAATTTCAGGAGCCGCAGAAAGCGGGGGAAGAAGGAAGTCAGGTTTTGGAACATCAAAATGAATGCGAAATCATTGAAATGTACGAAATGAGCGAACTGGTGAAATGCGCAGACTTGAAAAGCATAAATTTAGAATCAAAATCAAAGCCACTTATTCCCGTGGAGGGGGGGGGGCGCATTTGTGGCTTCGCACTTTGGAGAACTTAGCGACCCCCTCTTTTTCGGCCTTTCTTTGCTCTTCCTTTCTTTCCGAGAGTGGTGGCTCTGGTTTCTGGGCTGTCAAGGCGGGGGGGCTCCCAGGACAGAAGCCCCTAAGTTCATCCCCCCCCCACAAAATTCGGGAGCATCCTCCGATTCACCTGCTGGCTGGATAGACACCTGCTCTCCTGGATAGACGCCAAGCGCTTTGGCACTGTCCAAGGTGGCAGCTTCCTATGTGCCACCCCCGCCCCACCGAGGGAGGGAGGTCCGCCATGCGGGGGCGGCGCTGCGGGGGAGGGGCGGGGGCGTCACCCTCCCCTCCCCCTCCCCTCCCCTCCCCTCCCCCCGGCGCTGCGTCCCCCTCCTCCTCCTCCTCCTCCTCCTCTTCCGTGCGCTCCGTGCGCTCCCGTGCGCTCCCGGCCTCTCCGCGCCTGCTTCCTCCGCTTGCACCTGCCGCCGCCGCCGCCTCCGCCGCCGCCATGGACCTGGTGGGGGCCCTGGACGTGGGCGACCTGGCCGCCGCCTTCGCCCGCCTGCCCGTCTTCCCGGTCTTCGACCTGGGCTACTTCGTCGTCTCCATCCTCTACCTCAAATATGAGAAAGGCAAGGAGACCGCTTCCTCCATTGCGCGCCCCCTTCCGCGACCCCCTTTCCTCCCACGGGGTTAGGCCACCCTCCCCGTGCCGCCACCACCCCCGCACCGACCATAGTCTCAGAACATCCCCATTCATCCTTTTTTTTTTTTTCGGGGCGTGGGTGCGTGATTTAATAAGGATTTATTAAGGATCTGTAACCATCTTTCCCCGCGCCAAATCCCCGCGCCCCACAGCGGCTTTAAAGTTACCCCGCTGCCAAGCCTTCCCCCCCCCCCAAACCTCCAGAGCTGCGCTGGATTAAGGGGGCTTAAGGAAGAGGAGGGAGGCATGGGTGTAGCGGGGGCGGGGACAGCTCCCCAATAAATAAATAAATAATCGATATAAATACTTAACTAACTGAGGGTCCGCACCCGCTAACATAAATCCCAGGGGCTGGGGGGAAAAGAGGGGAGGGAGACTCGCCCCCCCCACCCAAGCGCTGTTACCCCAGGGTAATTTATCTGGAGTAAGTACCTACTGCCCTGCCATGGATTTATTTTGGAGACTGAATCGCCCACCTCCCTCTGGCTTTGTGCTGATTCCTGTATGTGTTCCCAAGTTGGGGAGGGGGCAGACTTGGGTGGGGGGAAAGACCCATACAACGGGACCCCAAGGGTCTAGCCTGTATTTCAGTCATGGGGGAGGGGCTGCTGTATTGGGGTTGTTTGTGTGTATTTAGGGTGGCGATGGTGTGCTGGGTTTATCCTCCCCAAGCACGGCACTTTCTAAATAAAGACGTGTGGGGTGGGAATGTCCCACAGAAACGCAGTCAGCAGCGCCAAGGAGCCAGAGACAACCTTGGCTTGGGGAAACCTGAGACCCTCCCGGCTGAGACCTCGGGTGTGATGGATGGAGGCAGTTGGGGCTTTTTCTCCTTGAAAGGGCAGGCCAGGTGTCCAGAGGGGGCTGGGTGTGGGTCGGCAGCAGTGTGTAGGCATGCCCCAGGGACGGAGCGGGAGAGGCGATCCCCAGCTAACACCCAGCTCCTCTTGCAGAGGAAACACGACCCACTTCGGACCAGCCTGGGCAAGAGAGTGAGACTCAGGCCATGGGGTCAGGATCAGGAAGGAGGCCTGTTTGTTTCAGAGATACTCCCAACATCCTCAGCTCACAAGGGAATACAGTGGTACCTCGGGTTAAGTACTTAATTCGTTCCGGAGGTCCGTTCTTAACCTGAAACTGTTCTTAACCTGAAGCACCACTTTAGCTAATGGGGCCTCCCACTGCTGCCGCGCCGCCAGAGCACGATTTCTGTTCTCATCCTGAAGCAAAGTTCTTAACCCGAGGTACTATTTCTGGGTTAGCAGAGTCTGTAACCTGAAGCGTATGTAACCTGAGGTACCACTGTACAGTGGTCCCTTGGTTCTCAGACTTTATCCCTTCTGGAAATTCTGTTCCAAAACCAAAGCGTTCCAAAACCAAGGCGCGCTTCTTTCCCATAGAAAGGAATACAAAACGAATTACTGTATTTTTTGCTCTATAAGACTCACTTTTTCCCTCCTAAAAAGTAAGGGGAAATGTGTGTGCATCTTATGGAGCGAATGCAGGCTGCGCAGCTATCCCAGAAGCCACAACAGCAAGAGGGATTGCTGCTTTCGCTGCGCAGCGATCCCTCTTGCTGTTCTGGCTTCTGAGATTCAGAATATTATTTTTTCTTGTTTTCCTCCTCCAAAAACTAGGTGCGTCTTATGGCCTGGTGCGTCTTATAGAGCGAAAAATACGGTAATCTGTTCCAGACTTTTAAAAGCAACCCCTAAAACAGCAATTTACCATGGATTTTACTCCTTAACGAGACCATTGATCCATAAAGTGAAAGCAATAATCAGGGGAAAGGAGCAGTTCCGTCCCCCCTTATAACAGCACAGAATCGGTTCTGGTCAGGGACGGCTTTGCGAGGGCCGCTGAGGTTTTCTCTCGGCGGCAAAATAAGCCCTTGCCTCTTGGCCGTTGTGGGATATCCAGTTTCTCGCCGGCTTCCCTTCCCTGGGTCCTCATTCCTTTCCCAAATTAGAAGCAGGCTCTGCAGCTGCTTAGCTTGGGCACTGAGGACTCAGCAAGGCTGGCGGGGGGGGGGGGCAGTAAGGATGAGATTCTCTAGGGTACTACCCTCACCAGCGGAGCATTTCCCCCCAGAAACCGTGGACGGCTTGCTTCTTGCGGCCTCAAACGAACAGGGGGGTTTTGGAGAGGCAGGAGGGTCCTGGGTTTGGGGCAGAATGCGGCCCACTCTGCTCAAGCAAAGGTATACTGCTAGAAGAAAAATACTGCTCTCTTTCCCTTATGGGGTACCCAAGAGCCCATGTAGAGTCCTTAAGTAGGTTCTCCATCGGTAGGAGAAAATAACAGAGGCCAAGCAGAGAATATTGAGAAGCAAAGCGGCTAGTGAGCCTGGTCATTATTGAACTGTTGCAACAGGGTCCTCACTCCCCACATTCTGGAGGAACCCAGAACAATGGTGCACAAGCCCCTTTATAGACTTTTGAAATTGCCTCCCCTGTAGCTCAAGACCACCCCCCAAAACATCACGCATACATCACAGAAAGAGGTGGTCCTCAGCAGAAATGGGAGTGTGTTGCTTCTCTCCTGTCTGCCAGGAGACCTGATCAATCATGCCTTATCAATTGCCTTTTCTGGGTAGCCTGGCCATTCAATACTCAGTTCCTGAATCTCTTACGCATATTGATAAGTGTGCTCAGCTGAACAGATACTTGCCAGACTGTATTTGCAAAGGGAGGTGTGAGCCCTTACAGTCCAAAGACCATTGGAAAGCTTTCCCCATTTCCTTCCTTCTTGCAGAGAAATATTTGAGGTCAATTTGGGAGAGTCCAAATGGCTTCAGGATTGCTCTCCTGTACTATTTCAGACACATGGTTGATATACATATGTATGTGCTTGCCTTGTACGTTTATGACCATTTATTTTATATATTAGACCTTAGAATTCTCATAACAGTAAAGGTAAAGGTAAAGGGACCCCTGACCCTTAGGTCCAGTCATGACTGACTCTGGGGTTGCGGCGCTCATCTCGCTTTACTGGCCGAGGGAGCCGGCGTACAGCTTCCAGGTCATGTGGCCAGCAGGACTAAGCCGCTTCTGGCGAACCAGAGCAGTGCACGGAAACGCCGTTTACCTTCCCGCCAGAGTGGTACCTATTTATCTACTTGCACTTTGACGTGCGTTTGAACTGCTAGGTGGGAGGAGCAGGGACCGAGCAACGGGAGCTCACCCCTTCATTGCGGGGATTCGAACCGCCGACCTTCCGATCGGCAAGTCCTAGGCTCTGTGGTTTAACCCACAGTGCCACCCGCGTCCCTTTTTCTCATAACAGTACCTGGGTTCAAACCTCCTCCTCCTCCTCCTCATCATCATCTAGGCCTGCATTTGCCTCCCCACCCTGTAAAATGGGGGACCTGGGATCGTCTCTGCAAAGCGGGAAGAGGATAGTTGAGGCTTTTGTGGTCTGGTGTCTGTGGAGGAGAGCAGAGGCACAGGCCCCTGCCTGCTTTATTTTTAGAGAGCGGATGGGGTATCCGGTTCACAGAGAGAGGGGGCCTCTTCCTTCCCTTGCAGCTGCTCATGGGCGCTAAGTGCTGCCATGGTTCATGGATTCGAACCCACAATAAATGGCCCACAGGAGTAACCAAAAAATCTCTTTTTTGCATCAAACTAGAGACAGAGCCGAGAGGTGTTGCGCAGAACAGAGAGGTGATAAGGCAGGCATAGGCAAACTCCGGCCCTCCAGATGTTTGGGGCTACAATTCCCATCATCCCTAGCTAACAGGACCAGCGGTCAGGGGATGATGGGAATTGTAGTCCCAAACATCTGGAGGGCCGGAGTTTGCCTATGCATGTGATAAGGGATAGATGATAGATTAGATAGATAAATAGATAGATAGAGGATGGATAGATAGATAGATAGATAGATACACACACACACACACACACACACACACACACACACACACACACACACACACACACACACACACACACACACACAATCTATTTAGTTTTTCAAATTAAAATTTTACAGAGATCTATCACATATAGATCATAAAAACAAGATTCCAAGGAATCTCCCAGGCTTCTATCCTCCCCATTGTGGGTCCTATTATTAATCCTTTCCTCCCACATCTTTTATGATACGGCAGTACCTCGGTTCTCGAACGTAATGCATCCCGGTGTTCTGAAACGTTCCAAAACCGAGGCGCAGATAGCCCACAAGTAAATTAGTTGCAAAGACACAGATCGATTGTACCCAGCAGAAGCCACGTGGCATGTCCGACTTCCGAGGCGCGTTCGAAAACCGAAGTATTTACGGCGTTCGAAAACCGAAACGTCCGTCAATGGAGACGTTCGGAAACCCAGGCGCCACTGTAATCCTTTACGTCCAGAATTCAACCTTATTTATTCTTGGTGGTATAGCCACCCAAGTCTGGGGGGCCGTAGCTGCCTCCTGTGGCAAGGAGTTCCCCAGGTGAACTCTGTCCCCGATCGTCCGACACTCAGCTTCATCCGATGCCCAAGGCTCCTAGCGTTAGGAGAGGAGGAGGAAAATAAACGTCTCTCGCCACTACTCCTCGGGGTCGATAGCTCCTAGCTGCGGAAGATGCCCAGAGAAGGGAAGGTGTTTAAAGGGCCGTGCTTCTCTCCTCCCCCCCCCCCCGCCGCAGGTGCCGTGGAACTGTCCCGCCAGAGTCCCTTCGCTTCCTGGGTCTGCGCCATGCTCTACTGTTTTGGCAGCTACATCTTGGCCGACCTGCTCCTGGGAGAAGCCCCCGTCGACTACTTCAGCAACAACGCCAGCGTCCTCCTGGCCACGGCCGTCTGGTGAGGCAACGTCTCTGCCTCCCCTCCCCCTCATTGCGGGGGGTTGGGCTAGATGACCCCCCGGGGTCCCTTCCAGCTGCACAGTCCTGCGGTTCTGTATCCCCAAGCAGACAATCCCTCTTGCATGAGCACAAAGGGTGTGGAGGGGGCAGTGGCATAGCGTGGGGTTGCCTGTGCCCGGGACATCATGGCCAGAGAGATAAGAAAATAAAGAGTGGCTCCATTGTCGGGAGAGAGGTCACTTCCTGGTTCGCAAGCCGCTTTCTGCAGACAGAAGTGCGCAGCTTTCTTGAAGCGGCACCGGGTGTTGAAATTTGGCACCCCTAATAATTTTGTGCCCCATTCTGCATAGCTGTCAACTGTCCCTTATTTGGCGGGAAAGTCCCTTATCCCAGCGCTGTGTCCCGCTGCTGTCCCTTATTGATGATGTCCCTTAAATTTCCCGGGTTTCAAAGGAAGCAGCTCCTCTCCCTCCCTGCCTGCCGGCCAGGGAGGAGGGAGGCTCCAGCTGTGTTGCTTGGCTGCATTGCTCACCCAATAAGGAGTCTAAGAACGACTGGGGGGTGGAGCTTGCATGCCTTGTGCCGATCAAATTGGCCGCATTGCCTGGGGACTCGCCTTTGCTCAGCGCTTCCCAGCGGAGAGGTGACGGTGGTTTTCCTTGCTGCATCCCCTTTGCCGGGTTGCTGCGCTGTGGGAACCACCGCTTGAGGCTTCGTTTGGTTGCTGGCTGGGCTTTGGCTCGGAGGGGCTCAGAAGTTGAACATAACTGTGTCCAGAAAATCCCTTATTTTGGCTCCGGATCCCTTATTTCCGAGGCTGCTGGTCCCTTATTTTCAAATCTGTAACTTGACAGCTATGCCCATTCTGTCCTGCCTTGCTGGAAGGTTCTGGGCAGCACAGTTGAAGGAGGATCTGGACAAGCTGGAAGGTGGGCAGAGGAGGGCGACTTAGATGATAAAGAGTGCGGAAACCAAGCCTGATGAGGAACGGTCGAAGGAGGCTCAGGTGTAGAAACTGGTCCAGGGGCTTTGGCCTGACCTCCTTTGACCTCACCCCCTCGCCTTGTGGCAGGGAGTCCCGCCGGCTTCACCTCCCGCTCTTCCTTCTCCCAGGTACTTGACTTTCTACTGCCCTCTGAACATCTTCTACAAGTGCGTCAGCTTCCTGCCGGTCAAGCTGGTCTTCGTGGCGATGAAGGAGGTGGTCAGGGTCCGCAAGATCGCGGCCGGAGTCCACCACGCTCACCACCAGTACCACAACGGCTGGCTCATCATGGTCATCGTCGGGTTTGTCAAAGGTGGGACGCCACTGCCCCGCCCTGCGCGAATTCCTTCTTAAATCAGATCATGAGGTCTGGAAACTTTGATCTTAGGGGCAGGTTGTAGCTTCACGGCTGGAACACCTGCTTGGCATGCAGAATGCTATAGGTGCCACCTGCGGTGTCTCCAGGCAGGGTCGGAAACTCTGGAGTCCGGTTCCCCTCTGCAAACAGCTCCCTTATGAGGGGTGGGGAGAGGCCCCCTTGCCGGATGTCCGGCCTGCAGAGAGTCCCCTTTCCCTCCGCGAAACCGCTGAAAGGTGGGCTTTGGACTTTGGACAAGTAAATTGCAGAATCCTAGAGTTGGGAGGGACTCCTGAGGAGCACAAGGAAAGAATCCCTGGCAGAGAGTTATCCACCCTCTAGCTTCAAAACTTTTAATGAAACAATAAGTGTCTCTCTCTCCCTTCTTTCCTTCCTCCTTTCCTTTTTTCTTTCTTTCCTCCCTTCCATCTTTCTTTCTTTCTTTCTTTCCTTCCTTCCTTCCTTCTCTCTCTCACCCCATCTTTCCTTCCTTCCTTCTTTCTTTCTTTCTTTCTTTCTTTCTTTCTTTCCTTCCTTCCTTCCTTCCTTCCTTCCTTCCTTCCTTCCTTCCTTCCTTCCTCCTTTCTTTCTTTCTTTCTTTCTTTCTTTCTTTCTTTCTTTCTTTCTTTCTTTCCTTCCTTCCTTCCTTCCTTCCTTCCTCCTTTCTTTCTTTCTTTCTTTCTTTCTTTCTTTCTTTCTTTCTTTCCTTCCTCCCTCCCTCCCTCCCTCCCTCCCTTCCTTCCTTATCTCTCTCACCCCATCTTTTCTGTCTTCCTTCTTTCGTCCGTCCCTCTCTCCCTCCTTTTTTATTTCCTTCTTTCTTTCTTTCCTTCCCTCCTTCCTTCCTTCCTTCCTCAGGATCTGGAGTCGCTCTCATGTCCAACTTTGAGCAACTCCTGCGAGGCATCTGGAAACCGGAAACGAACGAGCTCTTGCACATGACCTTGTGAGTAAAGCTCTCTGCTGCCTGTTGGGCGCGGCTGCTGCCTGCCTGGGATGGTAGGGACAGAGCAAAGACCTCGATGCAGGCACTTTTGTACGAAACAAAGCACAGGGAGGGAGACCACCAAGAGGCGGGGAGTTCCAAAGTCTTTGTAGCACCGCCCTCCTTTGCCTCTGGCCCTGCCCACCACCACTGTGCGGCCCCTGGAAAGCAATGCGGCCCTCGGCTGGGGTGGGGGGGGGAAAGGCTTTTGAAACTGTATTTAAAAAATAAAATAAATTCAATTTCTGTTGCCTTTGCAGCCCTTCCAAAGCCAGCTTGTACGGGGCGGTGCTTTTCACACTGCAACAAGCTCACTGGCTTCCTGTCTCCAAAGCCACCCTGATATTTTTCTTCACCCTCTTCATGATCGTCTGCAAGGTGAGCCTCCGGCCGTGGGGCAGGGCAGGGGGGCCAAGAGGAAAAGAATGAAATCTTTCCACTGGATAGAAGGGTTGGCACCCGGGTTTAGCAAAAGCGGGGCTGTGTTTGGCAAATCTTGGGGGTAATACAGACGTTATTTGTTTCGCCATCTTGGTAAAAAACAGACCTTGCAGGGATAAAGGGACCGTTAGACCCCCACCTACAGCTGAGCTTGGGGGGGTGAAGAGTGTGGGTTGCATTTTCCCCTGGACCCCCAGAGAAGGGAGGGGAGATCCTCCAAGGGCCCCTATTTTCCAGGGACAGCCCCACATCTACAGAAGCCGCCCCGGTTGCTAAATTGATCCCAGAACATCCTGCTTTTCCTTAGGACGTCCCTATTTTCAGGGGAGAAACGTTGGAGGGGATGGAATAAGACGTCCCTATTTTCAGGGGAGAAACGTTGGAGGGGATGGAATAGGACGTCAATATTTTCAGGGGAGAAACGTTGGAGGGGATGGAATAGGACGTCAATATTTTCAGGGGAGAAACGTTGGAGGGGATGGAATAGGACGTCCCTATTTTCAGGGGAGAAACGTTGGAGGGGATGGAATGGGACGTCCCTATTTTCAGGGGAGAAACGTTGGAGGGGATGGAATAGGACGTCCCTATTTTCAGCGGAGAAACGTTGGAGGATGGAATAGGACGTCCCTATTTTCAGGGGAGAAACGTTGGAGGGGATGGAATAGGACGTCCCTATTTTCAGGGGAGAAAAGTTGTGAGGGAGGGAATAGGACGTCCCTATTTTCAGGGGAGAAACGTTGGAGGGGATGGAATAGGACGTCCCTATTTTCAGGGGAGAAACGTTGGAGGGGATGGAATAGGACGTCCCTATTTTCAGGGGAGAAACGTTGGAGGGGATGGAATAAGACGTCCCTATTTTCAGGGGAGAAACGTTGGAGGGGATGGAATAGGACGTCCCTATTTTCAGGGGAGAAACGTTGGAGGGGATGGAATAGGACGTCCCTATTTTCAGGGGAGAAACGTTGGAGGGAGTGGAATAGGACGTCCCTATTTTCAGGGGAGAAACGTTGGAGGGGATGGAATAGGACGTCCCTATTTTCAGGGGAGAAATTTGGAGGGGGTGGAATAGGACGTCCCTATTTTCAGGGGAGAAACGTTGGAGGGGATGGAATAGGACGTCCCTATTTTCAGGGGAGAAACGTTGGAGGGGATGGAATAGGACGTCCCTATTTTCAGGGAGAAACGTTGGAGGATGGAATAGGACGTCCCTCTTTTCAGGGGAGAAACGTTGGAGGGATGGAATAGGACGTCCCTCTTTTCAGGGGAGACACGTTGGAGGCTATGGAATAGGACGTCCCTCTTTTCAGGGGAGAAACGTTGGAGGGAATGGAATAGGACGTCCCTATTTTCAGGGGAGAAACGTTGGAGGGGATGGAATAGGACGTCCCTATTTTCAGGGGAGAAACGTTGGAGGGGATGGAATAGGACGTCCCTATTTTCAGGGGAGAAACGTTGGAGGGGATGGAATAGGACGTCCCTATTTTCAGGGGAGAAACGTTGGAGGGAGTGGAATAGGACGTCCCTATTTTCAGGGGAGAAACGTCGGAGGGATGGAATAGGACGTCCCTATTTTCAGGGGAGAAACGTTGGAGGGATGGAATAGGACGTCCCTATTTTCAGGGGAGAAACGTTGGAGGGATGGAATAGGACGTCCCTATTTTCAGGGAGAAACGTTGGAGGGGATGGAATAGGACGTCCCTATTTTCAGGGGAGAAACGTTGGAGGGATGGAATAGGACGTCCCTATTTTCAGGGGAGAAACGTTGGAGGGATGGAATAGGACGTCCCTATTTTCAGGGAGAAACGTTGGAGGGGATGGAATAGGACGTCCCTATTTTCAGGGGAGAAACGTTGGAGGGATGGAATAGGACGTCCCGATTTTCAGGGGAGAAACGTTGGAGGGGATGGAATAGGACGTCCCTATTTTCAGGGGAGAAACGTTGGAGGGGATGGAATAGGACGTCCCTATTTTCAGGGGAGAAACGTTGGAGGGGATGGAATAAGACGTCTATATTTTCAGGGGAGAAACGTTGGAGGGGATGGAATGGGGACGTCCCTATTTTCAGGGGAGAAACGTTGGAGGGGACGGAATAGGACGCCCCTCTTTTCAGGGGAGAAACGTTGGAGGGGATGGAATAGGACGTCCCTATTTTCAGGGGAGAAACGATGGAGGGGATGGAATAGGACGTCCCTATTTTCAGGGGAGAAACGTTGGAGGGGATGGAATAGGACGTCCCTATTTTCAGGGGAGAAACGTTGGAGGGGATGGAATAGGACGTCCCTATTTTCAGGGGAGAAACGATGGAGGGGATGGAATAGGACGTCCCTATTTTCAGGGGAGAAATGTTGGAGGGGATGGAATAGGACGTCCCTATTTTCAGGGGAGAAATGTTGGAGGGGATGGAATAGGACGTCCCTATTTTCACGCGAGAAACGTTGGAGGAGATGGAATAGGACGTCCCTATTTTCACGCGAGAAACGTTGGAGGGGATGCGAATGGTGTGGAACCGCTAACGGCGACTTCCCCCCCCCCAGGTCTTCATGACGGCGACCCACTCCCACGGCTCTCCCTTTGCCCCCTTCGAAGGGGTCGCCTGCCCCATCCTTTTCGGCTCTGTCCCCTCCGGCCACCACGACGACCACCACCACCACCACGGCGGAGGGGGCCACGAAATGCCCCCTCCGCAGCCCCCCCAGCTGCCGGCCAAGTCGCGGGAGGAGCTGAACGAGGGGACGAGGAAGAGGAAGGCCAAGAAGGCTGAATGAGACCCCCCAGGAGGAAGAAGACTGGGGGACGGGGGACCCTGTCCAACCCCACGGCTGACTCCCGGTGTGACCTTTTCTCGCCCATTTTGGGGAGGGGGCTCCTCAGGACGCGGAAGCTGCTCCAGGACCCCCACCTCGCGAAAAAACAAGGACCCCTTTTTGCAACGGCCAGCCCACCCTCGCGCTTCCCCCCTTCTTGACCCCATGGAAGAGCCGCTGTCCTGGCACAGAGAGCGGCCTGGGATTCGGCTGCACTTGGGGGGCCCTGGAATCCGGCCGGACCCCCACCATTATCACATGGGGCAGTGACTCGTCTCCAGCCCCCTCCTGACTGGTTCCTGCGAGAATCGCTGGGCAAAGCGCTTCCACCGTTCTACTCTTGTGCCATTGCTGTGCCTGTGTGTGTTTGTGTGTTTGTGTGTTTGTGTGTTTGTGTGTTTGTGTGTGTGTGCCCTCCCCAGAGCCAGCTGCAATTGCAGCAATGGGGAGCGTGAAGAGCCCTGGGGCCCCGAGCCCCGAACCCCACCTAAATTATCTATTTATTGGCCCATTTTTTGCTGCTCGGGGAATTTCAGAGCTGCCCTTTCCACCTCTCTCAGTTGCCCCTCCTTGCCACCAATAGGAATTATTATTATTATTATTATTATTATTATTAGGGAATGGTTATTCCCCAAATAAAATAAAAGTTTAGGGAAGCTTTTAATGTTTGATGCATTACGGTATTTCAATATTTTGTTGGAAGCCGCCCAGAGTGGCTGGGGAAGCCCAGCCAGATGGGGGGTGGGGTATAAATAATAAATAATAATAATAATAATATATTTTTACCGTGCCCATCCAGCTGGGTTTCCCCAGCCACTCTAGGTGGCTCCCAACAGATGAAAAACAGAATAAAACACCAGACATTATAAAACTTCCCTTCAGACGTCTTCTAAAAGTCAGACGGTTGTTTATTTCCTTGACATCTGATGGGATGCAGGGCGGGCGCCACCACCGAGAAGGCCCTGTGCTCTTCGGCAGCCTCACCCGCTGGGTGCTCAGCGGAGCAGATTTCATAGAGTTGCAGAGTGGCAAGGGACCCCGACGGTCATCTAGTCCAACCCGCTGCAACGTAGGAATACGCCGCTGTCCCGTGCGGGGCTTGAACCCACAACCTTGGCGTTACCAGCGCCACGCTCTAACCCGCCGGTGAACTTCTGCGGAAAACCCCGGGCCTGGCATGTGCTTCGCAGAGGGGCCTCTGAGCGCACGCAGAGTGCTTTTTCTCTCCTTCCTGCATCCTTGGGCTTAAGAGAGCCGGGCTGAGGGCCGGCTGGGTCCCAGGAAGACGCCAGCCGGGTTTTCCTGGGCTTGGGTAGTGTGGGTTCAGAACTGGCGAGAGAACTGGCTGCCCTCGCCCCAAACGGAAGACCTGGGGGGGCGGAGACCCCGCCCCTTCCTCGGCCCCCACCATGGCGTGAAAAGGAGGCACCCCCGGTCTCCCCACAAGAAAGTGCCTTTTTCCCGATAAATGCCCGGTGGGCACCGTGCAAGATTTGAGGCGTGGGGCACACAGCCGACCTGGGAATAAAGGGCCTTTGAGAAGCGATTCTCCGATTCTCCGTCTGGTGTGTTGTGTGTTTCTTTCCTGTTTGGGGGGCTCTGCTGTTTGCAATTTGGGGAGGGGGCAAGACGCACCCCCCCCCCAGTGGGGCATCTTCTGACGGGCATCAAATGTTCCTCCGCCGTTACGTCTGAGGTGGGTGGGTTTTCGGTTGAGTCGATCGCATTTCCAGCGCACTTCGAGACAAATCTGAGCCCGGCGTTGGCTGGGGAGGGCGGGATATAAAGAAAATGCTATTATTATTATTAAATCTTACAAACGATAAATTATAACACCACTTATGGGGTGCTACCTCTGCTTGGGGGCCACTTGCCCAACTTTGGTCTCCTCCCGGCCCTCAGCTCTCCACGAAGCTGCCGGCCTGTGATGGCGGCGGTCCCGATCCTGGGAACGCCTTCGACCGGCTGAATCCCTGCACAAATCCAGACTCGCAAAGGCTCCCGACTTCCCAGTTGCTGTATGTTTTATGTTGGTGTGCAGAGAGGCTTTTGAGGGTCGGATGGAGTCTCCGCCCTCCTCTCTTGAAGGAGATGCCCAGGGCCTCGAATGCCATACGATACAGGAATCTTTAATGTCATTGTCCTATACAGAACAAAGAAATGGAAAAATCTACATCAGACATTCAAAACCCAACAAGCCTGCTATCCCAGCTACCCCAACCTAGTTAACCCCCTAAAAACTCTGATAACCCATTTTTAAATACAATATACTCCCATTGAGACTACCTTAAAAGGTAAAGGGACCCCTGACCATTAGGTCCAGTTGTGACCGACTCTGGCGCTCATCTCGCTTTACTGGCCGAGGGAGCCGGCGTACAGCTTCGGGGTCATGTGGCCAGCAGGAATAAGCCGCTTCTGGCAAACCAGAGCAGCACACGGAAACACCGTTTACCTTCCCGCCGGAGTGGTACCTATTTATCTACTTGCACTTTTGACATGCTTTCGAACTGCTAGATTGGCAGGAGCAGGGACCGAGCAATGGGAGCTCACCCTGTCATTGCGGGGATTTGAACCACCGACCTTCTGATTGGCAAGTCCTAGGCTCTGTGGTTTAACCCACAGTGCCACCCACATTCCAGAGACTACCTTACACTGCCTTTAAAACCAAAATTGCATTTGGATAGAAACTGTTTCTCAGGCGGCTAGTCCTAGTCTTTATAACCCAGAAGGCAGAAGCTGAAAGAGATCATTTCCGGGGTGAGCACTATCCTGCGCTATCTCTGCAGCTTTCTTGTGACACCTGGCAGCATAGATTTGATCCAAGGTGGGAAGAGTGCACCCAATTATTCTCTCCGCAGTCTTTACAACCCTGGACAGCATTGTTTTCCCCCTGACCGTGCAGCTCCCAAACCACAGACACAGACCGTAAGTTAATACACTCTCCACAGTGCAATGGTAAAATGCCATCAACAGGACCTTTGAGAGATTGTTTTCCCGGAGGATTCTCAGAAAATATAACCTCTGCTGTGCTCTCTTCACCAGGTCTTTGCTGTTTTGCGCTAGGCAAGGGATCGAGTTGGCACTTGCCTCTGACATGCCCTTTGCAGGCAGCGCACTGTCTCGCCTCTCCCTTCCTGCTCTATGCATTCCACGCCCGCCCGCTTCCTCCCCTGGCATGCAAACCCAGCCGGGGGGCTGGAGATCTCTGCCCACCGCTGCCCCGCATGCCACCAGGCCTTTCCCGAGGGTGGCCCCCGGCTCAGAGGGCCGGGCATGAACCATGCGCACCAACCAAGTCATCAAGTACACCTTGTTTGCCTCCTGCTACCTCTTCTGGGTGAGTCGAGAGCCTTGGCACGCCTGGCGCCGGCTCCTGTGTTGGCAGCGGGCCTCCGAGGGCTTAGGAGTTCACCCAGAGGCTGCTTTCTACGGCTCTCAGAGGCTGGGCTGCCTTTGCCAAGGCCTCCCTTGGGCCCACGGGGAGTTCGGGGCCGGCTCCTCTCCCCTGGCACAGTCCCGACCTGCCCTGCCCACAGTAAGCCACAGGGCATGAGTGTGTGGCGCCCTTTTTGCAAAAACAGGATGCGACGAACAGCTTGTTCTTCTGCCCTCTCCAGGTGGCCGGTGGGCTGATGGTAGCCGTCGGGATCTACGCCAGGCTTTCCAAGGAAGGGGGTGAGTGGGGCGGGGGCACCCTGCTTGGCACTGGGGTTTCGTGGCCCACAGAAAAGTCAATCTCCAGGATACATTGTCAAACGCCTTCTCGACGTCTGCCAACATTAGGGCTGCCTTTTTGCGCGGTCTCATTTCTAAACATTCTATAATATCTATGACCATTTTTGTAGTATTTTGGATCTGTCTGCCCCGTAAGAAACCTGATTGTTCGTCTCCAATTATTCTCCCCCGGTTTTTTAAAGTTGCACCAGATTTTTAAAACTCTGCAATATTCCCTTTGTGTTCCATCTTCAGTGGGGCAATGGGCTTCACTCGAAGGCGGGTTCGGGGGTCTAGGAACACTAGATTGGGGAGGGCAGTTTAGAGGTAAAGCCTAGGCAACCCTGCTGGCCCCTAAAGGGAAAAAACTGCATGTGAGATGAATATTGCATAGCTCCTGAGCATGTGTGGAGTGCCTTTCCTCGATTGCTTACAGTGGTTTTTGGGCTACAGCTGTTTTTTGGGCTACAACTCCCATCATCCCTAGCTAGCAGGGGTGATGGGAATTGTAGTCCTCGAAAAAGCTGGAAACCCAAGTTTGGAGAACACTGATCTGGTCTGACCTTCTGCAATGCATGAACATATAACTGTCCCTTACAGGAACCGAATCTGCAACCTTGGCGTTATCCGTACCAGGCTGTAGCCCCATGAGCTTATTATTATTACTATCAATCAATCAATCAATCAATCAATCAAATTTCTATTCCACCCTTCATCTGAGGATCAGAGGGAGGTTTACCTTCCCAAATGCAAAGATACAATAACAAAATGAAAACAGTATCCATTCTCCAGTTTAAAAGACCATAGATTGTTGAATTATTAGCCGTAGACCGGGGTGAAAAGAGGAATACTGCTGCCTGGCGCCTAGAAAACCAAAGCAGAGCCCAATATTTCAAAGCCGTGGTTCAGAGCAGCGAGTTCGAAATCCCCGTGCTTTGGCTCCGAGAGACTCTGAGCCTTGACTCTCCCTTTTCCTCGCTTTGTGCCTGATTCTTTCAGCGGTTCTCAACCTGCGGGTCCCCCAATGTTGTCAGACCACAACTCCCATCATCCCTGAGCTCTGGCCTTGCTAGCTAGGGGTGATGGGAGTTGTAGTTCAAGAACATCTGGGGACCCACAGGCGGAGAAAGGCTGCTGGGCATTTCCTCTGGGCTGGTCTCTTACCTGGCAGGTGGGTGGGTGGGCACCCTTGGGTGGGTAGGCACCCTCTCCTCTCCTCTCTGCCTCCCTCCAGGCGCTGTGGACTCCCTGCTGGCAGACCCCTCCGTCGTCCTGCTGGCGGTGGGCGTCCTGGTGTTCAGCGTCACCTTCGTCGGCTGCCTGGGGGCCTTGCGTGACGTCACCCCGCTTCTGAAGGTGGTACGTACGGCAAAGGGACCCCTGCCACTCCCTCCATTACCCCCTCAACAATGGGCAAAGCCTCCTGCTCAGTCTTTTGATTTGAGGGTGCCCATGGGCATTTTAGGGGTTGCCCAGCCACCCAATGCCAGGGACACAGGGTGCCCGTTTGGGAGTGGGCATAACTCAGCGGCATGGGCTCCTGCTTGGCACGGAATAAAGCTCATCTTCAAACCCTGCGTGGCAGAATCTCCAGATGTCTTGCCCAATGCAAACAAGGGGAACCATGGGGCAGGGTCCAGGATGCTCAGATTACTGCCACCAGACCTCCCCTTCCACGATGTAACCGTGATGTATGAGTGATGTAGTTTGGGGGAGGTGTAACATGGGGATTGGGATGTGGGTGGCACTGTGGGTTAAACCACAGAGCCTAGGACTTGCCGATTGGAAGGGTGAGCTCCCGTTGCTCAGTCCCTGCTCCTGCCAACCTAGCAGTTCCAAAGCACGTCAAAGTGCAAGTAGATAAATAGGTACCGCTCCGACGGGAAGGTAAACGGCATTTCCGTGCACTTCCATGCGCTGCTCTGGTTCGCCAGAAGTGGCTTGGTTCTGCTGGCCACATGACCCGGAAGCTGTACACCAGCTTCCTTGGCCACTAAAGCGAGATGAGCGCCGCAACCCCAGAGTCGTCCGCGACTGGACCTAATGGTCAGGGGCCCCTTTACCTTTAACATGGGGATTAGCAGCTAATAAAAGTTTGGGTTCTCTTTTGTTGGGGCTTCCATCTTGTTCCACCTGGTGGCAGGTGGGAGTCCTGTCTCGAGGGTCTTCAATAAAGACCAAGCCTACTGGCTGCTCTTTTGCTCTGGTATTCCTGGCTGGTGTCCTTGTTTTTGGTCCAAGGGAGCCCTCAGATTTCTCCGTAACCCCCCCCCCAAATTCCGACCATGAAAAGTGCAGCTTATATTTGTGACCTGGCAAAAATTGGCTTTTACGATATTGCTGCTGGAACAGCTGCCCTAGGCATATCTTAGCTAGATGTTCCAGCAGCGTCTCCTTGCTCGGGAAGCGGTAGAGGTTTTTAAGCAGAGGTTGGATGGATGGATGTCCACCTGTCCGGGATGCTTTTGCTGAGATTCCTGCGTTTCAGAGGGGTTGGACTAGATGACCCTCGGGTGTCCTGTTGCAACTCCACGGTCCTGATTCTCTGCTCACCTCTCCCCAGTTTGCCTGGCTCTTGCTGGTCATCTTCGTCCTTCAGGTGGTGGCTGCCGTTCTGGGGTTCCTCTTCTCTGGCATGGTAAGCAAAACAAAACGATAGATGATAGATAGATAGATAGATAGATAGATAGATAGATAGATAGATAGATAGATAGATAGATAGATGATAGATAGATGATAGATAGATGATAGATAGATAGATAGATAGATAGATAGATAGATAGATAGATAGATAAAGATAGATATAGAACTTTATTCGCATTAGCCAGTGGCCACAGCAACAGTAAAACATTACAGTATACGCAGATAAGGAAATTTGTATAAGATCACAGTTTAAAGTCCTGAATCAGCCGTAAGTTATTGGCCCTGATTCTGATAATAATAATAATAATAATAATAATAATAATAATAATTTATTATTTATACCCCGCCCATCTGGCTGGGTCTGGCTGGGCTTCCCCAGCCACTCTGGGCGGCTTCCAAAACAAATATTAAAATACTGTAATACATCAAACATTAAAAGCTTCCCTAAACAGGGCTGCCTTCAGATGTCTTCTAAAAGTCTGGTAGTTGTTGTTCTCTTTGACATCTGGTGGGAGGGCGTTCCACAGGGAGGGAGCCACCACCGAGAAGGCCCTCTGCCTGGTTCCCTGTAACATCGCTTCTCGCAGGGAGGCAACCGCCAGAAGGCCCTCGGGAGAGGGACCCAGGTGTCCGGGATGGAGACACTCCTTCAGGTCTACTGGGCCATTTAGGGCTTTCAAGGTCAACACCAACACTTTGAATTGTGCTTGGAAACGTCCTGGGAGCCAATGTGGGTCTTGATTGCCCCTGCTATGATCCTAGCAACCTTTGCTGTTATCTGCTCATTGTGATCTGATAGAAGAAGATTGTGGCAGTGGCTGAGTGCCCTGGGATGGTGAGTACGAGTGGAGTGATGATCCCGTTCCTCAGGTCTTTGTAGAGAGCGCAAGCCGGGAGGACATGTGCCGCTGTTTCGGTGCTACAGGGGCAAAGACGTTTCTCAGGCAGGACCTTTTGGAATCGACCCTCAAGTACCGCAGACGGCAAAACATCCAGTCTTGCAAGTGTAAAAGCACGTCTGTATTTTGGGATAAGGAGTTTGTGCGGATATGGGGCCAGAGAATCAAAATGGAGAGGTGGAAAATGAACAAAACAAAAACGGCACCTGCGTAGCTTGGCATTTGGGGCGAGGGGGGGCACAGCTCATGGTTGGGCCCCCCGCTTTGTACCCCAAAGCTCTCCCAGGCCCAATCCCCGTGAGAATTAGAGCGGCTTTTCGGGCATACAGATTCACTCTTTTTCTCTTTTAAAATGATTTTTATTTGATTTCACCAGTGCAGTGGTACCTTGGTTCTCAAATTAAGCTTACCAGGTGTCCCCGTTTCCAAGGGACAGTCCCTGACTTTACAAACCAGCCCCCCTACAAAATCCATGGGAGTTGAAAAGTGTCCCCGGATTCATTGGAAAAAATCCGGTACAGTGGTACCTCGGGTTAAGAACTTAATTTGTTCCGGAGGTCCGCTCTTAACCTGAAACTGTTCTTAACCTGAAGCACCACTTTAGCTAATGGGGCCTCCTGCTGTCACCGCTACACGATTTCTGTTCTCATCCTGAAGCAAAGTTCTTAACCCGAGGTGCTATTTCTGGGTTAGCGGAGTCTGTAACCTGAAGCGTGTATAACCTGAAGCATCTGTAATCCGAGGTACCACTGTAACCTTTTTATTATTTATTTATTTATTTATTTATTTATTTATTTATACATACAACAAGAAAAACACACACACAAAAAAAAACACAAATACCAACTTACACACAAATTACAAAAATAACCATAGACACATAATTTTCTTGGCAAACAATAAAACATCTATTGGTCTTAACACTAAAGACCCAACTTCCCGTCTCTTCCATATTTCAAATTCATATTATGTATTGCCAATACACATTTTTTTCATAATTAAACTTATTCTCAATAAATCTAATTTCTTCTATCTACCTAGCAACTATCACTGAAGTTCCTCGAATGCTGCAACAGAATTTAAACTACTATATTTATTTTTCAGATATTCTTTGAAAACCTCCCATTTAGAAACAAATTCCTGTTTTGATTTATTCTTTATTTTTTCGGATAAACCGTCTAATCCGGCATATTCTGTCAGCTTTTGGATCCAATCTTGTATAGAGGGGATTTCATTACTCTTCCATTTTGCTGCGATCAAAACTCTTAACCTTAACTTAACCAGTTCTGGAAGTCCGTTCGGTTTGCTGCAAAGGGGGGAAGCTTATTAAATCTGCCGCATTTTCCAAACTTTTCGCTGCCGGCTGGAGATGCACTCTTGACGGGCGCAGGGGAGATTTCTCACTGCTCCTGTACTCTCTCTCTCCCTCCCCATCCTCCCTCCACCGTGTCCCAGGTGATGGAGAAAGCCACCCTGCTGATGGGACGAGCCATCGCCCGTTACCGCGACAACCTGGACCTGCAGAACCTCATCGACTACATCCAAAAGAAGGTAAAAGTTTCTACCCACTCTGGAAGAATGGCAGATGAAGGTGATTGACTACATGGAACTGGCGGAAATGACTGGCAGAATCCGAGACCAGAGAGAAGAGACGGTGAAAGAAGACTGGAGGAAATTTAAAGACTATTTACAGAAATATTGTAAAATTAAGGAATCTTAGAAGGATGTTGGATAGAAACTAAGGGTTTTTAGCTGTAATGCTTTAAGAGATATGAAAAAAGGTTTGCAACTGGGTAATTTCAATGGTAAGGATTTGCTGAATCAACAAATTGAACTGGAATACAAAAAAGGGAGGTATGAGGAGGTCCGGGGAAATAAGTATAAGGAAGATAGGTTATGGAAATTTAATGTCCTTTTAATTGTTTTATTTGGTATGTTTTCTTTTATTTTTTACTTCTTTGGTTATTTTTTTAAAAAAAACTTTATTCTTGTTCTTTCTGCATTCTGTATTTTTTGTATTATTTTTTTTTGAAACTTTAATAAATATCATTTTTTAAAAAAAGGTTGAGGGATGCCTAGGTTTCCCTTTCCCGCAGGGACATAGCGTGGGTTGCCGGTGCCCCGGGGCAGGGCGGCTGTTTTGCCCCCTGGTGGACTGGGCCGGTCCCTTCGCCGCCCAGCGTCCGAACAAGAGAGTCCTCCTGTTGCTCCGAGTTCAAATCCCGCTCAAGCGTTCCTTATACCCTTTAAATAATCCAGGGGGAAAGCCTCCCGTTCTTCAGCGCCCTTCGCTCCTGTTTCTTTCTCCCCCCAGTTCGAGTGCTGCGGCGTCCACTCCTACAAAGACTGGTCCCAGAACGTTTACTTCGACTGCCGGGATTCGAACCCCAGCCTGGAGCGCTGCGCCGTCCCGTTCTCTTGCTGCGTGCGAGGCAAAGAGGTGAGGAGGCAGCCCGACAGGCCATGCTCAACCCGAACCGGACACTGACTGGTAGAATCCTAACTAGAAGCCCTTACTCCTAACTGGCATTGGAAGCCCTCACTCATAACTGGCTTCGGGAGCCCTTACTCCCAGCGGGCTTGGGGAGGCCTTGCTGATTTTTTTTAACTTAATACCATCCTTTTCAAAAGAGAACAAATCTCTATAGGTGCCCCATTTTTCCCATATTTAATTTCTTTTGGACAGTTGGGAAGCCCTCACTCATAATTGGCTTTGGGAGTCCTTACTCCCAGCTGGCTTGGAGGAAACCTTGCTGATTTTTTAGAAACTTAATACCATACCATCCTTTTTTCTTTTTTCTTTTTTAAATGATATTTATTAAAGTTTCACAAAGAAAGAATCACATCAGCAAAAAAGAAAAATTCAAGAATAAAAAGAAGAATACACAATGCAAAATACAAAATACAAAAAGAAAAAAGAAAAAAGAGTTAAAAACAATTCCCTCTTTTCATCACTACTTTTACATTTACTTGTTTCCCGGACCTCCTCATACCTCCCTATTCCAATCTAGTTTGTTAGTCCAGCAACCTTTCCTCCTTTTTTAATCCTAACTTAATCTTAATATAATATAACATTAAATTTTACCTACAAAAACCAATTTTCCATTCTTTTTAACCTTTTAACTTAACTTAATCTTGATATATTTATAACTTTAAAGTCTGTACAGCTAGAAGCCACGACTTCAATCTAACATCACTCTAACATTCAATTTGCAATATTTCTGTAAATAATCTTTGAATTTCTTCCAATCTTCTTCCACCGACTTTTCTCCCTGGTCACGGACGGCCAGTCATTTCCGCCACCCATATAGTCCATCATTTTCATCTGCCATTCCTCCAGTGTGGGAAGCTCTGTGTCTTCCAATACTTTTGCAAATGAGTATTCTTGCTGCTGTTGCTGCACACATAAATAGTTCTATCCTTTTTTAACACCGGGTTGGCCGAATTATGCCCAGAAGAAAGGCTCTGGTTTCTTCAAGAAGGTATATTTAAACACTTTTTAGCTCATTATAACCACTTCCAGAAAGCCTTAATCTTTGGCACGCCCACCAAAGGTGAAAAATGTACCTTCAGTTTCTCTTTTACATTTCCAACATTTATTATCAGAATATGATAGATTTTTTGTAAGCTTCTGACTGGGTTATGTACCACCTGTACCATTTTCATAATATTCTCTCTAAGGCATTACATGCCGTGAACCATACCTGTGGTCCATAACTGTTCCCAGTCACATCATTATGTTATGTCCAACATCTTGTGCCCATTTAATCATAGCAGATTTCACCGCCATCCTGAGGTTCCATTTCAGCAGCAAGTTATACATTCTGACAAATCTCTTAGTTTTGGGTTCCCAACAGTTCTGAACCAATTCTTGATTTTTCCACCTGAGTTACAATTTTCTTATCCAAATTGTATGCCTCCACATCTGGAATACCATACCATCTCAAAGAAACTGGGGTCAAGACGATTTGCTATCTTTTGAAAAAAATACCATACCATCCTTTTCAAAAGATAGCAAATCTCTATAGGTGCCCCATTTTCCCCACGTTTAGTTTCTTTAGGGCAGTTGGGAAGCCCTTGCTCTCAATTGGCTTCAGGAGCCCTTACTCCCAGCGGGCTTGGGGAGGCCTTGCCCCTGTATGTAGCTAGGCACTCCCTACATGCACATCTGCTGCAGCCGGAGCCCACCTGGTCCAGCAACCTGTCCCCACATTGGCCAGCCAGACGCTTCTTCTAGGAAGCCCGCAAGGATACCCAAGGCATAGCTTTGGGGGCAACCTGCCCCGAACACTGCCAAAGAGTTGGAGGCCGTCGGCTTTCATGCCTGCTGCTGGACGAGACGGGACCCCTTTGGTTCGGCTGCTCTGGGGTTCCCCAGATCGTCTTATTCGGAGTAGAGCCTCCTCGTCCCAAGGCAGCCTACCTCCAACCGCCAACAGTATCCCGGAGGGCAAACGGAAGGCGGCGTCTTTGGGCTCTTGCAAAGGGGCCTTCCTAATGGGCCACCCCATTCTCTCGCCCGCTCCTCACAGGCCGTTCTGAACACGATGTGCGGCTACGGGACGCAGAAGCTGAAGCCATGGAAGGCCGAATTTTTGGTGCACACCGAGGGGTGTTTGGAGAAGACGGTCCGCTGGGGGCGCAGCAACCTCTTCTTGGTGGCCGGGCTGGCCTTTGGGCTGCTGGTCCTGGAGGTGAGCAAGGGGGCCGCTGGGGGGGCTCCAATCTTGTCCCTCCTCCCAAAATCAGGGCTGCAGGCCTAAGCGCCTCCCTTCCAGCAAAAGCATTCAAGGAGAAGAAAGAGGCAATTTAAAAAAGGGGGGATCCAGGAAATTACAGGCCTCTGCAGGTTGTTGAAGGCAGAATGGCCAAGTCTAGAGAAGGACAAGCCCCGCTGGAACAAGAACCAGCATGGCTTCTGCAAGGATAAGTCTGTATTTCAAAGGCAAGAAGGAGGCTGGCGCAAAGGCAGTTTAAAAAAGGGGGGATCCAGGAAACTACAGGCCTATCCAGGTTGTTGAAGGCAGAAGTCTAGAGAAGGAGAAGCCCTGCTGGAACAGGAAACAGCATGGCTTCTGCAAGGATAAGTCTGTATTTCAAAGGCAAGAAGGAGGCTGCGCAAAGGCAGTTTAAAAAAAAGGGGAGAGGGATCCAGGAAACTACAGGCCTATCCGGGTTGTTGAAGGCAGAATGGCCAAGTCTAGAGAAGGACAAGCCCTGCTGGAACAGGAAACAGCATGGCTTCTGCAAGGATAAGTCTGTATTTCAAAGACGAGAAGGAGGCTGACGCTAAGGCAGTTAAAAAAGGGGGGAGAGGGATCCAGGAAACTACAGGCCTATCCAGGTTGTTGAAGGCAGAAGTCCAGAGAAGGATAAGCTTTGCTGAAGCAAGAAACAGCGTGGCTTCTGCAAGGATAAGTCAAGGGCTGTATTTAATAGACAAGAAGGAGGCTGGCGCAAAGGCAGTTGGAAAAAGGGAGGGGAAGTATCCAGGAAATTACAGGCCTATCCGGGTTGTTGAAAGCAGAATGGCCAAGTATAGAGAAGAACAAGCCTTGCTGGAACAAGAACCAGCATGGCTTCTGCAAGGCTAAGTCTGTATTTCAAAGACAAGAAGGAGGCTGATGCAAAGGCAGTTGAAAAAAAGGGGAGAGGGATCCAGGAAACTCCAGGCCTATCCAGGTTGCTGAAGGCAAAATGACCACGTCTAGAGAAGGACAAGTCCTGCTGGAACAAGAACCAGCATGGCTTCTGCAAGGATAAGCCCATAAATCCTGCTTGGGGGCTTCCCCTTGTGGGCAACCGGTTGGCTGGGCTGATATGGGCCCCCTTTGGTCTGATCCTGTGGCCGCCATGTGGCTCCTTTTACGATTCCGAAGTGGAGCCTCCACGCGTAGAGCCAGTCTACCTTAGAACAGCGGAGAACAAGAGCAGGAGGGGGGTGCTGTTTCCCCCAGGTCCCGCTTGTGGGCTTCTTCCCTTTGCGAGGACAGGGGGCTGGACTTATACGGGCCTGATCCACCTGCGACGGCCACTGCAAGGCTCTCCTGAGGTCCTTAAATGCAGTCACAAGCACTCCTGTCCTCCTTTCCTCGTTCCAGGCGGTCGTCTTCTCTCTCGCCGTTCTGCTCATCTACCAGATCGACTTCATGATTGAGAAACGGAAGAGCGTCAGGAGGAGGAGGAGCAAAAGCTGTCCAGCAACGTGAAAATCTCCCAAGACTGTTTTGCCGCTTCTCCCTCCCCAAAAAGAGGACCCCTTTTTTTGGGCAGCAAAAACAGGGCATTGGAAAAGGGGGGCAGGCCTGGCGCCACTTTTAACCTCCCTGCAGGCTTTGCACGAACTGATATCGGGGTGTTACGCCAAATAATTGTAGAGTCGGGGTGTCCGGAGTGTGTGCAGGAGCCGGGTCCTGTGACCAGTAGGGCTTCGCAGGATTGGGGCCTTCCTAAGTTTGTTCTGGAGAGGCAAGGTGTGGCCACACAGGTGAGGCCGATTGGTAACTCACTGCACCTGGTGGCAAGAGCTGGGAAGGGATATAAGGTCAGCATTTCCCTTCGGCTCTTTGCCACAGCAACACGCTTCCTGCCTTGCTGCGTTTGGCTTCTTGCTTCTCGACCCTCGGACCCCTGACTTCGTGACTCCTTCCTTCCTGACCCTCGGACCCCTGACTTCGTGACTCCTTGCTCCTCGACCCTCGAACCCCTGACTTCGTGACTCCCTGCTTCTCAACCCTCAGACCCCTGACTTCCTGACTCCTTGCTCCTCAACCCTCGGACCCCTGACTTCGTGACTCCCTGCTTCTCAACCCTCGGACCCCTGACTTCGTGACTCCCTGCTTCTCGACCCTCGGACCCCTGACTTCGTGACTCCCTGCTTCTCAACCCTCGGACCCCTGACTTCGTGACTCCCTGCTTCTCAACCCTCGGACCCCTGACTTCGTGACTCCTTGCTCCTCGACCCTCGGACCCCTGACTTCGTGACTCCCTGCTTCTTGATCCTCGAACCCCTGACTTCGTGACTCCCTGCTCCTCGACCCTCGGACCCCTGACTTCGTGACTCCCTGCTTCTTGATCCTCGGACCCCTGACTTCGTGACTCCCTGCTCCTCGACCCTCGAACCCCTGACTTCGTGACTCCCTGCTTCTCGACCCTCGGACCCCTGACTTCGTGACTCCCTGCTTCTTGATCCTCGGACCCCTGACTTCGTGACTCCCTGCTCCTCGACCCTCGAACCCCTGACTTCGTGACTCCCTGCTTCTCGACCCTCGGACCCCTGACTTCGTGACTCCCTGCTTCTCAACCCTCAGACCCCTGACTTCGTGACTCCTTGCTTCTCGACCCTCGGACCCCTGACTTCGTGACTCCCTGCTTCTTGATCCTCGAACCCCTGACTTCGTGACTCCCTGCTCCTCGACCCTCGAACCCCTGACTTCGTGACTTCCTGCTTCTCAACCCTCAGACCCCTGACTTCGTGACTCCTTGCTCCTCAACCCTCGGACCCCTGACTTCGTGACTCCCTGCTTCTTGATCCTCGAACCCCTGACTTCGTGACTCCCTGCTCCTCGACCCTCGAACCCCTGACTTCGTGACTCCCTCTTTCTCAACGCTCAGACCCCTGACTTCGTGACTCCTTGCTTCTTGACCCTCAGACCCCTGACTTCGTGACTCCTTGCTTCTTGACCCTCAGACCCCTGACTTCGTGACTCCTTGCTTCTTGATCCTCGGACCCCTGACTTCGTGACTCCCTGCTTCTCAACGCTCAGACCCCTGACTTCAGGACTCCTTGCTTCTCAACCCTCAGACCCCTGACTTCGTGACTCCTTGCTTCTCGACCCTCGGACCCCTGACTTCAGGACTCCTTGCTTCTCAACCCTCAGACCCCTGACTTCGTGACTCCTTGCTTCCTGACCCTCGGACCCCTGACTTCGTGACTCCTTGCTTCCTGACCCTCGAACCCCTGACTTTGTGACTCCCTGCTTCTCAACCCTCAGACCCCTGACTTCGTGACTCCTTGCTCCTCGACCCTCGGACCCCTGACTTCGTGACTCCTTGCTCCTCGACCCTCGGACCCCTGACTTCGTGACTCCCTGCTTCTCAACCCTCAGACCCCTGACTTCGTGACTCCTTGCTTCCTGACCCTCGGACCCCTGACTTCGTGACTCCTTCCTTCCTGATCCTCGGACCCCTGACTTCGTGACTCCTTGCTTCTCGACCCTCGGACCCCTGACTTTCTGACTCCTTGCTTCTTGACCCTTGGACCCCTGACTTCGTGACTCCTTGCTTCTCAACCCTCAGACCCCTGACTTCGTGACTCCTTGCTTCTTGACCCTCGGACCCCTGACTTCGTGACTCCTTGCTTCTTGACCCTCGGACCCCTGACTTCGTGACTCCTTGCTTCTCGACCCTCGGACCCCTGACTTTCTGACTCCTTGCTTCTTGACCCTTGGACCCCTGACTTCGTGACTCCTTGCTTCTCAACCCTCAGACCCCTGACTTCGTGACTCCTTGCTTCTTGACCCTCGGACCCCTGACTTCGTGACTCCTTGCTTCTTGACCCTCGGACCCCTGACTTCGTGACTCCTTGCTTCTCGACCCTCGGACCCCTGACTTCGTGACTCCTTGCTTCTTGACCCTCGGACCCCTGACTTCGTGACTCCTTGCTTCTTGACCCTCGGACCCCTTCCTGCCAGGGCTGGATTTCAGTTTGATGCGGCCCTCAGCTCCTAAAGGTCATGGGGGCCCTTTTCTATGTCCAGCTGTCCTTTGCCAACAACAAATTGTCGCCGTTTTTCTGTGTGTTTTGAATATATACTATATGGTAATTTATAGACTGCATAGGTATCTCAAGCCATTTGCACATCACAAAATATGTATTTTATCAAAGTCATTGTTGAACTGAAAAACAACTAAGCAGTATATTAATAGTGAAATAAAATTAAGAAGCATATTAACAGTGAAATAATTAAGGTTTTTTTTCCCTTTAAATTTTTTGGGGCCCTAAGCTAGAGCTTGTTTAGCTTATACATAAATCTGGCACTGGCATAGATAGATGGATAGATGATAGATAAATAGATAGATAATATTTAGGAAACATACATCTAGTTTTTTCCCCTTTACATTTTTGGGTCCCCCCAAGAGAGTGGGGCCCTAAGTTAGAGCTTGTTTAGCTTATACATAAATCCGGCACTAGGTCCTGTAGAAGGGGGCTTCTTATTCTTTGGGGGGGCAGTCTGCCCAGCCCCCTTGGGCCTGATCCTGCTGCCACCGCCGCCGCAGGCCTTCTCCATCTCTCCTCCCAGAGGATGCCTCAGGTGTGCCTCACCTGACGATGCCCCGGGGAGGGACTCTTCCCCACCTGCCTCTGCATTGCCATGGCGACCTGCCTCCCCGGGGCGGACCGGGCACCTTCCTTGGCATCGGGGCAGGCAGAGCGACTCGGCAGCCGGGCAGGATGAGCCTCTCGCCGCCGGAGCGGGGCCTCCCCCTCCGGGGAAAGGGGGGCAGCCGGCCCTGCAACCTCGTCCGGGTCTTTGTGAGCTCAACGCCTTCAGGTGCCCCCCGATGTGCCGCAGAGGGTGGGGGGCAGGCAGGCAGGAAGAGCTCTGGGCGTGGGGTGCAGGGCTAGGCTGGGCCTCATAAGATCAGAGATGGAAGGGAACCCAGCGGTCATCTAGCCCAACCCCAAACTTGCCATGCTGAGATCTCGCCCAAAGCATCCCTGACATTTGGCACGATCATTGGAGAGATGAGAATTTGAGCAGGGGGGTCAAATCGGAGCCAACCAAATTTTAATTTCCTTCCTTCCTTCTTTTTCCCCCTTTTTATTCTTGTTCTTCCTTTCTTTTCCCTATTTATAATTTTGTGTTTTCCCGTATTTTGGCATTTCATAACTCACTGTAAGGTATGTGTTGAAGGCAATGCACAATTCTTTTGTTTCTTTATTGTTTGCGCAATCATATTTTATTTTGTACGTATGTAATATGTATATTGCAAATAACAAAAATGAAACAATAAACAGATTGGAGGCGCCTCAGAGGGCAGCGCAGCGCAGTGGTTAGAGTGTCTGTCGGTCAGGGCTTGGCAAAAAGAGAGAGGGTCGAGATAGTGAATTTTTGGGTCTAATGGGGATGTAAAAGGGTTTGGATTATTATTTTTTGAAAATGGATGAAATGGTTAACAATAGGCAGTCCTTTTTTCCCTGGGGGGGGGCGCAGGGGTACGCATACCCCTAAACATTTTGTGAATCATTTGTACTTTTGTCCATTTGCTGTATTTATTTCCCCCGATTCGAACTAGAAAATGGTGGTTTTCTTGAGTCGAAATGAGAGTATCTCTAAACATTTTTTTAAGGGGGGGAAAAAGCAATGACAATAGGTCCCAAAAGGGGGGGGGGACCGTCCAGGAGATTCTTTCGAATTGTTTTTATTAGGTATGTTGGAGATCTGGTTGTAAAACTTCAACTGGGAAAACCAAATGAATACATTTATAGAAATAATTTTTAAAAAAGGAGAGAGAGCAGGGTTCGAATCCTGCCGCTCAGCCGGCGTGAAATTCTCCTTGGGGGTGTGACCTGTTGTGGGGCTGCCCCTCTTGGCTCGACCTGCCTCGTTGTGGGGAGAAGCACGTGGGCTGCCTTTGAGTGACATAAATAAATTTGGGGCCCCTCGCAAGCAGAAAGCTAGCAGCTCAAAAGCCCCCCTTCTCCGATTCTTCGGTTACAGACATGGAGGCAGAAAGAGAGGCTCTGATGGAGTCGGCATACCCCGAAGTCCAGGCCTTTTGCCAGAAACACGGCTTGATGTTTGAGGTGAGGACCCCCCCTCAAAAAAAACCCACCCCTATCTCAGCTCAGAGCCAGCTGAACGCGCCTCTGGGAGCAGAAGGGGTATTTCGAACACAGGACCGGGGGAAAAAAGATATCCATCCTTCTGACGCACTTTTGAAGCGCATTGAGAACCCTGGGAACTTTCTTCCCCCAAAAGCCGGAAGAATTCTTGCTAGGTTTGGTGGGAGAAGATATTAAGAAGATGGATCAAAGATTATATTTATATGCAGCAACAGCAGCTAGAGTTCAGGAGGAGACAAAGCACCAAAAAGAATGGAGTCAATTTATGGTTTATATAAGTGAGAGCTGTACAAATTTGAAAACTTTGGCAGGATTGAAGTAAATCTTACGTCATGTTGTAATATCTAATCAAAGAAAATGTGAATTATAGAACGGAATAGGAAAACTGGTGGAAGGGAAGGACGGAAGTCAACAGCTCTACGGAGCATAAAGTATTTTTTTTTTAATTAATATTTATTAAAGTTTCAGAAAGAATAAAATCACATTAATAAACACACAAATTTTAACAAAAACAGAGAAAAATACAAAATACAAAGTACAGAATAGAAAAAAGTAAAAAAGGAGAAAAAAAAAGAGAAAACAGTTAAAAATAGTTCCGTCCTTTCATAACCTCTTTTGAATTTACCGTACTTGTTTCCCGGACTTCCTCATACCTCCCTCTTTTGTATTCCAATTCAGTTTGTAAACCCAGCAATTTCTTACCCTCCTTTTTAATTCCAATTCTAAATCTTGATATATTATGCCATCATAAAGTAGGATATATGTAATAAGATTTGATGTTTAATTGGTGGTGGTGGGTGATCTTAAATCTCAATAAAAATTATTATTAAAAAAAGAGAGAATCCTGGGGACTATAGTTTCCCCGGGAGGGGTCTTTCAAGACCCACCAAGCAGGTGGCGCGACGGCGCAGGATTCCTTCCCCTGCCTCCAAACTTGCTAACTCCCCCCCTCCGCCGAATCCGGTCCAGGTCATTGATTTGAGATGGGGCATCCGTGACGTCACAGGCGCTGGCCAAGAGGCCCTCTTTCTGGACGAGATTCGGCGCTGCCAGGAGCTCTCGGTGGGGCCCAGTTTCGTGGTGAGTGCCGGCGTCTCCTCCTTAAGGGGGGGGCTCACCGGGGGTCAAGGGAGGCTTCTATGGGGCTGGGGAAGGGGTTCTCGCAAGAATCTCTGCCCCCCTGCGGTCGGAGGCAGCGATGCTTTTGAATGCCGGTCGCTGGAGAGAGGGCTCTGGGTTCGAATCCCACTTGGCGTTCCCATAATGGACATCGGGTCGGCCGCTGTGACTTAGATGAATCCCCTCTTTGACTGCTGCAGGGCTCTTCTGAATTTCCTAGGATTCCTCCACGGAGCCTCCTTGGATAGGAGCAGCCTACCTTAAAAAAAGAGGGAGAGCAAGAATGGGAGGAAGAACCTGGACTTAGATGGGCTCCTCTTGGGCCTGATCCAGCTGCTGTTGCCACAGGGCTCTTCTGAGTTTCCTAGGGTTCCTCAATGGAGCCTCCCTGGGCAGGAGCAGTCTACCTTAGAGAGGTAGAGAGCCAAAAATTGGTCATTGCTCTTGCCTCCGGCTTGGGGGCTCGTGAGAGCAGGAGGCTGGACTTAGATGGACCCCTCTTTGCCCCTCTCTCGCCCCCCCAGGCTCTCCTCGGGAGCCGCTACGGCCCCTGCCCGGCCCCCGCAACCATCGGGGAGGAGGAATTCGAGGTCCTGGCGGCCCAGTTGCAGCAGGAGGAGCCGCAGGCGTTGCAGATGCTGACCCGGCGGTACCTGAAGGACGAGAACGCCGCCCCTCCGGTGTACGCCCTCCAACGCCCCCTGCCCCACGGCGAGGAGCAGAGTTTGGTCCTGTCCCTGCGCAGAGCGGCCCGGGAGGCGGAGAGGAAGGGGTTGATTGGCCAGTGTCAGCGACTGCGCTACCACAAATCAGGTGTGTGTCTGTGGCTGGCCCGTTTCTGCAAGGAAATTCCCCTCCTCTAATTTGATGCATCGTTTTATTGTCACGATTACTAATATATTTAAGAATAGTCATAATTATAGATTATATAAGGGACTCTTTTTCAGCCGGAACTCAGTTCTGGTAGAGAGAACGAGTGAGTTCTGGCACCTCTTTTTAATAATAATAATAATAATAACAACAACAACAATAATAATATTTTTGTAATTCCCCCCGTTCTTTAATTTTATTTTGAGTTTCGCAGCGCACACACTCATAAAACTAAACATAGAACTACTAACACACAACCAAAAAGAAAGCACAAGAAGAAATGCAAATAAAACATAGCTACGTACGGAAACTTATGCAGAACAAATAATCAACAATATATATATACCGTATTTTGCTTCTTCTCTTCCAATCGACTTCCTTCATCCTCAACACGGTTCTCTTTTCCTTTTTAGCAAGCTGTCTCCTCCTTAATCCGCAATCGCCCCTTTTCCTTTCTGTTTTCAATTTAAGCACCAGAATATATTTTGCAAGAGTTAATCAAAACAACTCCAATTATCAATTTGAGGGCCCTGCTTTTCAGGGTATATTCTCCTTATTTTCCCCATTCTGTTTGGGCTGATGGGGCTTTTGTGATTCCAGGACTGTCCCGGGGAAACCGGGACACTTGTCAGGTATAATAATAATAAATAATAAAATTTTATTTATATCCCGCCCTCCCCAGCTGAACCCAGGCTCAGAGCGGCTAACCACAATAAAAGTAACCCAGTTTACCTAAAATCAAAATCGATTAATTTAAATTCATTCTAAAATCAAATTAATGGCAACCATTGGGCTAGAGTTCTGTGAGGATAGACTAGAAAAATAAAAATGGTTAAAAAAACGGTTATTTTTCTAGTCTTTTCTTTTTCTTTTTCTTTATTGTGATGTGATGTTTTGTTTTTGCTTAATATGCTGTCTTCTATTTTTTCTTTTTATAACCTTTTAAATCTTAATAAATATTATTTTTTTAAAAATAGAGTTCTGTGAGGATGCCTTCTGCCTCTCCTCCTCACAGACTCGCCCTCTTTTCTCCAGATACGCACCGGGAAATTGAGGCACGCCTCTTGGGCTCGGGGCCGGAGGACGAAGGGGCCGCGGTGGTCTTCCTCCGAGAAACCGAGACCTCCCCGGATGAGGAGGGCGAGGAAGAGGGCGAGGAAGAGGACGAAAATGCCCGCCAGGTGCTGGAGGAGCTGAAGGGCACCGTCGCCAGCGCCTGCCCCGGTTTGCTCAGGGTCCACCGGGTGCCCCGAGCTGCGGCCCCCGGCGCCCTTCGCCAGAAGCCGCAACCCAAACACCTCAAGGAGCTGTGCGACCAGTTTGTGGCCGTCGCCAACTACCAAGCGCTCCGGGGCCTGTGGGCGCGGGAAGGGCACCCCGGCGGTGGGCGGCTGCTGCAGGAACTCGGCCACCATGCCACCCTGGCCCGGGAGCGTTGCCACACCCCGTGCTGGCGACCAGAGTTGGTGGACTCCCTCTGCCAGCGCCTGAGGGACAGCCTGCCACGGTGCCACCCTCCCCTCGTGGTCCACGGGCCGCCCGGCTGCGGCAAGACCGTCCTTCTGTGCCACCTGCGAGGGGCGGCTTGCCAGGCCCTGGGACCCAAGGCGGTGGTGGTTTTCCGGCTGCTGGGGGCATCGCAGGACAGCTGCGGGCGCGACGCCCTCCTTGCCAGCCTCTGCCAGCAGGTTTGCCTGGCACTGGGGCTGTACCTGCCGGGCACCGGTGACCCTCTTCTGTGCTTCCACCACATGCTCCTCTCGGCTTCCCGCCAGGCCTCTCAGCCTCTGGTCTTGATCCTCGATGCAATGGAGAATCTGGGCACCGCCTGGCTGCCGGCGGTCTGCCCTCCCGGGGTGCAGCTGGTCGTCTCTGCCCGGGACGAGGGTGGCAGCGGTGGTGCTTTCGGCGGGGACCCCTTCGTGGTGGCCCCTCTCTCTGCCGAGGAGGCTGGCAAGGCTCTGGCCGAGAGCTTGGCATCCGCAGGGCGTACCCTCCAGCCAGAACAGCAGGCACTTTTCCGGCAAGGTTTCTCCAACGGTGGGCAGGCGCTGGCACTGTCCCTCGCCCTTGCCGAGGCAATTCGGTGGGCATCGTACGGCCCGCTTTCGGCCCTGGCGGTCCCGCTCACGGCCACAGAGGCCGCGCACCGCCTCTGCGGGCGCATGGAGGAAGCGCACGGATCCGTGTTGGTGGCGAACGCCCTTGGCTACCTCGCTTGCGCCCGGTGAGAACCTACGTATGTGTGCTTATCTTTTTAGTGTAAATTTAATTAAGGTTTATAGGGGAACATACAAAACTTCATCTCTTTCCGCTTTCTTAACCAAACCAAGACTTTTATATACCGTATTTTTCTCTCTATAAGACGCACCAGACCACAAGACGCACCTAGTTTTTGGAAGAGGAAAACAAGAAAAAAAATATTCTGAATCCCAGAAGCCAGAACAGCAAGAGGGATCCCTCTTGCTGTTCTGGCTTCTGGGATAGCCGCGCAGTCTGCATTCGCTCCATGAGACGCACACACATTTCCCCTTACTTTTTAGGAGGGAAAAAGTGAGTCTTATAGAGCAAAAAACACGGTATATTAAAAAACAAACAGCAACCCTGGAAGGTAGGTGAAGCTGGTGTCAGGGAGTTCCTCTGCCTGATTTCCTTCCTTCCAGGTCTTATATAGATTAAACAAGAAACAACAGCCCTGGGAGGTAGGCAAAGCTTGTGTCAGGGAGTTCCTCTGCCTGATTTCCTACCTTTTTTGTGTGTGTTTTTGCGCAGGAACGGCCTCTCTGAAGCAGAGATGAAGGATGTCCTGTCCCTGGACAACGAGGTCCTTTCCGAGGTGTACCGGTCGCACCCTCCGCCGGGCAAAGGGGTCCTCCGCCTGCCGCCCTTGCTGTGGTCCCGCCTGCACCGGGATTTGAACCCGGAGCTGGAGGAGAAGTGGTCTGACGGCTTCGTGCTGATGGGCTTCCTCCACAGGTCAGGGGCCACCCCTCTTCCTCCCCTCCTTTTCGGGGCTGCCAAGGGGTCCGGAAAGAGGCTCCTGCTTCTGCCATGAATGCAGCAGAACACCTGCTTGACATGCAGAACGTTCCAGGTGACACGCTGGGCACCTCCAGGTATGCGGAAGTAGTTTAATGGCGAATTTTGGACACAGCGGAGAGGTAGAAGATTTTGGATTATCATAGAAGATGCGGGAGGAAATGATTGACAACAGCGACCCACAAAGGGGAGGGGGAAGTCCAGGAGATTCTTTGGAATCTTGTTCTTATGTTGTAGGTTGCATGTGCGACTGTAAAATTTTGACCTGGAAAAAACAAATTAATACTGTATTTTCCCGTGTATAACACGCCCCCGTAAATAAGACGCCCGCTATTTTGGCAGACTCCAATTTGAGAAAATGGGGGAGATTGGATCCGTCTATAAGATGACCCACAATTTTGAATTTTGAAATAAGAAAACCTAGTTTTATACCCGGAAAAGTACAGTATATATAAAAAGAAACTTAATTGGCAAGAGAGAGAGAACTGTTGTTAAGTGATAGCTAGACAGACAAATGGTCTGGCTGGGGATTAGGTCAAATTCCTACGTCCTTCTTTAAACCAGTCCATGAGGACTAGCCCCTTTGTTTTACTTTTAGGGGGTTGGGGGGCAGAGCTCAGGAGGTGCCAGCTTCGCCCTCCAAATTGCATCTTGAGGTGGGGCTCGGGACGCCCCCAGAGCCCGAAACCCCACTGCCCATCCGAAGCTTGTCCTGACCATCGCTCCTTCCTCTGCCCAGGGAGTTTTCGGCGGTGGTGGAGGAGCGCTACCTGTCTCAGCCGGAGGACCACGTCCGGCGCCACCTGCTTCTGGCCGATTTCTTCCGGGGGACCTGGAGTTGGGGGGCCAAGAAGCCCGTCGTGCTGCCCTCCTCCGCCAAGCCTGTGAGCGTTGACAGGAAGGTGAAGCTCTGGGGACCCCGAAAGCGCCAGGAGGGCTGGCAGGGGGAGACACCAGGGCGTGGGACGTCGGGGGGGGCCTTTCCCTTGTTGGCCAGACGTGGGGGGGTTCATTTCACTTCATTCTTTTTTATTCTTTATTTTTTCATTTCATTATTTTTATTTCTTATTTTTCATTTCATTTTGTTCTTTTTTATTCTTTATTTTTTCATTTCATGTCATTCTTTTTAATTTTTTCGTTTCAATTCATTCTTTTTTATTCTTTATTTTTTCATTTCATGTCATTCTTTTTAATTTATTTTTTCGTTTCAATTCATTCTTTTTTATTCTTTATTTTTTATTTCATTCTTTTTTATTCTTTATTTTTTCATTTCATGATTTCATTATTTCTATGCTTTATTTTTTCATTTCATTCTTTTTTATTCTTCATTCTTCATTTCGTTTCATAATGTCCTTATTTTTTATTCTTTAAAAAAGCCCCGTCTTCCTTCCCTCTCACCCAGGTGACGCCGCAGCCGTTGTGGTTCTCCAGCCGTCTTCCCAACCGGAGGAAGCTGAGCGAACAGCCGTTCCACTTGCTCCACGGGGGACGGATGGAGGAGCTGCGCCGAGACGTACTGGGTGAGCGGGAAAAGCTCCTGTGCCTTCGTTGCCCCTCTTTTCCACGGGAGAAACGTTGGAGGGGATGGAATAGGACGTCCCTATTTTCAGGGGAGAAACGTCGGAGGGGATGGAATAGGACGTCCCTCTTTTCACAGGAGAAACGTTGGAGTAAACGTGCTTTCCCTCTCCCTCCGACAGGGAACATGGCCTGGATCTCCTGCAGGGTGGCTTCCTCTGGAGTGCGGATCCTGGCCGCGGACTTTGCCCTGTGCCTGACTCACCTCTTCTGCCCGGAGCTGCGTTTGGTACGGGACTGCCTGCTCCTGCTCCTGGATCCCAGTGTGGACGATGCTGAGGGCCGTTTAGGTGGGTCTGTTGCTCTTAAACAATCTCCACGTTCCTGACCTTCGAAGACAAATCCCTTCCTTTTGGCTAAGCCTACTCTGCAGGGCTGTTGTTGCACAGATAAAACGGGGAGGGCGAGAACCAGGGAGCCTGAGTTGAGCTGCTCAGAAGAAGAGGCGGGTTGGGTGCAAATGCAATAACGAAATAAATGCTGTGTGTGTTGTTGCAGGAATTTATGGTATAGCTTGGGGTGGTTGCCCCTCCAGCAGATATCATGCACATGCAGCCCACTACCAAAACCAGCACCATCACTTTTTGTGATTTGTCCCCACAAAACACTTCATCACACTTTCTTCCTATCTATTCAAAGGGCCTCTGCTGCACAATACCAAATGTCAGAATTCACTGATAAATCTCTGTACTGGCTCACTGGGAAAACTTCAGAAATTCCTATAGACATGTGAGCTCAGCTCCTCAGCAGCCCCTCCGCCTGAGTGATAATTCCTGGCCTCCTGATACCTGAGTGCCAGACAGGTAGCCATGCCAGAAATAACAATCCCAGATGAGGACAAAAGGGTGTGATGAACTTGGCTGGGAAACAGGGAAATGTAAATATCTTTTTTGTTACACTTGATGGGTGTTTGGTGGAGGGTGAGGGGAACCATGGGGCAGGGTCCAGGATGCTCAGATTCTGGCCACCAGACCTCCCCTTTCATGATGTATGAGTGATGTAGTTTGGGGGGGGGTGTAACATGGGGATGAGCAGCTAATAAAAGTTTGTGTCTTCTTTTGTTCTGGGCTTCCATCTTGTTCCACCTGGTGGCAGGTGGGAGTCCTGTCGCGACTGTCTTCAATCAAGACCAAGCCTACTGGCTGCTGTTTTGCTCTGGGATTCCTGGCTGGGGTCCTTGTTTTTTTGTCCAAGGGAGCCCTCAGATTTCTCCGTTAACAGGGTGCAAATGCAATAACGAAATAATCATTGTGTGTTTGAGACCATCCCCTGTCTCCTCGCCCCTCCAGAACCAAACGTGGTCTACACAGAGATGCTGGCGCGGTTGGAGTCGCTGGTGCCCTCGTACCCAGGCGGCCTGATCGCGGGTCTTTGCCAGCAGTGCAAGAGCTGGCTTGGATCACGGCCCCATCCATCCCTCGTCCCTCTCGCCGGCTTCCTTGACCCACCGGACGGGCCTCTGCGGAAGACGCTGCCAGGATTCCCCAAAGGTGGGTGTCGGCATTTGCACGGGTGACCCCCACGATATCAGGAGAGCCCTGGCAGGAAGCAGCGGCTGGGTCATCCAAAGCCACAGCTCCCAAAACTTGGGTCTGTTTTGGGACTACAACTCCCACCCTCCCTAGCTAGCAGGACCAGAGGTCAGGGATAATGGGAACTGTAGTTTGAAAATAGCCGGAGACCTGAGTTTGGGAAGACATGGTCTAAGCCCAGCTTCCTGCTCTCCTCCATGAATTTCACTGCCCACCCCTACCTCCTGCGGCAGAGAGTTCCGCAGGTTAACCCCCCAAGTCCTTCCTTTTCTCCGCCAGCCCAGACCGCTGGACCCACAGCCTGGTGGGCTAGGTGACCCACGCCAGAGCTGCCCCTCTGACCTGCCCCCACAATTTGCAGGCACCTCCATTCTGGAAGCCAGCCCCGACCACAGGATGCTGTTGGCTGGCTCCTCGGACGGCTCCATCATCGTGTGGGACACAGAAGATTTCTCGGTGCACCACGTCCTTCTCGGCCACTCGGGTGAGAATCAGAAGGGAAGGGTGTTTTTGCCAGGCCACCTCTTGCTTACAAGGGGGGCAAAGGGCAGGCAGTGCCAGGCAGCTGCGATTAACGGCGAATTTTAATCAGGGTGCACTGAGGTCCAGCTCCGAGAGCCTTCTGGCGGTTCGCTCCCTGCGAGAAGCGAAATTACAGGAAACCAGGCAGAGGGCCTTCTCGGTGGTGGCACCCTCTCCCATCGGATGTCAAGGAAATAAACAACTCTCTGACTTTTATAAAATTAATAATAATCTCCCCCCGATTCCTTGCAGCCGAAGTGAGGTGCCTGAGGGTCTTCGCCAGGGGTACCCGCGCCGTGTCGGTCGCCCAGGATCGAACCCTGCGACTCTGGAGCCTGGAGTCTAGCAGGGAGGAAGCTGTTGTGCCCGCCGTCCCTGCAGGGGATCAGGAGTGGTGCCAACTCAGCGTGGATGACAAACACCAAATGGTGTACTGGGTATCTGGCTCAGAGGTGTGTAGACTGGCATTATAACGGGACAGCTACTGTTAATCCTGAACTGTCCCTAGAAAACAGGGGCACTTGGAGAGTCCGGATTGTTAACAGAAAAATCCGAGGGCTCCTTTGGACAAAAACAAAGACACCAACCAGGATAACTTGGAGCAAAACAGCAGCCTGTAGGCTTGGCCTTTATTGAACTGTTGCAACAGGGTGCTCCCTCACCTGCAGGAGAGAGGAAAAGACACAGAAAAATGGTGTGCAAGGCCTTATAAAGACTTATGAAATTGCCACCCTGTAGATCAAGACCACCCCCAGAAACATCATGCATACATCACAGAAAAGGAGGGGTTGAGGCAGGAGTTGTGGAGGTAACCTGAGTGTCCTGTCACCTGGCTGGTTCCCCCTTTCCCCCTCCCCATGAGTATTTTCCAGGTGACAGAGGGGAGTTTGCAGTTTCCTGCCCCCAGAGGGAAGAGCTGATTATTGTCCTTTGTTCCAGTCCATGCTGAATCCACTTCCATATGCAAGTCCTTTGTGATCTTGATGGTCTTCTGTCTGGGACCATCAGGTTTGGCCTAGCAACTGGGCAGGGCTCCTGTGGATGTGCTGGTATGCAGAAGGGATTATGGCTGCCCTGTATCAAACCTTCCCCATTTTGTAGTCCTTCCTTCATGGAGTAAAATAAAAGTGGAACGGTGCAGATCCGATGTATGGTTGATTTTCTATGAATTTATAACAGAAGCGTAGTGTATGTAGTGTGTGAGTGTGTGTGAAGTTTGTACAAACTGAATGACTGGGGGGTGTTTCCTGCGACAGTTTATTCTGCAATTCCACCATGTTGCACGATAGGAAATGCCCTGTGTTTTGCCCACCAAGAGAGTCTCAACAGACCCTCCCTCTTTCCCGCAGGTGGAGGCCTGGCACCTGGGCACAGCGGCCCCCGCTTTCCGGATCCTGGCCGAGCCCCCAGGCGGCTGGCTGTGCGCTGCTGTCTTCGTTCCTCGGCTGGTGGTGGCAACGGTGTCGGGGGGCTGCGTCCGCCTGTGGGACAGTCTCAGTGGGCAGTTCCTCTCCAAGCAGCAGCTGGGGGGGCTGCGAGAGGATGCAGCCCCCACCTGCGGCGCTTTGCTCCGGAAAATGGGCAGGATGGTGTCCGGGTTCAGCGGGGGCTCCCTCCTGATGGTGCCTGCTCTGGGGCAGGGGTTGTGGGCGGAGGGTCCGGGGCAACGCAGCCAGAGTTGGGGGCAAATAATAAAACTACAAAGAATAAAATTCTGATTACAGTGGCACCTTGGTTCTCAAACCCAGAATTTCCCCATTTCCCGCCCTCCCAGTGGCGCTGAGCTCAGAAAGGAGGATGTGCAGGGAATCTCAACTGATTTAAAAAGGGATTCCAATTCATATATAGTGGCACCTTGGTTCCTCAAGCGTATGAACATTTATCTTTTGATAATCAATAAAAGCAGACAGATTTGTTTTAATCTGGTATATAGGGATAGGTAAAGGTAAAGGTACCCCTCCCCGTACAGGCCAGTCGTGTCCGACTCTAGGGTTGTGCGCCCATCTCACTCTAGACCCCGGGGGCCAGCGCTGTCCGGAGACACTTCCGGGTCACGTGGCCAGTGTGACGAAGCTGCTCTGGCGAGCCAGCACCAACGCAGCACACGGAAACGCCATTTACCTTCCCGCTATAAAGCGGTACCTATTTATCTACTTGCACTTAAGGGTGCTTTCGAACTGCTAGGTGGGCAGGAGCTGGGACCGAAAGACGGGAGCTCACCCCGCCGCGGGGATTCGAACCGCCAACCATGCGATCGGCAAGTCCTAGGCACTGAGGTTTTACGCACAGCGCCCCCCGCGTCCCCTGTATATAGGGATACATCCATGTAAATATTGATGAGTGTCCATAAAAATAGCCGTATTCCTTTTAATCTGGTATGTACTGATCCTCATTAATGTCGAAAACTACAGTTGGTACCTTGGTTCTCAAACTGAATCCGTTCCGGAAATTCCGTTCCAAAACCGAAGCATTCCAAAACCAAGACAGCGCTTTCCCATAGAAAGGAATGAATATGCCCTTCTATCTCTTTTTCTATAATATGGGCATATTTCAATTGCAATAGCTTCATTTCTTGTTTTAATATCCCAATTTCCCCCCGATACAGTTGTTGTTGTTTTTCTTCTCAATTTCCTCTAATAAGTCTAATTTTTTTCCTCTCTCTCTCTTTTTCCTTCTAATTGAGTTCTGTTGTATCAAGTAACCTCTGGCCACAGCCTTGCTAGCGTCCCAAACGACTTTGATATCCACATCTTGGCTGCAATTTAGATCAAAATATTCTTTCGTTAATTCTTTAGCTCCTTGCAGTATTTCTTCATCATTAAGTAACGCTACATTCATCCTCCATCTCCTAGACTCTCTTTCCCCTTTCCCCCTTCATATTAATACAACTGGATTGTGGTCTGAAATTGTTCTAGGTTGCAAAAGGGATTAACCCGTTCCAGACTTTTAAAAACAATCCCTAAGAGTCCATAGCTGTCAACTTTGCCCTTTTCTTGCGAGGAATCCTATTTGGAATAAGGGAACTTCCCTTAAAAAAAAGGAAAACTTTGACAGCTATGCCTAAGACAGCCATTTAACGTGAATTTTGCTATCCAACGAGGCCATTGATCCGTAAAACGAAAGCAAGAATAAAGTAGAGCTGGTTTAAAGAGGTCTCCTGCGGAGTCAGGGCAACTGGCCCATCCTGATCAAGCGTATTCGTCTGCACTGGCTGGCAGCAGCGGCCAGTGAATGCGTGTTAGGGGGCTGGGGGGACTCCAAGCCTGCCGCTCTGAGGCCGCCTTCTTCCCTATAGGTCTCCTTGGAGGGAAATAGCCTCCTGGAGAAGCTCCCAGAAAAGATCTGCTTCGTGGCGCTTTCGGAAGACGAGTCTCTTCTCGCCGCAGGTTTGTTTCCTTGAGATCCTGCCTCCACAGGCAACGGAACATTTTTAGGGATATAGGGGCAGGACCCCAATGTTTGGTGCCCCTTCAAATTCACGCGACACTTCCCAATCCTTGCTTTCCCGAAGAAACGGACTGCAAGATTCGCCTTTTTCCGAATCTTGCATTGCGGTGCGCCCCTCACGTGCAAAGGCATGGACTGAGGTGGAGTGTGCGTAAAAATGCAGATAACACGCCAAAAGGCATTCTGCAGGGAGGGAGAACGACCTTGCAAAAATGAGGCAAAATGAAAGACGAATGAGGGGAAATTCATGTTAAAGTAGTGACGAATTTTCACGGCGACTCTCCATGAAAAAGTGCAAATTGTCCATCAAATAAAATTTTATTTGATGGACATGATGTTTAATAAATTTTTTGTTCTTTTTTTTTTTCATTTCTTTTTTTCCTTTTTTGGTCTTTTCAAATTTTTTCTTGATTTTACGTCGTGATGATCTTTTCCTTTTGTATTTAACTTTGTTATACTTACCTTTGTTGTATGTTTGTATTTTAAACCAATAAAGATTTATTTTAAAAAGGGAGGGGAAAAGAAAAAGTGGAAATTAATGCGGAAATAACTGAGTGCTGGGACCTTATTCCTGTTGGTCGCTCACAGAGCAAGAGCAGGGACTGGGTAATGTTAGGAACCACCTTCCTGCGAGGAGCTTTTTGCACGTGCTCAGAAGCACTCTTGTCCCTTCTGGCGCTTCCCCCCTGACCACAGCCTTGCTTCGCAGCGAAGGCCAAACCCTCGTTCAAACCAAGCTCTGCCTTGCCTTCCAGGATTTGGGCGTCGAGTGCGAATCTTCCGGCCCGACCCGACAGGCTTCCACCAAGTCCTGAACTCCGATTTGCTGCACAATGAGGAAGTCTGTGCGGCTGCCATCGCTGCCGACAACACCACCGTGTTCACGAGCTCTTGGAGCGAGTGCATCTGGGTAAGGCGCCCCTTCTCTGGAGGTTTTTAAGCAGAGGTTGGATGGCCAGATGATGCTTTAGCCAAGATTCCTGCATTGCAGGAGGTTGGACTAGATGACCGCTGGGGGGCCCTTTCCAACTCTACGATTCTATGATTTTAAGAGGCAGAAGGACCAGCCTTCTAGCCCGGGGTGGGGGCAATGTGGCAATCGCGAACCCACAAAGTAAGCCCTACAAAATCCAAGTTCCAAAACATTTGGAAACCGAGGTGCAAAGGGCGGTCTGCAAATTTAATAGAGAAATTGAGAACAATAACATATACATTCAGCGGAAGGCGTTTGACTTCCGAGGCACATTCAATAATGGAAGCGTTTACTTCCGGGTTTACGGCGTTCGAAAACTGAAACGTTCGTCAACGGAGATGGTCGAAAACCGAGGTAGCACTGTATCATATGATAAAACATACCCTCTTTCCTTTTACATTTCCAGCACACATTTGAACGGCTTCTATACAGTGGTACCTCGCGTTACAGATGCTTCAGGTTACAGACTCCGCTATCCCAGAAATAGTACCTCGGGTTAAGAACTTTGCTTCAGAATGAGAACAGAAATCGCGTGGTGGTGGCAGCAGTGGGAGGCCCCATTAGCTAAAGTGGTACCTCAGGTTAAGAACAGTTTCAGGTTAAGAACAGACCTCTGGAACGAATTAAGTACTTAACCCGAGGTACCACTGTACAACTTCGCAATTTTACTAGGTGTCAAATATTAGCAACATATCATTGTCATATAATTTTCTTTCAACGAACAGCAGGTTGTAAACTTCAAGTCCTCTCTCCAAAACTTTTCCCATGATGAAAACTGTATACTATAGCCAAAATCTCCTGCCCAGTGTATCATTACTGATTTAACTTCTTCATCTTTAGTAAACCAGTGTAGGGATCAGATGGGATTACCATGAGGAATTATAATATACATCAGGCCATTGTGTCCACGATGAACGCATTGTGTTGACTGGGTTTGATACATTGATGATAATTTCTGATTAAATCCCATAAGATTCTACATTCATGCCCTTTTGCCTCTACTGCCCATTTCTCTCTCTCTTCACAAGTCACGTACACACTTCGACAGGCAGGCAGGCGTCCTGGGTCATCTAAAGACTATGGGCAGTTTCTTTGCTGTAGCTTTTCTAATTGTTAATCTTAGGATGTTAATCTTCGGGCCAGGAAACAGGTTTCACATTAAGGTGATAATGGTCACTGTCCTCCTGGCCATCATGTGTACTGATTGTTTATGACCTCCGGGGTTGCTGTATTCCTCCTTTGTAGTTTTCATTCATTTACTCCAGAGTATGTATGCCTAACTAGTGTTTATAATTTAACTTTGTCCCCACTTGAGGTTTGTTTGAATGCTCAGAGGAAATCTGATTGGTTCTTATGAGCACTGTGTAAAAGATTCTTTTGCTAATAAAATGGCCTGGTGAAGTGGACGCACTCCCTCCGAGAGCCTTGCTGGTCAAAGCCTCGTGTCTTCTTTTAATCAGGGTCCGATCCTTTCCTTTGGCCTCAGAACGCAACAAACCAGAGACTCTTAATCTCAGGAGAATTTACTTCCGGGTTTCCGGGAGCCGAAACGTTCCAAAACGGAGCCGTTTGAGAACCGAGGTTTGACTGTAGCGCTCTTCTCCCCAGGCGTGGCGTCTGGGCCAGGAGGGCTGGCTGAGGGATGTCTGGGGGGACCAAGGACCACCCGCCACCCACCTGACCCTCTGCGGCTCCCTGCTGGTGTCCGCCTCTCCCCACGCACCTTACCTCCGGGTCTGGGACCCCGGCGACGACCCTGGGTGCAAACCCTTGCCGCCTTGCATGGCCGGCGCGAAGTGCGTGGGGCTCTCCGGCGGCGGAAAATACATCTGCTTCCCCCGGTCCCTCGAGAGCTGCGAGCTGGTCCTTTGGGACGTGGAAGAAGGTGAGTTTATTTATTTATTTCGTATATGATTTTCATCAATGTCTTTTTTGACACGGTATTTCCAGCATTCCGGTATACTGTATGCTGAAATGGCAGAAGTGACTTTGAAATTAAGGGAAAGAGATGATGATGAATGTAAAGAAGAATGGAAGGACTTTATTGTATATACACAGGAGCAAGGCACACAGAGGGACGTGGGTGGCACTGTGGGTTAAACCAAAGAGCCTAGGACTTGCCGATCAGAAGGTTGGCGGTTCGAATCCCCGTGACGGGGTGAGCTCCCGTTGCTCGGTCCCTGCTCCTGCCAACCTAGCAGTTCGAAAGCATGTCAAAGTGCAAGCAGATAAATAGGTACCGCTCCGGCAGGAAGGTAAACGGCGTTTCTGTGCGCTGCTCTGGTTCGCCAGAAGCGGCTTAGTCCTGCTGGCCACATGACCCAGAAGCTGTACGCCGGCTCCCTCGGCCAATAAAGCGAGATGAGCGCCGCAACCCCAGAGCCGTCCACGACTGGACCTAACGGTCAGGGGTCCCTTTACCTTTTAAGGTACACAGGTTAATACATTAGCAGGATTTTGAAAAATACTTGTAAAGACATTATGACTGGGCAAGAAGTAAGCTTAATTTAAAATGGACATGCGGTATGATGATAAAGAATGGAACCAAGAAAGGGAATGGGGGGGGAGTCAACTCTGTTTTTTCTGTGTTTGAATATGTATTGATGTTTTTATTTTTCGTTGTTTTTGGAAAAATTATAAAATACAGTGGACGCTTGGTTTGCGAATATGATCTGTGCGGGATGCACATTCGCAACCCACAGCAGCACTTCTGCACACACATGGGTTGCGATTCGGTGCTTCTATGCATGTGCAAAGCGCAATTTAGCGCTTTTGCGTATGCACGACCACCGAAACCCGGAAGTAACCCATTCCAGACGCAGGTGGCGCTGTGGGTTAAACCACTGAGCCTAGGACTTGCCGATCAGAAGGTCGGCGGTTCGAATCCCCGCAATGCCGGGGTGAGCTCCCGTTGCTCGGTCCCTGCTCCTGCCAACCTAGCAGTTCGAAAGCACCTCAAAGTGCAAGTAGATAAATAGGTACCGCTCCGGCGGGAAGGTAAACGGCGTTTCTGTGCGCTGCTCTGGTTCGCCAGAAGCGGCTCAGTCCTGCTGGCCACATGACCTGGAAGCTGTATGCCGGCTCCCTTGGCCAGTAAAGCGAGATGAGCGCCGCAACCCCAGAGTTGGCCGCGACTGGACCTAATGGTCAGGGGTCCCTTTACCTTTACCTTTAACCTGAAAGAAACGCAACCTGAAGCGTCTGTAACCCGAGGTATGACTGTAAAATATTTTTTAAATTAAAAAACCCACCTGTGCCCCCGCAGGAGAGGAGCGCGAGACGCTGGACACCTCGGCTGCCGTGCGGTGCCTGGAAGTGGCCCCCCAGAGAAACCTGGCCTTTGTGGGGCTGGCGTCCGGGACGGTGCTGGTCTTCCCCTTGGACTTGCCGCAGGACGTCGGGTGCATCCCTCCGGCAGAGAACCGGAAGCCCGTCTGCGCCTTGGCCTTGGCCCGGAGCGAGGAGCAAGTGGCCGTGGCTTGCGAGGATCTGGTGCAGGTCTTGGACGTGGGCCAGGGACACCCGGGGCCCCTAATCGACCGGCCGGCCTTCTCCTTCTACACCCAGATCCCAGGCGCCGACATCTCCTGCGTGGCCCTGCTGGGCGGCTACCGGGTGCTCTACGGCATGACCACCGGGCAGCTGTTCCTCTACCACTGCCCCCGGGGCCAGGTGTTCGCCCTGGAAGCCCATGGAAGCAGCGGCGTCACCTGCTTGCAGACCAGCCACGGGGAGGCCTGGGCGCTCAGCGGGGCGGCCGACTCTCTGCAGTGCCTCTGGGATGTGGATCGGTGCCGCTGGGAGCATCGGATGTCTTTCCGAAAGGTGTGTCTCCCCTCCGGATCCCGCCCTGCGCCGTCCCAAGAATGTTGTTGTTGTTTAGTCGTTTAGTCATGTCCGCCTCTCTGTGACCCCCTGGACCAGAGCACGCCAGGCCCTCCTATCTTCCACTGCCTCCCGCAGTTTGGTCAAACTCATGTTAGTAGCTTCGAGAACACTGTCCCAGCATCTCGTCCTCCGTCGTCCCCTTCTCCTTGCGCCCTCCATCTTCCCCAACATCAGGGTCTTTTCCAGGGAGTCTTCTCTTCTCATGGGGTGGCCAAAGTCTTGGAGCCTCAGCTTCAGGATCTGTCCTTCCAGTGAGCACTCAGGGCTGATTTCCTTCAGAATGGAGAGGTTGGATCTTCTTGCAGTCCATGGGACTCTCAAGAGTCTCCTCCAGCACCAGAATTCAAAAGCACCCATTCTTTGGCGATCAGCCTTATTTATGGTCCAGCTCTCCCTTCCCAAGAATGGCCATCGCCTATTCAGGGGTCAGCAACCTTTTTCAGCAGCGGGCCGGTCCGCTGTCCCTCAGACCTTGTGGGGGGCCGGACTACATTTTTATTTTGGAGAGAGAAAATGTACGAATTCCTATGCCCCACAAATAACCCGGAGATGCATTTGAAATAAAAGCACACATTCTACTCTCTCTCAAAACGCCTTTGCCATGTCTGTTCCTCGTTCCCAGGAAGATTCCTTCGCGCAAGGCGTGCTCTGTGCCTGCTTCTCGACGGATGACCGGCTGCTCTTCACTGCCTCCCTCGATCAGTGTGTGACGGTGTGGGACGTCTCGTGTGGTGAGCGAGCCCCCTGGCCATCTTTGAACTGCTTGCAGCGGTGGCTTCCCCTCGTTGAGTCTCCAGCTGTCTTTGGACCGCAATAGCCAGCAGGACCAGTGGTTGGGGATACAGTGGACACTCACGTTGCGAACGTGATCCGTGCGGGATGCGCGTCCGCAACTCGCAGTGCCGCATCTGTGCGATTTCGCGCTTCTGCACATGCGCAAAGCGCTATTTAGTGTTTCTGCGCATGCATGAGCGCCGAAACCTGGAAGTAACCCATTCCAGTACTTCCAGGTTTCGGTGCGAAAACACGCAACCTCTCTAATCTGAGGTATGACTATATTATTATTATTATTATTATTACTACTACTAATTGAATTTACCGTATTTTTTGCTGTATAAGACTCACTTTTTCCCTCCTAAAAAGCAAGGGGGAATGTGTGTGCGTCTTATGGAGCGAATGCAGGCTGCGCAGCTATCCCAGAAGCCAGAATAGCAAGAGGGATCGCTGCTTTCACTGTGCAGCGATCCCTCTTGCTGTTCTGGCTTCTGAGATTCAGAATATTTTTTTTCTTGTTTTCCTCCACCAAAAACTAGGTGCGTCTTGTGGTCTGGTGCATCTTATAGAGCGAAAAATACGGTATATACTGCCCTATACGCAGGGGTCTCAAGGCGGTTCACAGAATAAGTGAATGGGAATTGCGGGGTGATGGGATTTGCGGTCTGGAAACGGCCAGGGACCCGAGTTCGAGAAACCCTAAGTAGGCAATACTGAGCTAACTTGGGAGGAGGCAGACTTTCTATGCCTGGGGGGCATTTCACAGTATGTTTCTTGCGCCACCAGGGGCCCTGTTGGCCGCCCAGCTTGTGCACGCGAGGGTGACCAGGATCGTGCCAACGCCGGACGGCTTCGTGGCGGCGACAAGACTCGGCTACCTCGTCCGGGAGAGGTTCCTCCGCTCGCCGTCCACCAGCTCTCGCTACGACCCGCTGGGCGGCATCAGAGCTGCGTGGAGAGTGACGTCTCGGAGGACCGGCGGAGAGGAGGATGAGGACGTCCCCAGTGGGCAGATGGGGCGCCAGGGGGACCACGCAACCCATGCCGGGCACAGCCACCTCAACAACAAGCTTTCGCAGATTTGCAGGATTGGGTAAGGGGCAGGGCTATATTATCACAGGAGACCAACTCTGCCCCCATTGCGCTGGCCGCTGGTTCATTTCTGGGCCCAGTAAACCCAAATAATAATAATAATAATAATAATTTATTATTTGTACCCCGCCCATCTGGCTGGGTTTCCCCAGCCACTCCGGGCGGCTTCCATAGAAACAAAAAATACAGTAAAATATAACAGATTAAAAGCTTCCCTGAACAGGGCTGCCTTAAGATGCCCTCTAAATGTCAGGTAGTTATTTATTGCTTTGACATCTGATGGGAGGGCGTTCCACAGGGTGGGTGCCACTACCGAGAAGGCCCTCTGCCTGGTTCCCTGTAGCTTTGCTTCTCGCAATGAGGGAACCGCCAGAAGGCCCTCGGCGCTGGACCTCAGCGTCCGGGCAGAACGATGGAGGTAGAGATGCTCCTTCAGGTATACTGGGCCGAGGCCGTTTAGGGCTTTAAAGGTCAACACCAACTTGACACCAAATACTTGCTTACAAAGCCATTGTACTTCCAACCTTACTGTATGCTTGTGAAACGTGGACCACTTACAAACGCCATCTCCAGCTCCTCAAAAGATTCCATCAACGGTGTCTCCGAAAAAATTTACACACCACCTGGGAAGACAGGTGAACTAATGCCAGTGTACTGGAAGAAGCAAAGATCTCCAGTGCTGAAGCGATGATTCTTCAACATCAACTTCGTTGGACCGGTCATGTTGTGCGGATGCCTGATGATCGTCTTCCAAAGCAACTCCTCTATTCCAAACTTAAAAATGGGAAGCGTAATGCTGGTGGTCAACAAAAGAGGTTCAAAGACTCTCTCAAGGCAAATCTTCAGAAATGGAGTATAAACACCGACAACTGGGAAACGCTGGCCTGCGAGCGCTCCAGTTGGAGAACAGCCTTTTCCAAAGGTGTCGTGGGCTTCGTAGACACTCGAATTCAGGACTCAAGGGAGAAACGTGCTAAGAGGAAGGCGCGCTTGGCAAACCCTCACTGGGTTGACTTCCTTTCCCCTCTTTCTGCGGTTCCTTAAATTTATTTTTAATATCTTCTGCATTTCCAAATTAACGTAATTTGCTCGTTTACTCCTCTACCTTAAGTATATACTCTTAGGAAACTGCAGGTTATTGCAATAATCCTGCCAATGTTCTTATCTGTTTACAATTTATCTGTAAATATTCAATAAACCATTTCCATTCTTTTATAAAAAGTTTGTTAACTTAATTTCTTACTCCTCTGGTAAGTTTCGCCATTACTGGGTATTCCATAAGTTTTTGTATCTATTCTTCCTTTGCTGGGACTTCTGTCTCTTTCCATTTTGGGGCCAGTAACGTTCTTGCTGCTGTAGTCGCATACAAGTTAGGGAAATTATTTTGAGAATTATAAGAACAGAACTACCTATCTCTGTGGTCCCTCTATCCTTTTCATAGCTCTGAGGCCTATGAGACCACAGAGCTAGGAAAATATAGAGGGGTCTCAGAGGTAGAATAGGGGCAGAGGGGCCACAGAGCTAGGAAAAGGGTGGATATATTCCGTAAAAAACTATCGCGTCTCAATTCGGCCTTTTTCTCCAAAAGTTGGCCGGCAGGGTTCTCTCCGCCTTCCTCCTTCGACCCCCCAAAAAACAACCCTGCGAAGTTAAGGCGAGAGAGACGGCGACCGGTCCCTGAGCTCACACTGCAAGATTTGAACCCGGGCCCTAGTCTGACGCGCTAACCACTCCGCCGCGCTGATTCGACGCACCCTCTTGCTGCCCTGAAAAAGAACACAAGGTCCCAGTCCTCACGGTTCTGTATAAAGGGCCGAGATCCGTGCCCGAGCGAGGATTCGAACCCAGGACGCGGCGCTCTAACCGCTATGCCACTGCTGCCTCTGGCAACTGACCGGAGGGCATTTTCTCGCGACAGCAAAACCGGGTCAAAATCCTCGATTCCTTCTTTTTTTTTTTAATAATTTTTATTGATTTTAACATATAAATTTTATAAAATGTACCACAAAACTTATCACTTATACAATCTTTTTGGACTTCCATCAGCACCTCTGATGATCCACCGTTTTAACCACTTCTTATGCATTTCTTAACTTTATATTGCCTTTACATCTCTTAACAAATCATCCTCCCCCTTGTCCATTTTTGCGATCCTTCCAATAATACTCCTCACAAAACTTCTTGCAAACCTACAAACGTCGTCTGCTCTTCACAAATACTTTTCAAATAGTCCGTAAATTTACTCCAGTCTTCCGTGAATTTCTGGTCCCGCCGGTTTCGAATCCTTCCTGTTAGTTTATCCAGTTCTGCATAGTCCATTAATATCACCCTCCATTCTTCAATTCTTCTTGCTTCCATTTTTGGGCCAGTAATATTCTTGCTGCTGTTATTGCATATAAAAAGAGCTTACATTCCTTTCTATTTATATCGCTCCCAAAAATACCCAGTAAAAATGCTTCTGGTTTCTTTATAAATGTATATTTCAACATTTTTTTCATCTCATTCTATATCGTCTCCCAGAAGTATTTCACCTTTTTTACATTCCCACCACATGTGATAAAATGTTCCCTCTTTTTCTTTACATTTCCAACATTTATTACTGACTCAAAATCCTCGATTCCGACCACTTTGCCTCGGCCTCTTCCTTTCCTGCTGGGCGCAAACCTTCCCCAAAGCGCTTCCCTCGTTTCCTGCCCCCCTGGACATGGGGGGCATGAGAACCGACGAAGAACAGCCCCTTCCCTCTGCCCCCTAATGCCATCTTGCCCCAGAGAGCCGCTGGTGGCATTGACCGCCCCATTTCGGGGGTGCCAGCGAGCGGCCGGCGGCGCCCGCCTCATTGCAGACGTCCAGCCCCCCTGCCTTGCCGCTCGTCCTCCATGGGGCTCAGGAAGCCCTGGCTCTTGTACTCGGAGGGCAGGAGGTCCCCCGAGCCCGGCTGGTCCTCCTTGGGCAAGAGGGTCTCTTCGGCGGGGTTGGCGAGGGCCGGAAAGTCCGCCGCGGTGCCAACGGCCGGGTCCTCTTTGGACGGAGACCTGCGTTCGAGAATGAGGGGTTCCGTGGGGCTGCTGGACTCCAGGGGCTGAACGAAGCTTCGCCGTGGGTGCAGCTAGGGAGAAGAAGAAGTGTGGGGTTCGGGGTGAGCCGGCCGTAAATTGCACCCATGCCCAGAGGCGTAGCAAGCTCAGGGGTACCGGGTGCGAATTCTTTTTTGTCACCCCCCCCCACACACACATTGCAATTTTCGGGAATGTTGACCAGAGTTACTGAGATTTTCTTTTTCGGCCGCGAAAAATATACGTGCAAATCCAGCCGGCGTTCATGCAAATTGTGCGATCGGCGGGCAGATTTTCACGACGGCGATCGCGCCAGCCGCGTAAAACTGCGTGCCAGGGATGCAAGCGTCACCCGCCGAGGGGGTGCAAAAACCACCTGCCGGTGGGTGGGTGCCAAGCTGATCGCCGGGCGGATTTGCCCAACCAGCGGACGGATTTTCATGACGACGATCGTGCCAATCGTGAAAATTCACCCGCTGAGGGTTGCAAGCGCCACCACGCCGATCCGCCTGGGGGGATTTTGTCACCCCTGCTAGGCATGATACTCAGGGCGATCGCACCCCCCTGCCACTGCCCACAGCTGTTTCTCGCACCCGTGTCCCCTCTCCGGAGCCAAAAAGGCTCTCCTGACCCAGGCGGGTGTCTCACCCCACAGGGCAGAGAGAGAGAGCCTCAGCCATCAAGAGCTCTCCTGCCCATTCCAGAGATGCCGTTTGAACCCGGAGCGACGACTGATTGCGCCCATTTCACAGAGACTCACCTGCCCCGGCGAGGATCCGGCGAGGATCTTGACGGCTTCCGTGTCGGCCGGGTCTGGCAAGGGCGGGCACAGAACTTCCTTCACCCTGTGGCAGGAGAGGGAAGAAGGAGGAAAGAGATTTTGCCTATTGCAGGAAAGCGGAGCTCTGCGTCCAGATAGACTTTGCCTGGAGCTGGAGGCTCCATCAGGACGTAAGAATAACCAAAGGGGACCCGTTTTTAGGGGAAAGTGTTTTTGGGAAACCGGCATGCAGGATTCGAACACCGGAGCGACGCTCTCCCTTTTCCGGCGACTAGGATCCGGAAGCGTTTACTGCCTCCGACGGAGGAGGAGGAGAACACACAGCCCTCCTGGCTATAATAGCAATCCCTAGCCTTTCCCTCCTCCATGAATTGGCCCGGTCCTCTTTCGAAGCCATCCAAGGTTGGCGGCCCCTTGTGGCAGGGCGTTCCACAGGTTAACAGCAAAGTCGAAACAGGCAGGTTTGCCTATATGCAGAGGTGGTGCCACCCCCAGGGCTTAGGAACAGCAGCGCCAGGGGGTGTCGTTTTAGGGGGTGAGATTATTATTTTTTTGGCAAATTCCTTCAGCGAGGCGTCTTAGAAATATGCTTTTAGGGGTGTGAGGGATTCAAATCTGCTTTTATTTTGGGGGCTTGGTATGTCTCTTGCCTGGCGAAGAAGCACAAAAACCGCTGTAGGGGAAAACCCCAGGATTTTGATTTCTGCAAAGGCTGAATAATAAGAACGGCAAATATTAACATTACCGCAACATTGTTGTTTTTCCTGATTTTGGAGTGATTTCGCTCAGATCTTACCAGTGCCTTTTTTCCTGGTGGGTCCGCATACCCCTAAACATTTTGCGAATCTTTGCCTTTTTGTCCATTTGCTGTATGTATTTCCCCCCCTGATTTGAACTATAAAACGGTGATTTTTCAAAGTGAGAGGACCCCTTAACATTATTTTTTTTAAGCAAAAAAGCACTACAGATTACCAAGCAAAGCCAGATTTCATTAACTAAAATAAAAATTTTTGAAATTGCGGCGCAGCTTTTAAGCACCCCTGATTTGGGGAGATTTGGAAACTGGGGAAAAATGCATGCAGCGTCTATCTTGCCAGCAAAGGCCCCCCATGTATTTTTCGAGCTATTCCTACACCCCCACCTCTTTTTGCAAATGTGGACGGCGCTGGCGGCAACTAGGACCCCTCCGACGAGACCCAGAAGGAGGAGGCTGAGCGTCAGAGTCGTCTTCTTGGAATCTGGCAGAGAAAGAATTATTAAAAAACACAAAATCCTAGGAAGGGACCCCATGCGGTCATCTAGCCCAACCCTCTGTTGCTTGAACCCTTGGCCTTGAGATTAGAGTTAGGGGAGGAAGAACAGGAAGGAGAAGGAGGAAGAAGAGGAAGAAGAAGAGGAACTTCTACCGCCAGCACCCAAAGAGGAGACATTTCACAGGGGGGTTGCAGAGACGCGCCGTACCTGCGGGGCGGGTTCGAAAGGCGACGAGGTTTTGGCAGCGGCCGTCGCTCCCGGCGGTCAAAACCTCGACTCCGACCCGGTAAGTGGTGTTGGGCTGCAGGTCTGAGATGGTGAAGCGAGTCTCGGAGGTGCTGACCTCGTAAGCTACGGGGAGAAAATGAAAATAATGGTTTAAGTGGGAATAGGAAGTCAACAGTACAATAAACTGAAAAGAGATTCAACCAAAACTGAAGGTTATAATATACAAAAAATGCTAATATCGGTTGGAAAAAGGAGCCGCAAAAACAAAAAACGCAAAATAAATAGCAAAAACAGACCTCAGCGTAACACTCAAAACGGAGCACGTTCGGCTTCCGAAAATAGGTCTCAAACTGGAACACTTACCATACTTCCGGTTCTGTAGTGTTTGGGTTCCAAGTTGTTCGAGTCCCAAGGCGTTTGAGAACCAAGGGACCACTGTATTTGATAAAGAATTAAAGGAGCAATTGACGGAAATCAAAGCCTCACCCAGGAAGAAGATAGGAGAACTTCACTTGCGGATTTACAAATGTTTATACGTCTCAATGCGAATTGAAGTTAATTATTGTAGCTGCGATATAAGTGATTCTATTGAGAATGTATTTGGTTTTTTGCAACAGTCTGGAGGCTGAATTAAAGGGTAGCAGAGCACAAAATTTAGAATTGGCTATGTATTTGAATTGGCTAATATAATATGGCGCATATTGGGTATTTGTAATTGGGAAGTAATAAAAATTACTTAACAACAACAACAAAAACAACCCCAGTTAAAACGATATGGTGTAATCGGTGCGACCAAACAGGTGAACTTGATCCAAAGTCCGGTTTATACGCTGGAGAGTCGGAAGGGACCCCATGGGGTCATCCAGCCCAACCCGCTGCAATGCAGGAATCGAAGTACCCATGACAGATGGCACCCCTTTGCCTCTTAACCTGCCCCCTTTGCCCCCTTTGGGGACCCCCCATCTCGCGGCTCGGTGGCACTCCATGCGCACTGGACGCGTTTCACACCCGGGTCTCCCGCCGCGACCAAACTCACTGGCTATCTCCTCGCCTCGCTCGTCGTGCCAGCAGAGGATGTATTTCTGGAACGCGCCGGGGCAGCTAGCAAGGAGGGCAGGGGGGTGCCAGCGGATGTCGGCGGAGGTGGGCGTTGGCATGGCCACATCCAGGCGCAAGGGATCTTCGGAAGGCTCTAAAAAGAGGGAAAGAGGGAAGAGGGACTCAGGGGAGGGTGGGATAAAGAGGGCAGGATCCCAGTACATGGAACCTCTTACAAAAGGACAATACTAATACTAATAATAATACTAATAATAATTTATTATTTATACCCCGCCCATCTGGCTGGGTTTCCCCAGCCACTCTAGGCAGCTTCCAACAAAATATTTGTTGTTGTTGTTTAGTCGTTTAGTCGTGTCCGCCTCTTCGTGACCCCCTGGACCAGAGCATGCCAGGCACTCTTGTCTTCCACAGTTGGGTCAAACTCATGCTGGTCACTTCCAGAACACTGTCCCACCATCTCGTCCTCTGTCTCCCCTTCTCCTTGTGCCTTCCATCTTTCCCATCATCAGGGTCTTTTCCTGGGAGTCTTCTCTTCTCCTGAGGTGGCCAAAGTCTTGGAGCCTCAGCTTCAGGATCTGTCCTTCCAGTGAGCACTCAGGGCTGATTTCCTTCAGAATGGAGAGGTTGGATCTTCTTGCAGTCCATGGGACTCTCAAGAGTCTCCTCCAGTACCAGAATTCAAAAGCATCCATTCTTCGGTGATCAGCCTTCTTTATGGTCCAGCTCTCACTTCCATACATCACTACTGGGAAAACCATAGCTTTTACTATATAGACCTTTGTTGGTAAGGTGATGTCTCTGCTTTTGAAGATGTTGTCTAGGTTTGTCATTGCTTTAACAAAATAATAAAATACAATAATTCCCCATGGGCTCTCCACGCCCCGACCATGGCCAAAAGACCGATTCTGATGAACTGGGGAAATATCTATGGGGCTCCCCTTCTACGATTGCGTCGAAGACTTCTACAAACTCGCCGACACAGGAACAAATTGTTGGAGTTCACAGAGCTGGCGGAAAGGCAAGTTGGGAGGTAATACCGAATGAACGTTTCTTCGAAAATGGGATATGTATAAAAAAATGTTGAAAAGGTTATTGTACCGACATAAAGTCAGCGGGCAGGACTCACATGACTGCTGTGATACAACGGGTAATTAAAAGAGGGGATATTAATGGGGATTGCAAAGAGAATACGCCAAATAAAACAAGCAGTAAATACAGGCTGGCGTGGCGGGAAGTCGCTGGGAACGGATAACGTGATTTTCTTTTCGTATTTCTGTTTTGATTGTATATACATTGGTCTGTCGTATCTTTTTAACATCAGTAAAGCATTTTGGTCAGGGATGCGGTTGGCGCTGTGGGTTAAACCACAGAGCCTAGGACTTGCTGATCAGAAGGTCGGCGGTTCGAATCCCCACGACGGGGTGAGCTCCCGTTGCTCGGTCCCTGCTCCTGCCAACCTAGCAGTTCGAAAGCACGTCAAGGTGCAAGTAGATAAATAGGGACCACTCCGGCGGGAAGGTAAACGGCGTTTCTGTGCGCTGCTCTGGTTCGCCAGAAGCGGCTTAGTCCTGCTGGCCACATGACCCGGAAGCTGGACGCCGGCTCCCTTGGCCAATAAAGCGAGATGAGTGCCGCAACCCCAGAGTCGTCCGCAACTGGACCTAATGGTCAGGGGTCCCTTAAAGCATTTTGGAGGGTGAGGGGAAGGAACAAATTGTCTATAAATGCAGACTTTGATTGCCCGTAGACTGGACCGTGACAGCTTGATGCAAAGCAGATAGACGCACCGCTTCTGTGGAAGAGGCGCACGAGGCCCAGTGTTGACCAGGCGTCTTTGTCCGGGTCCCATCCATGGACCGCCAGGCGGGTGCAGACGTCGGACTCCAGAACCCCTGAAAAAGGAGGACACAGTCAGGGATTCGGAGAATATCTGAAGGGCCTAAAACCTTGTGTGACTGCGGAAATGGATAAAAGCCCCCCATCCAAACAACGACCATCATCAGTGAAGCTAAGAAAAAAACATTCATTTTAATTTAATCGTCTACAATACTGCCTTATATATTTTATACTACAGTGCATTGGTTGTTGCTTTCGTTTTGTGGATCGATGGTCTCGCTGGATAGTAAAATTCACGTTCAATGGCTGTTTTTAAAAGTCTAGAAGGGATTAATCCGTTTTGCATGACTTGCGATGGGAAAGCAGTGCGCTTTGCTTTTGGAACGCTTTGGTTTTGGAATGGATTAAGTTTGAGAACCAAGGTACCATGGTAATAATAATAATAATATCTCTAAATGCTCCCATTTTAGGGGAGTCAGTCCTGCAGAATCAGAGCCCAAGGCTGGCACTCTGTTAATCCCCACAGCTGCCCGGTCTAGCTATGAGCAGCATCCCATAATACTCCATTTAGCAGACTCATCAGGGTCACTGCACTCCCTTTGCAGAGTTTCCCGGGAATCAGTTCCCCTCAATTTCTCCCTGACGCTGACATCTTCTGACGGAGTCAGCTCATCTTATGAAACACATTTATTCCGGCTCTTTGCAAAACAGCTTTGCAAAAGAAAAACTGGGGCTGGCTGGACTTTTATACTGTCCTATTTTAGGCTTGAACCCCTTTTTTATTTTCATTTAGACACACCTGTCCAGACATGCGAAACGGACATGCGTTTTAATCTGAGCGTGGCTATGAAGGGCTGCTCTTTGCTCAGAAATTCAGCTTTCCGTGTCAAAATTAACCGGGAAGCTCAGAAATCAAGAAGACGAGAATTTTAAGAGGGAACGGGAAAAGTTTATTAATTTATTTACGAGACCGCAGGTTGAAACGTTAGCAGGGTTTTAACCATACTTGTAAAGTAACGGATAATTTAGAAGGATAAAAATTTGGATAAAGTATTGATATGCAGTTGTAAATTATCATTTAGGACACTTGGAAAGGATGGGGTGAAGTCGGAAGGTTCAGAGTAATCTCAATATTTGCATTCTGAATTGTTTTTTGTTGCATGTATATATTCTTTAAAAAATAAAAAGTAGTTCAGATTTCTGCTTGTTCTAAACTCCTGCCTTTTCAGCGACCATTTCAACATTTGCTTTTATATTTTATATAAACAGCTGAGAGGGTTTTGAAAAAGGATATTGATTCAGCTAAACAACTAGTCTGCTAAGCATGGAGCAGGAACTCCATTAAAGAAAAAGGAAGGCGTACCTAGCCTCTCTCCCCTTCTTTGCTCATCCATCCAACTCCCCCTGTAGCATCATTCAGATCGATTTTTACATCGGATGAAACCCATTTGTGGTTTTGAGAGTTTGTGTGGTGGTTTATCTATTCTTATTTTTTAAAAATAAACATAAATCAGAGGCCCATGGAAAAGAACCTGCCTGACCAGCTGATCTCGTTGACCTCTTGGATGTCGTCGTCCTCGCAGGACCTTCCCGGGTCCTTTTCGAAGCAGATGACCTCGTGCTTCGACCCCCACGTCACTGAGAAGTTCTTGCCGGACTGGATGACCTCCTGGAAGGTGGGACCTACTGGGGTCAGAATAATAATAATAATATTAATAATAATAATTATACCCCACATATCTGGATGGGTTTCCCCAGCCACTCTGGGCGTCTCCCAACAGAACCTTAAAAACACGATAAAACATCAAACATTAAAAGCTTCTCTAAACAGGGCTGCCTTCAGATGTCTTCTAAAAGTCAGATAGTTGTTTATTTCCTTGACATCTGATGGGAGGGCGCCACCACCAAGAAGGCCCTCTGCCTGGTTCCCTGTAACCTCGCTTCTCGCAGGCAGGGGACCGCCAGAAGGCCCTCGGGTGAGGGACACCGGTGTCCGGGGTGGAGACACTCCTTCAGGTCTACTGGGCCGTTTCGGGCTTTCAAGGTCAGCACCAACACTTTGAATTGTGCTCAGAAACGTGCTGGGAGTCAATGTAGGTCCTTTCAGGACCGGTGTTATATGGTCTCCACTCCCAGTCCCCAGTCTGGCTGCCACATTCTGGATTAGTTGTAGTTTCTGGGTCACCTTCAAAGGAAGCCCCATGGAGAGCGCATGGCAGTAGTCCAAGTGGGAGATAACCAGAGCATGCACCACTCTGGCCAGACAGTCCGCGCGCAGGGAGGGTCTCATCCTGCGTACCAGATGGAGCTGCCCTGGACACAGAACTGACCTGCGCCTCCATGGACAGCTGTGAGTCCAGAATGACCCCCAGGCTGCGCACCTGGTCCTTCAGGGGCACAGTCGCCCCATTCAGGACCAGGGAGTCCCCCACCCCCTGTGCCCCATAAGCAGTACTTCTGTCTTGTCAGGATTCAACCTCAATCCATTAAATTGCCACCCATTCTTCAGTTGCCTCCAGACACTCACACCGGACCTTCACTGGTTCTGATTTAAAAGAGATGGGGGAGAGGATGGAGCCTTGAGACGGGGTCAGAAACGGGCAGAGGAACCAGGCGACGGGAGGCGATTCTCCCCTCTGGGTCTGGTTCCCGGAATAGGAAAGCAAAACAGTAAAGATGTAAGAAATTAAGAAGAGGCCGGCAGCTGGGTCAGACCAGCAACCTGCTCTCTCACAGGGGCCAAATAACCGATAGAAACCTAGGAATCGCGGTAGACTGCGCCTCAGCTGGAGGCTCTGTAAGAACTGGCTCTCACTGCGGCTGGCCAGAATGCCCCTAAGTCGTGCCAATGGTCAGGGATGACAGCGGTGGGTGGCCACGGGTCAGATCCTGACCTCCCGCAACCCTGGCATTTGGGACGTTTGGGAACACGGGCGGAGTCAGCTGCCAATCACCCACAATCCCCGTTTTGCCGAGCAAAGCTTTTGCCTCTGCAATTCCATCCGCCGTGAAGCGAAGATTGACAGCTGTCTGATTCAATCGCCGCGCAAGTTCTTGCAGGGATCCCTTCATTTTAGCAGACGTTGCCTTAAAGGGGAACGCAAGGGTTCACTGCGGGAAATGGTTTTATTCCGGATAAGAATTATATTACGAATCGTTAAGCGACAACAACGACCCGCACAAAACAGGAGACTGGATCAGAACTTCCCAATTTTTCCAGGGTCGCTGCCCGCTCAATAAACCCACCTCCAGCCCCCCTACCCTATTTAAAAAAAAACACTATTCAGAATTGTTGTTTGCAATGAAGATAATGACGAGCTGAGATACGAGCAGCGCAGGAAAAACGGAAATGATGTTAGGATGGAGTTACGGAACAAGGAACACACAGCAATTAAGGAAAAGGACAAAAAAAATCAGTGCGAGAGAGGTGGGAAATCCAAAAAGAAAAAATATAAGTGAACGATATATTGCATGTAAAGTAAACTTGTTAAAAACCTACTAGAAACTTTTAGAAGACATCTGAAGGCAGCCCTGTTTAAGGAAGCTTTTAATCTTTGATTTATCACTGTATTTTAATCTTTGGTTGGAAGCCGCCCAGAGTGGCTGGGGAAGCCCAGCCAAATGGGCGGGGTATAAATAATAAATTATTATTATTATTACTAATAAAAATCGATAATAATAAAAGCAAGACAATGGTGTCGATAAGGGGCGATTAATTAATTGCACATTTTTTCAAAACTGATGGACTCGAATCGGTGGCACCAGCTTTTCAAAGAGCGATTGGCACCTCTAGGGATACCCCATGCCCCGCCTTGGGGTTTAAGAACGGGCAGCTGGGTTTGCTTTCTTCCTCATCCCTCCCTGTTCCTTTCTCCTCGCGTGCTGCAGACAGTAGCCCTCTGGTTTTCAAGGACAAACCTGCGTCTTGCTCCGCCGGGAGCCTGCAAAAGGAGGCCGGGGACTGGCTGGCCCCATTGTTGGCTTGCAGGGAGATGTTGTACTCGGCCCCCGACAGAAAGGTTTGGAAGGAAGTCACGTTTATCGCCTCAGATATGTTTACCGATTCGTACAGGCAGAGGCAGGGAAGCAGGGCAAACGTCAAGTTGTATTTCACCTCCCCTTGTTCCCGGCTGGGCTTCTGCAACAAAGGAAAGTCAGGGTTATGGGCCAGATATTTTTGCAACTCAAGACATTCCCTTTGCCACAACGTCCCCGCGGGGCGGGCCAGAAATGCAGGATGAAAAACAGGCAGGTTTCCATCCTTGCTGAGGCTGTTTATGTTGTTGTTGTTGAGTTGTTTAGTGGTGTCCGCCTCTTCGTGACCCCCTGGACCAGAGCACGCCAGGCCCTCCTGTCTTCCACTGCCTCCTGCAGTTTGGTCAGACTCATGCTGGTCGCTTCGAGAACACTGTCCGTCCCACCATCTCATCCTCTGTCGTCTCCTTCTCCTTGCGCCCTCCATTTCCCCCAACATCAGGGTCTTCTCCAGGGAGTCTTCTCTTCTCATGAGGTGGCCAAAGTCTTGGAGCCTCAGCTTCAGGATCTGTCCTTCCAGTGAGCACTCAGGGCTGATTTCCTTCAGAATGGAGAGGTCTGATCTTCTTGCAATCCATGGGACTCTCCAGAGTCTCCTCCAGCGCCAGAATTCAAAAGCATCCATTCTTCAGCGATCTGCCTTCTTTGTGGTCCAGCTCTCACTTCCATACATCACTACTGGGGAAACCATGGCTTTAACTATACGGACCTGTTTGTGTTAGCCGGATTTAATATGTTTCCCTCGCTGATAGTGAGAGGAAGATATTTCGCTCTCCCAGAACCAGAGCGTCTCTGCAAACGTAGTAAACAGGAACCTGATACTTTGGAGAGTATTTTCTTTTCTTGCGATTTTGGCATTTATGCCAGAAGACAATTATTAGAGGCCTGACAGCTCAGTAGGCTGAATTCTACGCTACCAACGGTTCAGCAGCTGCTTTCAGACAGGAACGATCAAATTATTTTAACAGTGGCTGGATTTTTGAGTGCTGTCCATGTAGAAAGACTGGGCCATTATAAAGAGATTTCATGGTTCTTAATTGATCGGTGATGTGGTAGTGTTGTATTGTTTATGCAAATTGATTTCCTCTGGAGTTAAAGATCTGACTGGGACAAACCTCGCTATGCTGAGCTCGTATTTTGCACCATGTCTGCTTGATCATGTGTGGCTTGCTATGCCTAATAAAGGATATTTGATTTTTTTCATCCTTGCTGCTGTCATGAGATTGGCTTTTGCTGCCAGTACGTGTAGACAATCTCTTTTTTGATGGAGTTACAAGCTTGGCAGATCAGGGGAACCCTGTGGGTATAGAATATCTTGAAAATCCCCCACGAAATTCTTGCAGGGAAGCTGGCAAAATGTGAGTTGAACGGCGGATTTGTAGCCGGTTGACTGACTGAACTCAAAGAGCACAGTTGCCCCCATTCAGGACCAGGGAGTCCCCCCCTGTCCCCCCCCCCAAAAAACAGGACTTCTGTCTTGTCAGGATTCAATCTCCATCTATTAGCCGCCATCCATCCTCCAACCGCCAGACCCCACCTGGAATCCTGTGTCTAGTTCTGGGTACCACAATTTAAGAAGGATGCTGAGAAGCTGGAAGGTGAGCAGAGGAGGGGCGACCAAGATGATCAAGGGTCTGGAAACTAAGCCTTATGAGGAACGGTTGAAGGAGCTGGGGATGTTTAGCCCGGAAAAGAGGAAGAGGTCAGGGAACCAGCGATCAGATGTGGCCAGCCCCCTTTACCTACCTCCCATTTCAGGGTCACCTTCCTCCGACCGTTTTCCCCAAGAGGCTCTGTGCTGCAACTGAGTTCTGGGCTCTTGAGGAGTTCTGGAAGGGGCAAAACACATTTCATTGGCATCGCCATGTGCTTCTGGGCTCCCTGCTACCCAGGGCCAGATTTCGGTTTGATGTGGCCCTCGGCTCCTGAAGGTAACGGGGCCCTTTCTATGTCCAGCTGTCCTTTGTCCACAACAAATGGCCTTTGTTTTTTTTTTTTGTGTTGAATAGATGCTAGATGGTCATTGATGGACCTAACAGATATCTCAAGCCATTTGCACATCACGAAATATGCATTTTATCAAAGTCATTGTTGAAGAGGAGAAGTCTCTTAACAGTGAAATACAATTAAGAAGTATATTAGCAGCGAAATAATTACAGAGCTCTAACTTAAAATGATTTTTGATTCAAGGACTCTATAGGGCATGGGTAGGCAGACTAAGGCCCAGGGGCCGGATCCAGCCCAATCCCCTTCTCAATGCAGCCTGCGGATGGTCCGGGAATCAGCATGCTTTTACATGAGTAGAATGTGTGCTTTTATTGAAAATGTGTCTCTGGGTTATTTGTGGGGCATAGGAATTCGTTCACCCCCCCCCCAAAAAATATAGTCTGCCCCCCCACAAGGTCTCAGGGACAGTAGACTGGCACCCTGCTCAAAAAGTTTGCTGACCCCTGCATTGGGGGCTCTTGGATACCCCATAAGGGAAAAGGAGCAGTTTTTTCCCCTTATAACAAGAACATGCAAATATGTCCTCTATTTCCTAAATAGCTCATTGCAAAGATCCGCCTAGTCCAGCCTCACGTTTCTCACATTGCATATTACATCTGGAGATTGCAGAATCTACAAGTTGAAAAGTTTTGGAGTCTGAGCTCGCTTGGTTTCCTCTTCCCTTCTCATCCCTCTTTCCTTTTGTGTTGTCTTTGGTTTCCTCCTACTGATAGGCAACTCACTTATGGACTCTATAGGGGCTCTTGGATACCCCATAAGGGAAAAGGAGCAGTTTTCCCCCTTATAACAGCTGGGTGAAGCAGCAAACTCACCAGACGGAACGAAGACAGACCGGCTCCAGTCGCTCCAGTCGCTGTAGGGGCCGGAGATCCGATATCGGACCTGCACTTCGTACGGAGCGTTCCCTTCCACGGGGCACCTGACTGGAGGAAGCGGCGGAGATAGGAGTCAAACCGCAAACGGAAACCACCTTGCTGTTTATTCGATCCCAGAGATCGAATGCCGAAATGGCAAAACTGACCAGAAAAATCAGAAACCGAGAGGATAAAAACTTTACAAAAGAAGGGGGGAAATTATAATTTATCTAGGAGACCAATGTAAGCAGATGGAAACATTGGCAGGATTTTGACTCACTTGTAGTGTAAAATTTATTATGGACAATATGGTTTGATACGGATGAAGATGCTATTGTAGATATTTAAAATGGGACCACACAGAGGGGAAGGGGGGAAATCTCAAGATTCGCAGAATCTCTTTAGACAGATATGTTTTCACTAGTTTGTGTTTATTTGTACTTTGTAATTGTAAAACCAATTAAAAAAAACCTTAGACGCGTTGAGAGCAGAGTGCGGGGAACCAGTTTTTGGAAAAACCGTGTTGCATATGTGTGAATCTGTGGCTGATTTGGTAAAATTTGTTTTTACTACTTTGTGTTGGTGTTTATTTGTAACTTTGCATTTGCAAAACCAATAAAAACGATTTCGTAGGAAAACAAAGAAACATAAAACGAAGAAACATCCTCGAGTCCAAATTGCCTGCCAGCGACATCTTACCTGCGATGGTCTCCTTGGCTTTGTGCCGCTCCTGAGTTTTGCAGTTCCCCTAAAATCGAGACAAGACGAAGCTCAGGAAAAGCGGGGTCTCCGCTGCCCCCCCAGTCCACCCCCTCCAATATTTCTCCGAAGAAAATACAGACATCCTATTCTCCCCATCAGGAAGTTTCTCCTGAATTTCAAGTTGACGCATTTTCCACCGAAACCAGAACTCTTCCTCTGCTTTGGGACTTACGGATAGACAGTTAGAAAAGGACGGTGGATGTTTGCTTCGATATACGATCATGGCTGCAAATTAAAACATTCGCAGGAGTAGAATAAATTGAGTACAGTTTGGTTTCCAAATGCCCCAAACCCGGAAGTGAGTGTTCCGGTTTTCGAACGTTTTTTAGAAGCCAAACGTCCGCTGCGGCTGTCAGCTATTATTTCTGGGGCGCTTGCACCAATCAGAAGCTGTGCCTCGGTTTCCGAACATTTCAGAAGTCAAACGGACTTCCAGATCGGATAAATTTGGTGCTTTTGTTATTGCTATTTATTTTGCGTTTTGGAGGCTTTTTCGGTTTACTTGTTTTTGGGACTGTGCGGAACCCAGTTCAGCTACTGATGGACTGACTGTGCGACTGCGGAAACAGATAAAAGCCCCCCATCCAAACGATGACTTCTGAGTAGACAGTGTCCGGCTCCTTTCACAACCAAGGAACAGACATTCCTTGCTGTTTCCTAAGAAATGGCTGGCAAGGAAAGAATTTAAACCGGATTGGTGACCTTTTCCTTCGAAATTATAGGAAGGGCTAAGGCCCATGAATAATAATAATAGTTTAAAGGTCCCTAAAGAAGCCAGATTATCCTTCCCCAGGGCCAGGACTTTTTCAGTGGTGGCTCCGACCTGGTGGGCCTGTAAGACAGAGCTATTCCGCCTGGCCTCCAGTTTGAATTAGCCTATCCTCTATTCCTTTTTCCCTTTCCTTTTCTATGAAGAAACCCTTCTGGGACCCCACATTTAACTCTTCCCTGGTCTCCTTGCTGGCCCTAGCAGGACCAACTTGGCCAGTGATTATTTGATGTCTACTGACTGGGATCCCTCCCCCAAATGACCCCTGAATTTTAGAATTTTATTGACATTGATGCTGCATTTAGGCTGTGTTATATGATGTTTTATGCCGCATTTTAATCAGTGTTGTATATTTGCTGTTAGCTGCCCTGAGCCCAGTTTTTAAACTGGGAAGGGTGGGGTATAAATAAAAAATTATTATTATTATTATGCCAGCATCACCAATTCCTTAGTTTCAGGTCTCTGCAGCTTCTACCCCTGAGCTGTGACTCCCGAGTCGCAGGACAGGACGAGCGCCACCCTAAATACGCACCAAGACTGGGGCACCCCCAGATCTGAGTTTCCTGCACGGCAGCGGGTTGGGCTGGATGACCCCCCGGGGTCCCCGACTCTACGATTCTATTATCTGCATCATATGCCGGAAGCTTATGTAAGACTTATGTGGGCGTCTGCGTTTAAATTCCCGCTAGGAACCCCCTGATCCCGTTAGATTTGACGCCGTAATCCTGGCTCTGCGGAAGCCCCGGCTGCCATCGGACGCTTGCAAATCCGGGTTATTTATTTCTCTCTCTCTCACACACACCCTGTTTATTTTGCAACAGCTGCAGAACAGCTGGCCAGGGGGGTTTGCGTCACCCTTTGCGCCCTGTGCCCTTTACATAACAGGGAGATTTCAAGCAGCTGTTTGGGGGCGGCATAAGCGAGGCTGCCAGTTCCGGATTCCTCAGAGCTCCGCCGCCGGTCGTGGAATCGCAGAATTGTTGGGCAAGGAGGGGCACCCCCAGGTCATCCAGCCCAACCCGCTGCGGGGCAGGAATCTTTCACCCAACGAGGGGCACAAACCCATGACCAGAGAGCAGGGCCAAATTTAAGTTTGATGTGGCCCTCAGCTCCTGAAGGTAACGGGGCCCTTTCTATGTCCAGCTGTCCTTTGTCCACAACAAATTTTCGCTGTTTTTTGTGTTGAATATATGTTATATCAGGCCTACACAAACCCGGCCCTCCAGATGTTTTGGGACTACAGTTCCCATCATCCCTGACCACTGGTCCTGTTAGCTAGGGATGATGGGAGTTGTAGTCCCAAAACATCTGGAGGGCCGAATTTGGGGATGCCTGTACTAGATGGTCATTGATGGAGCGAATAGGTATCTCAAGCCATTTGCGCATGTTGCCCTGCAACCAGTCCATGCAGAATGTTGGCACCCTATATATAGAAAGGAGCAAACCAGGGATATTTGAGGGAGCAGGCGAGGCCCATGACTTACACCCTTGGAGCCGACACAACACGAAACACGGTTGCTGGATGTAGGTTTTATTTCATTTGTTTTTTATCTTATATTTTATATGTACATCCAGGTTTTTTTCCATTTAATTTTTGGGGCCCCCAAGAGAGTGGGGCCCTAAGCTAGAGCTTGTTTAGCTTATACGTAAATCTGGCACTGGGAGCCTCCTGCTCTGCTGACTGAGAGAGGCCCTTGCATCCTTACCTTGGGCAATATTGTTTTGGGGGACAGGAGGCGGGCAGGTGTGGGGGACTCCCTGGTCCTGAATGGGGCAACTGTGCCCCAGAAGGAGCAGGTGCTCAGCCTGGGAGTCATTTTGGACTCGCAGCTGTCCATGGAGGCGCAGGTCAGTTCTGTGTCCAGGGCAGCTCCATCTGGGACGCAGAATGAGACCCTCCCTGCGCACGGACTGTCTGGCCAGAGTGGTGCATGCTCTGGTTATCTCCCGCTTGGACTACTGCCATGCGCTCTCCGTGGGACTCCCTTGAAGGTGACCCGGAAACAACAACTAATCCAGAATGTGGCAGCTAGACTGGGGACTGGGAGTGGAGACTATATAACCCCTACATTGACCTACATTGGCTCCCAGGACATTTCCAGGCACAATTCAAAATCTTGGTGCTGACCTTGAAAGCCCTAAAAGGCCCAGTATCCCTTAAGGAGCGTCTCCACCCCGGACACCGGGGTCCATCTCTCGAGGACCTTCTGGCAGTTCCCTCATTGCAAGAAGCCAAGTTACAGGGAACCAGGCAGAGGGCCTTCTCGGTGGTGGCACCCTCCCACCAGATGTCAAGGAAATAAACAACTATCCAACTTTTAGAAGACATCGGAAGACAGCCCTGTTTAGGGAAGTTTTTAATGACTGATGTTTTTAAGGTTCCGTTGTGAGCCACCCAGAGTGGCTGGGAAAACCCAACCAAATGGGAGGGGTATAAATAATTATAATATTATTATTACTCTATCCCGGAACCCAAATTTAAAGACACCCTCTCCTTGGCTTCTGGTCTCGACGGCCAACTTACCACGGTCCAGTTGGCGTGCGCTGCTGTCCGCATCCTGACCTGGTTCTCCCGGGAGGAAGCGCAGCAGTTGTCAACTTCAGACCACGTTAGGGTCATGTGGCCTCTTGACCTTGAAAAGTGGATTTCTGTGGGTGCTTCGAGCCTGACTGCAATGAGAGGGGGGAGGCTGGGAGGAAAAGCTCCTAGAATCACAGAATTGTTGGAAGGGACCCCTAAAGTCATCTAGTCCAACCCTCTGCCATGCCAAAATCTCAACCCGTGGTCGCCCATCCAAATTCCGGCGGTCGAAGTCACGGATTCGAGTCCTGCCCTCCGGAGGAGCTGCAGAAAACAAGCTCTCTCCCTTTCCCGTGAGATATTTGGTGCTCATATCCAGAGCTGTCAACTTACAGATTTGAAAATAAGGGACCAGCAGCCTCAAAACTAAGGGATCGGCAGACAAAATAAGGGATTTTTCCAAGTACAGTTATGTTCAACTTCTGAGCCCCTCCGAGCCAAAAGCAGAAAGCCCAGCCAGCAGCCAAACGAAGCCTCAAGCGGTGGTTCCCACAGCGCAGCAACCCGGCAAAGGGGATGCAGCAAGGAAAACCACCGTCACCTCTCCGCTGGGAAGCGCTGAGCAAAGGCGAGTCCCCAGGCAAGGCGGCCGATTTGATCGGCAGAAAGCATGCAAGCTCCACCCTCCAGTCCTTCTCAGACTCCTTATTGGGTGAGCAACGCAGCCAAGCAACACAGTTGGAGTTGGCCAGCAGAGAGGGAGGGAGAGGAACTGCTTCCTTTGAAACCCGGGAAATTTAAGGGACATCATCCATAAGGGACAGCAGTGGGACATGGCGCTGGGATAAGGGAGTTTCCCACCAAATAAGGGACGCTTGACAGCTATGCTCATATCTCCTCTTTTGCATGCTGTATATCCCCAGCTCATAGAAACATAGGGATGTCGATTGGGAAGGGACCCCCAAAGTCATCTATCCCACCCTGCTTGCTGTTTCCAGCCTACCGGCTTGGTTGATCACCAGGGTGAGGTTGTTCGACCGCAGAGGAGGAACGCCTTCGCCAACCCGGCTCTCCACCCAGACGGTGACCTTCACCTCCATGTAGACGCGGTCCCGCTCCAAAAACAGGGAGGTGGCGTTCCCGGTATCGAAAGCGTCGTGCCTTTTGCCAGGCGGGTGGTCAGGGTACCTGCGGGGAAAGAGGGTGGATCTTTGACCAGCCAGCAAACAGGAAAGGGAAAAGAGTGCGTGTCGGCAGCCTGAGAAAGGCAGAAATCCAACCGGTAAAGCTATAATTCCTAATCAGGGTGGATAAAAATCAATAATTTTTTAAAAATAATGTTTGTTAAATTTAAATTGGATTTTTACATTTTAAATCTGATTTTTAAAATTCAAATCGATTTTTTAAATTCAAATCGATTTTTAAAATAAAATGCTTTCGAAGGGAAAATCTTTCTAAAGATTTTCTATTTAAATTACATTATAGTCCAAAGGCTATTCATCAGAAAATAAGGATTTGCTAAAACTCAGTTTTTAAAAAAATATTGTTTAACCACATCAGTTAACAAACATGGATACATATGTTATAACCTTATTGTATTAGTTAAATAAATTGTTGCAATTGTTATTAAGGAAATGATTATTTCCCCCCTTCCAATAAAGTGCTCCAACGCTCCGCTGTCTGAATTCCCCCTGGATTTCTTGCCCCTTGTGCCCCCTTTGCTCACCAAAGATGGAGGGTGTGGCTGGCTCCCATCCGGCCCCCGGCCTCCCAGCTGCAGTTGGGGCGACACTTTTGTTTCCTGCAGCAGCAGGCCTTGAAGCAGTTCAGATTTCGGGGGGCTCCCTCGTCACCTGGGCAGCGAAAAAGAGATCCACGTTTCTCCCCTGAAAATAGGGACGTCCTATTCCATCCCCTCCAATGTTTCTCCCCTGAAAATAGGGACGTCCTATTCCATCCCCTCCAACGTTTCTCCCCTGAAAATAGGGACGTCCTATTCCATCCCCTCCAACGTTTCTCCCCTGAAATTAGGGACGTCCTTTTCCATCCCCTCCAACGTTTCTCCCCTGAAAATAGGGACGTCCTATTCCATCCCCTCCAACGTTTCTCCCCTGAAAATAGGGACGTCCTATTCCATCCCCTCCAACGTTTCTCCCCTGAAAATAGGGACATCCTGTTCCATCCCCTCCAACGTTTCTCCCCTGAAAATAGGGACGTCCTAAGGAAAAGTGGGAAATTGCAGGATCACATCAGAAACTGGGACGGCTTCTGTAAATCCAGAACTGGGAAATCGGGATATTGGGAGGGTTTGCAATTCAGCAAGTCGAATATTCTTCCTCTTCTTCCTCAACTTTATATACCGCCCCCTATACCTGGGGGTCTCAGGGCGGTTCACAGAATAAAATCAAGATATAGAAACCACAAAATACCTAATGAAAATAAAGACAACAACCCAATTGCCCCCGCCGCACAAAAACCACATTTTAAAAAGGCATAGGATATAAATCTCTTCCCCCTCTGAGATAATCCTGTGTGGTTCACGAGAGAGTTTGTGCGGCGCAGAACCTGCCGCCTCCCTGTTTCTGTGCGCAATTTCCTTTGTGCTGAGTTCAGGGGGGAAAGCACCACTTCCTCGACTCTCTGTTGTTCTCCTGACCTATTTACTTTCAAAAATGTGCGCAGCCGAGGTGCAAAATGGAATTTATTGCGTTGGAATTTTTTTCTTTTTGTGACATGCATTATTGTTTTGTTATACTGTTATACGTTTCCGAGCACAATTCAAAGTGCTGGTGTTGACCTTTAAAGCCCTAAACGGCCTCGGCCCAGTATACCTGAAGGAGTGTCTCCACCCCATCGTTCTGCCCGGACACTGAGGTCCAGCGCCGAGGGCCTTCTGGCGGTTCCCTCATTGCGAGAAGCAAAGCTGCAGGGAACCAGGCAGAGGGCCTTCTTGGTAGTGGCGCCCTCCCTGTGGAACGCCCTCCCATCAGATGTCAAGGCAATAAACAACTACCTGACATTCAGAAGACATCTTAAGGCAGCCCTGTTCAGGGAAGTTTTTAATGTGTGATATTTTAGTGTATTTTTGGTTTCTATGGAAGCTGCCCAGAGTGGCTGGGGAAACCCAGCCAGATGGGCAGGGTACAAATAATAAATTATTATTATTATTATTATTATTATTATTATTATTATACTGTTGATTGGCCATATTCTAATCAATAAAGCTTTAAAAGTGAGGGGGGAAGAAAGAAGAATTTTCCAAACCGTCTCCCAGGGCAGCCCCACAAATAATGTGTTGCAGTAGTCTAACTTGGAGGTTTCCAGAGCCTAAATTCCAGAACTTAGGCTCTCCCTGTCCAGATAATGGCCACCGGAAGAAGCAGATGGAAAGCAATTTATATTTGGGGGTTTTTTATGGTTTATCTGCCCAGTTAAATTCTTGCATTTAAATTCTTGCTCGGTAAATAAAAAGCAGAATGGGTTGCAAGAATGGGATTGGTGTTAGCCGATTTTTACGAGCGGAATCGTGGGCGTGTCTACGGGCAAAATGAGTAATTTGAGATGTTTTTATGGGAAGTGATTCATAAATATAATTATGGTAACGAAATTAATGACTAAGGGTAGCCTTTTCCTTCAAAGGCCATATTTCCCTTCGATTCTCGACCGTGCAGCCTGCTTTGTAGGTTGTTGAGTTTGCATGACCCCTACACACACACACACACACACATTTATCTCAATAATGCCATTTCCCCCAAGTTTCCAGCTTCCTAATGAATAACCAAATTAACCCAAGTTTCAGACACAGGTGTGAGGATTAGGGTTATAACTTCTTGACTCCCCCCCAAAAAAAGAAACACAATTTCCTGTATCCTAACTATTTCTTATCTGTAGCAACAACAAGAAAAGGTCACCCCAAAAGGAAAAGTTGGATTCACTTTACTGCTCATAAGTATTCACACTTTAAAAAACTTTATGGAACTTTTCCAGCTGTCCAAAGCTTCCTAAAATGGCCGAGAACGTTCTAGATTAGAAGAACCGAAATACAGAAAAAGACGGAGTTCAGAGGATGTGGGAACTTTATGGTGCAAGTCAAACTGCAACTCTGATTTTATTCTAAGCGATAAGAAGTGATGGACAATGTACAAATCGTGGCGCAAGTATTAGAAAATCCGCAAGCGCCATTTCTCCTGTACATGCCAGGCATATGACAAGAATACATTATATAGTTCCCTAGAGGGAAATCGATTTGTTGATTTCGGGCTGACCTTTTCTCCGAAAACTTGAACGCGACAGATCATTTGTTTGTTTTTAGGTAAAAGTTCATCTAACTAAGCTCCGGGAACAGGAGTGAAAAAAAGTTATAACCCTAGTAAGGAATCCCCTCTGCCAGAGCACTGGGGCAATTGGCAGAGCCTCCATATGCCAGGCAAGCAGATGAGGCGATAACGAGGCTTTCAAGTTTCACCAGTGCTTGTGAAATACCAGCACGGAGAAAGTCATTTTATTCAGGTTTTTTTAAAAAAACAACAACTAAAAACCCACAAATTTCTCCAAAACTGTAGCTGTAAGAACACAGAAAGAGGCCTGTAGCCGAATCAGGCCAGCCAGATGCCTCAATGGGAAGCCGGCAATCAGGATTCGAACCCATGTGGTTTCCAGCAAGCAGAATTCAGAAGAATCGCTGCCTCCGACCATGGTGGCAGAGGCAAAGCTGTCTTGGCTAGGAGCCATCGATAGCCCTCTGCGAATTTGCCTAATCTTCTTTCAAGGCCATCCAACCTGGTAGCCATCGCTGCTTACTGTGGCAGGGAGTTCCACAGTTTTACAGTGTGCTGAAACGGACAGAGGGCATTCCCAGGAATTTGCCTTTTGCCCTGGACCTGACCCGGTCTTCCAACATGGTCTAGCTTCCCTTAGTATCCCCTCCAACGTTTCTCCCCTGAAAATAGGGACGTCCTATTCCATCCCCTCCAACGTTTCTCCCCTGAAAATAGGGACGTCCTATTCCATCCCCTCCAACGTTTCTCCCCTGAAAATAGGGACGTCCTATTCCATCCCCTCCAACGTTTCTCCCCAGAAAATAGGGACGTCCTATTCCATCCCCTCCAACGTTTCTCCCCTGAAAAGAGGGACGTCCTATTCCATCCCCTCCAACGTTTCTCCCCTGAAAAGAGGGACGTCCTATTCCATCCCCTCCAACGTTTCTCCCCTGAAAATAGGGACGTCCTATTCCATCCCCTCCAACGTTTCTCCCCTGAAAATAGGGACGTCCTATTCCATCCCCTCCGACGTTTCTCCCCTGAAAATAGGGACGTCCTATTCCATCCCCTCCAACGTTTCTCCCCTGGAAATAGGGACGTCCTATTCCATCCCCTCCAACGTTTCTCCCCTGAAAATAGGGACGTCCTATTCCATCCCCTCCGACGTTTCTCCCCTGAAAATAGGGCTGTCCTATTCCATCCCCTCCAAAGTTTCTCCCCTGAAAATAGGGACGTCCTATTCCATCCCCTCCGACGTTTCTCCCCTGAAAATAGGGCTGTCCTATTCCATCCCCTCCAACGTTTCTCCCCTGAAAATAGGGACGTCCTATTCCATCCCCTCCAACGTTTCTCCCCTGAAAATAGGGACGTCCTATTCCATCCCCTCCAACGTTTCTCCCCTGAAAATAGGGACGTCCTATTCCATCCCCTCCAACGTTTCTCCCCTGAAAATAGGGACGTCCTATTCCATCCCCTCCAACGTTTCCAGAGGTCCAGAGAGATGAAATCTCGCGGTCGCCTTCGACGCAACCCTGATTTCCGTCTCTCTGGCAAATCAGCCAGAGATTTACCGGTCGATCCCAATCTCCTCTCTGCATGTCGCTGATTTAGAAACTGCGGCAGGAAGCAGCTTATCATTTCTTCCTGGGCAGGGATGATAACTTACCGCCTGACCCCCGCGCCACGGCGAACCACAGGGCCACGGCCACCAGCCACAGGTGCCTGGGGGGGCCCCTTCCTCTCCAAAGGGCCCTTGGGTGTGACATCTCTCCAGGGGGCCCGACACGGATGCAGGGCTCTGATCGGCAGCCGCTCCTGCAAGGGAAATCCAAAGTCACTTTAGGGATGGAGAGGCCTTGCCGTGCTTTTTTGAGTCCTCCTCCTCTGTTTCGCTTTCCTTTCCAGATCTCACCTCTCTCTCTTTCCCCCCTGGCACCCAGATTGCGCAAAAGTGGCGCCTGAGGCGGCACAGAAATTAGCTCTTCCCGCAAGGGTGCTTCTGGGAAACCCGCAAGTGAGGCAAGGGAAAATAAAAACCAAAAATGAAAGAAAGCTCTGCGGTGTGGTTTTCGAGGAGGCGGCACAGATAATTTTAGAGCTCAAGGGGAGAGGGGGAACCTGGCTTTAAAATATATATATACCGCGTTTTTCTGTGTATAAGGTGTTTGTATTCAACTATCATGTCAAAAATTGGGGGTGAGGATAGCAGGCTTTTGTGACACGTGCGAGTGGCGTTGTCGGTGTGGCGGGTGAGCGATTTCAGGGGGCAATCCTGCCCAAGAACAGCTCAACAACTTTGGGGGATTTCTTCCCCGTTTCCTTAATTTTGAGTCCCCTGGTGGTCTTATACACCAGGTGTGTGTGTGTGCTATACACGGGAAAATACGGTACATATCAATTTATTCGTTTGGTTTTCCAGATTAAAATTTCACAGTATTTAGCACCAGCTAAATTGGCCAAAATGTACAAGACAAGAAGCAGGGAGTGTTAGAAATGTAAAGAAAGGGAAGGTTTATTCTACCACCTGCGGTGAACTTGCAAAGGCTTTCTGGGAAATGGTATATAATGAGCTAAAGAAAATGTTTAAAAATACTTTCGTGAAAAAACCAGAAGCCTTTTTATAGTGGGTGGAGAGATACAAGTTTGTGCATCAGATACCTGGCCCTGATTTTAAAAATAAAATTATACTAATAACAGAAGATCGGCTCTGGCTGATTCCTCCAGCCCAGGTGTGGATAGACTGCGCCTGAAGCTTGAGGCTTGAATGAGCCACTAGGGCTTACAGCCACTTATACCAAGCATTTATTTTTTAAAAAGGGAAAAGGCAGCGTATTTCCACAAAAGCAAAGAGATCGTGTCCCTTTGGAGGGGGGAAAGAAGGGTACCTGGTGGCTGTTCTCCCCCGGCGCGCCTCTCCTCTCGAGAAAGTCGAAAACAGAACGCAGGAAAGGAACCGACTCAACTCCTACCTTCTCGTTCGAAGCAAGAGAGAGACTTCCTCCGAGCCGGACGCCCCAACTCTCGCCGAGCGAAAACCACATCCCTCTTCGAAATGTTATCTGCATCGCATCCAGGCCTCAGCTTCTTCCGGGCGGCTCCTCCTGTCTCCCTGAGACAGTGCCGTGCAGTGGTTAGAGCACCGGGCGATGATCTGGGAGAGCAGGGTTCGAATTGCCCACCACCACCATCATCATTATGTATTGAATTTCTTCTTCTTTGGCAATCCTTCATAGCCGAGTAAAATTGTCTTCCATAAACACGGTTTTAACAATGAGTCCATAAATGACTGTGGAGGCCAATTCTGGATCCACACATCCTTCCACAGTGGAGACATTGGTTTTCGGGCGGGAGTTGATCCTGGTGAGGGTTTGCCAAGCGTGCCTTCCTCTTAGCACGCTTCTCCCTTGCGTCCTGAGTTCGAGTGTCTCCAAAGCCCAGGACACCTTTGGTCAAGGCTGTTCTCCAACTGGAGCGCTCGCAGGCCAGTGTTTCCCAGTTGTCGGTGTTTATACTACATTTTTAAAGATTTGCCTTGAGAGAGTCTTTAAACCAGGGGTCAGCAATTTTTTTCAGCAGGGTCCACTGTCCCTCAGACCATGTGGGGGGCCGGACTGTATTTTGAAAAAAATAATAATGAACGAATTCCTATGCCCCACAAATAACCCAGAGATGCATTTTAAATAAAAGGACACATTCTACTCATGGAAAAACACGCTGATTCCCAGACTGTGTGCGGGCCGTATTGAGAAGGCGATTGGGCCGGATCCAGCCCCCGGGCCTTAGTTTGCCTACCCATGCTTTAAAGCAGGCATGTCCAAAGTCTGTTTTGGGGGCCTAATCCAGCCCACTGGCCGATTTAATCCGGCCCCCGTGGCAGTCTATGTATACGTCCTGGGGTAAAATCCTAAAGAAAGTTCAACAACTTTGGTTGGCCCTCACGCATGTTCACTTCATCAAATCTTTGAAAAAGGTTTGGGCACCCCTGCTTTAAACCAACCTTACTGTACGTTTGTGAAACATGGACCACTTACAAACGCCATCTCCAACTCCTCAAAAGATTCCATCAACGGTGTCTCCGAAATATTTTACACATCACCTGGGAAGACAGGTGAACTAATGCCAGGGTACTGGAAGAAGCAAAGATCACCAGTGTTGAAGCGATGATTCTTCAACATCAACTTCGTTGGACTGGTCATGTTGTGAGGATGCCTAATGATCGTCTTCCAAAGCAACGACTCTATTCCAAACTTAAAAATGGAAGGTGTAATGCTGGTGGTCAACAAAAGAGGTTCAAAGACTCTCTCAAGGCAGATCTTTAAAAATGGAGTATAAACCACCCGGAAAACAATGTCCCTACTGTGGAAGGATGTGTGGGTCCAGAATTGGCCTCCACAGGTACTTATGGACTCACTGTTAAGACGGTGTTTATGGAAGACAATCTTACTCGGGTATGAGGGATTGAAGAAGAGGAGGAGGAAGAAGAGGAAGAGGAAGAAGAAGAAAAGGAAGAAGATGAAGAAGAAGAGGAAGAAGAAGAAGAGGAAGAAGAAGAGGAGGAAGAAGAGGAAGAAGAGGAAGATGAAGAAGAAGAGGAAGAAGAAGAGGAGGAGGAGGAAGAAGAAGAAGAAGAGGAAGAAGAGGAAGAAGAAGAAACAAGCAAAAGCCAGTCCGGTAGGTGCCCTCGCCCACTTGGCAGCACCCATCCCTTCCCGGGACCCCCACCGCCTTCCTCCCCCCTTGTTAGAGTCCAGTGCTGGAAGGCGGGGGGGCCTCTCTGCTGGGACACCCTGTCCCCTTCCTTCCTTCCTTCTTTCCGGGGACTGTCCCCCCCCCCCCCGGCCATCGGGTGCTGCCTGGCAATGTCTCTCCCGGGTGACTCACCCACCCACCCGGCGAAGGGGGGGCCTCAAGCATCACTGGGGCTCTTTGTTCCTCTCTGCAGGGCAAGAAGGGGGTCTGTTTGTCCTGTCCCCGGCCCCCACCCAGCAGGATCAAAGAGGCCTTTTTCTCCTCTCACCAGGCCTGATGTCACCCCTCAAGCCTGGGGGGGTCCCCTTTGCCTCCCTCCCTGAATGAAGGAGCCCTTCCTTGACCAGGCCCCTTGCTTTGAGTCTCGCTTGGGACATTAATTTACTATTTATGGGGTGGGGGCCACATTCTTCTCCTTCTGGGGGGGGCAGCCTGTCCCCCTTTAGTCGTCCCTCCCCCACCTTGCCCTCAGCCCTCACCTGCGGCTCCGGGAAGCTGCTTCCTTTAAGCTTTTTATTTTTAAAATAATAATAATTAAAAACAAATTTAAATAGGAGCCTTTTGCAGGGACTCAATACTCTCTCTGTTTTTTTATTGGTATTAAAATTCAGCCCAAATGTCAGCCAGTCCGTCAAAAGACTCGATCAGCCCAAATGAAATACAATTTCTTTTTTTTAAAAAAAATAATAATCTGATTTCCCCCGCTCTTGTTACAAACATTCGCCCGTTCCTTCCTCCTCCTGTAGCCGTGTCATTCTTCTTTAATTGGACTCACAGAGTGGTGGGTTCGAGTCCCACGTTGGGCAAAAGATCCCTGCATTTGCAGGGGTTCCAACTGGATGCCCTCAGGGTCCCCCCTTCCAAATCTGTGAAATATTGGCTCGGTGGGGTGCGTGGATGGGCAGAAAAGTCCCGCCTCACATAATCACATGACACAGAGCACTATTTGAATGTCAGTGTCCCTCTTTATTATTATTATTATTATTATTATGGGGTGGCGAAGGGACCTCTGCCCCTAGGAGTTTGGTTCCCATGGCACGTCCTAAGAGGCCGGCCAAATCGCGGGAGAAGGATCGAGTCCTCAGCCTCTCCTTTTTGCACGTGCCTGTTTCGGTTCTGGATGTGAATGCGTGTGAGTGCGTGTCCGGGCATTTGCGTGCATGCAAAAAAAAAACCCCGGTGTCTGCGTGGAAAAAGAGCGCATGTCATTTTCACCCCCTATTGCAGAATCTGGGAATCTCTCTCTCTGCCCTCCGCCCTTTCTGCAAGGTGCCCGTGTGAATGCGCGCAAAAGGCGTGTCCGGGGCATTTGCGTGCATGCAGAAAATCCCGTGTCTGCGTGAAAATAGAGCGCTTATCATTTCCCTCCCTTGGAGCTATTGCAGAATCTGGGAATGTCGCGCTCTCTCTCTCTCTCTCTCTGCCCCCCCCTTTCTGCAAGGAGGGATCAGCTGATTCCCGGGCAACCAATGCCAGCCAAGAGGACCCTCCGCCTCCTTCTCCCCCCCCCCAACCTCTCCCCTCCCCTCCAAGTGCCGGGAACCTCTTTGCACCCTACTTGACGCGCAACAGCGAGGAGCGCAATGGACGAGCCGAACATCCTCCGACGCCGAGGGCTCCAGGTGAGTCGGGATGCTGAAGCGGGGCGCGCAGAAGAAACTGGGGAGGGTCTGGAGCCCCCCACCTCTTTTTCTGGGGTGAAAGGAAAGATCCAAGACCCTCCTCAGCTCCGCAGCCACCTGGGGGGGGGCGCGTCTGAGCCCACCTACCTGCTGCGTGGCATGCAAAAGGCGCTTCCCTGCTGAGGATCCTGCTTGGGGCGTGTGCGCGTGTTTTTCGTGGGGAAGGGGCGTTGCTCCCTGGCAGAGCAGCTGCTGGGCGTGCAGAACGACCCAGCCGCCCAGGGCAGCGCCGAGAAGCGGCTGCTTCTGACCTGAGACCTTGGAGAGCGGCCGTTCTTGCTGCTGCTGCTGCCGGCCTGGGTCGGCAATGCTGGCGTGGTGGGGCTTGAGCGAATTGTCGGGGATGCTCGCTTGGGCAGGAGGCGTGGAGAGGGGAGTGTGTGTGTGTGTGTGTGTGTGTGTGTGCAACTGGGTGATGTGCATTGCGGAGGAAAAAGCCGCCTTGAGGGAGCATCTCTCTGTGTGTTCATGCTTATATATAATAATTTCGCGCTTAGGAACGAAGGGTGCATTTTTGCAGAAAGAGAGAGACAAAATCACTAGGCAGGGGAAATATCTGGCTCAGAATAAGCCTCTCCAGACAGAGGCTTGCGGCTCACCCCTGTGGACGTAGAAATATTTTTATTTTTCCATGCACACTCCTATACGTTTTGATAGTAAACCGGATTTGCAACTGGGCTCAGATAATTTGAATTGCAACTGCATACAAGCGGTCCTGAGAAGCCCCAGAAAGAGAGAGGCCTTTCGCACCCGGTTCCTGCCTGCGGACCTTCCAAAAGGGGTGTCTGGCTGGCCAGGAATTGTAGAGCCATAGAGTCACAAGGGATCCCTAGGGGTCATCCAGCCCAACCCGCTGCAAGGCAGGAATATGCAGCTGTCTCGTACGGGGATCGAACCCACAACTTTGGCGTTATCGGGCAAGACTTAAATAGGCCGCCCTTTGACCCGATCCAGCTGCTTTTGGGGTTTTAAGTATTCCTCAGTGGAGCCTCCATGGTGGAGCCAGTCTACCTTAGAAAGTGGAAAGGGGCTCTACTCTCGCCTCCTGCTTGGAAAGGGGGGCTTCTTTCCATTTGGGGTGTCTGGTGAGGACAGGAGGCTGGGCTAGGGACCTGATCCAGCGCCCAGGACTTCCTTATGTCCATATGGCGCCTCCAGGAGCAATGGCAGCCTACCTTGATCTCTAGGTTCTATTGCGAGGACGGCACACCGGACTAGATGGGGACCCCTTTCTCCTGATCCAGAGGCAGCGCTCCTTTTTAAAAAGTTTTCTATTTGATTTCACAAGGAATAATATTCCTGCAAATATTAAAATTTTGCACTCGATTCTTCTGAATCTCGAGACTTCCCTCCTCCCCTCTGTGGAGTCATTAAAAAAGTTTTCCAACTCCATATGATAAGTGCATCTAGTCTCCAGTCCTCCGTTAAATTCAAAGTCTTATGTATTGTGGCAGGAGCTGTTTGAAGCCTGTCAAAGAGTTCAAGTGTTCTTTCAAATAAAATCTCTATTTGTCCCAATGCTGGATTTACGTTTAAGCTAAGCAAGCTCTAGCTTAGGGCCCCGCTCTCTTGGGGGTCCCCAAAAAAATTAAAGGAAAAAAACAACTGAATGTACCCATTTCCAAAATATTATCTATCATCTATCTGTCTGTCTCTCTATCTGTCTGTCTATCTATCTGTCTATCTATCTATTCATCTATCTCTATCTATCATCTATCCAGCCATCTATCTATCTATCTATCTATCTATGCCAGTGCTGGATATACATATAAGCTCAACAATCTCTAGCTTAGTGCCCCATTCTCTTGGGGGCTCCCAAAAAATTAAAGGGAAAAAAACAACTGGATGTACATTTCCAAAATATAAGATAAGAAACAAATGAAATAAAACCTACACACAGCAACCGTGTTTTGTGTTGTGTAGGCTCCTCAGATATAAGTCATGCCCCCCGCCTGCTCCCTCAAATATCCCTGCTTTGCTCCTTTCTATATATAGGGTGCCGACATTCTGCTATTTATCATTAGTAGTAGTTTGCATCACATATTTACACCTCTGATTATTTCTTGTTATAGCAAGCTTCTACAGACTAGATTAGGAGTCTTTGTCTATTGTGCTTCTAAAGGAACTTTTGTTCTTGCCCAGTGCCAATGTGTTTGCATTGTTCAGTTTGTTACGAATAAAAAAATCATTTTAAGTTAGAGCATTATTTCACTATTAACATACCTCTTCTTAATTGTATTTCAGTTCAACCATTACATATTTTGTCATGTGTAAATGGCTTGAAATACCTATTAGGTCCATCAGTGACCATCTAGCATATATTCAACACAAAAAAACAGCCACAATTTGTTGCTGACGAAGGACAGCTGGACATAGAAAGGGCCCCATTACCTTCAGGAGCTGAGGGCTGCTTTGAACCTCAATCTGACCCTTATTTGTCCCATTCTCTGTTGAGGTTTTGATCCTCCCAATTTCTTATTTTCCCCGTTAACCTTGCCATCTCTTGCATAGTCCAATAATTTCGTCTCCCCTCGCAGGTTATCTTATCATCTTTCCAGCATCTTTGCAGCTGCTGTAGTGAAAACAGTCTTTTCGGTTCCTTCGGTATCTCTGCACCTCCAATTCCTAAAAAAAACCTGGCTTTGTAACAAATGTGATTTTTGAAACATTTTTCCCAAGCCATTTTATATCATCTCAAGTCCGGAAAGGTGGGAGAATTGGCGTTAGGGAGAAGCCTGCTGGGCCTTTTCCTCAAACCGGCCACCAGAGGCCACTGGTGAGCTACGGCGGAGGAAACAGGCTGTGCCAATTGCCCTCCCCATCTGGTGTGTTGACCCCCTTGGCTGTGTTTGTGTGTGTGTGTTTGTGTGTGTGTGTGTGTGTGTGTGTGTCTGCTACACAGACAACCTTGCAAGCGACTGAACCGCCTTGGGCAAAAGTCCTCTCCATATTGTCCCTGGCCCTGATTTAAAAAATAAAATTATACTAATCACAAAACCCGTGGCCTTAAGTGACAATAAAGGAGATTCCGACTAGGACTAGCTAAGCAGGGTGCTGCATGGTTTCCGACTGGGTGGCGTTGAGATTCCTGCACGGCGGAGGGTTGGGCTGGATGACCCTCAGGGGGCCCTTTCCAACTCTACGAAGTCCTAGAATTGTCAGGCTTGGAAGGGAACCCAAGGGTCATCTAGCCAATGGGCAGGCAAACGTAAGGCCCGGGGGCCGGATCCGGCCCAATCGCCTTCTCAATCCGGCCCAAGGACAGTCCGGGAATCAGCGTGTTTTGACATGAGTAGAATGTGTCCTTTTATTTAAAATGCATCTCTGGGTTATTTGTGGGACATAGGCATCCATCCATTCATTTATTTATTTCAAAATATAGCCCGGCCCCCCCAAGGTCAGAGGGACAGGGGACCGGCCCCCTGCTGAAAATGTCTGCTGACCCCTGGAGCCTAAGCTATAGCCTGTTTAGCTTATACGTACCGTAAATCTGGCACTGGCATAGATAGATAGATAGATAGATAGATAGATAGATAGATGATAGATACTGTAGATAGATGGATAGATAGATAGATATAGATAGATAGATAGATAGATAGATAGATAGATGATAGATAGATAATATTTTGGAAATTTACTTCCAGTTATTTTTCCCCTTTAATTTTTTTTGGGGGGGCCGCAAGAGAGTGGGGCCCTAAACTATAGCCTGTTTAGCTTATACGTAAATCTGGCACTGGCATAAATAGATAGGTAGGTAGATAGATAGACATATAATATTTGGAAAGGTACATCCAGTGTGTTTTTTCCTTTAATTTTTTTTTAGGCCCCCAAGAGAGTGGGGCCCTAAGCTATCGCTTTTTTAGCTTATACGTAAATCCGGCACTGGCATAAAAAGAAAGAAAGAAAGAAAGAAAATGTTTTGGAAATGTTCTTCTAGCTATTTTTCCCCTTTCAATTTTTTGGGGACCCCCAAGAGAGTGGGGCCCTAAGCTACAGCTTGTTTGGCTTATACGTAAATCCGGCGCTGCTTCTACGGTACGGTGAGCTGTCTGGGTATTCGGGGAGGGGGCAGCGGCGAAGTCGCCCCCTTGTCCCCAATTCCTTGAGAGCCCCCCCCCCACCGCCAGCACCCAAAGGTGCCTTGTGTGTCTGTGTGTACCAGGAATTGGGGGTGAAGCCGAGGACATCCTTTGACCCTGATAGTCCCTGGCAGCCCGTCCCCCAGGCTGCCGAACAGAGCCTGCTCAGCTGTCCGAACCCCAACCTGGCAAAGCGAGGAAATTGCTCCTGACATTTCAGACAATTTCGCTCCTTCCTTTGGGGAGGGAGGAAGAGGACGGGGTTTCGTCTGTCGCACTTCAAGCAATAACGCAGGGCTAACAAAATATATATAACCTGCATCGTTTCACTGTTCTTCAACAGAGAATCTATGAGGGAGATGCAGATGATAAAATAAATCAGTTTTGTAGGAGCAAAATTAGAGAGTCCGTCAATATCACAGAGGCAACACAAGCCTTTCAGTGGTCCCGATCCTGTAATCTTGCCATAAGAGAAGCTCCAAGCGTCACAATTCTTAAACAGAGAATACGTAATAGAATTGGGTGGATAAAAAAAAAAATATTAATGGATTTTTTAAATTTAAATCAGATTTTTTAAAATTTAAATCAGATTTTTAAAATAAAACGCTTTTGGAGGAAACACCTTTCTAAAGATTTTCTGTTTAAGTTACATTATAGTCCAAAGGCTATTCATCAGGAAATTTGCTTTAAGTTTTTCATGTGTGCTAAAACTCAGTCTAAAATTTTTTTTTAGAAAATCGTTTAACCACATCAGTTAGCAAACATGGATACATATGCTATAATGTTATTGTTTTAGTTAACTGAATTGTTTAAATTGTTATTAAGGAAATGATTATTTTTCTCCTTCCAATCAAGTACAGCAGAAAAGTTGCCCCAACAGAAACAGTTAACTTATTAAACCTCACCATAATTTCACAATTATCTTTCCATGTATTTCTAACGGTATAACCAAATCAGTCATTTTTTAATATAACTGTAAAAACTGCTCTGAAAATGTATTGTTCCAAAAACGAAACCTTTGTCTGCTTGTAAATATGAAGATTATACCAGCAAGAAAAGAATCCGGTTTAAATTTTTTAAAAATCCGATTTAAGTAAAGAATAATACTCTGCATTTTTGGATATATATATATATTTAAAATCATTGATTTTTATCCACGCTGCTTTGGGAGTGACAACACTCCTCCTGCTCTTATCATCGATTCGACGACCTTCGCCCCACACCTGCTGGCAGCGTTGCAGGGAAAGTACGCCCTGCCCTCTGTGCCCTAGGGCAGTCGCTCTGCACGTGCTCAGGAGGCGGCGGCTGGGGGGGCAGAAGGCAGGGCCTTTGGTCCTGGGTGGGGCAAGAGAGAGAGATGCTCAGCACAGCAGTGTCTGCACTGGCTGGCAGCAAGGCTCTCTCCCACTGCCTTGCCGGTTTGCAAGCAGGGAGACTTCCCCATAAATTCACATTCTGCATGAAAAAATTGTCCAGTAGCACCTTAAAGGTAAAGGGACCCCTGACCATTAGGTCCAGTCGTGGCCGACTCTGGGGTTGCTGCGCTCATCTCGCTTTACTGGCCGAGGGAGCCGGCGTACAGCTTCCGGGTCATGTGGCCAGCAGGACTAAGCCGCTTCTGGCGAACCAGAGCAGCGCACGGAAACGCCGTTTACCTTCCCGCTGGAGCGGTACCTATTGATCTACTTGCACTTTGAGGTGCTTTCGAACTGCTAGGTTGGCAGGAGCAGGGACCGAACAACGGGAGTTCACCCTGTCGCGGGGATTCGAACCACCGACCTTCTGATCGGTAAGCCCTAGGCTCTGGGGTTTAACCCACAGCGCTACCCGCATCTCCCAGTAGCACCTTAGAGACCAACTAAGTTTGTTCTGAGTATAAGCTTTCATGTGCATGCACACTTCTTCAGATACTAATTTGTGTTTATTTGTGCTTCATATTTGTAAAACCAATAATAATAAAAAACCTTAGAGGCATTGAGAGCAGAGTGCGGGAAACCAGTTTTTTGGGGGAAATTGTATTAAATCTGTCTGAATCTGTGGCTGATTCGGTAAAATTTGGAAAACCGATTCGGAGAAAGAGAAAGAAACTCAAGGCGCCAGTCCTCATGCTTAGGCTAATTCAAACAAGGAGCTGCCTCCAAGCCAGTGTTGCCTGCACTGGCTGGCAGTTCCAAAGATGAAGTTGAACTTGCCGAGCAAATTCTCTAACCACTGGGCTACAGCCCCGCATAAGACGGCATGCCTCTCCCATCGCTGGGGTTCGTGGGGTCTGCGCGAGGCCGAAGGGGCGGCTGCAAAGTCCCGGCGGCCTCATCCTGACTGTCTTTTCCCTTTCCTTTTCCGCAGAAGGAGCTGAGCCTGCCTCGCCGTGGGAAAACGTGAGTGGGGGCCTCTGCCCCGCGTTTCGGGTTCTGCGTCTCGTCGCTCAGGCTTCTGTCTCCAACGGCGGGCACCCAGATAGATGCCTCTGGAGGGCCCACAAGCTGGCCAGCCTGGCTCGCTTTAGGGGTTTCCTGGTGCCAGAGTATTCCAATAATAATAATAATAATAATAATTTATTATACCCCACGATATGGTTTGAAGTTCATATCATGATATCAGTTTCATTATTTTTTGACCTGGTGATATATTTGCAAATCACGATATGTGTGTCTGCATTTTCTGGGAAAAATCTCAATGTGAGGGAGACTGTGAAGCCCCAATAGCTCCATCCTTATACCAGACATCGTGGTATTTAGCTGGTGATATAGTGTGATGTCGAAAACCTACTCCATCCTTATTCAGACATCATGATATATCGATATATCACAGTTTGGCTGGTGATACATCACAAACCAGACACTGCGCAGCCCTACAAACGATCAATCAATCAATCAATCAATGGGATATACAACCAGAAACAGTATCTAGGCCTCTTTTCAAGAGCACTGCAGGGGGCTGGACTAGATGACTCTGGTGGGCCCTTTCGGCTCTGCAGTTCTATGATTGTTATACATTTTCCGGACGCCCCACGGTCATATTATAAAGCAGCTGTGTTCTGTGTTCCAAACCAAGCCCTGACGGCAGCTGTTTTCATTTTGTTTTCCTATGCAATAAAAAAAAAATTGGCGCAAGCAAATTCCTGTTCCGAAAGTGTGGCCCACAGAGAAGAGTTCGGGGACCCTCCAGAATGTCCTAAGAGCCTTTCCCAGCCAATGGGTACTCGAGAGTCATGACGGCGCCTCGCCTTCGAGAGCCTGCGAATCGGTGCCCCTTTGCCCTCTCATGTGGCAGGGAGTTCCAGAGTTCAGCTCCCTGCGGCGGCGCCTTTTTAGGCGGTAGTTTCTCCCAACCTGTTTCCGTGTCGGAATCGCTTTTGAGATTGGTTCTGGTGGTTTCCTCGCTTGTGCATTCCCCGCGGAGTTGGCGCGCTGGGGAACCCAGGAGAGCCTCCGCTGCTGCCAACCCGTGTGCGCACTCCAGAGCCAGACGAACCTCTGTACTGCACACGTCTCTTGTCTCCGCCCACGGCCCCGCCGCGACCGTGCATGGCGCTGGCACTGAAATTTGTGGGTGCGCGGCCCCTTGGTGGGGGATTTGGTGGGTGCTCGGGCACCCAGCGCCCCCGGGCTTTGGCCCCCAGGCCCCCGCCCCTCTTGAGAGCGGCGGCGCCCCGAGCCTTTTCCATTGGAGAGGTCAGGTCCCCCCGCGGGGACGCGCGCCTTTCTCCAGAAACCTGGCGACCTGGCGCCTCGTTGCTTGCGCTTTTTTAATTCCTAGGGGACGGCGGCGCGCGCTCCAACCACCCCCACCCCAGGGCTTTTCCGTCCCTCCCAGTCCCTCTTCTCCCTCCCTCCCTCCGAGGTGGGGGGGAGGGAGGAGGGCCGGGTGGGCGGGCGAGCGAGCGAGCGCCGGGGGAAGCCGCGCCAGGCAGAGCGCGGCGGACGCGCCGTCGGGGCACCGCGTTGCCACCGCCGTCGCCATGCAGGCGCGCCGTGCCAAGCTGAAGATCCCTTCGCTGACCTTGGTGGAGTGAGTTTGGGGGGGGCTCCTGGGCGCCCCCGCTTGGGAAGAGGGTGGGGAAACGGGGGGAGAGGTTCCAGCGCCGGCAGGCAGCGACCCGGGGGCGCTTGAAGAGGGGCGCACGGCGGAGCGCTCGCTTTGGCACCGAAAGCTGGGCAGGGCTGGGGTTGGGGGTCTTTTTCTCTCTCGCGGCCCCTCTTTCTGCCTTCGGGGGATCCCTCTCCTCCCTCCCCTCTCCCCTCCTTCCATCCCGGGGTCTCCAATGACGCACGGCTTGGTTGCCAGGGAACCGGCTGCGGAGGGAGGGGGCGGCGGTGATTCCCCAAAGAGAGATAACAAAAAAAGCGCTCTCCGTGGCTTCTCCCAAACCAAAGCGCACCTCCGCCTCCGGGAAGGGTCCCGCAGAGCTCATGGAGCCCACCCCGGGGCTGTGGCGCCCTCCGCAAACCTGCCAGGCGGGTCCCCGTCCGTCCCCCCCACCCCCCCGACTCGCGAGAGGGTTGCCCGGGCGGCGCCACTAAGCTACCTGGGTGGAGCTTCGCGGCTCCGCTTTCCCCTGATGCAATTTTATTCCCATTAAAAAACACGCCCGCAGCAGATGGGATCCTCCGCCTGCCACGGGGAAAGAAAAGGCGTTTGGGGTAGGGGTGAGAGCGCCCGGGGCCTGGCAGTCTGGGGTTCGAGTCCACTCCCCCCTGAAAATCACTGAGCCTGACCTACCTCTCAGGGTTGGTGTGCGAGAAGAACCAGCCTCTCCACTTTTGAGCTCCAAAAAGCAGGGTATAAATGTAACCGTGCCTCAGCCCCCAAGCCTGGGATATAAGAGGCCCTCTGGGCATGGGCAGAGGGCTCCCCGCCCCTGTCTGCCCAGATCTTACAGACCAGGGGGGCTTTCCAAAATCTTGTCACCTGCAAGGAGCTTTCTCCCTCCCCCTCTCCACCTAATACCCCATTGCCCCCCAACCAGTGGTAGCTTAGGGCTTCAACGGCACGGTGCCAAGGCAGCGCTACAGTTCCCTGCTTTGGGAATCGTAGCTCTGCGATGGGATATCCCTGGACGTGTAAGGAGCTGTCTTCTCTAGATGGGGGGATTGGCAACGGACTGGGTCCCTGTCATTGACCCCCAACTCATCTCCTGGCGGGGTGGGGTTGCACCTCTGCCCCCTATTCACACCACGGCCTCGTTCTCCTTGGCTCTCTTCCTTCTGCAGCCTCTCCCCCGGGAGCCAGAGTCCGACCCTTCTCAGCCCCCTGAGTCCTCTCAGCCCCCTGGCGCTGCACCCCTGGAGGTAAGAGACCCTAACTATGGGGAGACGTGTCTTATCCGTGCAGTGGGAGGGGGGAAGGAATATTATGTGCTATTATGGGGTGCGCCGCTCATGCCCGTGTCGCGAGGCCGGGTGCCGAGGAAGCACTTTCCCGATTGCTCCGTCGCTCTTGACAAAAAACAAAAAAAGGCAGCGTGGTGTAGTGGTTAGAACCACGGTCCAATCCCCTGCACCCTCTCTCACACCACAAACGCAGGGTTGTTTGTGAGGAGGAAACGGAAAGGGGGCAGGCAAAATGTATAGTCTTCTGCGGCGATTCTTGATTCCTAAAAACAGAGCCTCCATGGACAGGACCAGTCTACCTGCTGGCAAAAAAATAGGCAGTTCCTCCCCTGGCCTTGCTTGCAGCGGCCTTAGCTGCTTAGCCTCTGCAAGGACTGGGAGGGTGGGCTAAGATGTCCCCCCCCCTTGGACCCGATTCAGCAGGCTCTTGCGGTGTTCTCGTAAGCTAGCGCCGCTGGACCTTCTTGCTGTGGCCAGCGGGAGTCAGGGCCGGATTGAGGTTTGATGTGGCCCTCAGCTCCTGAAGGGAACGGGGCCCTTTCTATGTCCAACTGTCCTTTGTCCACAACAAATTGCTGCTGTTTTTTGTGTTGAATAGATGCTATATCAGGCGTAGGCAAACTCGGCCCTCTAGATGTTTTCGGACTACAGTTCCCATCATCCCTGACCACTAGCTAGGGATGATGGGAGTTGTAGTCCCAAAACATCTGGAGGGCCGAGTTTGGGGATGCCTGTGCTATATGGTCATTGATGGACCTAATAGGTATCTCAAGAGGGACACGGGTGGCGCTGTGGGTTAAACCCCAGAGCCTAGGGCTTGCCGATTGGAAGGTCGGCGGTTCGAATCCCCGCAATGACGGGGTGAGCTCCCGTTGCTCGGTCCCTGCTCCTGCCCACCTAGCAGTTCGAAAGCACGTCAAAGTGCAAGTAGATAAATAGGTACCACTCTGGCGGGAAGGTAAACGCCATTTCCATGCGCTGCTCTGGTTCGCCAGAAGCGGCTTAGTCCTGCTGGCCACATGACCCGGAAGCTGTACGCCGGCTCCCTTGGCCAATAAAGCGAGATGAGCACCGCAACCCCAGAGTCGGCCACGACTGGACCTAACGGTCAGGGGTCCCTTTACCTTTTAGGTATCTTAAGCTATTTGCACATGTTGCCCTGCAACCAGTCCATGCAGAACGTTGGCACCCTATATATAGAAAGGAGCAAACCTTTCTTTTTAGGGAGCAGGCGGGGCCCATGACTTACACCAGAGGAGCCTACACAATGCAAAACATGGTTGCTGGATGTAGGTTTTATTTTATTTGTTTATTATCTTATATTTATGTACATACAGGTTTTTCCCCCTTTAATTTTTTGGGGGGCCCCCAAGAGAGCGGGGCCCTAAGCTAGAGCTTGTTGAGCTTATACGTAAATCCGGCGCTGGCGGGAGTTGTAGCTCAGCAGCACCCGGCGGTCCAAAGGTTCCCCAGGCCAAGGGAGGAGCGGTTGCAGTGGGGCAGGCAATCTCCCCGTCCCTCTCCGACTCCTTGGCCAAGGCCGCTACCTCCTCCGATGGCCTCGCAGGGCGGATTAATGAATAACGCGAGCGCCTGGCAATTTCTCCCTGTCTGAGAAAGAGAGAGGGAATATAAGCGCTTGTGTTTTGATGGGCACAGCGAAGAGGGAAGAGGCGCTGTAACAGCTGGCAGCCCTGGGCGGGCAAAAGGAAACGTATTTGCTTGTTTTTATTTGAATATTTGCGTGTCCATGGCTCGGTGGGCTAGGGCAGTTGCTTGGCATGTCGAAGGGCCTCAGGTTCAGTCCTTGCTTGGCCCCCACCTGAAACCTAGACAGCCGCTGCCAGCCAGTGTAGGAAGAATACTCCGCTCCGTGGTCTGGCTCAGCTTCTGTTCAGTTCAGACAAAATATTAAAATACAGCAATGCACCAAACATTAAAAGCTTCCCTAAACAGGGCTGCCTTCAGATGTCTTCTAAAAATCAGATAGTTGTTTATCTCCTTGACATTTGAAGGGAGGGCGTTCCACAGGCGGGTGCCACCACCGAGAAGGCCCTCTGCCTGGTTCCCTGCAACCTCACTTCTCGCAGGGAGGGAACCGCCAGAAGGCCCTCGGGAGATGGACCCCGGTGTCCGGGGTGGAGACTCTCCTTCAGGTCTACTGGGCTTTCACGGTCAGCACCAACCTTTTGAATTGTGCTGGGAAACGTACTGGTAGCTCTGGAGAGCTTCGAGACTTCCTCCTCTGCTCAGCGGGTGGTCTGGATTCGCACCCAGCTCCAGAACTGGCTCTGCCTTTGCAAAATCAAAGCGGCCAGCCGGCCAGAGGCGTCCCCCCCCCCCCCAGAACTCAGTCAATACTGTTCTTTGGTTATGAAACGATTTTAGGAATCAATCCTTTCCCCCGCCTAACCCTCACGGCCGGCCGAATTGCGGGAGTCCTTTTTCCTCTTCCCTGGCCTTCGTTTTTTCCTCTTCTCTGGGCCTCATGAGGGACAGAAGCTTGAGCTTGGGGCAAAGGAAGTGTGAGACAGACACAGACACATCCCCCTAGTTTTTGCATCAACTCGACATTAGGAAGAACTTTCTGCAAGAGCTGTTTGTCTGAAAAATGTTGGCCTCTCCTTCCTCGGAGGTTTTTAAGCAGAGCTTGGATAGCCATCTCTCCTGGATGCTTTAGCTGAGATTCCTGAATTGCAAAGGGGGTTGGGATGGATGACCACTGGGGTTCCCTCCCCAACCTGCCAATGTCTCCAAAGTCCCAACTTCCTGCTGCAAAGAGCACCGGCTCTTTGAACAAACAGCGATGGCGGTTTTGGAAAGAGAGTTTCACATCTGCAACCTTTATGCGCCGCGCGGCAGGGGCAGGGAGGGGGGCTGGCATGCGCCGCAGGACTTCCTGCGCACGAGGGAGGGAGGGATATATATGCGCCTGCATGCGCAGCCCGGCTCTCTGCCATCCCCCCCCCCCGCAGGTCAGCTGGACAACCGTTGCCATGGAGAGGCAGCCTTCAACCGCTGCTGGCTTGGCGGCGGAGTCGGCAGTCGCCTTGGCCCTCCGCCACCCGGCTTGCCTGGCGGCTGCTTCCCCCCACAGTTGTCATGTGTTGCACACAGAGAGAGAGAAGACAGGGAGAGAGAGAAGGCATTGTTGCATGGATGTGTGTCAGAGAGACCTGGGTTCAAACTCACAGGAGTCTTTTCCCCTGCAACTCCAAGGCTTTAAGACTCCTGCCTTCCCTCCTTTCTTTCTTTCTTTCTTTCTTTCTTTCTTTCTTTCTTTCTTTCCTTCCTTCCTTCCTTCCTTCCTTCCTTTCTTTCTTTCCTACTCTTTCTTTCTTTCCTTCCTACTTTCTTTCTTTCTTTCTTTCTTTCTTTCTTTCCTTCCTTCCTTCCTTCCTTCCTTCCTTCCCTTTCTTTCTTTCTTTCTTTCTCTCTCTCCCATGTTTTTCTCATCACAGTAGCACTGGCTCATGGGTTGTGTAGTAACCCGCTTTGCTTTTTAAGGCCACAGCTCTCCCATCGCTGCAAAACTGCACCATGGGCTCTGTAGTGATTTTACTTGGCTTTGGGTTTTCCTATCGCAACGATGCTGGCATCTTGGGTTCTATAGTCTTGGGCCTGCAGAGCGTTCCAAACTTTTCATGTCGCCAACTCGCTTCTTTAGACACGCATCCTTTCACGACACAGTAATTCAGTTTGGCTTTGGCAAACCCAGAGGTTAAACTAACCCCCTTATAAGAGATACGGCTGCAGCGGTACCTATTTATCTACTTGCACTGGTGTGCTTTTGAACTACTAGGTTGACAGGAGCTGGGACCGAGCAAAGGGAGCTCACTCCGTCATCGCGGGGATTCGAACCGCCGACCTTCCAATCTGACTGGGTTTCCCCAGCCACTCTGGGCAGCTTCCAACAAATTAAAACACAGCAAGACATCAAACATTAAAACCTTCCCTCCACAGGGTTGCCTTCAAATGTCTTCTAAAAGCCAGATACAGCGGTAACCTTGGTTTAAAACAGCCCTGTTTACGAACTATTCGGTTTACGAACTCCGCAAGTAGTGTCCCGGTTTGCAAACTTTACCTCGGTCTATGAACGGAATTCGAACGGTGGAAGGGCACCGGCAGCGGGAGGCCTCGTGAGGGAAAGGGCACCTCGGTTTAAGAATGATTTCAGTTTAAGAACAGACTTTCCAAACAGATTAAATTTGTACACCGAGGTTTACCACTGTAGTTGTGTATTTCCTTGACATCTGGTGGGAGGGCGCCACCACCGAGAAGGCCCTCTGCCTGCTTCCCTGTAACCTCACTTCTCTCAGGGAGGGTTCCAGCCACTGGGGTTCAGAGGCACTGCTGCCTGCAAACATAGAGGACAAGGAAGAGCCATCATAGCCGGCAGCCATTGACAGCCAGGCCTTCTCCACGAGTTTGTGAAATCTTTGAAAGCCATGAAGGTTGGCCGAAGCGCGTTGCATGCTTTCACTATGCGCATACACGAAAGAGCCTTTTCTCTGATCTCTGTCCTGATTCTTCCAACCTTGCGCTTCAGGGATGCGCTAGCAGAGAGGGAGGAGGAAACCCTTTTTCTCTCCACGTCGTGCCATCCTTTTCCAAACCTCTCTCACGTCGCCTCTTCCTCGCCGCCTCTCTAAACTGGGAAAAACAACAACCCCAAACGTTGCGCGTTTTCCCGGACTCGCCGCACCCCCGGGATCGTTTCGGCGGCCCATTTCTGAACCGTTTCCAACCGATTCCCCGGCGCACGTGGGAAAGGAATTCGGGGGCGGGCGGGGGTTGGTGTGTGTGTCTCTCTCTGCTGCGCAAATCTCGGGAGGGGGCGCTGCGGAGCGCCCTGGGCTCGGAGGCCGGCGGCCCTCGGAAGGCGGTGACGGCGCCCCGCGGGAGGAGGAGGAGGAGGAGAAGGACCCGTCGGTGGCCGGCGATGTCGGACCCCGGCACTTGGGGGGCCCCGCTGGGCGCCCTCAGCCAGCGCTCCAAGAGGTAACCAAGGCGGAGGCGCGCAGCCGAGGAGCCAACGGAACGCTTCCGGGCGCAATTACGCACCGAGCGGAGCTGCTTTTTGGAGAGGGAGGGAGGGGGAGAAGCGCCTCGCCGGAGGGATGGGGGGGAGGTGTTGCTTGCGGAGAGTTTGTTCTCATCATCCCCGGGGGTGATGTGCATTGCACAAGCAGCCCCCCCACCCGCACGGGTGCTTTTTGGGGGACGTTCCCAGGCGCGCCAAGCTTGCAAAAAGGTTTAACAATCACATACCCAGAGGCGCCTCTCCTCTCTGGCCTGTGTGTGTGTGGCGGGGGCTTTTGTGCAGGAAGCCCCCCCCCCGAAATATCATCTTGTACTCTAATTTCTGGGCTGTGACTTTTTTTTATTAATATATTATCCACCCGAAGGTCTTCATCTCCTTTGTGTTTTCTCTCTCTCGTTGAGAAACAGGTTGGCTGTTTCCCCTCCTTCCTCTCCCGCCTCCCCCCCCCCGTTAATCTGTGTGCGCTTGTACAGATTAGGACATAATCCCCTGGGCCAGATTGCGAGGAGGGGGCGGGGCTGGTTTGGACCTGGAGCATCCGAGGTCACCGATCTCCTTTGGTGCTCCAACTTCCTTTCCCCTTCTCACCCCACCAAAAAAAGGCAATGTGAGGTTTAAGGGGGAAATTCTTTCCCCAAACTCCCAATTTGTGTCCTAAAATGAACCCTGGATCATTGGTGCGGGGGGGGGGGCGATTTTTCTCGGGTGAGATGCAAGGCTGGTTCCTGACTCAAGCTCCAAGGATGTGGAGGGGGGGCAGAATTCCAGGAATGTGGTGGGAAAAGAGACGACTTTCAAGGGTGGCCCCTCTGCTGCTGGAAGCAGGAATGAGGTCCAGTCGCTGCTTTTCGCTGGTTGAACTGGTTGGCCACTCTGAGGACATGGAACCTGACTGGATGGGACCCCCCCCCTTGGGTCCTGATCCAGCAGCCAAGCTCTTCTCGGTTGCTTAGGATTCCTCAGTGGCGCCTCTCTGAGCAAGGGCAGTCTATCCTAGGACGGTGGAGACGCGAGGCTTTTTTTTGCTCTCTTGGTGGTTTCCCTTTGGGTGGCCAAGGTGAGGACAGGATTTTGGGCCAGGCAAGCGCGCCTTTGGGCCTGATCCTGCTGCCACAGGGGGCTCCTCCTAGGTTCTGACCCGCAGCTTAAAAAAGGTATTGGATCAGTTCAGTGGTTTTCAGTGGCCGCATTGACTGCATTCTCATATACAGTGTTACTTCAGGTTACATACGCTTCAGGTTGCAGACTCCGCTAACCCAGAAATAGTGCTTCAAGTTAAGAGCTTTGCTTCAGGATGAGAACAGAAATCGGGCTCCAGCGGCGCGGCAGCAGCAGGAGGCCCCATTAGCTAAAGTGGTGCTTCAGGTTAAGAACAGTTTCAGGTTAAGAATGGACCTCTGGAACAAATTAAGTACTTAACCTGAAGTACCACTGTGTGTATGTGTGTGTGTGTGTGTGTGTGTATGTATATATATATATATACATATATATATACATATATATATATGTATGTATATATGCAGTATATGTTTTTATTTGATTTTAAAACGTATAAGCATATAACAAAATCAATTAAAAACCCATAAAATGCTCAGAATCTCAAGACTTCCCCCCCACAACTCTTAATAACAATGTTTAAAACTACATATGTCAGTTCATATCCAGATTTTTCCATCGGTCTGAATTGTCCATAGCTTTTGTTACTTTGCAAGGGTGGTTAAAACCCTGCTAATGTTTTCACCGGGCCACAATGGTCTTGTAAATAAATGTGTTCTCCATTCACTGTCAAGGCAGTAGATGCAGAACTGCACTTGGCTCTGACTTTTGGGCGTTTGATCGGTCACAGTGAGGCAAGGGCACGAACAGGAATATTTGGGGGGGGGCAGGTAAGACCCGACCCACATAACTGACCGCAAGATGTGGCGCACGATCGCCATGCAAATGGCAATGCCCATCAACTTTGGGTATCAGTGTGGCCCCCTCAAATAATTTATCAGAGGAGAGGCGAAGGGACTTCGGCCCCTAGGAGCTAGTCTGCTGTGCTGTGAGGACAGGTCTGGATGAGACCCTTTTGGCCGGATCCAGCTGCTGCAGGGCTTTCCTTTTGCGACAGAAAAAGGAGGCAAATATAGATTGTATCCGAGAGAGCGCTGTAAACACCTGAACTCCCTGGCCAGGCTTTGAATAACTCTTGCGATGTTGCAAAGACTTCGGATATATTGGAGAAGACTATTCAAATGAGCTATAATATGCAGTTGATTAAGATATTTAAAGGACCCACAGAGGGGAGGAGGGAAATCTGAAGATTCGGAAGAATCCTTGTTCTGTTATGAAATGTAATTGTGTTAAATGTGTGCGGTTTGTTTTGTAAAACCAGTAAAAACCGTTTCGAAAAGAAGAGGAAAAAGGAGGCTATTCGCACCGTGCGCAGCTCCACTATGGGGCGAGATTTAGCGATGGGCATCAACTTGGATGACTCTAAAAAGGAGATTATACAAATCCAGGGAGGATCTGTGGCTTCTGGCCAATGGCTGTGTTGTTGCTGGAAATGCCTCTGAACGATGATGCGCTAAGGTCCGGGTTTCGGGCTTCCGTTTTGGGGCATCTTAGCGGACACTGTGAGGACAGGAGTGGGGGCCGGATGCCCTGATCCAGCTACTGCGGGACTCTCCTTACCTTCGCTTTGGGGGGGAGGGAAAATAAAGGGGGCACACTTGCCCCATGGAGCTACCATCCCTTTTGGACGTAGATCAGTGTTCGAATTTCGCCAGGCGCATTTTGCACCTGGCCGTCCGCCCCTTGCAACCGAGTAAAGATTCCCAGGTGGCTTGACGTCTCTGCCATTTTGGGGGTCCTTGGATCTGGACCGTTTTCGCACACTAATACCTCCCCGTCCTGTAGAATTCCATCCCTTCTATTTTATCCGCGTGGTCGGAATGGATTTCAGGAACCGTATTGAAAAATAGCGACCCACAAATCCGGCCCACAAATGGCAAGGAGGCGTTCCACTTTGCCAACCGGAACCCTGGTTTAAGGAGCCATTTATCTGAGTCTCTAATGCTTTTAAGATACTCCCACCTTCATCAAGGTGAAATAATAATAATAGTAGTAATAAGTTTATTATTTACACTCCGCCCATCTGGCTGGGTATCCCCAGCCACTCTGGGCGGTTCCCAACAGAATATTAAAAACACGGTATAACATCAGTCATTAAAAAGCTTCCCTAAAGAGGGCTGCCTTCAGATGTCTCCTAAAAGTCATATAGTTCTTTATCTCCTTGACATCTGAAGGGAGGGCGTTCCACAGGGCGGGTGCCACCACTGAGAAGGCCCTCTGCCTGGTTCCCTGCAACCACACTTCTCGCAGGGAGGGAATCGCCAGAAGACCCTCGGGAGAGGGACCCCGGTGTCCGGGGTGGAGACGCTCCTTCAGGTCTACTGGGCCGTTTAGGGCTTTCAAGGTCAGCACCAACCCTTTGAACTGTTCTCTTCCCATCTCTGCCATATAGAAAACTCGCTGCGTCCTAAAAATTTGCTGCTGTCCCCCTTGGGGCTTTGGGGCTGCTGCTTCCACCTCTGAGTTCATCCTCCGGCCCAAACATCTCCCCTCCAAAGTAAGCCCAATGGCGTTCTGTTGGGACTTACACCTGGGTCAAAGGTTCTAGGATCCGGGTCGTAATATTTTAAAATAAGTTAAACCAAAGGCTTTTGGGGCTGAGCCGCTGAAGCCTTGTCTGGCTCTGTTTTGCAGCGACTGGGAACTTCCTTTTTGGTTTTGAATCGGCGGCGGATCCTTTCGCAAGCGAAGTGTCTCCGCGCCACAAGCGGAAGAGGTGGCTGTGCCTCTCTCTTTGCAGCCGGGCCTCTGCCCCTTAATTCCTTTTCTTTTACACTCCCCTCTGTGAGAAATTTAAACTGCCAAACTCCCCTCCCCTCCTCTTTTTTTGGCTAAGTCTCCATACACAGCATACTTTTAAAGCACTAGTCTTCCCCCAAAAAGAAAGCCCTGGGAACTTTAGTTTCAGGGTGCTGGGAATTGTAGCGGCGCGAGGGATAAACTGCAATTCCCGGTATTCTTTTTCTTTAAAGGCACAGCTCAACGTTGGCTTTGAGATGTGAGGTTGGTTTTCGTTCTATACGGAAGTCTTTGTTTTGGAAATCACCATTCTCCTTTTGAACAAGCGGAGCCTGTTTTTTTACTCCTCTGTTGTGAAATTGAGGCGGTCCGTAAATGGAACTGAAAGGGAATAAATTGGCGATCGATTAATCGGCAAATCCCGCGGTTGGGAGCGAGGAGGGGGCTGCTCTCGGGGGCTGCTAGCTCTCCAAGCTCGGAGGCAGTGATGCTTTTTTGAACTGGGAAAGAGCCGAGTTCGAATCCCCACACGGCCCTCGGAAACCAGCCGCTGCCTCTTCTCAGCCTAGCCTACCTGGCAGGGCCGTTGTGCGGATTAAGAACGAGGAGGCGCAGAACCAACACCCTTAATTTCCTCGGCCGATGAACGCGATTGAGGAGCAGGGCGTGGTGTGGGAGGCAGCAAAACCGCACTTTGGAAACATGGGCTCGGTACGTTGGCAACCCTCGGGAGCAGAAGCGCCGGGGCCGGCCTATGCATTTGGCAGCGGCTGCTGCTGCTTTTGCCCCCGAAGCAACTGGGATCCGCTTGTGTGTGTGAGAGGCCAAGATCCGCAGAGGAAGAGCCTCCGTTTCCTGTTTGCGCGGCTGACGAGAAAAGGCCCTGGCAGCTGCTGTGCTCTGTGCAACGGAGCCGATTTGATCTTCCCTCTTTTCGCCTTCCTCCAAATGTCGGGAAGGGGCTGCGTGGCTCAGTGGTTAGAGCGCATGATTCTCTTTATAATAAGAATACATTTTTATTTGTATCCCGCCCTCCCCGCCCAAAGCCGGGCTCAGAGCGGCTAACAATAGGTAAAAATAGCACAGCATACACAAAATCACACTGTCTAGTAATTAAAACACATTCTAGAATCAATTCAGAATCAATTCAGAATCAAATTAATGGCAAACATCGGGTTAGAGTTTATATAAATTAAAATAACCTTTATTGTACATCAATTAACTTCAGTTTACATATAACATTTAGCATACGATACACACTACACACACTTCAACAAACTGGAAACCCAGCCAGATGGGCTGGGTATAAATAATAAATTATTATTATTATTATTATTATTATTATTCAACATAGTTACACCACAAACACCAACTTCCAGTTCTCCTCATTGTGTCGTTTTACATTTTGCTGATCTGTACACAATTCATTGTCGTCGTCTTCCTTTCCCGTTTATTACGAAGAAGATTTTATTGTATACTTCCTCTGTCTTTCAAGATTCATTCTAGGTCTGCCAGGGGATGGATACTATTGCAGTCGTTTTTAATATATTCCTTAAATACTGCCCATTCTTTATTGACTGAACGTCGCTCATCTTCTCCCTGTCATCCCTGTGAGTTGTAAATATTCTGTCATTTTCGCCTGCCATTCCGTTTTGGTGGGGATGTTATCGCCTTTCCAATTCTTTGCTGTTAAAATTAAAAGGGGAAGGGGAGCAAACGCTTTGGGTGCAAAATGGGGCTTGGGTGCCAATTCTGCCCAGGGCCGGAACCCGCAGGGAGCCTCTGCGTCCCGTCGGTTTCCTGTGCGCCCGACTTCCCCCTTCCCTTCTCCCCACCGGCAGTTACATAACCGGACAACGGCCGGCTCTGCTTGCCCTGGGGTGCCCTCAGCACCCTGTGATGTAACCGGGCATCGGGCCAGAGACGGGCATCTTGCAGAAAGTTAGGGTGTTGGGGTTCTAGTCCGTTTGTTCTGTTCTAGTCTAGCTGTGGGTTAAACCACAGAGCCTAGGACTTGCCGATTGGAAGGTCGGCGGTTCGAATCCCCGCGATGACGGGGTGAGCTCCCGTTGCTCGGTCCCTGCTCCTGCCAACCTAGCAGTTCGAAAGCACCTCAAAGTGCAAGTAGATAAATAGGTACCACTCCGGCGGGAAGGTAAACGGCGTTTCCGTGCGCTGCTCTGGTTCGCCAGAAGCGGCTTAGTCCTGCTGGCCACATGACCCGGAAGCTGTACGCCGGCTCCCTTGGCCAGTAAAGCGAGATGAGTGCTACAACCCCAGAGTTGGCCATGACTGGACCTAATGGTCAGGGGTCCCTTTACCTTTAGTCTAGCTGTGGTCTAAACCACAGAGCCTAGGACTTGCTGATCAGAAGGTTGGCGGTTCGAATCCCCGCAATGACGGGGTGAGCTCCCGTTGCTCGGTCCCTGCTCCTGCCAACCTAGCAGTTCGAAAGCATGTCAAAAGTGCAAGTAGATAAATAGGTACCACTCCGGCGGGAAGGTAAACGGCGCTTCCATGCGCTGCTCTGGTTCGCCAGATGCGGCTTAGTGACCCGGACAAACTGTCCGCAGACAAACGCCGGCTCCCTCGGCCAATAAAGCGAGATGAGCGCTGCAACCCCAGAGTCATCCACGACTGGACCTAATGGTCAGGGGTCCTTTACCTTTTTAGTCCATTTGACTTCTGAAATGTCTGGAAACCAAGGCGCAGCTTCTGATTGGCGCAGGCGCCCCGGAAACGATAGCCGACAGCTGCGTCAGGCTTCCAGAAAAACGTTTGAAAACCGGAGCACTCACTTCCAAGTTTTCGGCGTTTGAGAACCAAGGCGTTGGGGAGCTAAGGCATTTGGGAACCAATGTACCACTGTATATTAAAAAAACCCCACAGAATTATTTACAGGCAATGTAATTCTCAGCAGGGAGACCTTGATTCCAATCTCAATCGTAGCTCCAGGCGCCACTGTTGGACTGTTGAAAGCTGCCGTCACCAATTGCTTTTCAACATTAGGTGTTAATTTTGATTTTTATATTTTCAGGCAGGGTCTTTAGTCAGGGGAGTGTATTTTTCCACGAGTTTGCAGACATTATCACTGCCAGTTGTTTTGATTATTTTCATTATCTCGGACACAGATGTTCTCGGGTGTGAAAGACCCCGGGACTTACAGGCATAGGGCGGTTCGCACATTTAATTAATTGCCATTTGCTTTAATTATTTTATGTGGCTTGGACACAGATGTGTTTGGATCCCTTGACAGCTCCTAATAAAACACCCTTTTGAATAATTATTAAAATGTATCTTGTGATTTTATATTGGAACTTTGCTGAGAACCACCCTGCGACTTACGGGCAGTGGAATAGGGGTTTGAAATTTACAAATTCTGGCCGAAAGCTAGGAACCTGGGTAGACTGCCTGTGCAGCTGGAGGTTCCATTATTATTATTATTATTATTATTATTATTATTATATATGTGAAGGGTGCTGACAGCTGCCTCTCTGGGGGTGGGGTCTCCCCCCTGAAATAACCCTTGCCATTAACCCTCGCGTGTCTGTCTTTGCTTCCAGCTGCCGACGGAGCAACCGGAAAAGTTTGGTGGTGGGGACCCCATCGCCCACCCTTTCCCGCCCCCTCTCCCCGCTTTCGGTGACGACAGGTAAGCTGGGTGCAGAAAGCGGGGGCACCCGAGGGCTCCTCCTTGTCCCCCCCAAAAAATTCTGTTTATTTATCCTATCCATCAGCAACATTATCCCTGTCGCAGGAGCGCCAAGTTTCATTGCGTTATGCTTCTCACAGCATTTTTAAAAAATTAACCTTTCTTGATTGAAAATCAACACACAGCAAAAGTTTTAAACAAGAAAAAACAGAACAAAAGAAGCACAATGCATCTCTTCCAAAGAAAACTGGAGAGAGAGAAAAGGATGTCTCTGTTTTCGCCGGAGAAATGTTTAAGGGTGTGGAATAGGACGTCCCTGTTTTGTGTATAAATCCGAAAAGTATAAATTTAAAAATGGCAGAAAAATAGATTCCTGAGAGCAGGCCTCTGTATAAAACACCCAGGAGCCTCTATCACCTTATGAGGAGTTTTAGAGCTGGAAGGGCACCCCTGTGGTCATCTATCCCAACCCCGAGCAAGCGCAGCTAAGGACGGTTTGTTTTTTCCCCCCTCTCTGCAGCCAGCAGCAGCAGCCCCCTCGACAGCCCCCGAAACTTCTCCTCCGGCACGTCGGCCAGCTTCCCCTTTGCCCGCAGGTAGGAGTCCCGCCCGCCAGGGGTGGCGTTGGCCGAAGCGAGTCTGCAGGGCGGCAGGCTGCAGAACAACTGGGTTTGGGGAGGGAGAAACGCGGCTGGTGAAACTGGAGGGGGGGGGCCTTTCCCCAGTCCCATCCGGAGCCTGAGCCTGGGGGTCTTTCGGCTGCTCTAACCACTGAACCATCCTTCCCCAAACAGCAGCTTTGCTCTCTCTCTTCCCCTTTCCCCTTTCTGCCACTCTTTTCACGGGTTGGGAGATTCCAAACTTGGGGAGATTCCAAACTTTCCGGGCATTGCCTTCATCGGTTCTTTCGCCGGGTTGGGATGGATGGCCTTTGGGGGTCCCTCGCGACTCGGCAAATCCCTTCTGCTAAATGCAAAGGCGTATCCCGAATTTGGGAAGGGAGGGTCTTGGAAGAAAGGTACCTTGCTTCCGTTTTGAAGTCTCACCTTTTGCCTCTTGGCCGCGCCTCTCTCTCTCTCTCTCTCTCTCTCTCTCTGTCTTCCTCTCCCCAAATTTCTCTTTTTCCGGATGACGTGCCACCAATTCCTGGCCCAGCCATGCTCCTCGGACCGACAGGTGATTGGCGTTTCCAAAACCACTTTATTCGTCGCCAGCCACTCCGGAAATGAACTTTATAGATCCCGCTCCTCCGAGGTGGAAGGAGTTCCTATCATTTAATCATGGAGGAGCGGCGGCTGGAGTTATTGGAGAGGATACTCTGGATTAGAGAAAAACTGAAAACGAGGGAACCCCTCTTGCGCTTTTTGCGTAGAAGGGAAAACGAAGTGATCTATTTCGGGATTTTCTAACCAAGTAGATCAGTTAGGATCAGGTCGGAGTGGCTGGGGAAACCCAATCCGATGGGTGGGGTGCAAATAATAAAATTATCATTATTATTGAGTGAATGTTTGGAATCCTTTCTTTTATGTAACAGAAAGGCAGAAAAGTCCTTTATTTTTCTCTGTTTGCTTCTTCTGCTTTTTTCGTTTTCCAGTTTTGTTTTCCCCCCTCTTTGCTTTTATTCGGATCGGTTTCTCTTCTCGTTGCATGAAAAAGCTTTACTGAAACCACTCGCTCGACTGCCCTCCTTTTTCCCTTTCCAGGGCTGACGGCCGAAGGTGGTCTCTGGCCTCCTTGCCCTCCTCCGGCTATGGCACCAACACCCCCAGCTCCACCGTCTCAGTAAGTGGGTCTTTTCTTCCTGCAGCGGGGAGTTCCGCAGGTGTCAGCCCACAGCGCTGCCGGGATCTCTTTGCTTTTTGGGTGGGGTTAGACACGCAGCCGAGACCTAAAATGGCGGAATTGGAAGGCACCCCTGTTTATTTATTTGTTTTTCTCATTTCTATACCGCTTTATATTTTTAAGAAAAAACCTCAAAGCGGTTTACAGCGTATTAAATCAATAAAACACCCCTGAGGACAGAATAGGAAATAAAAGAAATGTCAAAAAGTGGGAGTCTTTTCTCGCTACTGCCAGGAATGTTATTTCACTTTGGGGGCCGCATTTAGCACTTTAGCAAAGCTCTTGAGGGCCGGAGGCAAAAAACCTCAAAAAACGGGCGTGCAAATATTGGCAGGCTCGTTTCACAGCCAGCCTGCTGTCTCCCTCCTCCATCCAGGCGAGCAATGGGGCATGAGCAGAGTGCGAGGAGGGTGTGGATCGGGGCCAGTGAGGGGGAGTGGCCTGGGCAGAGGGGGCGTGGCCTAGGGAAGGGGCGTGGCCTGGTTAGAGGATCCGTTGGCCAGGTAGAAAGAGAGGGTCCTGTTTGGGGGGCCACACCGGGTGGCCCCTGCGAGGGCCCGATCCGCCCGCTACAGGGCTCTCCCTACGTCCTGCATAGAATTGTAGGCTTGGACGGGGACCCCCAGCGGCCATCCATTCTGACCCCCTGCAATGCAGGAATCTCAGCTAATGCATCCACCATGGCCAGCCACCCAACCTCTGCTTGGAAACCTCTGTCCGCCAGAAAGCTTTCCCTGCCGTTGAGCCATAGTCTCCTCTCCTGCCACTCAAAGCCACGAGTTCGAGTCCTGACCCTCCTCCGTAGAGCAGGAGGAAAGATGACTCCCCTATCGCATCCTGTAGAAAAAAGACAGCCGCGGAACCGAGAAATTACACAAATCAAATGAAATACCGTGAAAATCCCTGAAACGAGAAGTAATTGACTAGAAAGATTATCTTATAGAAATAACTAAATAACAAAAACAATAAAAAGGTTTAAGGGGAAAAATTAGAAAAGTCTAGAATTCTACAAAGCCTTAACGGGATGCCGGCTACAAACCTCGTTTCACTATTCAGTTTCCTCAGAAGGAAATAGAAAAATCGTAACTCAAAGGTACAGTTTCTGATACTAAGTTTACGAAAAAGGTTTGAAAACCTAAATGGCAAGTTTTAGACACAGCCCAACTTGAAGAAAGCCAAACGCAGGAATAAAGAATTGAGAAAACTCTAATACTATTGCCTTTACAAAAAGGTTTTAAAAACCTAAATGGCACAAATTCAAAGGAAGGAATAGAAAACAGATTTTAAACGAACTCAAGAACAGGTCTGAAACTCTCATGGTGTAGATGTTACTGCTGATGATCTTATTTCGATAAGATCGTATTTCTAGTCCATTACTTCTCGTTTCAGGGATTTTCACTGTATTTCGTTTGTTTTGTGTAACTCCTATCGCATCCCGGCTTCTGTTTTTTCCTCTGCCCTCCCCGTTCTCAGTCTTTCCGCTCGCTCCTCCGTCCCGAGGACGGCGATTCAGATTTTCCGTGTGGGTGATGGGTGGCTGAGCACCCAAAGGTGCCCCTGATCTCATCGCCCGCCTCCTCCTCCTCCTCCTGACGCCTGGCCTTCTCTTTATCTCTCTCTCTCTCTAGTCCTCCTCCTCCTCCTCTCAGGAGCGCCTCCACCAACTCCCTTACCAGCCCACGCCCGACGAACTCCATTTCCTCTCCAAACATTTCCGCAGCACCGAGAGCGTGGCGGCCGAAGACGGGCGACGCTCGCCCTACTTCCGGCCCCGATCCCGGAGCCTCAGGTAGGAGACGCTTCCGAACCGCCGGCTCCGATTTTTAGGGGGCGGCTGGAATGGAGTGAGCGGTGTAAGGTTTGCAGCGTTGGCTGTTCAGAAGAGGCTTCCTCGACCTTCGGCCCTTTTGGCCTACAACTCCCATGATCCCTAGCTAGCAGGACCAGCGGTCAGAGAGGATGGGAATTGTAGTCTCAAAACATCTGGAGGGCCGAGGTTGAGAATATAAGAGATTAAGGACATGCGTTAATTAAGTGTAAAATAATGGAACCAGGGAGGGGAGGGGAGGGAAGTCAATCAAGACTTATGCTTTAAATTTTTGAATGTGATTATTGGATTTGGGGGGAAGTTATTATAAAATCAATAAATTGTGTGTGTGTGTAGAGGAATGGAGTGAGCGGCGAAGGGCTAAAGGGGAGGAGACGCAAGTTCAGAGGCCATGCAAGAGTCTGCGCCCTTTGTAACTTTATCATCTTTTATTACTATCATGATCATCATCATTGCTGTTCTCTTCCTGAAATTATCCCAGATCTGTAGCTAAAAACGAGCGGCGGCTGCTTTTCCTCCTCCAACCGCGTCCCTTTTCCTTTCGTGCCCTGTCTTCTTCCTTCCTTTGTTCCCGTCTACCAGCTGCTTCTCACGAAGCCGTTCCGTAGCGAAAGCGCCAGCGGTGAAAACGATGGGAATCAATTTGATCTGCATGTTTTCTTATTAGGGATATATATATATATATATATATATATGTTTTAAAATACAAAATTATAAAACATACCACACAATTTATCACAAATACATTCTCATTGGACTTCCATCAGCACCTCTGATAATCCTCCGTCTTATTCACTTCTTACGCATTTCCTAACTTAATGTTGCCTTTATGTTTTTAACATATCCCGTCTCCTTCTTCATTTTTCCAATATTTCTAATGTTATTCCTCACAGAGCTTCTTGCATACCTACAAACGTCGTCTGGTCATCGCAAATACTTTTCAAATAATCCGTGTTTTCTTATTAGTTTTGTGTCATTAATGATTTTATTACGATGGTTTTATTCACGATGTCCCGTTCTACGCGAGGGGGCGGGAAACCCGACTGCGATAAATTGTATTGAATTCATTTGGAAAAAGGAATAAAAAAGAATTTTGCGAAAGAGAAGGCTGGAGGGTTTGCGGCCGAGATTTCTGGTGCGGTTGGGGGTTTTGTTTGTCAATTTTTCACCCCCCTTTCTCCCCCCGTCCTCCGCAGCCCCGGCCGGACGAGCGGGACGTTCGACAACGAGATTGTGATGATGAACCACGTCTACAAGGAGAGGTTTCCGAAGGTCAGTAAAAGCGCCGTCCCGTAATCCGGCGCCATTCGAACTCGGGTCTCGGCCGGGAAAAGTGGGGTAGGCCTCTCTTTCTGGCCCCCTCTGTTTCGGAGGGTGTCCCACCCACCTTGTCCTGTCCCCCCGCCCCACCCCAGGCCACGGCGCAGATGGAGGAGCGTCTGGCGGAGATGATTGCCAACTTATCGCCCAGCAACACTTTGCCGCTGGCCGACGGCGTCTTGGGCTTCATCCACCACCAGATCATCGAGTTGGCGCGCGACTGCCTCTCCAAGTCGCGGGGGGCCCTCGTCACCTCCCGCTACTTTGCCGAGCTGCAGGAGAAGCTGGAGAAGATGCTCCGAGACGTGAGTGGGACCCTCAGCGGTCATCCATCCCAACCCGCTGGAAGGGCAGGAATTGCTGGCGGAGGGAACCCCCTCCCCAAACCTCTCTAATAATAATAATAAAAATAAAAATTATTTATATCCCGCCCTCCCCAGCCGAAGCCGGCCTCAGGGCGGCTAACAACAATAAAATAGTACAGAATTCTAAGATCATTCATTACAAAGTTAATTCAAAATTCTAAGGCTTATTTCCCCTAATTTGATTTTTGAATTTTATTGTTATTCATGTTTTTATACTGCTTTTATAATTAAGTGTTTTAAATTTGTCATCAGCCACCCTGAGCCTGGTTTTTGAACCGGGAAGGGCGGGGTATAAATACAAATTTATTATTATTATTATTATTATTGTTATTATTATTATTAAAACAAACCTAGAAGAGTTGGAAGGGACTTCCGATATCTTGGGTTTCTACGCTGCAAGCCGCCCCGAAATCTACTGACAGAGGGCGGTCTGCAAATTTATTATTATTAATATTATTATTATTATTATTATTATTAATAACATTCCAGTCCTTGGAAGGGAAAGTTTGGGTAGAAACAGCATAAATGAATGAAACGAATAACTCGCCAGGTAGCAGGACAAAGCGAGAGTTTGGCGAGGTTTATTGGGAAAACGACTCGGGAAAATTAAAAGCAGCGAGAGGCCAAAATAGACGCAACCGTTTTGTATTTATTTTTTGTAAACGTGATTTTAAAAATGGCGGCTGCTGAGGCCCTGTTCTCCCTCTGGTCCTCCTCCTCCAGGCCCAGGAGCGCTCCGAGAGCGAAGAGCTGCGCTTTGTGGAACAGCTGGTCCGGAAATTCCTGATCATCATCTCCCGTCCGGCTCGGCTGCTGGAGTGCCTGGTAAGGAGAGTCGCTCGAACCCGCAGCCGGCCGGCTGTTAATCGAAGGGGGCGCGCTTTTTTTTCCTCCTCCCTCCTCCTCGCTTCTCCCTTGCGTGTGGCGCGCATTTTGCACAGATGGGGGCGGTCAAAGGGGAAAACGCGTCGGATTTTGTCTTGTATTATCTTGTGCACTGTGGTTTGCTGTTGTTTTATGGATTGGAGTTTAGAAATTACTTATTGTAACTGTTGAGCGGATTTCTGTTTAATTCTGAAATGCTGATATTTAATATTATTCTATGTTGTTTTAAAAGAGAGGTAGAGCTGGGTGTCATCCGCATACTGATGGACCCCCAGCCCAAACCCCCTGATGATCTTTCTCTCCCTTCCTCCTTCCCTTCTTCCCTCTCCTCCTTTTGTGGCAGGAATTTGACCCGGAAGAGTTCTACCACCTCTTGGAAGCCGCCGAAGGACACGCCAAAGTCGGCCAGGGGATCAAGACCGATATTCCAAGATATATCATCAGCCAGCTGGGCTTGGCCAAAGACCCTCTGGAGGGTGAGGATTTGGGGCGGACGGGGACCCCGATTTTCAGGTGGAAGGCGTGGGGTGAGGTGGGAACTATCCAGGGCCGGATTTCGGTTTGATGCGGCCCTCAGCTCCTGAAGGGAACGGGGCCCTTTCTATGTCCAGCTGTCCTTTGTCCACAACAAATTGCCGCTGTTTTTTGTGTTGAATATATGCTATATCAGGCATGGCCGAACTCGGCCCTCCAGATGTTTTGGGACTACATCTCCTATCATCCCTGACCACTAGCTAGGGATGATGGGAGTTGTAGTCCCAAAACATCTGGAGGGCCGAGTTTGGCCCTGCCTGCTATATGGTCATTGATGGACCAAATAGATATCTCAAGCCATTGGCACATGGCAAAAGATGTGCTGTATTTTCCGCACTTGACCATAAGACTCACCAAGTTTTTAGAGGAGGGAAACAAGAAAAAAAATCTATTCTGAACGAGACAGTGGATGTAGGATTTTTGTGGTTCATGCTGTGGCCACAGATGTGTGAGTTTGGGGTGGGACGCGGGTGGCGCTGTGGGTTAAACCACAGAGCCTAGGACTTGCCGATCAGAAGGTTGGCGGTTCGAATCCCCCCGACGGGGTGAGCTCCCGTTGCTCGGTCCCAGCTCCTGCCCACCTAGCAGTTCGAAAGCACGTCAAAGTGCAAGTAGATAAATAGGTACCGCTCCGGCGGGAAGGTAAATGGTGTTTCCGTGCGCTGCTCTGGTTCGCCAGAAGCGGCTTAGTCCTGCTGGCCACATGACCCGGAAGCTGCACGCCGGCTCCCTCGGCCAATAAAGCGAGATGAGTGCCGCAACCCCAGAGTCGGTCACAACTGGACCTAATGGTCAGGGGTCCCGTTACCTTTACCTTTAATGCAAAAATCCTGAGGATCCAAGTGGATCTGTGCCTTGTAACTACGTTTTTGCACCATTGCGGCCCCAGGCAACAGTGGGTGCGTGGTTATTTTGGTGCAGGTGTAGCCATGGACATGCTGTGGGATCTGATGGTGAATTTGGGGTGACCCAGTGCAAAACTCCTGAGGATCCAGGGGCTTTTACCTCCTTCTGCCAGGCAGCCTCCTTTATCTCTAGCGTCCCTTATCTCCCTCCCGATCGCTTACCGATCAGCTGCTTCCTTTCCCTCTTGTTTGCCTTAGTGTCTTCTCCTTAGCTGGAGCAGTTTTTCGCTCCTCTTTTTCTTCTCATTTCTCTCCTCCTTCGTAAGGGGCGCCTGGGGTCATCCAGTCCAACTCCCTGGCAAGGCCCAAGGCGGAACTCGAACCCGCCACCCTGCGATCGAGGATCCCGTGCCCTGCCCGAGAAACTGTCCGCTTCGCAGCTTCCCTGGAATTTATTTGAGGGCGGGGACAGAGGGTTGATTCCTGTTTCTTTCTCTCTTCCCCTCCAGAAATTGTTCAGCTGGATCAGGTAGACTGCGGCTCCCTGGCGGGATCAGAGCACCCGGGCGACTTCTCTGAGGTGAGACCAGCCCTCTCCCCCCACTGATATCGTAGAACCGTAGGATTCTACAATATCGGGAGGGACCCCGAGGGTCATCCATTCCAACCCCCCCGCGATCTTTTGCCCAAGGTAGAACTCGAACCCAAGACCTTGAGACGAAGAGCCTGTCTCAAGCGGGTTTGGAGGTGGGTGGGCAGTCTTGACCCGGTTCCAGGCTTGGGTGTAGCAAATAAGAGCTATATTAATGTTATTTTGTGAACTGAGACTTGTGGGTTTAGGGCTGAAAGAATAAAATAAATAGAATAAAAAGAATAAAATAAATATATTTTTATTGTACACACAAGAATATTTGTTTAAAAGAAAAAGGGCTGTGTATTTGTCGGAAAACTCAGACAATGGCGATGCGTCACTACAATGGGGGCTGCGTGACGACAGCCTTACGTTTCCCTTTATATAGGAGAGATATATGTATCTCCCTACTATATACATGGAAAGGTAAGGCTGTCGTCACACAGCCCCCACTGTATACATGCACACACACATATTTTTAAATGTATAAAGGCCGTCAAATGAATCCTAATGCCTTGCCTTCCTCTTCTCCTTCCTCTCAGAGCCGCCCTCCTTCCGCCGTTCCTCGCAGGAACCCGTGCGAGAGCGATTTCGAAACCGTCAAGCTGATCAGCAATGGAGCCTACGGGTGAGGGGTTTATTTATTTCCCTTTAATGTTTTCCGTTTCGCAACCGGGTGTCTCTAATGGGATATTGCTGGAGACATTTTTCTGGGTCATCTGGGTAGGGGAGCGGCAGCGAGAGCCGTGGTCCGGGTTCGAATCTCGGCTCTGGCCACTCGCTCTGCCTTGCAGGCTTGTCGTGGAACGGCTCAAATTCCCCACTCGCCTTCGGATCTAGTCCCTTTTTCTCCCCGCCTGGCCTACTTCGCAGGGTTGTTTTTGCTGAAGGCCAAACGCTTCCCGCCCCTGTTTTGTCTCTCCTAAACAACCCCCCTGTCCAGTTTAAATACCTTATTGAAATTCAGAAATAACATACACAATAGACCATCGTGAAAACCGTCGTGTACTAATAATCTTATATAAATTAAATTAAAATTAAATTTATACAATTTGTTTTTTGCTCGCCTGATGTGAATCTTTTTCCTTTTGTCCACTTACTGTATTTATTTCCCCGGATTTGATCGATAAAACGGTGGTTTCCGTGAGTCAAAATGAGAGCACCCCTAAATGTTTTTCCTTTTTTAAGAAAAAAAGCACCGTTTCAGTGAATCCACCCCATTAAACGCACCTTCCCTCGATTTCGCTGGCCGTTCATCCTCCTTCTATCTCTCTCTCTCTGCCTCTGCTCCGCCCACTAGGGCTGTCTACCTCGTGCGCCACAAGGAGACCCGCCAGCGCTTTGCCATCAAGAAGATCAACAAGCAAAACCTGGTTCTCCGAAACCAGATCCAGCAGGTCTTCGTGGAGCGAGATATCTTGACTTTCGCCGAAAACCCCTTTGTGGTCAGCATGTTCTGCTCCTTCGAGACCCGGCGCCACCTCTGTATGGTCATGGAGTACGTCGAAGGTGAGGGAGTCATAGCGCCAGGCGCCAGCCCAGAAAAGGCGGCGTAGTATGTCCGGCACCCGCTTGGCCGCCAGAATAATAATAATAATAATAATAATAATAATAATAATAATAATATCTTTATTGTCATTGCCCCCTTCGGGGACAACGAAATTACTTGACTGCTCCATAAAAACACTAATTAATCAATACAGTATAATACAGCAAGGGAGATTAGATGACTTTCAAAGTCCGGGCTTCCCATTCAGGGCCGAGATCGCTCTGGAGAAGAAGCTGTTCTTAAGACGGCTCGTTCTTGTCTTCATCGTCCTGGATCTCCGTCCCGACGGCAAGAGCTCGAAGAGACAGTGACCAGGATGCGATGGATCTTTTACTATGTCCAGTGCCATCCTATGGCACCTTGTGGCATAAATCTGCTCTAAGGTGGAGAGTGGGCAGCCAACAATGCTCTCTGCTGCCTTCACAACCCTGCACAACCCCATCCTGTCCTGGGTAGTACAGCTTCCGTACCACACACATAAGCCATAAGTGAGCACGCTCTCAATGGCACAGTGATAGAAGGCAAGCAGCAGTTTCTGCGGAAGACGGTTTTTCCTTAGTATTCTCAAAAAGTACAGTCTCTGCTGCGCCTTCTTCACAAGCCCCCTTGTGTTGACACTCCAGGACAGATCCTCTTGTAATTCAATGCCCAAAAATCTGAACGTTGTTACCCTCTCCACACAGACCCCGTCAATCAAAAGTGGCTGGACGTTGCTCTTCTGTCTCCTGAAGTCCACCACAAGCTCCTTTGTCTTCCTTGGATTTATGAGCAAGTTGGTAGCTCTGCACCACTCTGTCAGCCGCTCCACCTCATCTCTATAATCCGTTTCACCCTCCCTTTCAGGGATGAGCCCAATACCGGGTGCAATCCAACCGCCTTAGGTTATTCTGCAAGGTTTAGGCCAGGCACCCCCAAACTCGGCCCTCCAGATGCTTTGGGACTACAACTCCCATCATCCCTGACCGCTAGCTAGGGCTGATGGGAGTTGTAGTCCCAAAACATCTGGAGGGCCGAGTTTAGCTCTGCCTGATCTAGAGCAGTGGTGGCCAGACTTGGCCCTCCAGCTGTTTTGGGACTACAATTCCTATCATCCCTGACTGCCGGTCCTATTAGCTAGGCATGATGGGAGTTGTAGTCCCAAAACATCTGGAGGGCCGAGTTTGGGGACGCCTGGTTTAGGCTCACAGTTTTCCTTCTCCCAGAAGGAACCACCATCGCTCAGTTGCAAGACCCTTGCTTTGCACGTGCCAAGGTCCCGGGTTCCAATCCAGCCACGAACGGGTTTAAAATAAGACAGGGAACAGGGCGATTTAATTTTTTTAAAATTTCATTATTGTATTTTTTTGCCCGGGACGTGGAGAGGCTCTGCCGGTCAGAGCGGGCTGTATTTGGGGGCGAGATTACCAGGAGGGGTGTGTGTGTCGATGACTTAAAAACTGGGTCTCGTTGCATTAAGTTCATCAATTAGGTTGAATTAATTGAACGGCTTTGACCCGGGTTTTGAATCAGATGTGCTTCGGGTTTTATTTTCTTAGTGCAAACCACTATTCCGACTTTTTATAGCGCAGGGGGGGTGCGCTTAAAGGAAGCAAGGGGCAGGGCCTCCCCAAAAATGTTTGAGATCCCTGCATTGCGGCGGGTTGGGCTGGATGACCTCGCGGGTTCCCTTCCAACTCTTGAGATCCTGGGATCCTGGGACCGCCAGCGAGTGTTCAAGCACCCGGGACGGGACTGGCAGGATTGGGGAGGGATCTGCCCCCCGTTCCTGGACCGGGGGTCTCTCACCGCCCCTCTGTCTCCCTTAGGTGGGGACTGCGCCACTCTCTTAAAGAACATGGGTCCCCTTCCGGTGGACATGGCCAGGATGTATTTTGCCGAGACGGTCCTGGCCTTGGAGTACCTGCACAACTACGGCATCGTCCACCGCGACCTCAAGCCGGACAAGTAAGGGCCGGCCGCCAGGAGGGCTTCCGTCGCCCCTCTGCGTGTGGGTCTGTCTATTTGGGGACTACAACTCCCATCAGCCCTAGCTAAGAGGACCAGGGGTCAGGGATGATGGGAATGGTGTTTTGGGATTTGATTTCCCAGCCCTTCCGGGGTCCCCTTTTCCCGGGGTCCCTCTCCCCCCCTAACCAAGACCTGTCTCCCCCCTCTGCCCCCCCACCTCACCCCATAGCCTCCTCATCACCTCCATGGGGCACATCAAGCTGACGGATTTCGGGCTCTCCAAAATCGGGTTGATGAACATGGCCACCAACTTGTACGAGGGACACATCGAAAAGGACACCCGGGAATTCGTCGACAAGCAGGTGAGGGCTTGGGGGGGCGCCGGGACCCACATTTGGGGGGCATTTGCCAGGAGGAGTAGGGTCTCCGGGGAGGGCTTGGACGGGGCGCCGGGACCCACATTTGGGGGGCATTTGCCAGGAGGAGTAGGGTCTCCGGGGAGGGCTTGGGGGGGTGCCGGGACCCACATTTGGGGGGCATTTGCCAGGAGGAGTAGGGTCTCCGGGGAGGGCTTGTGGGGGGCGCTGGGACCCACATTTGGGGGGCTGTTTGCCAGGAGGAGTAGGGTCTCCGGGGAGGGCTTGGGGGGCGCCGGGACCCACATTTGGGGGGTCATTTGCCAGGAGGAGTAGGGTCTCCAGGGAGGGCTGGGGGGGCACCAGGACCCACATTTGGGGGGCATTTGCCAGGAGGAGTAGGGTCTCCGGGCAGGGCTTGGACGGGGCACCGGGACCCACATTTGGGGGGCTGGGTCTCTGGGGGGAGACGGAGAGTCGCGTCTGCCCCACAAGGGGAGATGCGCCCCCTTCCCCTGTCGGCAGGATAGGGGTCCCCTCCCCATGGGGGGCACCCTGATCGCCCCCCGAATCTCCCCCTTCCAGGTGTGCGGGACCCCCGAGTACATCGCCCCAGAGGTGATCCTGAACCAGGGCTACGGGAAGCCGGTCGACTGGTGGGCCATGGGCATCGTCCTCTACGAGTTCCTGGTGGGCTGCGTCCCCTTTTTCGGAGACACCCCGGAAGAGCTCTTCGGGCAGGTGATCAGCGGTAGGTGCTTCTCCCCCCCTGGGGCGGAGAATTCGGGAAGGGGGACCCCAAAGGTCATCCAGCCCACCCCCTCCTGCAAGGCAGGCGTCTTTTTGGCCCAAAAGGGGAGAATTCAGGAAGGGGCCCCCCAGAAGTCATCCAGCCCACCCCCATCTTTTTGGCCCCAAAGGGGAGAATTCGGGAAGGGGTTCCCCAAAGGTCATCCAGCCCCAAAGGGAACCCGAAGCCGCGGCCCAGAGTTCGAGTCTCACGCTCCGCCTATTCAGAAGCTGGGCATATCCCTCTGGTCCTCCGCCAACCCCCAAGAGCCTCTACCAAGTGAGCCGTTTGAAATATCGTTGGGACCCTGAGGGTCATCCAGTCCAACCCCCCTGCCAGGCACGGGTCTCGCGTTCGAGTCCTCCTTAAAGGGCATCTCGTTGGCCACTGTGAGAACAGCATAAGGGTTTTTAAAAAAATAATTATTATCTGTTCCATTTTCATTACAATCACATCATGACAAATAATAAGGAAATGAATTCCCCCCATTCCGGTGACTTCCTTCAACTTCCCTTTCCGGGGGTTTTTTTACATATAAATGTGCCCTGCTTGTAAAACTAGACTTTAAAACGTCAAATTCTATTCTTGTCATTTTAACCTCATCTTTATAGCTTCTCTAAGTTAATTTCGTTAATTGTGAGGGTTTACTCAAAACCTACTGGCGAGTCCATTTCTTTTCTTTCTTTCTTTTTATATTGTTCTTTATCGATTAAAAACGTACATATCTATCATTGTATGCTATCTCTTTACACATGAAGAAAAAGAAAATGATGCAGAGAATAGAACATTTATAAAGGAGCAAAAAAGAGGAAAAAAAATAAAGAAATAACAAAGATACGAAGGGGGAAAAATCAAAAGAGGAAAAGACAAGACAACATTAATTTCACAATAAAAGTGAAGTCCGTTTCTTTTCATTGGTTCCGTAAATGCAACATAAACTCTTTTTAAAAATCTCTATTTGTCTCTTAAGCCTTTCAATTAACTTTGCCTTTTCGGCATCAGTTTCTGTGAAGTTTTTCTCCTCCAGCTCCAGTGACAGTCGATCTGCATTCACCTAGAGGTATATTTTTAATTTTCGGAGGGGGTTTAGGATGGGCTCTGAGCTTTTCTGCATCCGAACGCAGAGCGGAGCCCCCCATCTCTGGTGGAATCGGGGTCAACCGCCGCCGCAGCTGCCGGCCAGAGCGCTGCCTCTTCTGTGCCACCCGAACAAAAGGTCCTTTCAGGGAGAGACAAAAGCTCCCCTTCTGACCCCCGGCGTGTGACACCGCCAAGGGGGGGAGAAGCTCAATTATGGGGTCTGTTCCCTGCCCCCTTTTCATCGCCCCCCAAGCTTCGGAAAACTGCCGTGCGAAGCTCTGGGGAACAGAGGAAGCTTTGCGTCATCTGAATTTCCGCAGGATCCTAGAAGGGAGGGACCCCCAAAGCTCATCCATCTCTCTCTTTTATATATATATATATATATTTATTGGGTTTTTTTACATATCATTTCCAACAATCGTTTAACATCACTTCTTCCGTCAACCACCTCTGATGATTTTCCATTCTTTATCCCTTATTCTGCAGTTCTTAATTTCTCTATGACTCTTGTTGTTGTTTTGTCATTTAGTCATGTCCGCCTCTTTGTGCCCCCCTGGACCAGAGCATGCCAGGCCCTCCTGTCTTCCACTGCCTCCCAGTTTGGTCAAACTCATGCTGGTAGCTTCGAGAACACTGTCCCACCATCTCGTCCTCGGTCATCCCCTTCTCCTTGCACCCTCCATCTTTCCCAACATCAGGGTCTTTTCCAGGGAGTCTTCTCTTCTCATGAGGTGGCCAAAGTATTGGAGCCTCAGCTTCAGGATCTGTCCTTCCAGTGAGCACTCAGGGCTGATTTCCTTTCAGAATGGAGAGGTTGGATCTTCTTGCAGTCCATGGGACTCTCAAGAGTCTCCTCCAGCGCCAGAATTCAAAAGCATCCATTCTTTGGCGATCAGCCTTCTTGATGGTCCAGCTCTCACTTCCATACATCACTACTGGGAAAACCAGAGCTTGAACTATACAGACCTTTGTCGGCAAGGTGATGTCTCTGCTTTTGAAGATGCTGTCTAGGTTTGTCATCGCTTTCCTCCCAAGAAGCAGGCGTCTTTTGATTTCGTGGCTGCTGTCACCATCTGCAGTGATCATGGAGCCCAAGAAAGTCAAATCTCTCACTGCCTCCCTTTCTTCCCCTTCTATTTGCCAGGAGGTGATGGGCCCAGTGGCCATGATCTTCGTTTTTTTGATGTTGAGCTTCAGACCATATTTTGCGCTCTCCTCTTTCACCCTCGTTAAAAGGTTCTTTAATTCCTCCTCACTTTCTGCCATCAAGGTTGTGTCATCTGCATATCTGAGGTTGTTGATATTTCTTCCGGCGATCTTAATTCCGGCTTGGGATTCATCCAGTCCAGCCTTTCGCATGATGAATTCTGCATATAAGTTAAATAAGCAGGGGGACAATATACAGCCTTGTCGTACTCCTTTCCCAATTTTGAACCATTTGCAATCATTTAACATAACTTCTTATCTTATACAATATTTTAGCCTCCCGTCAACCACCCCTGATGATTTTCCGTTCTTTATCCCTTATTCTGCCTTTCTTAATTTCTCTATGACTCTTAATTATCGTTAACTAATCATTCTCTTCATCGTCTTCCTTGCAATATTTCAAATAGTCCTCCTTACAGAACTTCTTGCAGTCCTACTAGCGTCATCTGTTCATTACAATTGCTTTTCAAATAGTTCTTATATTTACTCCGGTCCTCTAAGAATCTCTGGTCCCGCAGGTTTCGAATCCTTCCTGTTAATTTATCTAATTCTGCGTAGTCCATTAATTTCATCCGCAATTCTTCTTTCGTCGGTAATTCTTCTTGCTTCCATTTTTGTGCCAATAATATTCTTGCAAGGGTCATCCATCTCAAACCCCCCCCCCCGAATCGCGGCCCGAGAAAATCCCTGGTAAGCAAGGATCTGCCATCGAGGGAAGGAGAGTCCTGGCATATATATATTTTTATAAAAAATTGACATTTTACTGATTTCCCAAACAATACAGAAACAGTGACAGTTTATTTTCTGGGGTGAAATCCTCAAAAAAACCTTGACAACTTCAATCCTAAAAAAGATCAACAACTTCTCTTCATCGGATCTGGCCCTCTTTGGAAAAAGTTTGGAAACCAAAGCACTCTAAGCCCTTCCTATCTATCTATCTATCTATCTATCTTTAATATTTATTAATTTATTCTATTTGTTTGTTTGTTTAATTTCTATACCACCCTATACCCGAAGGTATCCGTAAAAGCAAAACAAAAACAAAAACCCAATAAAAATTAAAAACCCTCCCAAAACCAGCGTTTTTGAAAAGGGTGTAGAATGTAGAGATCAAGTCAGGCAAAGGCCTGTCTATTGTTCAGTTTTAACCGCTTTAAATCCCAGTTATCCGTTCACAACAAAATTACAATTAAAACCCTGCTAACGTCATTAACCTGGGCACATCGCTTCTGCAAATGTGCAACAAACATCCTCCATTCTTAGTTTTACTGGGGCAACCCAGTAAAAAAGGATTCGAAGCCCCACGGCTTTAGGAGTGTATGGTTCAGAGGAGAAGAGGGTTTCAGCTGCGGTTGGGTTGGGATGGATGACCCCTGGGGGTCCCGACCGACTCGCTGATTCTCTGAGCCCAACCCTGTTTTGTTTTGGGGTGGTGCCATAAATGCTCATACGCAGTTTTTCTTCCGCTTTCTTCGTTCCAGACGAAATTATTTGGCCGGAGGGGGACGAGGCTCTCCCTCCCGATGCCCAGGACCTCATCACCCACCTCTTGAAGCACTGCCCTTTGGAACGCCTGGGCACAGGTAAAGGGTTTTATTTTACTTTAAAAATATAATTTATCGCCTTTTTAGACCCCGGGAGCATGCAATTCACCCTGACGCCAACCCTGCGAGTGGGGATAGAGATTACCAGAGCCCAAGGTCGCCCAGCAAGCTTCCTGCCCACGAGCGAGGATTGGAACCCGAGTCCTGGGGCAGCGCTGTAACCATTAGGCCACGGCGTCTCTCCATAGATGGGGAGAGGGGCGTAAATTTACTTACAGAGCTGGGGAAATGGAGGGGGGCGGAGGGTGGGAGATTTGGGGCAGGCGAAAAAAGGCCTCCTCCTTTGATTAGCTCCTGGTTAACCTGTGGAACTCACTTCCACTGGAGGCAGGAAATACCTCTGAATAATTCCAACCGCTGAGCGTCGCTGCTGTCCGGCTTGCAGGCGCCTGGTTGGGCACCGGAAGGAGAGGAGGCGGGACTAGATTTACTCGATCCAATCACTGCAGGGCTTTTCCACTTCCCAAAAAGAGAACCTCCATGGCCAGGCGCAATCTACCTTAGCCCAGTGGCAGGAAAAGCGCTGGAAGAGGGGGCTTTTTAAATAATTTTTATTGATTTTAACATACAAATTATAAAATGTACTGCACAACTTTATCACTTATACAATCTTTTTAGACTCGGATGATCCATCGTTTTAACCACTTCTTACGCATTTCTTAAATTTATATTACTTTTAAATCTCTTAACTAATCCTCCTCCCCTTTATCCATTTTTGCAATAATTCCAATACTACTCCTCACAAAACTTCTTGCAAACCTACAAACGTCGTCTGATCTTCACAAATACTTTTCAAATAATCCGTAAATTTACGCCTGTCTTCCGTGAATTTCTGGTCCCACCGGTTTCGAATCCTTCCTGTTAGTTTATCCAGTTCTGCATAGCCCATTAATTTCATCCTCCATTCTTCAATCGTCAGTAATTCTTCTTGCTTCCATTTTTGGGCCAATAATATTCTTGCTGCTGTTGTTGCATATAAAAAGAGCTTACATTCCTTTCTATTTATATCGCTCCCCACAATGCCCAGTAAAAATGCTTCTGGTTTCTTCACAAATGTATATTTCTTTCTTTCTTTTTAATAATAGTTTTTATTACGTTTTCCATTTTAACAATCCAATCACATCACATTCATTATTCCAAATGATACCAATACAGATCATAAAGTCCAAATATTTTGCCAAATTATAAATGTTTTGTTGGGGCTTCCCATGCTACAAATGTATATTTTTTTCATCTCATTTTTTTCGTGTACATTTTTTCCATGCTCCCAGAAGCATTTCACCTTTTTACATTGCCACCACATGTTGGGTTGAAAATCATGACAGACGAGTGGCAGGTGTCATATGAGAGGCGTCTGCCGGGGCAAGCCCCGGGAACTCTCTTTTATTGAATATTACAAACATTGCCACAGGTGTGCTTGTGGCTGATTGGTTGATACAAACACAAAGCATCTTGTTGCTGATTGGTTAACATAGGTACAAGGCGGGAATTACATATATCCATTTATCACTGATAGATCAAAGGCTGAGAAACGGAGCTAGAACTAGACAGGCATGAATCCTCCTAATTAAATTATAACTAAAGATTAATATAACATGACTAAAACAATTACTAATGATTGATCATAACATGAAAGAATATAATAATCAAGTTCCGTAGATGTGGTCAGCAAAGCATTAAGAACAGGTCAGGATACACTGTTTCATGAACTCAATGGGAACTGTTCAGAACATTCTCAGACTCATGCGCAGAGGCAAAAACTTCCCAGAATGCAAGAGAAAAGAAGCAATCGTTCTCATAGCAAAACTTAATGCCACAGTTATGTGCAGTAAGAGAACTGCAGAAAGAGAACTTCCCTTTAACCACATATGATAAAAAGTTCCCTCTCCCTTGGGTGCTTCTCATTGGTGGCCCCCTGGACTTAAGAGGGAGCCGCCCCCCGGGGCCCCGATCCTGACTCCCCTTCTTCCCTGTCCCCCCCGCCAGGAGGGGCGCACGAGGTGAAGCAGAACCCCTTTTTCCGCACCCTGGACTGGAACGGGCTCCTGCGTCAGAAAGCCGAGTTCATCCCCCAGCTGGAAGCCGAGGACGACACCAGCTACTTCGACAGTAAGGCCTAGCGGGCGGAGCAGGGCACCCCCAAGAAGGCAGGAAAGCGGGCGTGTGTGTGCTTTGAGGCTCAAGCTGCGTCGCAAACCTGATTTTCAGAAAGGGCATTCAATTTGGAAAATTAATAAAAATTATCGGGGGGGGGGAGAGAGATTCCGGGTTGGTTTGGATGACCCACGGGTCCCTTTCCGATCCACAATTTGACGCTTCTCCATATGCCTCTGGCTGGGTGTTGGTTTTGCAGGGTTTTCCCCGGGGGGGACGGGACCCCCGGCCTCTTCTCTCTGCCCCCCCACCCCTGACATCATTTCCTGCCCCCCCCCAGCCCGCTCGGAGCGCTATCGCCACCTGGGGTCCGAAGACGAGGAGACGAACGACGAGGAGTCGTCCCTGGAGATCCGGCAGTTCTCCTCCTGCTCCCACCGGTTCAGCAAGGTCTGAAATTTCGCCTTGGTTACGGTTTCTTTCCCCCCACAAAAAAAAAAAAATATTGGTTTTCACAATGTTATAAACAAACACACAAGACAAACCAACATAGATCACAGCCATATTGAAAATTACACTTATTAACTTTGTTCAGTGACTTCCTCGCTTCCCCTTGGCTGAATTTCATTGCATGCCCTTTGAACGGTTCTCCAAATCCCAATTTTTATGAAATTTAACTTAAACATTAACATCCTTAAATGGAATTAAACCTATTAATTCATCACTTAACATCAATAAAATCCTAAGCCCATTAAGTATCTGCAAGCTGTTTTCAGTTAATTTAACTTGACAAATTTAACTAGATAATCATTAAATTTATTCCACTCTTCCTGATACTCCTCCTCCTTCTGGTTAGGTCAGCTAGTTCCAAAAAATCCATCATCTTGGTTATGGTTTCTTGGTTGAGCCTCCAGAGGCAGAGCAAGTCTACCTTGGAAGGGGTTGCAAACAAGAATGGGAGGATTTACGTACGCGGCCCGGGTTTCTTTGCCCCCAAATGCAAAAAGGAGCGAAAAATGGCAGTTTAACTGGGGAGAATACGCGCAGCTTGCAGACTTAAAATATAGAATATTTAGAGGAAATTGGAATATATTGAATATATGGGAAATAATTGTGTATCCTTGAGAGCGCTGGCAGCGTTAAGATCAATTCAGCAGTGCAAATGATCTTCGGCGGATGCAGGAAGGGAATAGATTTTGTAAAATACGCCGGGATTTTTGAGCCGCGAAACGAACCACGGAAAGAGACGAACGGAAGTCCTTGATAGTTTAAAGGGGTTTAAATGCATATTCTAAAATGGAAAGCACAAAATCTAATAAGAAATATAGAAAGGAAAAGCACCGTCTCCTGAAACCGTGCGCGATTCGAATCGGGGTCTCACCAAGACGGCAGGGGTCTCTCTCTTTCTGGCAGCCCTCTGTTTGATAGCTTAAGCAGGGATAAATGAGTAAACAGAAAAACAAAAATTACAGAAAGGAAAAGCACCGTTCCGTCTCTTGAAACCGTGCACGATTCGAATCGGGGTCTCGACGAAAAGTCGGGGGTCTCTCTCTCTTTCTGATACTGGCTTAAGTATGGAAAATGTAATAAAATAAATGTAATAAAATAAAATAAATGCAATAAAATAAAATAAATGTAATAAAATAAAATAAAATAAAATAAATGCAATAAAATAAAATAAAATAAATGCAATAAAATAAAATAAATGTAATAAAATAAAATAAAATAAATGCAATAAAATAAAATAAATGTAATAAAATAAAATAAAATAAATGCAATAAAATAAAATAAATGTAATAAAATAAAATAAAATAAATGTAATAAAAATTATATATTTTTAAAAAACCCAGAGCAGGAGGAGACTTTGGCTCAGCATCCCAGTTGGGGGGCTTCCCTCTCGAGCCCCCATGGACCAAGGCAGTCTCCCTGAGAGTGCCAGAGGGTGCTGTGGGGTTTTTTATTTCCCAAGGTGCCCATGCAGATGCCCATTTCCTTCTCTGCCCCTCGCAGGTCTACAGCAGCTCCGAACAGCTGGCCAATGCCTCGGCCTCCCTGGGCGCCTCGCCGTCTCCGGAGCAAAGCCGCGCCGAGAAGGACGACCGCGGGGAGCGCTGGGACGAGGAGAAGGGCCGGCTGCCAGGCCCCGAGACCAGGTGGGCACCGGGGGGCACGGGCGGGCACAGGGCTGGGGGCGCCCCAGAGAGAGGGCACTTTGGCGCAGCTAAAATCGGGTTGCCATTCGTTCCTTAAAAGCAGCTCCGAAACTTATTTGCAGCTTTGGTGCCCGGGTTTTTGTGTCATTTGCAGCTTTGGTGCCCGGGTTTTTGTGTCATTTGCAACTTTGGTGCCCGGGTTTTTGTGTCATTTGCAACTTTGGTGCCCGGGTTTTTGTGTCATTTGCAACTTTGGTGCCCGGGTTTTTGTGTCATTTGCAACTTTGGTGCCCAGGTTTTCGTGTCATTTGCAACTTTGGTGCCCGGGTTTTCGTATTATTTGCAACTTTGGTGCCCGGGTTTTCGTATTATTTGCAACTTTGGTGCCCGGGTTTTCGTATTATTTGCAACTTCCATGCCCGGGTTTTTGTGTCATTTGCAACTTCCATGCCCAGGTTTTCGTGTCATTTGCAACTTTGGTTCCCGGGTTTTCGTATTATTTGCAACTTTGGTGCCCGGGTTTTCGTATTATTTGCAACTTCCATGCCCGGGTTTTTGTGTCATTTGCAACTTCCGTGCCCGGGTTTTTGTGTCATTTGCAACTTCCATGCCAGGGTTTTTGTGTCATTTGCAACTTCCATGCCAGGGTTGTTGTGTCATTTGCAACTTCCATGCCCAGATTTTCGAAATACGGTCACCCTAAGGCGGCCCCCTTGGGAGAATACTCCATTGTCCCTCAAGACAGACTGGTGCCACCTAAAGGCAACGCCAAGGGCTCCGCGGTTGGCATCTGGGGGGGGCTTCTCCCTCCCCTGCAGGGTTGGCGCCTCGTCCGCCCCGAATTGACCCCCTTCTCCCTCCTCTCCCCCAGACTCCGCGCCTGGACCTCCTGCGGGTCGACGGCCCTCTCCTTCCGCCAGGAGTGCGGTGCCCGCGGGGGCCCCCCCGCCCTGAGTGCCACCTGCAGCCTGGAGGCCATGCCCAGGTTCGCCTTCTCCTCCGAGGACGAGAGCCCCTGCCGGGCGCCCCCCAAGAGGGAGCGCCCCGTCTTCGTGGTGGGGGGCGACCCCGAGGGGCCGGCCGGCGCCAAGACCCCCGCGAAAGCCTCTGGGCTGGCAGGTAGGTGGGTGAAAACAACCTGGCACTGGGCTGGCTAAAAAGCAGCCAAGGTTGTAGTCCTCATGGCTTGGAAATAAAATAAAAGGGGGGGCTGAATTCATCCTTGATCGGTCGAGCTCCTTGCTGCCAACACGGACCGGCAGCCGCAGCTTTCCAGGCACATTTAATTTAATTTAATTTCACATTGAATTTAAATTTAATTTAATTTAATTTTACATTTAATTTAATTTAATTTTTAATTTAATTTCATTTTACATTTAATTTAACTTTAATTTCATTTCATTTTACATTTAATTTAATTTAATTTAATTTTACATTTAATTTTAATTTAACTTAATTTAATTTTACATTTAATTTAAATTTAATTTAATTTAATTTTCAATTTGCATCCTGCCTTTTCTATATTGCTGTTCGCCACGCAGTTGACGGAATATGCACCAAAAGGACGCGGGTCTTTTAATAACAGCTCCGGCGCTGGGCTGTTAAAAAGCAGCTAAGGTTGTAGTCCTCATGGTTTTTGAAAAATGAAAAGCTAAATGCAACAGGGACACAGGGAAGCGACTTGTTTCCTTGACCAGTCGAGCTCCTTGCTGTCAACACGGACCGGCAGCAGCCGGTCTCCAGGCAACATTCATTTAATTTCATTTTTAATTTGTATTCTGCTTTTCTATATTAATACACGCAAGGTGGTTTGCAAAACGTAACCTGGGGCGTTCTGCAGTCATTGCCAAATCTCCAGCAAAGCAACTGCAGCCTATAAAATGTGATTAATTGTTAATTGTTAATTAATTGTTAATTGTTAATTAATCGTTAATTGTTAATTATTACTTCGTCCATCTGGCTTTGGGGAAACAGCCACTTTGGGGAAGCCAAACCAAACCGCTGAAAAACAATTCAGCCAGGAAACGCATTTGCCACGAACGTCGTATTATGGGTTGCGCAAAATGATTACGGCCTCCGTAATCAATAATAATAATCATAATAATAATTTATTATTTATCGATCAGGCGATATTATCAATATTCACGAAACAGCGACCCAAGAAATCACACAGCTCCTTAAAAGACGCGTCTCTCTGTTGTACGGAAAATACGTTCCATATTTCCAGAAAATAGGATTTAAAAAAAGGGTCTCTGCCCCACGGAGCTTCCAGTCTCTCCATCGCCACAGCAGAGGAAAGGTTAATGGGAGGGTAGAGGAAGAAGGCGGCCGCCGTGGGTTTCTGCAATGGGGTGTTTTTCTTTTTCTTGGGGGGTCAAACGGGATTCCTTCCGCCACCCCCCCAAAATAAATTCTCTCCCTGCAGCTGACCTGTCCAGCCTGAGCCGGATCCGCCTGCGGAGCAACAGCACGGGCACCAAGAACTCCCTGCCACTGGATGGCGAGGCCGGGGGGCGCCGGGGGGGCAGCCACAAGGAAACGCCTGGGAAGCAGAGGACTCCCTCGGGGGGCAGCAGGGTGCCCAAGTCGGCCTCCGTCTCCGCCCTCTCGCTCATCATCGGGGCAGGTTGGTGGGGGGCCGGACCCTGACCCCTTTATTATTATTATTATTATTATTATTAATTTCGCAATGGCCAGGCAGAGCCTCCCCCGACGGAGCCGGTCTATCTGAGAGCTGGGTTTTGCATGGGGGGCTTCTGGCCTATGGGGCAGGCGAGGAGGAAGATAGATGGGGGCCCCTCTGTGGCCCTCCTTTGTTTCTTAGGGCTCCTCGGTGGAGCCTCCACAGACAGGTCCAGTCTACCTGGGAGCAAGATCGGGTGACGGCTGCTGCTCTTGGGTCCTGCTTGGGGGTTTTTTCTTGCCTATGGGGCACCCCATAGCCTGCTTTGGGGCCAGGCGCTTCTTAGATTCTTTGGGATCTTAGACTGAGCCTCCACAGACAGGCCCAGTCTACCTGGGAGCGAGATCAGGCAATAGCTGCTGCTCTCAGGTCCCGCTTGGGGTTTTCCCTTGCCTATGGGGCACCCCATAGCCTGCTTTGGGGCCAGGCGCTTCTTAGAAGTCCTGGATTGAGCCTCCACAGACAGGCCCAGTCTACCTGGGAGCGAGTTCGAGCAACGGCTATTCATTATTGCGATTATTTCCTGGATTTCTATACTGCTCTCAGGTCCTGCTTAGGGGGGTTTTCCTTGCCTATGGGGCACCCCATAGCCTGCTTTGGGGTCCTAGATGGACCCCACTAATCAGGCCCTCCTTAGCTTCTTAGGGGTCCTAGACTGAGCCTCCACAGACAGGCCCAGTCTACCTGGGAGCGAGATCAGGCAATGGCTGCTGCTCTTGGGTCCTGCTTGGGGTTTTTTTCTTGCCTATGGGGCACCCTATAGCCCGCTTTGGGGCCAGGCCCTCCTTAGCTTCTTAGGGGTCCTAGACTGAGCCTCCAGGGACAGGAGCAGTCTACCTGGGAGCAAGTTTGGGAGACGGCTATTGATTATTACAATTATTTTCTGAATTTCTACACTGCTCTCGGGTCCTGCTTGGGGTTTTTTCCTTGCCTATGGGGCACCCCATAGCCCACTTTGGGGACCTAGATGGACCCCACTAATCAGGCCCTTCTTAGCTTCTTAGGGGTCCTAGACTGAGCCTCCACAGACAGGCCCAGTCTACCTGGGAGCGAGTTCGAGCGACGGCTATTTATTATTACAATTATTTCCTGGATTTCTATACTGCTCTCGGGTCCTGCTTGGGGTTTTTTCTTGCCTATGGGGCACCCCATAGCCCACTTTGGGGACCTAGATGGACCCCAATAATCAGGCCCTCCTTAGCTTCTTAGGGGTCCTAGACTGAGCCTCCACAGACAGGCCCAGTCTACCTGGGAGTGAGTTCGGGTGATGGCTGCTGCTCTCAGGTCCCGCTTGGGGTTTTCCCTTGCCTATGGGGCACCCCATAGCCTGCTTTGGGGCTAGGCGCTTCTTAGAAGTCCTAGACTGAGCCTCCACAGACAGGCCCAGTCTACCTGGGAGCGAGTTCGGGTGACAGCTATTTATATTATTTCCTGAATTTCTATACTGCTCTCAGGTCCTGCTTGGGGTTTTCCCTTGCCTATGGGGCACCCCATAGCCTGCTTTGGGGCCAGGCGCTTCTTAGCTTCTTAGGGGTCCTAGACTGAGCCTCCACAGACAGGCCCAGTCTACCTGGGAGCGAGATCAGGCAATAGCTGCTGCTCTCAGGTCCCGCTTGGGGTTTTCCCTTGCCTATGGGGCACCCCATAGCCCGCTTTGGGGCCAGGCGCTTCTTAGCTTCTTAGGGATCCTAGACTGAGCCTCCACAGACAGGCCCAGTCTACCTGGGAGCGAGTTCGAGCGACGGCTATTCATTATTACGATTCTTTCCTGGATTTCTATACTGCTCTCGGGTCCTGCTTGGGGTTTTTTCTTGCCTATGGGGCACCCCATAGCCCGCTTTGGGGACCTAGATGGACCCCACTAATCAGGCCCTTCTTAGCTTCTTAGGGGTCCTAGACTGAGCCTCCACAGACAGGCCCAGTCTACCTGGGAGTGAGTTCGGGTGATGGCTGCTGCTCCTGGGTCCTGCTTGGGGTTTTTTTCTTGCCTATGGGGCACCCCATAGCCTGCTTTGGGGCCAGACGCTTCTTAGAAGTCCTGGATTGAGCCTCCACAGACAGGTCCAGTCTACCTGGGAGCGAGTTCAAGCGACGGCTATTTATTATTACAATTATTTCCTGGATTTCTATACTGCTCTCGGGTCCTGCTTGGGGTTTTTTCTTGCCTATGGGGCACCCCATAGCCCGCTTTGGGGACCTAGATGGACCCCAATAATCAGGCCCTCCTTAGCTTCTTAGGGGTCCTAGACTGAGCCTCCAGGGACAGGCCCAGTCTACCTGGGAGTGAGTTCGGGTGATGGCTGCTGCTCTCAGGTCCCGCTTGGGGTTTTCCCTTGCCTATGGGGCACCCCATAGCCTGCTTTGGGGCCAGGCCCTTCTTAGCTTCTTAGGGATCCTAGACTGAGCCTCCACAGACAGGCCCAGTCTACCTGGGAGCGAGTTCGAGCGACGGCTATTCATTATTACGATTCTTTCCTGGATTTCTATACTGCTCCCGGGTTCTGCTTAGGGGGCTCCTTACTTATGGGGCTCTTAATTCCCCCAAGCCATTTCCCAGCCCTTAACCCCCCCCCCCCAAAAAAAGTGGGGCGCCCCCTAACTAACTCTCCTCTTTTCCTGCCAGACGACTTTGGGGGCGGCGCCCTGGTCAGCCCCATCTCTCCCCGCTCCCTCTCCTCCAACCCCTCCTCCCGGGACTCGTCCCCCAGCCGCGACCCACTGCTGGGGGGCTCGGGCCTGCGCCCCCCCATCGTCATCCACAGCTCGGGCAAGAAGTACGGCTTCACCCTGCGCGCCATCCGGGTCTACATGGGCGACAGCGACGTCTACGCCGTGCATCACATGGTCTGGGTGAGGAAAACGGGGTTTTGAAAAGAAATTCAAGGCGCTAGTCCTCAAGACAATTTCCCATTAAATATAAAGGCATTCAGATTTCGGATTTTTTAAAAGGCTAATAAGGCAGCTGCTTCCTACAGAGTCAGGCCATTGGCCCAGCTAGTGTTGCCTGCACTGGCTGGCAGCCCTTCCATTAAAGATAAAGGCACCCAGATTTAGGACTTTTTAAAGGCTTGTTTGAAATAGGAACCTGCTAGTGTTGCCCTCACTGGCTGGCAGCTCTTCCGTGAAAGATAAAGGCACCCAGATTTAGGACTTTTTAAAGGCTTGTTTGAAATAGGAACCTGCTAGTGTTGCCCTCACTGGCTGGCAGCTCTTCCGTGAAAGATAAAGGCACCCAGATTTAGGACTTTTTTAAGGCTTGTTTGAAATAGGAACCTGCTAGTGTTGCCTGCACTGGCTGGCAGCCCTTCCGTGAAAGATAAAGGCACCCAGATTTAGGACTTTTTTAAGGCTTGTTTGAAATAGGAACCTGCTAGTGTTGCCCTCACTGGCTGGCAGCTCTTCCGTGAAAGATAAAGGCACCCAGATTTAGGACTTTTTTATGGCTTGTTTGTAATAGGCAGCTGCTTCCTACAGAGTCAGGCCATTGGCCCAACTGGTTTTGCATGCACTGGCTGGCAGCCCTTCCATTAAAGATAAAGACACCCAGATTTAGGATTTTTTTAAGGCTTGTTTTAAATAGGAACCTTCTTCGTACAGAGTCAGGCCATTGGCCCAACTGGTTTTGCATGCACTGGCTGGCAGCATCAATGCAAGAACTGCTTCCTCCACCAGCCCCTGAGTTTGGGTCCTCCTCCCTCCAAGCGGATTGAAACAGGAGCAAAGCAACACAAGTTGCCAGGCTGGTCTGTTTGGCCCCATACTGCCTACACGGGCCGGCAGCAGCAACTCTCCAAGATTTCAGCCTCCGGGTCTTTTTTCCCCAGACCTACCTGGGGGGGTTGATGGAGGGGGGAGAGAATCCTTGAATTGCCTTTAAAACAAACCAAGCTCCCAGTCCTCAAGGTTTGCCTTTGATTCGCTCCATCTGACCCCCCTACTGCCAACACTGGCTGGCAGCATTGGCTACCCGAGATTCAGAAAAAGGAATCAGGAGATGCAGGCTCCTTTCCCAGGAGGAAAATGTGGTTTTATCCCATCTTTCCAACGCCCAAAAAGAATTTAAGAAATGAGATTTCAAAGAAACAGAGGTTTGGGAGCTTAGGACACGGAAGCGGGTTCCGGAGAAAGGAAGCGAGAGCGGGGTTGGGATGGATGACCACTGGGGGGTCCCACCCAGCTATAAACATTGCCTGCTTTGGGTTGCAGAGTGTTGAGGACAGCAGCCCCGCGCAGGAGGCAGGCCTGCGGGCCGGAGACCTCATCACGCACGTCAACGGAGAGTCGGTCCTGGGTCTGGTCCACATGGACGTGGTCGAACTTCTGTTGAAGGTAGGGGGCCGCATACTGCCTACACGGGCCGGCAGCATCTCTCCGGTGGGTCGCGAGGAAGGCGGGTCCCAGGGGGGAAACAGCGCAGGCGGAGCCCTGAGGGCGTCAGAAGAGTCGCAGACAGAGAAAGGAGGATCGGCAGAATCTTACGAATCGGGTGGGACCCCCAAAGGTCATCCAGCTCAACCCGCTGCAGTGCAGGAATTTCGGATTAAGCGTCCCAAAGATCCTCTTAGGGGGCATCTGGAGGTGGGACTCGGTGGTCCTGATCCGGATGCTGCAGCGAGACTCATCTCTTTTTTAATATTTTTATTTGTTTTTACCGTACCGAATCAAAAATTTTAAATCGAAAAAATCAAAATAAATTCAAATTTTGAAAATGTAATTTAAAAAAAAAATTAAAAAGTTTTTTTAAATTGAAATTGAAATTTTAATTTAAAATGTAAAAAAATGAATAGACAAAAATTCACCCAAATCTCTGGACATCCTTTCACTCCTTAGTCCGTTTCCGCTGCATCTTTTAAGTCGCAGCAATTTTTTAATATATCCCTCGTTCTTATTATTCAGATCCTGCTAAATGTTAAGTTTCCCCCGTTCTTTATTTAAAAATTCTGGTTTTCCCCGTCAATTTCTCTATCAGTTCCTTTTTTTTTTTTTAAATGATATTTATTGAGATTTCGAAAACAAAAAATTACATAAAAGACAATGAAAAATATAGGGGGGAAAAAGAGAAAAAACATACAAAATGCAAAGTATAGGAAAAAAATATAGAAAAAACACTTAGAAACAAATTTATCCTTCCGTATCTTACATTTCATTTCCTTGCTTTCCTGACCTCCTCTCACCTCCCTTTTTTGTATTCTGCTTCAATTGGTTAATTCAGCAATTTCTTTCCCTCTTTGTTTTTATCTTAATCCTTTAACTTAATATATTATAACTTTGAGTTCTGACCTGTTAATAATCCATTTTTACATACACCTTTATAACATTGCTGCTAAAACCACTTAACTTCAATCCAACATCATTCTAACATTCATTAATTTTGCAATATTTCTGTAAATAGTCTTTAAATTTCTTCCAATCTTCCTCCATCGACTCTTCTCCCTGGTCTCGGATTCTGCCAGTCATTTCCGCCAGTTCCATATAGTCCATAAGTTTCATCTGCCATTCTTCCAAAGTGGGTAAATCTTGTGTCTTCCAATACTTTGCAATAAGTATTCTTGCTGCTGTTGTAAAGAAAATTCTGTCCTTCTTTGGCACCATTTGGCCGACGATGCCCAGGAGAAAGGCCTCTGGTTTCTTCAAGAAGGTATATTTAAATACCATTTTCAATTCATTATAAATCATCTCCCAGAAAGCCTTAATTTTTGGGCACGTCCACCAAAGGTGAAAGAATGTACCTTCAGTTTCTTTACATTTCCAACATTTATTGTCGGGCAAATGATAGATTTTTGCAAGCTTGACTGGGGTCATGTACCACCTGTATATCATTTTCATAATATTCTCGCTATCAGTTCCTCTCTGGGCTGATGGGACGCGTACTTGCGGCTTCTTAGCGGAGCCTCCATGGACAGGCGCAGTCTACCTTCGAACGCGGCTGGGAAGGCTGCGGAATTGGGGGACAGGATCCTGGCAGAGGGTCACCTTGGCACCCGTTGGCACCTGCTGGCACCCACCCCTCTCTCTCTCTCCATCCCTGTAGAGCGGGAACAAGGTGGCACTGCGCACCACGGCGCTGGAAAACACGAGCATCAAGGTGGGCCCGGCGCGGAAAAACAGCTCCAGGACCCGGATGGCCAGGAGGAGGAAGAAGAGCCGCCGGAGGGAGAGCCAGGACAGGTGGGCGAGATTCGAACCCGCCTCCCGCGCCCAGGCTTGAACCCGGCTCCCCTGCTGCGCCCGTTGCGCCGCGCTGCCTCTCTCTCTTTTTTTTAAATAATATTTATTAACGTTTCAAAAGAAGAAAAATCGCCTTAATAAAAAGATTAACAATAAAAAAGGAAAGAACAAAGTAGAAAAAAGAAAAATTCCATCTTTTCATCACTTCTTTTACGTTTACTTGTTTCCCGGACCTCCTCATACCTCCCTCTTTTGTATTCCAATTCAGTTTGTTAATTTAGCAATTCCTTTCCCTCCTTTTTAATCCTAATCCTTAATCTTGATATATTATAACATTAAATTTTTACATATTAAAAACCAATTTTTCCATTCTTTTAACCTTTTTAATCCTAATCCTTAATCTTGATATATTATAACATTACATTTTTACCTATTAAAAACCAATTTTTCCATGTTCTTTTGTACCTATACAGCTAGAAACCACTTAACTTCAATCCAACGTCATTCTAACATTCATTAATTTTGCAATATTTCCGTAAATAGTCTTTCAATTTCTTCCAGTCTTCTTGCCTCTCACCTCCCTCCTTCTTTCCCCGCAGGCGGAAATCGCTCTTCAAGAAGATCTCCAAGCAGACCTCCGCCCTGCACACCAGCCGCAGCTTCTCCTCGGGGCTCCACCACTCCCTCTCGTCCGGGGACAGCCTGCCCGGGTCGCCCACCCACAGCCTCTCGCCCGGACCCCCCACCCCCTGCCGCAGCCCCGCCCCGGACGCCCCGCCAGGTGAGGGGTCCCTCTCCCTCCCACCCGCCCCACGGCTCCACTCTGGGAGGTTCGGGGCAGACCGAGGAGGGAATCTGGCAGCTGGTTAGCCGGTGGAACTCACCGCCACAGGGGAGCTGCAACAAGAGGATTCCCCAAAGCACAATGGCTCTGCTCTGTTTCCCCAGTCGGAAGCAGTAAATTTGAGCTCTTTTCCTCTTTTACGGGCTCATACCATTGAGATAGCATTTTCATATATCATTTTCATATGTGGTTTTTATTTTGATTTATATATATATATATTGTGGTTTTGAACAGTGTATAAATTCACTTAATAATAATAATGGAACCTCCAGTGGTTTTTATTTTGATTAGATAGATAGATAGATAGATAGACAGACAGACAGACAAATGTATGTATGTATGTACGTACGTATGTATGTATGTATAGATAGATAGATAGATAGATAGATAGATAGATATAGTGGTTTTGAATATTGCACAAATTCTAATAATAATAATAATAATAATAATAATAATGGAGCCTCCAGCTGCACAGGCAGTCTACCTGGGTCCCTAGCTTTTGGCCGGAATTTTCTCTATTTCCTATGCTTCCGTGTCTATATTATGACCCAAATCGATGGCCCAATGTATGAGGGATTATATCATTCATATATCATTTCCATATGTAGTTTTTATTTTGATTTTATATATATATATTGTGGTTTTGAGCAGTGTATAAATTCACTTAATAATAATAATAATAATGGAACCTCCAGTGGTTTTTATTTTGATTAGATAGATAGATAGATAGATAGATAGACAGACAGGTGTATGTATGTATAGATAGATAGATAGATAGATACAGTGCTTTTGAATATTGCACAAATTCTAATAATAACAATAATAATAATAATAATAATAATAATAATTAATAATAGAACCTCCAGTGGTTTTTATTTTGATTAGATAGATAGATAGATAGATAGATAGATAGATAGATGGATGGATAGATAGATAGATATAGTGCTTTTGAATATTGCACAAATTCTAATAATAATAATAATAATAATAATAATAATAATAGAACCTCCAGTGGTTTTTATTTTGATTAGATAGATAGATAGACAGACAGACAGACAGGTGTATGTATAGATAGATAGATAGATAGATAGATAGATAGTTTTGATCATTGCACAAATTCTAATAATACTAATAATAATGGAACCTCCAGCTGCACATACAGTCTACCCTCGTTCCTAGCGTGCGGCCGGAATTTCCTCTGTAAATTTCATATCCATATTCCTATCTATATTATGACCCATATATATTATATTATATATTATATATATTATTATTATATTATATTATATTATATTATATTATATTATATTACGGCCCCATGGATTAAATCCTGCTCACCCTTTCTCTCTCTCTCTCTCTCGCCAGATCCCGCCTCCCTGCAGACCACCTCCCCCTCGCCCAGCACACCCCCCTCCCCGGCTGGCCACATCCGCCCCAGCTCCCTCCACGGCCTGGCGCCCAAACTGGGCACCGCCGGGCGCTACAAAGTCGGGCGCCGCAAGTCCACCAGCAGCATCCCCCCCTCGCCCTTGGCCTGCGCCGCCCCGCCCTCCCCGCAGAGGTCCCCCTCGCCCCTGCCGCCCTCCAAGGCGGGCAAGGCACTCTCGCCGCCCGCTGGCACCCGTGCCCACGACGGCGCCCGCTCGCCCCTGCTCCAGAGGGTCCAGTCGGCCGAGAAAATCCCCGACAAGAAGCCGGCGGGCAGGCAGAAGGCGGCGGCGGCGGCGGGCGAGGTGGGCGCTGGAGATCCCGGCGCCCGGCGATCCCTCGCCCGCCCTGGCACCGACTCCGAGTGGTGGTTATGCGCCATCTGAACCTCTCAGAGCGCCGGGACTCGTTTAAGAAGCAGGAGGCGGTGCAGGAGGTCAGCTTCGATGAGCCCGACGTGGAGGGTGCCCCCTGGCGCCCGCCGGTGCCCCACATCGCGGTGCAGGCGGACCCCGAGTGGGAGTGCCAGGGGTCCTACCCGGCCCGGCTGGAAGCCCGCGTCTACATCGAGCAGGAAGACGGCACCACGGCGGTGGAGTTCGCCAGCGTCTCGCCCCCCGGGCGCAGGACAAGCGGCGGGGCGCCCAGCCCCCCAAGGAGGCGGTTGTGGGGGGCACTGGGCACCCCCGAGAGGCCCACCGGAGCCTGGCTGCCCGCCGTGGACCAGGAAGAGGACTCTGCGCCCGGGCAGAGGGGCGTCGCGGAAGACCAGTGAACTTCCGGGGGGCAGGGAAGGAGGTGCCCGTTTCCCTGCCCGGAAGGGTGCCCGCTGCTTGCCCCACAGGAGGGCACCCAGGAATCCTGCTTGGGGGGGTCTTTTGGGGGTCCCTCAAACCAGACTGCGAAGGGGGGCTCCTCAAACTCTGGGATCTCCCCCGGGGTGTTTTGGGGGGCAGTTGGGCACGGGGGCAGCGGCGAGCCAGTTGTGGTGGGCATCTGGGCATGCCTATTTTAACCGGGGTTTGGGGGCGATATTTTTGGGGGGGATAATTCTCTTTGGGATTGGGGAAACACCTCTTCCTAGAGGGTAGGCCCAACATCTGGGGCCAGAGGGAGGGGTTGGCACCCGAAACATCGGGGGGGGGCACCGCCCCGAATGAAGAAGGGGCACAAAAAATGGGCACATTCCTCTATTTCAAAAGAGACATTTTCTCCCCAGAGTAGGGGAATATGTGGGGCTTTCCAGATATCCTTGAGATTGCCAGCCCTTCAGTTACAGAATCCCAGCTTTGGGACCCCCGGGGGTCATCCAGCCCAACCCGCGCCAACGCAGGAGTGGCGTCCCCTGCCCCGCCCACCTCCGGTCCGGGCCCCAGACCCTGCCCCGATGCCAGGGGACCCCCACCTTGGTTGCGTGGACCCTGGCGCCAGAACGCTGCTGCGATTCCTGCATTGTGACCCACTGGGGTCTAGGATTCGCACCCGGTCCCCACACCTAGAGCCGACGGAGAAGACGAGTTTTTCAGCCCCCCCGCCCGGGCATGGGAGCGGGTGGCAGACTTTGGGGGAGAAAGGGGGGAGTCCGCAAGGAATCCCCCGAATCAGGTCGGGAGCCTATGGGGAGGAGATCTGTGGGTCAGTTCCCAGCCCTGGGGGTTCAGTCTGTGGATAGAAGGGGGGACCCCGGGAGCATTGCCCAAGGAAGAAGGACAGCAGCCTGAAACAGGGTCATTTCCTGATGTGGGACCCATTTTCCTGATTGTTAAGCCATGCTGGCATTACCCTAATATTCCCAACCCTGGCCGGCAGCAGCTGTGCAGGATTCGCTCAGCCAATCTCCCAGCTGGAGATGCCAGTGGTAAGAATTGAACCCGGGACCTTCTGCAGGAAGAACTGATATTCCCCCCCTGCGCCGCAGCCCCTCTGTTACTAATAAAGTTCCTAGACCTCACTGAGCTCTACCCTGGCAGGCAGGCAGGCAGGCAGGGGTCTTTTGGGGGACCTTCTCTGCCACATTTAATCCCAAAATGTCAAGTTCCTAGTCCTCCTTGGCCGTATTTGCTTCCTGCAAATAAGCAATTTAATTTGGGGCCTGAAAGCAGGAAAACCCTGGATCTTGCAGGGATTCGGACATGCAGGGAGATTTCTGGAAGCAAGGCCAATTCCGGACAGAATAGATGCAGCTTGGCTCGCTTTCCCGATCTGCGTTTGAGGGGTGCTGCCCCCTTTTCCGCTCAGTGGGGACCCCAGACTCCTATCCTACAAGCCCCCCCACAGTATAGATATATATCCGGGTTCCCCAAACTGCTTCCCCATTAAACTTTGCCCTGATTACTTATGGTGTCCTCAACTTTCCCATCTGCGAAATGGGCTCCCCTGAATTTAACCCAATCTTTGTATGGTGGCAGCAGAAAGTTTGGGGCTGCTCAGCTCTCGCACAGGGTTTCTCGGGATAAGTTCGGATTTGGAAATTTGGGGGTGGGGTTGGGGAACCCCCTCCTCGGTTTGCTGTACGGAAAACGGTCTCTGGAAGCCCGTTTTTGGGAAGGAAAATAAAGTAAGTTATGAATGGAGCAAGAAGAAATGGCTGTCTTTTTTATTCCGAGGTGGATTGGGGGGGAAGGATGTGAAATGGGGGTCTGGGTTGCAAAACAAGCCCCCAAAAATGCATTTTTGAGGGGTGGGAGAAAGAGGAGGGTGATTCGCACCCAAAGCGCTAAGGATAAGATTTTGGAGAAATGATGCGAAATGATATTTTGGCTTCGGAGTTTGGGAAAAATGCAATTAAGAGGCAATTCGCTTAATTTTCGTTTTATTTCTTTACATTCTTTACATTCTTTACATTTTAAGGGGGTTATATTCCCAAAGTTTTGCAAGCCTTCATAACGGCATCGAAAGCAACCTTGCAGAAAATGGCAAATATAAAATAGGCGTTCAAAGCAATAGAATTAACAAAAAAAACACAACCCAAAATATCGGCGATTTCAAAATAGGAAGTACAGAATATTATTATTATTAATAATAATTGGTTTTTTAAAAATATTTTTATTAAGTACAAATTAGAAAACATACATATTTACAACAAAAGAAAATACAAAAGAAAAAGAAAATACATATAACCAAGGGGGGGAAAATAGAGAATATTATGTCTCTTTTCATATTTACAGTTATTTATACCTCGATAAAATGCTATTCACAATAAAGGAATGAAATGAAAGATATCAGAAAAAAGAAAAAAAGAACAAAGAAAAAAAGAAAGAAGTAAAAGAAAATGATCAGACGTGAAAATTTTCACCTTATATATATATATATATATTAATAATAATAATAATTGATCGAGTTCCAAATACATTCACGCCCCTATTTATTTGTTAATTCATATCTGCATATAGGAATTAATTTATTTTTACACCAATTTTTTCTTATAGAGAGGAATTCCTTTTTATTTATTTATTATACATATATATAAAAAGCAAAACAAATTGTATAGAAATATTGTGCCTATAAAACATATACATAACATTTCATTCACATATACAGTATATGCATTGTTTTCTACATATAAAGTATCAATATTTTTCACTTTATATATAATTGTATATGAGATAGAAATTAAATAAGGACACAAAGAGGTTTCATTGTTTCATATTTATTAGCAAATGGCTTCAAATTAACCTGGAGGCGTGAACATTCGATGACGTCACGGCAAGCGCTCGGCCTTTTCCGGACGGGCTCGCTTTGAGGCGTCGGCAAGTTCCGTAGCTCGTCGGCAGCGCTCGGCTCTTTCCGTACCCAGAGGGCTCGCGGCGGCTTCTTCGTACCGTCTCGGGCGCTCTCGGCTCTTTCCGGAACCCCTGGGCGCGTCACTTCCGCCCGGCGTTCGGGCTTCTTCGTGCAGAGAGAAGCCCGTAGAGGAAAAGAGCTAAAGCAAAGCAGCATGAATTCCGGTTGTATGTCAACACTGTGAAAGAGGAGAGCGCAAAATATGGTCTGAAGCTCAACATCAAAAACTGAAGATCATGGCCACTGGTCCCATCACCTCCTGGCAAACAGAAGGGGAAGAAATGGAGGCAGTGAGAGATTTGACTTTCTTGGGCTCCATGATCACTGCAGATGGTGACAGCAGTCACGAAATTAAAAGACGCCTGCTCCTTGGGAGAAAGGCGATGGCAAACCTAGACAGCATCTTAAAAAGCAGAGACATCACCTTGCCAACAAAGGTCCATATAGTTCAAGCAATGGTTTTCCCAGTAGTGATGTATGGAAGTGAGAGCTGGACCATCAAGAAGGCTGATCGCCGAAGAATGGATGCTTTTGAACTCTGGTGCTGGAGGAGACTCTTGAGAGTCCCATGGACTGCAAGAAGATCCAACCTCTCCATCCTTAAGGAACTCAGCCCTGAGTGCTCACTGGAAGGACAGATCCTGAAGCTGAGGCTCCAAGACTTTGGCCACCTCATGAGAAGAGAAGACTCCCGGAAAAGACCCTGATGTTGGGAAAGATGGAGGGCACAAGGAGAAGGGGACGACGGAGGACAAGATGGTGGGACAGTGTTCTCGAAGCTACCAGCATGAGTTTGACCAAACTGCGGGAGGCAGTGGAAGACAGGAGGGCCTGGCGTGCTCTGGTCCAGGGGGGCACCAAGAGGCGGACACGACTAAATGACAACAACAAATGTCAACACTCTCTCCATGTCCCATATCAATATTGACTTTTGCTGATTGATTTAAGTGCTGCTTATTAAATTTGCATTGCCATTTGCTTCCTCAATTTGCATATTTTTATTGCTTTTTTCAGATTGATTTGGCCCACATTGCAAAGGCTGCCACTCTCTCCGAGAACTGAGTTCTCTCAATGTCTTTGTGCTGCTTTGATCTTGGAGGAAAAGGAGGAGATAAAAGAAAGAACGAAGGAAATGAATCAATAAACGAATGTTTCCTGCATTGCAGTAATAATAATTATAAAGGGTATAAATAAAATGAATCCTAATCAATAATAACTATTATCAGTCCCTCCAGAAAAACACTTTTGACTCGAGAAAATCACCATTTTATAGATCAAATTGGAGGAAATAAACACACCAAATGGGCAAAAGGCACAGGAAAAAAGGCAATGAATTCGTTTTTTAAAAATAATAATAGTAGAAAGAGATAATCAATGTTTTATATTTGCTGTTAGCCGCCCTGAGCCCGGTTTTTAAAGGGCGGCGTATAAATAAAAAAATTATATTCTTATTCTTATTCTTATATTCTTATTCTTATATTCTTATATTCTTATTCTTAGATTCTTATTCTTGATTCTTAGATTCTTATTCTTAGATTCTTATTCTTATTCTTAGATTCTTATTCTTATTCTTAGATTCTTATTCTTAGATTCTTATTCTTATTCTTATATTCTTATTCTTAGATTCTTATTCTTAGATTCTTAGATTCTTATTCTTATTCTTAGATTCTTATTCTCAGATTCTTAGTCTTATTCTTAGATTCTTATTCTTATTCTTATTCTTATTCTGAGATTCTTATTCTTATTCTTATTCTTATATTCTTATTCTTATTCTTAGATTCTTATTCTTCTTCTTAGATTCTTATTCTTCTTCTTAGATTCTTCTTCTTCTTCTAGATTCTTATTCTTAGATTCTTATTCTACTCCAGGCCGAAAAGAACCCTGCCGTGCCGCCTCGCCCACAAAACCGCCCGCCCTCTTTGGTCTCCGAGCCCCTTCGGCTCCGCTCGGCGCTGCTCGGGCCTTTCCGCCGCCGCTCGGCCATTTCCGCCTCTCCGGGGCTTTCCGCTGGCTGCAGCGGCGCTGGACAGGAACGGATCGCTCCGCGGGCGAGAGGTGGGTGCAGGCCGGACCCCCCCAGGGGGTGCTTTTTTTTTGGGGGGGGGGGGGGGGACATATTGCATTGCATTGCACCCCTCCCCACAGCTCAGCCCAATTGCACACCCCCTCCCAACCCAGAACAGCATTGCAATTTTATTTTTGATTTTTTTCTGGGGGGTGGGGGGTGGGATTTGCAACATGCAAAATAATTAGGGGTGGGGGAGACTTTTAAAAAATATATTTTAATTGCAATCGCTGCAAACCGCCCCTTGCATTTTGCACAACTCTCTTGCTTTTTTTGCAGGGGGGGGAGTTTAAAAATGAAGCATTTAAAGGGTTTTGGGGGGGCGGGACGTGAGCATTTATTTTGGGGGGGTTAATAAAAGGCTGCTGCATATATAGAATTTGGAGGAAGCGCAGAACCCTATTTGCATCGGGGGAGGGTTGTGGGTGTTAAAAACGAAGGCCCATTTTTTTGGAGGGGGGGGCTGTTTGCAGCCAGGAATGTTGCCGCATATATATATATATATAATTTCTTGCAAATCTCATCCCATGTGGATAATTCTCTTTTTTTGGAGGGGGTTTCCTCTTTAGCGTATTTCTCCCCCCCCCCAAAAAAAGCATCTTGAGCTTTTCTTACTGCTAATTATCAGCAATCAGAATCGGGGCGCTTGCAAGTTTGGCAACAAATGTTTTCCAAAGGAATCTGCCACTTGCAGCCCATTCTGTATCCATGCACCCCTTTTCCTTCTTTTTTTTGGGGGGGGGCCTTGTGATCCACTGGATTCCCCCCCATGAACTTCCTCCAAACCCCACTTCATCGCAATTTCCCTTTGCATTCTCAAGTTTTTCCTCCCCAGGAGAAAACGGAGGAGGAAATTTCTCTTGTTTTAATTTCTTTTTTAATAATAATAATAATCGTGCTTTATTTTTTAAGTCGCCAGAATTACATACATGAGGATATATACACAGTTTGGGTGTATATGTATATATGTGTGTGTGTATTTTTATATTTTTACATTTATAAATTAAATAAAAGCTTTCCTTGTGAGCCGCAAGCAGGAGACAATAGACCCTTTTTGTTTCCTTCCTTGGGGTGCTGTTGACCGTGGACACGATCCAACCGCTGCTGGTAAATTGTAGATTTATTATGGTTCCTGTATGGAGCCTCCATGGACAGTGCCAGTCTACCTTAGAAGGCTATTCTGCTTGGGACCAAGCCAGGAACCTGAACTCGGGCCCTGAACCAGATGATCCCCTACCCCTCTCACATCTGGAGGCTAAATAATAATAATAATTATTATTATGTATTATTATTAAGTTGCCCCAGCCACTCTGGGCAGCTTCCGGCCCGCACGAAATTAACAACGAAACATCAAACGTTAAAAATAACGATCGGCTCCTATATATATATGTTAAAAAGTCGCGACGACTTGAAAATAAACCACTTACACCAAAGAAAGGAATATGCGACTGCGCATTAGAATCCAGTAGCTAAAATTAAACCCCAGCAAGGAATTAATTCGGCCGTCGACGCTTCTCGCAATAAACGACCGCACGTCTGTAACGAGAAAATAGCAGCGTTGCCTAAAAATGCAATCTTGCAAAACGACGTGAAAGGGTTAAATGAAGAAACGAAGACGCGCTAATTATTATTATTATTTATTTATTTATACGCCCCCCCCTCCACCCGGCTGGGTTTCCGCAGCTACTCTCGGCGGCCTCCGACAAAATATTAAAAAATACAATAATCCCGTCAAATATGGAAAGCTTCCCTAAACGTATAAAGTTATTTAAAACGAGACGGAACGAAAATTAATTCGAAAATCCCGCCTTCTTAGTGCGCTTGCAAGGCGCTAGTCCTCAGCGTTGCAGCGGGGTCAGACTAGATGACCCCTGGAACCCCTTCCCAGCCTTACATTTCCTCTCTCCTCCTCTTCCCTCCGCTCCTCCTCCTCGTATTCTCGCACCCGGAAGGAATTTTTCCCCATCTTTTTCTCCCGACTCCGGAGAAAAAAATCCTTTTTCTCTCTGGCTCTCTGTGTCCCGCCCCCCCACCCCCTTTTCCCGGACCCCCAAACCGGATTCTTGCTTCCAGGCCCCTCTGTCTTACTCTGGGGAAAGAGCCAGGATCCTGCCCGCCACCCCCAACCGAAGACGGGAAAGGATGAGAGAGCCGTAAATCTCAAATTTTATTTTTAAAGTAAGAATTGGGAGAGGAGGTGGGAATCGCGCCCAGCCGTGGGATCGGGGCCGGGGTTTGGGAGGGAAGGAAGAGTCAGAAAGCCATTTTCTAGTTAGAATGATGTTGGATTGAAGTTAAGTGGTTTCTAGCTGTAATGGTCAAAGAATATGGGAAAATTGGATTTTCAATAGGTCAAAATTAATGCTATCATATATTAAGATTAAAGATTAGGATAAAATAAGGAGGAAAGGAATTGCTGAACTAATAAATTGAACCGGAATACAAAAAGGGAGGCATGGGGAGGTCCGGGAAACCAGTAAAAGAAAGATAAGTGCCGAAACGAGGGAATTGTTTTTAATTGTGGTTTTTTTTTATTGTATTTTGTATTTTTCTTTTCTCTGTTTTTCTTATCAATGTAATCTTTTTTTGAAACTTTAATAAATATCATTTAAAAAACAAACAAAAAGAAAGCCATTTTTTGTAGTTTTATATCTTGGTTCTGTTCTGAGACTCCCCAGGTATAGGGCAGTAAATAAATTCAGATAATAATAATAATAATAATAATAATAATGGAACCTCCAGCTGCAGGGACAGTCTACCTGGATTTCTACCTTTTGGCCGGACTTTTCTCTGTAAATTCGATTTCCCTATTCCACAATTGTTCCCATGCGTCCGTTTCTATATTATGACCCGTATTGATGGCCCAATGGATTTTACCTGCTCACCCTTATGATTATGATTATTATTATTATTCCTCCTCCTCTTCTTCTTTCTTCGTCTACTTCTTCGTTCCCGGCCAGGCCTTGGCATTGACTGCTTCTACTTTGCGCGGCAAACCCAGCCAGATGGGCAAGGAATAAAGAATATATTATTATTATTATGTATTATTGATGTATTATTATTATTATTCTCTCCTTTCCCCCCGGATGGGCGAGGAATAAAGAATATATTATTATTATTATTATTATTATTATTAATTGAATAATTCTCTCCTTTCCCCCCAGATGGGCGAGGAATAAATAATATATTATTATTAATATTTTATTATTATTAATTGAATAATTCTCTCCTTTTCCCCTGGATGGGCGAGGAATAAAGAATATATTATTATTATTATTATTATTATTATTAATTGAATAATTCTCTCTTTTTCCCCTGGATGGGCGAGGAATAAAGAATATATTATTATTATTATTATTAATTGAATAATTCTCTCTCCTCCTCCCCCCCCCCCGCTGCTTTTCCAGGGTCCCCATCCTGCGCATCGGAAACACCCGCCCGCCGGAAAACCCCGCTCGGCCGCCGCCGCTTCCCCCGCCTCCCCGGATTATGCTGGTCGCTCCCTCCCTCTGCTCCATCGTCTGGCTGAGTCGCGGGTTCAAGTTGCGGGAGCGCGGCTGCACTTAAGGGGGTGGCTGGGCGTTGCGCGGACCCTGCAGACGCCGCCCGGCGCCTCCTTGCTTTGCCGACCCCCAGACCCCCCAGACCTGACCCATGAGAAGCCCCCCGGAAGCGTAGCGGCGAGGGGCTCTTTTCCTCATCCCTCCGCGGAGCGCTTTCCTCCGCTCGCTCCGCGCGGGAAGCATGGGCAGCGCCGACGGCTTCCAATACCGGGCCTTGTACCCGTACCGCAAGGAGCGGGAGGCCGACATTGACCTGCTGCCCGGAGACACCCTGGTGGTCAGCAAGGGGGCGCTCCAGGCGCTGGGGTTCAAGGAGGGCGACGAACAGACCCCCCACCAGATCGGCTGGATCCTGGGGGTCAACGAGCGGACCAAGCAGAAGGGCGACTTCCCCGGGACCTACGTGGAGTACGTGGGGCCGGTCAAGATCCCCCTGCCGCCCCACCGGCCCCGGGGGATCAGGCCCCTGCCGGCCGCACCGGCGTCAAAAGAGGAAGCAGGTGAGGTGCGGGGATGACGAGCGCGGCGAGCAGGGCGGATAAAAATCTATTCTTATGTTTTTATTTTATTTTTATTTTAAAAAATCGGATTAAAAAAAATTAAATTGGATTTTTTTAAAAAAAATAGATTTTAAAAAATTTAAATCGGATTTTTAAAATAAAATGCTTTCAGAGGAAAAACCTTTCTAAAGATTTTCTGTTTGAGTTACATTGTAGCCCAAAGGCTACAATCAGGAAGGAAGGATTTGTTTAAAGTTTTTCATGTTGCTGAAACTCAGTCTAAGTTACTGTTTTTTTAATCGTTTCACCACATTGGTTAAGGAAAAGGGATACATATGCTGCAACGTTATTGCTTTCGTTAAATAAATTGTTATTAAGGAAATGATTGGTTTTTCCTATAGCGGAAAAGTTGTCCAAATATAAAGTTCACTTATTCAACCTCACAATAATGTTCATCATTATCTATGTAAGAGTAGAACCAAATCAGTAATTTCATGACTGAAAAGTACTCTGAAAATTTGATTTAAATAAAACCCACCCTGGTGATTTAAATGGTGATTTAAGTTGATTTGATTTAAATCCATTTAAATCGCACCGGACTTGGGTGCGAAATCCTGCGCATCCTGGTGATTTAAATGGTGATTTAAATGGATTTGATTTAAATAAAACCCACCCTGGTGATTTAAATGGTGATTGAAATGGATTTGATTGAAATCAATTTAAATCGCACCGGACTCGGGTGCGAAATCCTGTGCAACCTGGTGATTTAAATGGTGATTGAAATGGATTTGATTGAAATAAACCCCTCCCGATTTCTCCTTCCCCAGGGTTGGCGCTCCCCGAACTCTCTGAGCAGTTTGCTCCCCCCGAGGTGGCGCCCCCCCTGCTGTGCAGGCTGGTGGACGCCATTGAGAAGAAAGGTGAGCAAAATGGGGGGGGCAGGTACTTTTTGGCGGGGTGCTAGTCCTCATGAAAAGGCTTTTCGTGAATTTGGGAGGGTCTCTCCTTCCCTTTCCCTTTCCTTACGTTTTTAGCCCTTTTTAAAAGGGGTGGTTTCAAAGGTGCGCCTTGACTCCTGGTCTGGGAAAGAGGCAGGACCACATAAATAATAATATATATTATTATTATTATTATGTATTATTATTACAGCCAGATGGGAGGGCCATAAATAAGTTGATGATGTTGTTCTTGTCGTCATTACAGCCAAATGGGAGGGTTATAAATTATTATTATTATTACTATTATTATTATTATTATTACAGCCAGATGGGAATGTTATAAATATATTATTCCTTTTCTTCTTCTTATTATTATTACTACAGCCAAATGGGAGGGTTATAAATTATTATTATTACTATTATTATTATTATTATTACAACTATAATTATTATTATTATTATTACAGCCAGATGGGAATGTTATAAATATATTATTCCTTTTCTTCTTATTATTATTATTACTACAGCCGGATGGGAGGGTTATATATAAATTATTATTAGTAGTAGTTGAATAAGGGGTTGGTGGGAACCCAGGTGGAGCTTTTTCAAGGAAAGCTTTTTAATTTAGTACTTATTTCCCCCGTGGAGAGTGGGGTGGGGTGGGGGTCCCGCGCCCCTCGAGACCCCCCAAGTCGACCGGCTGTGTGTTTTCCCCTTAGGGCTGGACAGTGCATCTCTCTATCGGACGTCCTGCTCAGAGCTGAGGCTGGGAGCTGGTGAGTTACAGGCTTCTGGGGTGCAAAATTGGATTATTATTCTTATTTTTATTATTATTACTATTATTATTTTCTCCCCCCAGACTGGGCTGCGTCTGGCGACTTGGACGCCTTCGATGCCCCGTCTCTGGGAGAAGCTCTCAAGGGGTACCTGCAAGACCTGCCCACCCCGGTAGTCCCACCCGGACTCGGGTGCGAAATCCTGCGCATCCTCCAGGGTGAGGCGTATTCTCATTTTCACAAACATTTTAGGGGTTGTGTGTGTGTGTGTATATATATACAGTGGTACACTGGTTCCCAAACTTAATCCATTTCCCCAAAATATTGGGCATTTTCTAGACGGAAAAACATGGAAATTCCGTTCCAAAACCAAAGCGTTCCAAAACCAAGACATGCTTTCCCATAGAAATTCATGCAAAATGGATTAATCCGTTCCAGGCTTTTAAAAGCAACCCCTAAAACAGCCATTTAATGTGAATTTTACTATCTAATGAGACCATTGATCCATAGAATGAAAGCGATAATCAGTGTACTGTATTATAAATTAAATAAGGCAGTATTGTAGATGATAAAAATTAAAATTACCTGCAATGATAATAGCCATTGTTTGGATGGGGGGCTTTTATCCATTTCCCCAGCCACACAATCAGTCAATCAATCAATCAATCAATCAGTAGCTGAACTGGGTTAACCAAAGTTAACCAAAAAAGCCTCAAAAATTCAAAATAAAGAGCAAAATTTCCAAACTTCATCCGTTCCGGAAGTCTGTCTGACTTCCAAAATGTTCAAAAACCAAGGCGCAATTTTGGACATTATTTTTTAGGGGGAAAACCTCACACGCAGGAAGAATGGAATAATAAATTTAATGATTATTTAGTCAAATTTCTTAAGTTAAGCTAACTGGAAACAGCTTGCAGATACTTAATGGGCTTAGGATTTTATTGATGTTAAGTGATGAATTAATAGGTTTAATTCTATAAGGTGAAGATTTAAGGATGTTCATGTTTAAGTTAAATTGCATAAAAATTGGGATTTGGAAAACCGTTCAAAGGACCTGCAATGAAATTCAACCGAGGGGAAGCGAGGAAGTCACTGAACAAAGTTAATAAGTGTAATTTTTAATAAGGCCATGATTTATGCTTGTTTGTTTGTCTTGTGTGTTTGTTTGTTTATAATATCGTGAAAACCGATAAAAAAAATTTTGGGGGAAAAAACTTTGCACACGGAAAAATATGGCAAGTTTGATCACCAAGGTACCCCTGAGCGCGTGCAGAGTGCCTGGGTTCTCCTGGACCCAGGACTTTGGGGGGGGGTCCTTTGAGCCCCCCGAACCGTTCTCTTCTTTTATTTTTTTTTTGGGAAATTAACCCCCTCCTTTCCGTTTTTGCAGACGCCCCCCCTCCGGACTCTGGCCGGCAGCATCTCCTGTCTCTTCTGGCACCACCGGCCATGCCCCTGGCGCACCTGCTGACGCTGCAGTTCCTCCTGCGCCACTGGGCCAAGGTGGCCGAGCAGGCCGAGAGCAACGGGCTGGGGCCCCGGGCCCTGGGGGAGCTCTTCGGGGGCCTGGTCCTGCGGGGGGCGCCGGCCGCCAGGTGGGTCAGGACCCGGGACCCCTCTCTGGGCACCCGCTCTGCTCTGGTTTAGTCTGCCCTGAGACCTCTGGGGAGAGGGCGATTATTATTATTATTATTATTATTATTCTATCTATCATCTATCTCTTTCTATCTCTTTCTATCTATATCTATCTATCTATCTATCTATCTCATCTATCATCTATCTCTATCTATATCTATCTATCTATCTAGATCTATCTCATTTTTCTATCTCTATCATCTATCAATCAATCATCTATCTATCTATCATCTATCTATCATCTATCTCTTTCTATCTCTATCTATCTATCTATCTATCTGTCTATCTCTATCATCTATCTATCTATCTATCATCTCTATCTATTTCATCTATCTATATCTATCTGTTATCTATCTATCATCTATCTATCTCATCTATCTAGATCTCATTTTTCTATCACTATCATCTATCTATCTATATCTATCTATCTATCTATCTATCATCTATCTATCTATCTATCTCTCTCTATCTAGATCTCATTTTTCTATCTCTATATCTATCTATATCTATCTATCATCTATCTATCTATCATCTATCTATCTATCTATCATCTATCTATCTATCTATCTATATCTATCTATCTATCTATCTATCTATCTATCTATCTATATCTCTATCTATCATCTATCTATCTATCTATCTATCTATCTATCATCTATCTATCTATTTCATCTATCTATCTATATCTATCTATTATCTATCTATCATCTATCTATCTATCTCATCTATCTAGATCTCATTTTACTATCTCTATTATCTATCTATCTATCTATCTATCTATCTATCTATCTCTATCTATCTATCATCTATCTATCTATCTATCTATCTATCTATCTATCTCTATCTATCTATCTATCTATCTATCATCTCTATCTATTTCATCTATCTATCATCTATCTATCTATATCTATCTGTTATCTATCTATCTATCTATCTATCTCATCTATCTAGATCTCATTTTTCTATCTCTATCATTTATCTATCTATCTATCATCTATCTCTTTCTATCACAAAAACCTGACCTGATGGAGAGAAACGGATGCCATTTCCTGATTCAGCAGTGCAAAAATACCCTAAATCAGTTGTAGAAATCTAGACAACATTCAAAAAGTAAAAAATTATTACCCAGTCTTATTATTATTAATAGCAGTAGTAGTAGTAGTAAGAGGGTGGATTTGACTTAAATCGAATTGATTTACATTCAAATCAAATGAAATCAAATTGATTTAAATCACAATTTAAATCAATAGTCAGTAAGACTTGATTTAAAAATAATAATAATAAATAAATAATAATAATAGCTAGGAGTGCTAGTAACGGTGGATTTGACTTAAAGCGAATTGATTTAAATTTAAAGCAGATTAATTTCAATCAAATGAAATCAAATTGATTTGAATCACAATTGAAATCACTACTCAGCAAGACTTGATTTAAAATAATAATGTAATAATAATAATAATAACTAGTAGTAGTAGTAGCGGGGTGGATATCATTTAAATCGAATTTATCTAAGTCACTAGTCGGTAAGACTTGATTTCAATCTTCTTTTTAATTACGGAAAGGTTCCGCCTTGCTGGCACCCTCGTTAAGATTGACAACCAGAGAAAGGTTTCATTTTTGGAATCGTAAATTCCAGTTCTATCAAAAATTACTGATTTTTTAGCAAACAATGATGATCAAGTCTTCCAGGGGTTTTGCAAATGGAACCAGAGTCGAGCCATATCTGATGCCCCTAGTCCCGTTAAATAATGATAATAATATATAATATTGATAACTGAATCTCCCTCCGTATTCAATTAATCACGGCATGTGTGCAAATTATTAAGGGGGTAACCCTGGGGTCTTTTCTGCCCCCCCAGCGCCGAGGGGACCCCGGATTTCTCCGCCCTTTTCCTGGAGCTGCTCCTGGAGGCGAAAGACCCCGAGGCTGATTTGCCCCCGCCAGGTAGGAATCGGGACCCGGTTGTGGGTGCGAGTGGCGACGGCGGGGGGGACGGGACACACGGGTTCGGATCTCGGGATCTGGGCATAGAAAGGTGGGGGGCTGCAGGACCAGAATAAGGGGCGGCGACCCGCCTTTCCGTCAAGTCGAAAGGGGGCCCCCCAGCGGTCATCTAGCCCAACCCGCTCCAAGCGACAGCGAGTTTATTCCACGGAAATATTGACACCTTTATTTTCCCTTTCCTTTTATTTCCTTTTGTTTATTTTATATTCAATTTATATTATTTCTTTTATTTCTTTTATATTTGATTCTTTTATATTTTTATTCTTTTATTTATTTTATATTTTTATTATTTATTTTATATTATTTATTATATTATTTTTTATTATTTTTTATTTTATTTTTTATTATTTTTTATTTTATATTTGATTATTCTATATTTTTATTACTTTCTTTATTTTATATTTTCATTATTTATTTTATATTATTTTTTATTTTATTTTATATTATTTCTTTTATTTCTTTTATATTTGATGATTTTATTTTTTCTCATTTTTTATTTTTTATTTTTTCTTATTTTTTCTTATTTTTTATATTTTTATTCTTTTATTTATTTTGTATTTTATTTCATATTTTATTTTATATTTTATATGGATTTAATTCATTAATTTCTTTTATATTTGATTCTTTTATATTTTTATTCTTTTATTTATTTTATATTTTTCTTATTTCTTTTATTTCACATTTTATATTGATTTAATGAATTAATTGGGTGGGGGCGGGGGAGGAAATGGTCCTCCGGCTTTTCTTGACCCCCCTTTCTCTTTCTAGCCCTGCCCCCCAAGCCTCCCAAACCCAAGCCGGCAGCCTCAGCCCCGCTGGCCAACGGGAACGGCACCACCCTCCAAGACGCAGAGTGGTATTGGGGCGACATTTCCAGGTAAAATGGGGGGCTGGGGGCGGTATTATTGTATTTCAATATTTTCAATATTTTCAATATTTTCAGTATTTTCAATATTTTCAATATTTTCAATATTTTCAATATTGAATATTGCCTTTAATCTTTTGCTGGAAGATGGGCGGGGTAGAAATAATAAATTACGACGATGAGACATAGATGCAAATAAATAATCAGCATATAAACGCCAATCAATAATCCCCGTCTCCCCCAGGGAGGAAGTGAACGAAAAGCTCAGGGACACCCCAGACGGGACGTTCCTGGTCCGGGACGCATCCAGCAAAATCCAGGGCGAATACACACTGACGCTCAGGTGAGTCCAGGCTCCCAGTTTTTTGGGGAGGAGAGGCAAAAACTGCCCTCCAGGTTTTGCAAAGGGAAAAAAAAGGGCGTTGTTAACCTGCGGAACTGCCTGCCACTTGACGGCCGCTAATTTCTCGTGGGATTCCCATGTTGCCGGCATCCTCCTTTGCAAAGCACCTGAAATAAAATTTTATGTTTTCCGTATCTTCTTTTGAGACTTTGCCCCAAAATAAGAAAGCGCTGACGACTTTGGCCAAGAAACTCCCGAATGATTACAGAATTTAAAAGCTCAAGACAAGATAAAATGCCGTAGAATCACATTTTTGTATCATTTATGGTCATTCATCTGCCAGGAAGGAAACTGACCTGTAGGAAGGAAGCGCCTCTTGAAAAACGAGATAGTGGACGTATTTTTGTAAACTAAGAATTCTTTAATAAAAATATATTTAAAAGGAAGGAAGGGGGAAGAAAGAAGCAAGGAAGGAAAGGGAGAAAGGGATGGGAGAAAAAGAGAGAGAGAGAGAGAAGGAAGGAAGGAGGGAGAGGAAGGAAGGTGAGAGAAAGAAGGAAGGAAGGAAGGAAAGAAAGAAAGAGAAGAGAAGGAGAGAGAGAGAGAGAGAGAAAGTAGGAAGGAAGAAGGAAGGAGGGAAGGTGAGAGAGAGAGAGAAGGAAAAAAGGAAGGAGGGAAGGAAGGAAGGAAGGAAGGAAGGAAGGAAGGAAGGAAAGAGAGAGAGAGAGAGAGAAACAAGGAAGGAAGGAAGGAAAGAAAGAGAAGGAAGGAGAGAGAGAGAGAAAGAAAGAGAAAGAGTAAGAAGGAAGGAGGGAAGGTGAGAAGAGAGAGAGAGAAGGAAAAAGGAAGGAAGGAAGGAAGGAGAAGGAAGGAAGGAAGGAAAGAGAGAGAGAGAGAGAGAGAAAGAAAGAAAGAAAGGGGAGAGAAAGAGAGAAGGAAAAAAGGAAGGAAGGAAGGAAGGAAGGAAAGAAAAAGGGAAGGGAAGAAACCCTTCTGACTTGGAAGTGTCCCATCGGCAGATTAAATTCCCTTCTCAATTACGCGAGTCCCGGGTGCGAATCCTGCTCTGTCGCGTTTTTCTGGCCCCAAATCTCCTCCTCCTCCCTGCAGGAAAGGAGGGAACAACAAGCTGATCAAGATCTTCCACCGCGAAGGAAGTACGGCTCGGAGCCGCTGACCTTGGCTCGGTGGTGGAGCTCATCACCCACTACCGGCACGAGTCCCTGGCCCAGTACAACGCCAAGCTGGACACCCGCCTCCTCTACCCCATCTCCAAGTACCAGCAGGTGGGTCGGGGGGGGATTATTATGATGATGATTATGATTATTTAAGAAGCAATGGGGAGCCCCCAAAGGCAGGGTGGGCCGCCCGGACCAGTTTCCAGCAAAAAAACAAGAAATGCAGGTAGACTGCGCCCGCAGCTGGAGGCTCCATTATTATTATCCTTATTCTTATTATTAAAAATAATTATTATTATTATCTAAAAAACACCAAGAAATCCAGGTAGACTGCGCCTGCAGCTGGAGGTTCCATTATTATTATTATTATTATTATTAAATCCAGGTAGACTGTGCCTGCAGCTGGAGGTTCCATTATTATTATTATTATTATTATTATTATTAAATCCAGGTAGACTGTGCCTGCAGCTGGAGGTTCCATTATTATTATTATTATTATTATTAAATCCAGCTAGACTGCGCCTGAAGCTGGATTTTCCATTATTATTATTATTATTATTATTATTATTATTAAATCCAGGTAGACTGCACCTGCAGCTGGAGGTTCCATTATTATTATTATTATTATTATAAAATCCAGGGAGACTGCGCCTGCAGCTGGAGGTTCCATTATTATTATTATTATTATTATTATTAAATCCAGGTAGTCTGCGCCTTCAGCTGGAGGTTCTTTTCTTATTATTATTATTATTATTATTATTATTAAATCCAGGTAGACTGTGCCTGCAGCTGGAGGTTCCATTATTATTATTATTATTATTATTATTATTATTATTATTATTAAATCCAGGTAGACTGCACCTGCAGCTGGAGGTTCCATTATTATTATTATTATTATTATTATTATTATTATTAAATCCAGGTAGACTGCGCCTGCAGCTGGAGGCTCCATTATTATTAATAAGAATAAGAATAATATACTGCCCCTATGCCCAGAGGTCTCAGGGCCCAGCATCCTCTTTCCCCAGGGGCCGGAAAGCTGCCCCACCGCAAAAAGCCGCAAGCGGGATCCGGGTTCGAGAGCATCGCAGTTGATTGATTGATTAGATTTGTAGGCTTCCCTCCTGTGGTTCCCGGCCGTTGGCATGAAGGCGGCCCACCCGCCTCCTTCCTCGGAGGTCCCCCAGCGGAGTTTGGAGGGCCGCCGGCCTGGGTTTCTGGATCCGGGGTGCCGGCGGGTTGGGATGGATGACCCCTGGGGGTCCCACCATGTCGGGCTTCTCCTTGGCAGGACCAAGTGGTGAAGGAGGACAGCGTGGAGGCCGTCGGGGAGCAGCTGAAAGTCTACCACCAGCAGTACCAGGACAAGAGCCGGGAGTATGACCTGCTCTACGAGGAATACACTCGCACCTCCCAGGTGAGCCGGACTCGGGCAGGCAGCCTCACTTGCGGGGCAGAGCCAGCCAGTTTCGCACCCGGGACCCGCTGCTGCAAAGCTGGCTTGCTCTGAACCTTAAGCTTCTAGTCCTCAGTGTTGTGAACTCTGCTCAATAGGAGCCCTGCGCCCTTGGTATTGCCCACACGGGCTGGCAGGCAGCCTCACTTGTGGTTGCTCTTAAGTTTCTAGTCCCCAACATGAACTCTGCTCACTAGGAGCCTGCAAGAAGCTGCCTTGCGCCCTTGGTATTGCCTACACGGGCTGGCAGCTGCCTCTGGCAGGCAGCCTCCTTTGCGGTTGCTCTGAACCTTCAGTTTCTAGCCCTCAGTGTTATGACCTCTGCTCAATAGGAGCCCTGCGCCCTTGGTATTGCCCACACGGGCTGGCAGGCAGCCTCACTTGCGGTTGCTCTTAAACTAAAGTTTCTAGTCCTCAATATGACCTCTGCTCAATAGGAGCCTGCAAGAAGCTGCCTTGCGCCCTTGGTATTGCCTACACGGGCTGGCAGCTGCCTCTGGCAGGCAGCCTCACTTGCGGGGCTGAGCCGGACCCGAATATCGCACCCAGGACCGACTGCTGCAAAGCTGGCTTCCTCTGAACCTTCAGTTTCTAGTCCTCAGTGTTATGAACTCTGCTTAATAGGAGCCCTGCGCCCTTGGTATTGCCCACACGGGCTGGCAGGCAGCCTCACTTGTGGTTGCTCTTAAACTGAAGTTTCTAGTCCTCAACATGACCTCTGCTCAATAGGAGCCCTGCGCCCTTGGTATTGCCTACACAGGCTGGCAGCTGCCTCTGGCTGGCAGCCTCCTTTGCGGTTGCTCTGAACCTTCAGTTTCTAGCCCTCAGTGTTGTGAACTCTGCTCAATAGGAGCCCTGCGCCCTTGGTATTGCCCACACGGGCTGGCAGGCAGCCTCACTTGTGGTTGCTCTTCAACTGAAGTTTCTAGTCCTCAGTGTTATGACCTCTGCTCAATAGGAGCCCTGCGCCCTTGGTATTGCCCACTCTGGCTGGCAGCCTCACTTGTGGTTCCTCTTGTGGCCGCCCCCCAGGAGCTGCAGATGAAGCGGACGGCGATTGAGGCCTTCAATGAGACCATCAAGATCTTTGCAGAGCAGTGCCAGACGCAGGAGAAGTGCAGCCGCGATTTCATCGAGCGCTTCCGCAGGGAGGGGAACGACAAGGAGATCCAGCGGTTATTACTATTTTTATTATATAATTATCTTGCAAGCTCTCGCTATTATTACTATTATTATTTAACGGGACCACGGGCATCAGCTACGGCTCAAATCTGGTTCCATTTGCAAAATCCCTTTATTACTATTATTGCTATATAATTACCCTGCAAGCTCTCGTTATTATTATTACTATTATTAATAATAATAATAATATTGCAAGCACTGGTTGTTGTATTTTTATTTTTATTTTATTTTTATTATTATTATTATTATTATTATTACATATAATTCTTATCCTGCAAGCCACAGCTTCAGATGAGTTTGATAAATTTAAATTTATCTAACGTTTTAAAATGGTGGTGGTGGTTGTTATTACCATTACTTTTACTGTTTTCATATATAACGATTATCCTGCAAGCACTCGTTGTTATTATTATTACTATAATTACTATTATTATTTAACGGGACCACGGGCATCAGCTACAGCTCAATTCTGGTTCCATTTGCAAAATCCCTTTATTACTATTATTGCTATATAATTATCCTGCAAGCTCCCGTTATTATTATTACTATTATTAATAATAATAATATTGCAAGCGCTGGTTGTTTATTATTCTTATTATTCCATAAATTCTATTGATTTTCAATATTTATCACATTATTTTTACATTATTACATGTACATTGTTACATATAACGCTTATCCTGCAAGCCACCCCGAGATCTTCGGATGAGTGTGATCAATTTAAATTTATATGATGTTTCAAAACGACTTTTATCATTTACACCCCGGCTCAGAATCCTGATGAATTCGGAGAAGCTGAAATCTCGCGTTGCCGAAATCCACGACAGCAAAATGCAGCTGGAGGAGGACCTGAAGCAGCAAGCGTCCGAAAACCGGGAGATTGACAAGCGCATGAACAGCCTTAAGCCGGATCTCCTGCAACTGCGGAAGCTGCGCGACCAATACTTGGTGTGAGTGCGAGGGCCCTGGCCGCCTAGTGGTTAGAGCACCCGCTTCCGGCAGCCCCTGCGGCGCCTCCTCTCCAAAGCAGCCTCTCTCTCTTTTCCCCCATAACCATGAGGACTAGCGCCTTGCTTTGTCTCCCAAGGCTCGACCCAGGTTCGAATTCTCCCCATCGGGCAGCCTGAGATTCGAATCCGCCACCGGGTGGAAGGAGGGGCGAAGCTCGTCCTATGAGGGGGTCCTGATCTTTTCCCTCTCCCCCCAGGTGGCTGACCCAAAAGGGGACGCGGCAGAAGCAGATCAACGAGTGGCTGGGGATCAAGAACGAGACGGAGGAGTGAGTTTATTTTCTGGCAGCTTCTCTCCTCCTTCCTTCCTCCCTCCCTTCCTTCTCTTTCTTTCCTTCCTTTTTCCCTTCCTTCTATTCCTTCCATCCTTCCTTCCTTCCTTCCTTCTTTCTTTCCTTCCTTCCTTCCTTCCTTCTTTTTCCTTTTCTTTCTTTCTTTCTTCCTTCCTTCCTTCCTTCCTCCCTTCTTCCTTCTTCCTTCCTTCCTTCCTTCCTTCCTTCCTTCCTTCTCTCTCTCTCTCTCTCTCTCTCTCTCTCTCTCTCTCTCTCAGTTCCTTCCTTCCTTCCTCCCTTCCTTCCTTCTTTCCTTTTCTTTCTTTCTTTCCTTCCTTCCTACTCTTTCCTTCCTTCCTTCCTTCCTTCCTTCCTTCCTTCTTCCTTCCTTCCTTCCTTCTCTCTCTCTCTCTCTCTCTCAGTTCCTTCCTTCCTTCCTTCTTCCTTCCTTCCTTCCTTCCTTCCTTCCTTCCTTCCTTCCTTCCTTCTCTCTCTCTCTCTCTCTCAGTTCCTTCCTTCCTTCCTTCCTTCCTTCCTTCCTTCCTTCCTTCTTTCCTTTTCTTTCTTTCCTTCCTTCCTTCCTTCCTTCCTTCCTTCCTTCCTTCCTTCCTTCCTTCCTTCCTTCCCCTTTCATTTTATTCTGACAAATAAACAAGAATAAAAACGGACCCCCCACCACCCAGACCCTTCCCTTGTAACTTTCCCCTTCTTAACACAACCATGATATTATTATTATTATTATTTTCCCCCAAACGGCCCACGAAACATTTCCATCCTTCGAAGGATCTCGTTCTCCCTTCCGTTCCTTCACTCTGCCACCTCGACATCATATCCCATCGGCGTCGATCTGGGGACCCTTTGGCACCTTGGCTGTCCCCTGTCGGAGGCCGGACACTGGGCGCTGGGCAGGGAGGAGCCCCCTTTCCCCCTGGCCAACGGGGGTCTCTCTTTTCCTCTCCCTCCGCAGCCACTACTCCATGATGGAGGACGAGGAGGAGCTCCCTCACCACGAGGAGCGGACCTGGTACGTGGGCAAGATCAACCGCACGCAGGCCGAGGAGATGCTGGCGGGCAAGAGGGACGGCACCTTCCTCATCCGCGAGAGCAGCCAGCGAGGCTGCTACGCCTGCTCCGTCGTGTGAGTCTCGGGCCGGGACTCCGGGGGGTCATCCATCCCAACCCGCGGGCAACCTCTTGGTTTTTCATTGCTTTTCCAGTTTGGGAAGGGGGAAAGGGCTGCCTGCTTTTTTTCTCTGCGTGCCAGAGAGAAGTTGTGCAGTTGCGAGATTGTAGAGTCATGGAGTGGGACCCCGGGGGGGTCATCCATCCCAACCCCCTGCAACGTGCTGATTTTTAATTCTTTTTCCGGTTTGGGAAGGGGGAAAGAGCTGCCTGCTTTTATTATGTGCATGCCAGAGAGAAGTGTGGTTGCGAGACTGTAGAGTCTTGGGGCGGGACCCCGGGGGGTCATCCATCCCAACCCGCTGGCAACCCGTTGGTTTTTAATTGCTTTTCTGGTTTGGGAAGGGGGAAAGGACTGCCTGCTTTTATTATGTGCATGCCAGAGAAAGGTTGTGCAGTTGTGGGATGGTGGAGTCATAGAGTGGGACCCTTCACGATTTAAATCACTAGTCAGTAAGACTCGATTTAAATCTTCTTCCTTTTTTACGGAAAGGTTCAGCCTTGCTGGCATCGTCTTAATATTTACAACCAGACAAAGGTTACATTTTTGGAATGATGAATTTTCAGAGTAGTTTTCACAGTTGTACAGTGGTTCCTCAGGTTACATACGCTTCAGGTTACATACGCTTCAGGTTACAGACTCCACTAACCCAGAAATAGTGCTTCAGGTTAAGAACTTTGCTTCAGGATGAGAACAGAAATTGTGCTCCGGCAGCGCGGCAGCAGCGGGAAGCCCCATTAGCTAAAGTGGTGCTTCAGGTTAAGAACAGTTTCAGGTTAAGAACGGACCTCCGGAACGAATTAAGTACTTAACCCGAGGTACCACTGTATTGGAAATTACCTGCTATACCGCTTTACGGCTGCAAAACCAGATCATGATATTTTGCTCTGGCCTTTAAAGAGATGCACACCTTGTGGAACAATAAAGGTAAAGGTAAAGGGACCCCTGACCATTAGGTCCAGTCGTGACCGACTCTGGGGTTGCGATGCTCATCTCGCTTTACTGGCCGAGGGAGCCGGCGTACATCTTCCGGGTCATGTGGCCAGCAGGACTAAGCCGCTTCTGGCGAACCAGAGCAGCGCACGGAAATGCCGTTTACCTTCCCGCCAAAGCAGTACCTATTTATCTACTTGCACTTTTGACATGCTTTCGAACTGCTAGGTTGGCAGGAGCAGGGACCGAGCAACGGGAGCTCACCCCGTCATTGCGGGGATTCGAACTGCCAACCTTCTGATTGGCAAGCCCTGGGCTCAGTGGTTTAGACCTAAAGGTAAAGGGACCCCTGACCGTTAGGTCCAGTTGTGACCGACTCTGGGGTTGCGGCGCTCATCTCGCTTTACTGGCCAAGGGAGCCGGCGTACAGCTTCTGGGTCATGTGGCCAGCATGACTAAGCCGCTTCTGGCGAACCGGAGCAGCGCACGGAAACGCCGTTTACCTTCCCGCCGGAGTGGTACCTATTTATCTACTTGCACTTGGACGTGCTTTCGAACTGCTAGGTTGGCAGGAGCAGGGACTGAGCAAAGGGAGCTCACCCCATTGCGGGGATTCGAACCGCCGACCTTCTGATCGGCAAGTCCCAGGCTCTGTGGTTTAACCCGCAGCGCCACCCGCGTCCCTTGTGGAACGATACTGAACCTTAATATTGAAAGGAGCCGTTCAGCGCCTCTCTGACGCTTTTTGCCTTGTTGTTCCCGCTCCTCAGGGTCGACGGCGACACCAAGCACTGCGTCATCTACAAGACGGCCACGGGTTTCGGTTTTGCAGAACCCTACAACCTCTACGCCTCGCTCAAGGAGCTGGTCCTGCACTACAAACACACCTCTCTGGTGCAACACAACGACTCACTCAACGTCACCTTGGCCTACCCCATTTTCCCTCTGCCCCCCAGATGAAGACCGGGGCAGCCGGGTTGGGGGGCTGCTCTCTGCTCCACCCTCCCGTCCCATTCCCCGAAAAACTGCTCCTTTCCCCCTCTCTATACCCCCTCTCCCTTACGCCCCCAAACCCCTATATATATATATAATCTCAATTATTTTCCTTTGCAGCAGCATTCGGGGGCTGTTTTCCTTTCCAACTTTTCCCTTTCTTTTTGGTGCTAGGAATGCTTTCTCCACTTGGGGGGGGGCAGCGACTTTCCTAAAGCTTTTTGAGGCCCCCCCATCCTAAAAAACCCCCCAACGTTCCTTATCTGTGAAGGACGGGCATAGATCTTATTTTTTTTTGGCAGAGACAAATCTTGGTACTCGCTGTTCCCGTGGGGACAGTTCGGCTCTTTTGTTTCGCAGGGGGGCGCTCCTATTTTTAATTTTATTTTTTACGCCGCTCCCCAGCCCTCCGCACTCGGCTCCCCCCCCCAGCCAAACAGCGTTGGGTCTCCTATGCAGAATTATGTTTCGTTTCTTCTTAAATATGCAAAAAAAGAGAGAGGAAAACAAGCCCTGTTGCAGCCAGCTCTGGTGTGCGGCTTCTATCTCTCAAGTTATTTTACCAGCTGCTGGGCAGGGAAATAGATCCTAACCCCCCCCCCAAAAAAAAATTAAATTCCCACTCGCTTCCTTGTCTCTGCCTCGGTTTGCCACGGTTGTAAAATGGGCACAGGTTTTGCGTCCCCCGTGAGGCTTCCTTTTCCTGTGCCAGGGAAAAGTCTGGGGCGTTCTTGGGGTCCTCACGCGTAAAGCCATTTGTTGCGGATAACGGGGGTAACAGGAACAAGCCAATCTCTCCCCTTCCTCAAATTGGGGTTCCCCTTTGCACCCCCCAAGTGTGCCTGCCCTCTGCACCCCAAAGCCTGGAGCGGGTGGTCTTGCAAAATCCTCCCCCCCAAAGAAGAGCCATTTGAACACTACAAATCTCCCTTCCTCTTGCGTAACATGTGTTGTGTTTTGTGCGTGCGACAGACCTGCTTCGGGTCCACCATTCGAACCCAGGACCCGTTCCTTTTTGTCTTCCTAGCAGGAAACCCCTTGGGATCTCCCCCCCCCCCCAAGAAATGCTCTCTTCCTCTCCCCCCCCCAAATAAAATCCATATTTTTGCACCCTACCAAATGTGTGTGTGTGTGAGCTAGGGTTATACCTTTCTGACAACCTCACAGCTCAGTCGGACGAACTTTTGCCTAAAAATGAACCGTCTTGCCGTTTTCAAATCTTTGGGGGAAAGGTCACTTCTCGAAATCAATAAATCGATTTTTGCCTAGGGGGCCGTATAATGCATTTTGGAAGCACAGCACGGGTTATAATACAGGAAAAATAGAGCTTGAAAATTTAATTTTTTTTCGTTTGGAGCTTGCAAGCTTTCGAATACTTGTGCAATGTTTGTACATTGCACACCCCTTATTGCTTTGAATAAATCGAAGTGGCAGCTTTTCTTTGCTTTCTGCCGCAAACGCCATCGAGTTCCCACAACCTTTGAATTCCCCTTTTATTTTTATAGACCGATTTTTGGATTCTTTCAGAACATTCTGGGCCGTTTCAGGAAGTTCCGGGCAGCTGGGAAAAGTTCGAAAATGTTCCATGATATTTTTTTTAAGTGCAGGTACTTATGAGTAGCAACCTGACTCCCAACTTTTCTTTTCAGGGTGACCGTTTTGGGGGAAGAATTAGTCCCCTTTTCAATGTTTCCAAGCAAAAGTTCATCCCTCTAGGCTACAGGAAATCTGTATTTTGGGGAGAAAGTCAAAAAGTTATAACCCAAGTGTGCATCTCGATTGTGCAAAGGAGTCTTTTACAAAAGCGCCCCCAGTTGCAAAAAAACGTTTCCCCTTTTTAGGTTATACACAGATATGCAATATAACATTTTGACGCACCCCAAATCCTCATTTCCTGCTATCCCCCATCATCAATTTTGGATGTTGAAGTGGGTCTTTTCTGAATTATTCCTGCCCCCGCCGAAGTTTCAAGCAAACGAGAAAGTTCCCTCAAAAACCGTTGTGTATTTGTGTCCGAGATTTGTTACTGTAAGATACATAGATTAAAAAGGGGGGGGGGGAGAGGGGAAAATTATTTAAAAGCAAAGTTTTGTACGGTACTTTAAAAATAAAATAAAAGGTGTTCATGCAAAACGTGGCTTCGGGGCGTCGCGGTTATTTCCGTCCCTCCGACTCGGTCTCCTCATGCGTGAAGGCGAGGCGGAAGAAACATAGTTTTGTAATGAATTGCAGAATTAAGAACGGTAAGGGACCCCCAACGGCCATCTAGTCCAGCCCCCTTTTGCCCCAAACGGTTCTCGAAGCCGGGATCGTGAGTTTAAGAGTCTCCTGCAGGGCCTGCAAGACAGAGCTGTTCCGCCTGGCCTTTGGTTTGGACTCAGTCTGACCCTTCTGTTTCCCTCCCCTTCTGGTCTTGATCTATGGGCTACTTTTAAAATGAGGCTGCATTTTAAATGGCATTTTAACCTGGATTTTAAATTGGCTTTTTTCTTTTCCTATTATGTCTTTACTGTAATTTTACTGGTGTTAGCCGCTCTGGCCGGGGAGGGCGGGGTATACATAAAATTTATTATTATTATTATTATTACTGACTAAGCTTAAATGGACTTAAAATTGAACTTAAAGGGGGTGCATTCATTTTAAAACGCTGCAAATCTCCGTGGGTCGCTGGAGAGCTGCGGCGAGTTTATTGTCCCTTTATCGCATTTTTTGCCACTTTCTCTGCAGCAAAGATCTCAAGGCGTCTTGCGTGGCTCTCCCCCTTATCTCTGTTTTTAGCCTCACGGCAACCTTGCAAGGTAGGCCGGGAGGGGGCGGCTGGCCCGTGCTTCCTTGCCAAGCAGGAATTCGAACCCGGGTCCCAGTTGAATCCCCACAGCGACCCTGCGTGGAGGGAGGTTGGGCTGAACAAAGGACCCCCAAGGTGCTTGCTGGCCGAGCAAGAGGATTCGAACCCGTCCCGGCCCAGCACTCGACTCTGAACTTGAGCAGTGACACTCGCATTGGCGGGGTTGGGCTGGATGACCCCCGGGGGTCCCTCCCAGCTGTGATCTTTCAGTCCCTTGCCAGAGGGAGATCTGGACCTGTTGGCAGAATTTTCCTGGAGGAAAATTAAAGGGATATAAAGGCAAGACGTTCTTATTTTTATTGCGTTTTCTTAGAACCAGCGTTTTAAGGAACAGAATCTCTTGAGAAGGGGGAAGAGAAAGAGTGAGGTTTTTTTCCGGAAAAGAGAAGTGAGACTCGTGGGTCTTAATCTGGGCACGAGGGGGTGGCAGTTCCCGTTTTTTGAAGGTGGCTAAGCCTGGCTGAAAGAGGAGAGCGCAAAATATGGTCTGAAGCTCAACATCAAAAAAACGAAGCTCATGGCCACTGGGCCCATCACCTCCGGGCAAATAGAAGGGGAAGAAATGGAGGCAGGGAGAGATTTGACTTTCTTGGGCTCCATGATAACTGCAGATGGTGACAGCAGCCACGAAATTAAGAGACGCCTGCTCCTTGGGAGAAAAGCAATGACAAACCTAGGCAGCATCTTAAAAAGCAGAGACATCACCTTGCCAACAAAGGTCCATATAGTTCAAGCTATGGATTTCCCAGTAGTGATGTATGGAAGTGAGAGCTGGACCATCAAGAAGGCTGATCGCCGAAGAATGGATGCTTTTGAATTATGGTGCTGGAGGAGACTCTGGAGAGTCCCATGGACTGCAAGAAGATCCAACCTCTCCATTCGGAAGGAAATCAGCCCTGAGTGCTCACTGGAAGGACAGATCCTGAAGCTGAGGCTCCAAGACTTTGGCCACCTCAGGAGAAGAGAGGACTCCCTGGAAAAGACCTTGATGTTGGGAAAGATGGAGGGCGCAAGGAGAAGGGGACGACAGAGGACGAGATGGTGGGACAGTGTTCTCGAAGCTACCAGCATGAGTTTGACCAAACTGCGGGAGGCAGTGGAAGACAGGAGGGCCTGGCGTGCTCTGGTCCAGGGGGTCACGAAGAGGCGGACACGACTAAATGGATAAACAACAACAAGTCTGGCTGGCTTTGAACCATCTGCAGCAGGAATTTCAAGCAGTAAAAAGAATATTACCGCCTTCAAACCAGGGAGGGGAGCAAATATAAGTTGCATTTTCGGCTGAGTTTGGGGGAGCATCTGTTGCCTGGAGCGATTTCAATGGCTTTCGTAATCCTTCCAAACAGCCGAAAGCCTCCAAATTCTGATAATACAGTCGTCCCTTGGTTCTCAGACTTGATCCGTTCCAGAAGTCCGTTCCAAAACCAAAGCGTTCCTAAACCAAGGGGCGCTTTCCCTTTGAAAGGAATGCAAAACGGACTAATCCATACCAGGCTTTTAAAAACAACCCCTAAAACAGCAATTGAATTTTACTATATAACGAGACCATCGATCCATAAAATGAAAGCATTAATCAATGTGCTGTACTATAAAATAAATAAGGCAGTATTGTAGATGATAAAAATTAAACCGAACTTTTTTCTTCTTCACCTGCACTGGTGATAGGCATTGTTTGGGATTTTATCCATTTCCGCAGTCACACAATCCATCAGTAGCTGAACTGGGTTCCGCACAGTCATGAAAACAGAAAAAGAGAGCCACAAAAATGCAAAATAAATAGCACAAACAGACAGACCTTAGCGTAACACTCAAATCGTAAGCGTAACACTCAAAATGGATCACGTTCGGCTTCCAAAAAAAGTTCGCCAACTGGAACACTTCCTTCCGGTTTTGCAGTGTTTGGGTTCCAAGTTGTTTGAGTACCAAGGCGTTTGAGAACCAAGGGACCGCTGTAATAATATTTCTTATCGACGGAAAGTTTGGTGCGGTGCAAGTGAGCTTTCATCCCAGGGGGAAAAGTTGGAGAACGACCAGTGGTTATTACTTTAGGACAGGGGTAGGCAACCTAAGGCCCCCTGGGGGCCGGATCCGGCCCAGTCGCCTTCTCAATCTGGCCTGCGGACGGTCCGGGAATCAGTGTGTTTTTACATGAGTAGAATGTGTGCTTTTATTTAAAATGCATCTCTGGGTTATTTGCGGGGCATAGGAATTATTTCATTTTCCCCCCAAAATATAGTCTGGCCCCCCACAAGGTCTGAGGGACAGTGGACCGGCCCCCTGCTGAAAAAGTTTCCTGACCCCTGCTCTAAAGCCTTATTTCCCAACACGACTTTTTGCTTCCTGGGAAGTCTGTGAATCAGTGTGTTTTTACATGAGGAGAATGTGTCCTTTTATTTAAAATGCATCTCTGGGTTATTTGTGGGGCATAGGAATTATTTCATTTTTCCCCCAAAATATAGTCCGGCCCCCCACATGGTCTAAGGGATGGCTGAAAAAGGCTACTGACCCTTGCTTTAGGGTGCATGGTTTCGTTTCTGCAGGTAAGACTCACCTGAGCATGGGATGGAGATGCTCGCAACATCAACATCCCAGCAAATCTCGCTTCTCCATTAGTCAGAGCTTTGGCTCTGAGGCAAAGGAGGCAGGTCTGTCTCTCTCCTCCTTCCAGCTATCTGACTCCACCCTGGCTCCTGTTTTCTTGCCTAGCAGCTGGGTGAGGGGGCGGAAAGAAAAAAGCCCCACCTATGAGCCTGGCGGGGGGGGGGCACTTAGTTGCAGCTCCTGCAAGCTAGCTCACCAGGTGCTGATGATGACATGGAGGTCACCGGAAAACTTGTCCCACTGGTTCCGAATCCTCAAGATGATGTTGTAAACAAAATCTGCCCTTCTTCCCTTATGGGGTACCCAAGAGCCATATAGAGTCCTTAAGTGGGTTCCCTATTGGTAGGGACGCGGGTGGTGCTGTGGGTTAAACCACAGAGCCCAGGACTTGCTGATCAGAAGGTTGGCGGTTCGAATCCCCATGACGAGGTGAGCTCCCGTTGCTCGGTCCCTGCTCCTGCCCACCTAGCAGTTCGAAAGCACATCAAAGTGCAAGCAGATAAATAGGTACCACTCTGGCGGGAAGGTAAACGGCGTTTCCGTGCGCTGCTCTGGTTCTCCAGAAGCGGCTCAGTCCTGCTGGCCACATGACCCAGAAGCTGTAAGCCGGCTCCCATGGCCACTAAAGCGAGATGAGTGCCGCAACCCCAGAGTCGGCCACGACTGGACCTAACGGTCAGGGGTCCCTTTACCCTTTACTATCGGTAGGAGAAAATAACAGAGGCCAAGCAGAGAATATTGGGAAGCAAAGCAGCTCGTAAGCCTGATCTTTATTGAACTATTGCAACAGGGTCCTCACTTCCCACATGCAGGAGGGAGGAGGAACCCAGAACAATGGGGTGCAAGTTCTTATATAGACATTTTAAATTCCCTGCCCTGGAGCTCAAGACCACCTCCTACAAACATCATACTTACATCACAGAAAAGGCGGCCCACAACAGAAATGTGAATGTTGTTTTTCCTGTCTGCCAGGTTATCTGATAACGCCTTACGTGATTGCCTTTCCTGGTAGTCTGGCCATTCCTTTGAGATGGTGATTTCCCAATTTCTGAGACAATGGGAAGGTTCCCTCACCCCCTCCCTCCTTGCAGAGAAAACATTTGGTCAGTTTGGGAGTCAAAATGGTTTAAGGACGGTCTTCCTGTGCTGCTCCAGACATGTGGTCGACATATCTATGTATGTGCTTGGTTGGTACATTTTATGAACATTTATTATATGTATTGTTGTTGTTGTTGTTGTTGAGTTGTTTAGTTGTGTCCACCTCTTCATGACCCCCTGGACCAGAGCACGCCAGGCCCTCCTGTCTTCCACTGCCTCCCTCATGCTGGTAGCTTCGAGAACACTGTCCCACCACCTCGCGCTCCGTCGTCCCCTTCTCCTTGTGCCCTCCATCTTCCCCAACATCAGGGTCTTTTCCAGGGAGTCTTCTCATGAGGGGGCCAAAGTCTTGGAGCCTCAGCTTCAGGATCTGTCCTTCCAGTGAGCACTCAGGGCTGATTTCCTTCAGAATGGAGAGGTTGGATCTTCCTGCAGTCCATGGGACTCTCAAGAGTCTCCTCCAGCACCATATTATATGTATATAAGACCTTAATTTTTTTATTACAATGATGCTAACCCTTGCTGGGTTCAAGACCTCAAGAACTGGGAGGGACTGGGGGTGCGGCCAGTGTTACAGGAATTCTAAGGTCTTAGTCCCTGATAACGCCTTATCTCAGGCCTGTCCAACTCCCAAGAGACTGTGATCTACTCACAGTATCAAAAGACCGGCTTTGATCTACCCACTAAACTTTGTACTGGGACACCCCCTGCGATCTACCTATTGGACATGCCTGCCTTATCTAATTACCTTTTCTGGGTAGCCTGGCCATAAACTTAGAGATAAATCCTTAGTTCCCAAATCTCTTACACATAATGATATCAGCTTAACAGACACTTGTCAGACTATTTGAAAAGGGAGGCGTAAGCCCCTACAGTCCAAAGACAATTGGAAAGCTTTTCCCATTTCCTTCCTCTTTGCAGAGAAATATTTGAGGTCAATTTGGGAGAGTCCAAAAGGCTTCAGGGTTGCTGTCCTCTACACGTGGTTTATATGCTTATGTATGTGTTTGGCTTGTACATTTGTGAACATTTATTCTATATAAGACCCTAGAATTCCTATAAGAAGCTCTCTCTTTAGGAAATCAAAGTTGTTGTGCTTTTCTTTTAGGAAACCAAAGTTTCCTGGGAAACCCTGTAAAGAAGAGGACATGAGGACTCGGATATATTTAAACGCTTTTCAATAATATTCGTGGTCTTTCCCCCTGCCCACCCCACCCCCAGCTATGCCCATGCCTAGTTTGAAGAGCTGAGGATCTGGGTTTTTTTTTTTTTTTGTGACATGCAAACTCCCAAGCGGAAACTGGCGCCTTATCTCTCTCCCTTCCGTGTCAGCTGCCAGTTCCAAAGTCCAAACTTTTGTTGTCAAGCGCAAAAAGTTGCTCAACAGCTTGTGTCAGCAGATCGGCTCCGCCTGGGGGCTTGCACAATTTCCCCTGGTAGGTGGCAAACATCGTTTTAAATTCTTGCAGGCATGCTGGGACCTGAGGCGACCCCCCCCCCCGCCTCCTTACCAGTCTTTCAGTCCACTGTCCAATCTGGACTGGGGGGGGTGGTCCCCAGAGGAGCCAAATCCTAGGGACCTCGCCCGTCCAATAAAACGCTGATGCTAATTGCCACTCAAATAGCGTGTGCATGACACCTCATGCCATCGATTATGCGAGGTGGGGCTTATTTCTATTCAAGTTGAAACCCCACCACCACCGCTGTCCAGGAACTTCCCATCCCCTCCAACGTTTCTCTCCTGAAAATAGGGACGTCCTATTCCCCACCCCCCACCCCCGTATAGTTCAAGCTCTGGTTTTCCCAGTCGTGATGTATGGAAGTGAGAGCTGGACCATCAAGAAGGCTGATCGCCGAAGAATGGATGCTTTTGAATTCTGGTGCTGGAGGAGACTCTGGAGAGTCCCATGGACTGCAAGAAGATCAAACCTCTCCATTCTGAAGGAAATCAGCCCTGAGTGCTCACTGGAAGGACAGATCCTGAAGCTGAGGCTCCAAGACTTTGGCCACCTCAGGAGAAGAGAGAACTCCCTGGAAAAGACCCTGATGTTGGGAAAGATGGAGGGCGCAAGGAGAAGGGGACGACGGAGGACGAGATGGTGGGACAGTGTTCTCGAAGCTACCAGCATGAGTTTGACCAAACTGCGGGAGGCAGTGGAAGACAGAAGTGCCTGGCGTGCTCTGGTCCAGGGGGTCACCAAGAGGCGGACACCAGTAAACAACAAATTCCATCCCCGCCAACGTTTCTCCCGTGAAAATAGGGACGTCCCATTCCATCTCTTCCGACGTTTCTCCCCTGAAAATAGGACGTCCTAAGGGAAAGCGGGACTTTCCGACATCAAATCAGAAACCGACACAGCTTCAAGAGGATTGCAAAACGGATTTAAAAAAAAAACAAAGTATTGTAAACATGTGAGCACGCTAGCAGGCTGGGAGTAAGTTCAGCAGTAAAAAAAAGTTACTTTGAGAATCAAGCTGAGAAAATCAGCTATAGATTAGTTGTAATATGCAGCAGCAAAAAATAACCATGAAAGGGTTTGAGGGACGTCTTTAAAGTGAATGCTTACTGGAAAATGTTTGGTTAATTGTATTTTATTTGTGGGGGGACGACCTATTTTTTCCCTGCAAATCCCTGGAAAATATTTTCTTTCTTTGGCGATCACTCGCAGCAAGACTGTTTTCCATGGACACGGTATTTCCCCAGGAAAATAGGGACAAGTGGAGACCTGCAACATCTGGAAGCCCCCAAACCGTTTGCTGGTTGTTGCTTTGAAACAGGCGCGCGCAAAGTGGTCTTTCCCCTAAATCTCCCGGTCTGGGGCCTCCCAAAAATCCGGCTCCTCCTTCTCCTCCTCTGGAGCAAGTCAGGGGCCGCCTGAGTCACACACACACAAAACCGCAGCAGAAGAAGACGAACGGGTTGCGAGGAGGAAGAAGAGAGAAAGGGCGGAGCCGGGAAAGGGGATTTTAAAGAGCCGCCCGTCTCGCCCCCGCTGCGCACTCCGCCTTTCCATTGCGCACAGCCCGGCACCTCTCCTCGCCATGGCTCCCGGCTGGCTCCTGTCCATCGCCGCTTTCTGCTGCCTGGGGGGCATCACCCTGGGGGGCGCCCCTTGCCACTACCCCCCGCACCAGTGGTGCGGATCCAGCGAGATCGCGCAGGCTTGCAAGGTGAGGAAAGGGAAAGCGAAGGTGGAGAGGAAGAGCGCAAATGCTTTGCGCGCAGGCGAGTTGGCAAGGGGATGGGGGAGGGGTGGCCACCCACGTTGCGGGTGGGGTGGGGGCTTCGAGAGAGGAAGGGGGGCTAGCAGTGGCGACGGGGGGCCTTGTGCGACCCCCCTTCCTGGACTCGGAGGAACGGGTGGCTCCGAATGGCTGCTGTGGCGCACGGGTCCTGCTTGGGGGCGGGGGGGTTGTCTTCCCAGGGGGGCAGCACCTCGTTGGCCACTGGGGGGCAGGAGGCTGGATTCCGATGCGCCCCCTTTGGCCTGATTCAACTGCCACAGCGGGTCTTAGGATTCCTAAACGGAGACCCGAGGTGCCCACAAAATTCGCCATGAAGAGTCCGGGCATTCACAAATTTTGGGTGCCAGGGCCATGTTCCCTGCATGGCAGCCACAGGCACCCACGGGCGCAGGGCCAAGTTGGCACTTCTGCTGTGGACAGAGGCAGTCTACCTTAAGACTGGGGGGAAGGAAGAGTGGGAGGAAGCTGTTGCTATCTGGTCTTGCCTGTGCGCTTTGGGGGCACCTCACTGTGAAGACAGGGGCCTGGACTCAGTGCTGGGGGGTCCTTCGTGTAGGGCACCAAGCCAAAGGGCCACAGAATCATCACCATCAGGGCTTTTTTCAGCCAGAGCTCAGTTTCGGCACCTCTCAGGTAGGCCCCATTGCCAGTTATAAGCGAAAAAGGTAAAAGGTAAAAGACCCCTGGATGGTTAAGTCCCAGTCCAAGGCGACTCTGGGGTTGCGGCGCTCATCTCGCTTTCAGGCCGAGGGAGCCGGCGTTTGTCCCCAGACAACTTTCTGGGTCGTGTGGCCAGCAGGACTAAACCGCTTCTGGCGCATGGCAGAAACCAGAGTGCACGGAAACACCGTTTACCTTCCCGCTGGAGCGGTACCTATTTATCTACTTGCGCTGGTCTGCTTTCGAACTGCTTGCCCTTCATATGCGACCAAACTCCCATCAGCTTCAACAGGCAGCCTGGCAGACATGAAGATTTAAAACAGAATTCATCAGCTACTGTCAATCCTGTAATCCGTGCCAGGAAACAGGTTCCGTACAGGAGTGGCTAAGGGAGCCGCTGTTCTCCGAGGTTCCCTGCAAACGCTCGCCGTATCATCTTCACAACAACCTTGCGAGGTAGGCTAGGCTGAGAGATCGAGGCCCAAAGGCACCCAGGGAGAGCTTTGAAAGGATATGAGCCAAAGGTACCGGGTTCAAACTCTGACGGTAGCTCCAGAGAGCGGCTGCCGGCCAGTGCCTGCTATAGGTTAACCAAGGCTCTGGTTAAGGCAGCTCCTAGCAGAGGCAAAATGTCTCCTCATTGAGCCAAGCCCAACATAGCTTTGTATTTGCAGCACCCCCATTTTCTCAGCATCTTATTTTTTTGGGGGGTGTTTCCCCGCGGAAAGCCCCACCTCGCTTTTCGGAAGCCGCCCCCAGCTGCTTTCACTTCCCTCTCGAAAGATGGAGGAGGAAACTGGCCGAGAAAGAGGTTGTTGCAGTTGGGGAGACATCATTATTTTTTTTTTGGTTTTATTTCTATGACATTTTTTGTTCAAATGAATCCCAAAGCAGCTTACAGACAAAAGAAATAAATAAAAAATATTTGTTTGCGCCAGCCGCCGGCCATAGCAATAAAACAACAATACGATATGCAAAAGAATAAAAATAAAGAAAGTCAATAGTACAATGATACCTCGGGTTAAGTACTTAATTCGTTCCAGAGGTCTGCTCTTAACCTGAAATTGTTCTTAACCTGAAGCACCACTTTAGCTAATGAGCCTCCTGCTGCCATCGCGACGCAGGAGCACAATTTCTGTTCTCATCCTGAAGCAAAGTTCTTAACTAGAGGTACTATTTCTGGGTTAGTGGAGTCCGTAACCTGAAGCGTATGTAACCCAAGGTATAGGGTTTTGAATCAATAGTCCAATAGCGGACCTTATTCTAATTGCCCCGGCTAAAAAACCTTACAACCTTTGCCGTCACCTGCTCATCTCAACCTGCCAAAAGAAAGGACACTTTGGCAGTGGCTGGGCAAGCCGGAAGGGACGGAAAATAAAAATAACATAATGGAACGTCACGAACAGGAGCATAAATCGTACAGAATACTTGGCAAATCATCGGTAAAGCGATCCCAAATCCCAAATGAAACAAGACATGAGCTGAGATTGTCCTTCTGCCTGATTTAAAAAGGTAAAGGTAAAGGGACCCCTGACCGTTAGGTCCAGTCATGGCCGACTCTGGGGTTGCGGCGCTCATCTCGCTTTATTGGCCGAGGGAGCCGGCGTACAGCTTCCGGGTCATGTGGCCAGCAGGACTAAGCCGCTTCTGGCGAACCAGAGCCGCGCACGGAAACGCCGTTTACCTTCCCGCCGGAGCAGTACCTATTTATCTACTTGCACTTTGACGTGCTTTCGAACTGCTAGGTGGGCAGGAGCAGGGACCGAGCAAGGGGAGCTCACCCCGTCATTGCAGGGATTCGAACCGCCGACCTTCTGATCAGCAAGTCCTAGGCTCTCTGGTTTATAAGCTAAACAAGTTCTAGCTTAGGGCCCCACTCTCTTGGGGGCCTCCAAAAAATTTAAAGGAAAAAACCTGGATGTACATTTCCAAAATATATGATAAAAAACAAATAAAATAAAACCTGCATCCAGCAACAGTGTTTTGTGTTGTGTAGGCTCCTAGGATGCAAGTCAAATATCCCTGGTTTGCTCCTTTCTATATATAGGGTGCCGACATTCTGTATGGACTGGTTGCAGGGCAAGATGTGCAAATGGCTTTTGATACCTATTCGGTCCATAAATGACCACATAAATCAACACAAAAAAAGCAGCAATTTATTGTGGACAAAGGACAGCTGGACATAGAAAGGGCCCCATTACCTTCAGGAGCTGAGGGCCTCATCAAACTGAAATCTGGCCCTGCTCCTGACTCTATGATTCAGCACGTATTGCCGAATATTTTCCATCTTTCTGCATACAAAGTCTTTCCGCGGCGATCGTGTCTTGAAATAACATCCTGTAGCCTTTTTCTAATTCCTCCATCCCGACGGGTTTGGGCGGAACATTTGCTGCATGTATCTGTACGCTGTACAGTGGATGCTCAGGTTGCAAACATGATCCGTGCGGGATGCACGTTCGCAACCCGCGTCTGCACACCCGCAGGTTGCGATTCGGTGCTTCTTCGCATGCGCAAAGCGCAGTCTAGCACATCTGCGCATGCGCGACCGCCGAAACCCGGAAGTAACCCGTTTCGATACTTCCAGGTTTCGGCAGTCCGCAACCCGAAGAAAACACAACCTGAAGCGTCTGTAACCCGAGGTATGACTGTATTTTTTCTCTTTTTTTAATATAATTTTTATTAGTTTTTTTTTAACATATCATTTTCAACAGTAACTAAACATACTTTTACATCTTATTCAAATTTTTGACTTCCATCAAGCCTGTCTGAAAATTTTCCAGTCTAATCTCACAGTATGCGTTTCTTATCTTCCCTATTACATTTCAAACGCATAACCAATATCTCTGTCTTTTTCTACTTTGTAACACTTCGTATATTTCTCCTTACAAAACTTCTTGTAGTCCTACTAGCGTAATTTATTGATTACAATTGCTCTTCAAATAATTCATATACTTCTTCCAATCTTTTGTAAATCTCTGGTCCCGCAGGTTTCGAATCCTTCCTGTCATTTTGTCCAATTCAGCGTAGTCCATTAATTTTGTCTGCCATTCTTCTTTCGTCGGAATTTCTTCCTGCTTCCATTTCTGGGCTAACAATACTCTTACCGCCGTTGTTGCATAGAAAAACAATTTAACATCTTGCCTATTAATGTCCTGACCTATAATACCAAGTAAAAATGCTTCCAAGTAAAAGCTCTGGTTTTCCCAGTAGTGATGTATTGAAGTGAGAGCTGGACCACAAAGAAGGCTGATCGCCGAAGAATGGATGCTTTTGAATTCTGGTGCTGGAGGAGACTCTGGAGAGTCCCATGGATTGCAAGAAGATCAGACCTCTCCATTCTGAAGGAAATCAGCCCTGAGTGCTCACTGGAAGGACAGATCCTGAAGCTGAGGCTCCAAGACTTTGGCCACCTCAGGAGAAGAGAAGACTCCCTGGAAAAGACCCTGATGTTGGGAAAGATGGAGGGCACAAGGAGAAGGGGACGACGGAGGACGAGATGGTGGGACAGTGTTCTCGAAGCTACCAGCATGAGTTTGACCAAACTGCGGGAGGCAGTGGAAGACAGGAGGGCCTGGCGTGCTCTGGTCCACAAGGAGGCGGACACCACTAAACGACTAAACAACAACAACAACAAATGCTTCTGGTTTTTTTTAAAAAACGTATATTTCAACATTTCAATGACTGTATTTTCTTTTAGCACCAAGCGTCCAGCGCTTTTGAAGGCAGGCTGCTCCTGCCGCTGGAGGCTTCACCGCCGCTCTTTCCTTTTGCAGGCAGAGAAGCACTGCGCCCGGCTGGGCCCCCCCGGGAAGAAAGCCGACCCCGTCTCCGTCAGCCTCTACTACGAGAGCCTCTGCCCTGCCTGCCGCTCCTTCCTGGTCTTCCAGCTCTTCCCCACCTGGCTTTTGGTGGGCGACGCCATGGAAATCACCCTGGTCCCTTACGGGAACGCCCAGGTCGGTCCCGATCCCCTGGGCAGGGGTGGGGTGGGGAGGCTGTGCCCACCCTCCTTTCCCCTGATGCCCGTTCTGTCTCTCTCCCTCCGTCTCTCTCTCACAGGAGAAAAAAGGCCCCTCCAAGTGGGAATTTGAGTGCCAGCACGGCCCCGATGAATGCCTGGGCAACTTGATGGAGGTGGGTACATCCTCTGAGGCAGGCGCGCCAAGACCTCTCTGTCTCCTCTGTTTCTGGGGGTTTCTCTCTCACCTGGCAGGAAGAGGCTTCCGTTTGTCAGCCTCGTGTTTGGGGAACATTTAGGGTTTCTTTAGGGCTGTCAAAACAAACCAAAAAAGCCAAACTTACGAAGCCTTTCCCTTTTTTAAAATAATGGTTTTTGTTAAACCTTCCAAATTATCACAGAACTCGTCATATCCACCTATCTCATCTATCATCTCTCTCTCTCTCTCTCTCTCTCTGTCTGTCTGTCTATCATATCTATCTATGTATCATCTATCTATCTATATCCATCTATCTCATCTATATCCATCTATCTCATCTATCTTCTATCTATATCTATCTATCTATCTATCTATCTATCTATCTATCTATCTATCTATCATCTATCTATCTATCTATCTATCTATAATCTATCTATCTATATCCATCTATCTCATCTATCATCTATCTATATCTATATCTATCTATCTCAGCTATATCTATCTATCTATATCTATCTATCTATCATCTATCATCTATCATCTATCATCTATCTATCTATCTATCTATCATCTATCTATCTATCTATCTATCATCTATCTATCTATCATCTATCTATATCTATATCCATCTATCTCATCTATCTTCTATCTATATCTATCTATCATCTATCTATCATCTATCTATCTATCTATCTATCTATATCTATCTATCTATCATCTATCTATCTATATCCATCTATCTCATCTATCATCTATCTATATCTATATCTATCTATCTATCATCTATCTATCTATCTATATCTATCTATCATCTATCTATCTATCTATCTATATCTATCTATCTATCTATCTATCTATCTATCTATATCCATCTATCTCATCTATCATCTATCTATATCTATATCTGTATCTATATCTATCTATCTATCATCTATCTATCGATCTATCGATCTATCATCTATCTATCTATCTATCTATCTATCTATCTATCTATCATCTCCATCTATCTCATCTTCTTTTATTATTTATACCCCAAAGAGGCTTATTCACTCCGGGGGAAATGCTTTTTCGCAGATCAGGTGGGGAAACGGAACCTGCCTTCCTCCAGAGTTTGCTGGGCTCCAACCGGGCAAAAGATTCCTACCTTTCAGGGGGGTTGGACTAGATGGCTACTGGAGGACCCTTCCCATTTTTATGAGCTTTGGCCAGCAGCACAAACCTTTCTCTCCCCCCCCCGCTCTAACCCTTACCCCCTGCTCCCCCCCCAGGCCTGCCTCATCCACCTGCTGGGCGACCAGGGCAGCTACTTCCCTCTCATCTTCTGCATGGAGTCGAGCGCCAACGTCACCCAGAACTTGGAAACGGTATGTTCCCCAAATTCCTTCCCGCGGAAACCCGCCTTGCAGGGCTGGCGGCGGCGGCCTCTTCCAGCGTGGGAAATCCCCAGGGATGCAGGGTCTCTGGTTTGGGGGCAAGTTTGGGGAAGAAAGGGAGGGAGAGAGAGAGAGAGAGAGAGAGAGAGAGAAAGAAAGAAAGAGGGAGAGAGAGAGAGAGAGAGAGAAAGAGGGAGAGAGAAAGAGGGAGAGAGAAAGAGGGAGAGAGAGAGAGAGAGAGAGAGAGAGAGAGAGAGAGAAAGAAAGAGGGAGAGAGAAAGAGGGGGAGAGGGAGAGAGAGAGAGAGAGAGAGAGAGAGAGAGAAAGAAAGAAAGAAAGAAAGAGAAAGAGAAAGTGTGAGAGAGAAAGAGAAAGAAAGAGAGAGAGAAAGAAAAAGAGAAAGAAAGAGAGAGAGAGAAAAGAGAGAGAAAGAGAGAGAGAAAGAGAAAGAGAAAGAGAAAGAGAAAGAGAGAGAAAGTGTGTGAGAGAAAGAGAGAGAGAGAGAGAGAGAGAGAGAGAGAGAAAGTGTGAGAGAGAGAGAGAGAAAAAGAGAGAGAAAGTGTGTGTGTGTGTGTGTGTGAGAGAGAGAGAGAGAGAGAGAGAGAGAGAGAGAAAGAAAGAAAGAAAGAAAGAAAGAAAGATTGTCCCTTCTCTTGGCAGATCAAGTTGAGCAGGTGACAGCAAAGGTGGCAAGGTTTTTAGAATCAGAATAAGACCCACTATTTGACTATTGATTCAAATCCCTAAAAATTATTTCATTATATAATCGACTTTTCAGTTCTGTTCTTTGTATATCGTATTGTTGTTTTATTGCTACGGCCGGCGCAAATAAAAATCGATTCCTTCCTTCTCATTCTCTCGCCACCCTCGGATCCCTCCAGTGCATGAAGCTGTACCCGACCAGCGAGATCCCCCTTGCCAACGTCACGTCTTGCGTGAGCGGAGACCTGGGCAACAAACTCATGCACCAGAATGCCCAGCTCACTGACGCCCTCCGCCCGCCCCACAAGTACGTGCCGTGGATCGCTGTCAATGGGGTAAGTGCTGGCTGAAGATGCCCAAATTCGGGCCCACTGGTCCTGAGTTCGAGTCTCGCTCCACCCGCAGATTTAAAATCCAGCAACTCCCTTTGCAGGCAGGAGGTCTGTTGGTTTCGGATAACCGTCTCGACCCCTTTCTTCCAAATAAGCAAATTTAATTTTCCATTATTAAAGCCCAGTTATTAATTCCCAGCCAATTATACATTTTGAGTGACTTCCCGTGGGCTGGGTTTTGGGGCGCAAAATCCTTATTCCTTCCTGCTTTCGAAATCTTAGCTGCCGTATTTTCCCGTGTGTCACATTTTCTTAATTTTGGGAAGACTCAAAATTTAGAAAATGGGGGGAGATTTTGCCCCCATTTATAAGACCACACCCCTTTTTTAAACATTATTTTTAGTCTTATACACGGGGTCTTATACACGGAAAAGTACAGTAATCCAATTGCATTCAGTCCTGGTCTTTAGTCCCTTATCGACAGCGACAGATTTACTGACTTCCATTCCTGTTGAGATATTTAATAATAATAAAAATAATAAATTCCCGCAGAAAGAGTTGCGTCGCGACCCCCACGTTGCAAGGGGTTGGGCTGGATGACCTTTTATTTAGCTTTGGCATTCAGACCCGGGAGAGACCCGAGTTCGAATCGCCACTCACTTGAAGGTCGCTGTGGCCAGTCTCTCTCTCCCTCGCCTACTTCGCAGGGTTGGTGTGACGATAAAAAGGGGGGAATTGGGGAGAAAAGTGAGGGAAGGTTGGGGTGTGAATTGAATCCCTCCTGGCCTGGGCGATAAAAGGGGAAGAGGGGAGAATTTGCACCCGCCGCCTCAAGTTGCAATTCCTGCATTTCCCAGGGTTGGACTAGAGGACCTTTGGGGTTCCCTCTCCAATCTCTAGGTCTGAAAATGCAACAGATAAAGCAACTGGGTGGATTTCCAGGGGTGCATTCCTATTTCAGCAGAGCGCCCTGAGTTTTCTGCTGCAGGGGAGGGATTTGGGGGCACCCCCCATCGCCTGCCCCACTGATTCCCTTCTTATTCCGCCCCCCAACCCCAGAACCACACGGAAGAACTCCAGGGTGAAGCGCAATCCAACCTCCTCGGGGTCGTCTGTAAGCTGTATAAGGCAAGTGCTTGTCTAATAATAATAATAATAATAATAATAATAATAATATTTATACCCCACCCATTCCCCCTTTCTCTTTCCCCTCCACGAGGCAACTCCTAGCTGGGGGTCTTTGCCCTCCCACAATGAATTTGGGACAGTGTGGGGAGGGCCAAGGGGGTGGGTCACTTTTCCATGCCTGTTTTGTTTTGCTTCCATTCCCCCCCCTTTAATTTTAAAGTTAAATTTCCAGAAATTCCACATGCATTTTAATTTCCAGAAATTCTACATACAATTTCTTTTGTGCATTCATTTCCCCCCTTTAATTTTCAAATTAAATTTCCAGAAATTACACATATATATTTTTTTGCTTTAATTCCCCCCCTTTAATTTTAAAATTAAATTTCCAGAAATTACACATTTTTTTTTTTTTTGCTTTAATTCCCCCCCCCCCTTTAATTTTCAAATTAAATTTCCACAAATTCCACCTGCAGTCTTTACTTTTGCTTTATCCCCTCCCCTTTAATTTAAAAAAATAATTCCGGAAATTCCACGTGCAAGTCCAATGCACTTTTTTCATATATAAAATAAATTCTTTTGCATTATTGATTATTCTCATTCCTTTTTCTGTGATGTTTCCCTTATATTCCCCCCCCCCCACTTTGCTGAACCCTGCTCTCCCCTCTTTTAATATATATGACTGAGGGTGCCCTATAGGGACCCTATGGGGGGTGCCAGAGAGAGAGACGGGGGAGAGAAAGGGGGACATGGTGGGGCAGAAAGGAAACTGTGTGCCAGTTTGCCTCCTAGGGCCATGGGTTCGAATCCTACTTGGGGCAAAAGATCCCTCCATTTGCAGGGGGCTGGACTAGATGTCCCCCGGGGGTCCCTCTGCTATTTTATTATTTATCTCCCCCCTTCTGTCCCTGCAGGGAGAGCTGCCTCCCGTCTGCCAGCACAAAGGCAACTCCTTGCCTGCCTCCCCGCAAGATGCCTGCCTGAAGATCTAGCTCCTCTCTCCCCACAACGCCTGTCTCTGGGGCCGGGGCTGCCCCCCAAAAACACCCCCCCCCAAAAAATGCGCATGCAGCCGCGGTGCCCATCCCACCCCGGGTGGGTCAAAGGAAGCATCTTCCCTGCTACTGTTGTTCTTCCCCTGCGGAACTCCCTGCCACAAGGTCTGGACCCGGGGAGCAGCCGGGGAGGAAGGAAATAAAAGGAGCACCACTAGGCATTTTGGGGGTCCGGAACGAACCTTCCCTCCTTCCGAACCTGATGGGCAAGAGGGAGGCGAGTTCTGATCCTGCCATCCTGGAGGAAGAAACGGACACCCTTCCTTTTTGCAAATTGCAAAAGCACTGCCAGGTTGTTATTTTGCCTTCTCTCTCCCCAAAATGGAAATTGTGCCTTTTAAAAAAACAAAACATCAATACTCCAAACTGATTGGTTTCTTTTCTGGCCAAAATGCTTCCCTTGTCGGTTTTTTTGTGGGTGGGGGTCAAATCCGTACCAAGATTGCAGATGCCCCCCAGGGTTTTGGCTATTTAATTATTTCGCAAATTTTGCACACGGTTGGGTTACTTAAACAAGCTGGAAAGACAGATAAAGCAATAAAAGGATTGAGGAGGAAAATCGACATGGCAACAACAATAATAATAGTTAATAATGATTTTATCCAAGCAGTCATCTTTATTGGCATAGAGAAAATGCAAAGATATATGGGTCAAATCTCAAAAGGGGCATCCGTTCATAAAAGAAAATACTTTGAGATAGAACAATATAGACCTAGTTAAGAAGTGCGTCTCAAATCTTAGAAAACAATTTTATTATTTGTAAGGCACCCCCCCCCCATGGGAAAGGCTGGCCCAAGCTCCTCTAGGCAGCTCCCAACAAAATATTAAAAATGCAATAAAATATCGGCTACTAAAAACTTCCCCATACAGGGCTGCCCGGTAATTAACAACTTTTGAAAAGTTGACATAACGTAAGGCTGAAAAATGGGACTAAGGCATGTCTCCACTAGCAGGAATTTTCACAGGAGAAATGTTGGAGGGGATGGAATAGGACGTCCCTCTTTTCAGGGGAGAAACGTTGGAGGGGATGGAATAGGACGTCCCTATTTTCACGGGAGAAACGTTGGAGGGGATGGAATAGGACGTCCCTATTTTCAGGGGAGAAACGCTGGAGGGGATGGAATAGGACGTCCCTATTTTCAGGGGAGAAACGTTGGAGGGGATGGAATAGGACGTCCCTATTTTCAGGGGAGAAACGCTGGAGGGGATGGAATAGGACGTCCCTATTTTCAGGGGAGAAACGCTGGAGGGGATGGAATAGGACGTCCCTATTTTCAGGGGAGAAACGCTGGAGTGGATGGAATAGGACGTCCCTATTTTCACAGGAGAAACGTTGGAGGGGATGGAATAGGACGTCCCTATTTTCAGGGGAGAAACGCTGGAGGGGATGGAATAGGACGTCCCTATTTTCAGGGGAGAAACGTTGGAGGGGATGGAATAGGACGTCCCTATTTTCAGGGGAGAAACGCTGGAGGGGATGGAATAGGACGTCCCTATTTTCAGGGGAGAAACGCTGGAGGGGATGGAATAGGACGTCCCTATTTTCAGGGGAGAAACACTGGAGGGGATGGAATAGGACGTCCCTATTTTCACAGGAGAAACGTTGGAGGGGATGGAATAGGACGTCCCTATTTTCAGGGGAGAAACGCTGGAGGGGATGGAATAGGACGTCCCTATTTTCAGGGGAGAAACGTTGGAGGGGATGGAATAGGACGTCCCTATTTTCAGGGGAGAAACGTTGGAGGGAAAGGAATAGGACGTCCCTATTTTCACGGGAGAAACGTTGGAGGGGATGGAATAGGACATCCCTATTTTCAGGGGAGAAACGTTGGAGGGAAAGGAATAGGACGTCCCTATTTTCACGGGAGAAATGTTGGAGGGGATGGAATAGGACGTCCCTATTTTCACGGGAGAAACGTTGGAGGGAAAGGAATAGGACGTCCCTATTTTCACAGGAGAAACGTTGGAGGGGATGGAATAGGACGTCCCTATTTTCACGGGAGAAACGTTGGAGGGAAAGGAATAGGACGTCCCTCTTTTCAGGAGAGAAACGTTGGAGGGGATGGAATAGGACGTCCCTCTTTTCAGGGGAGAAACGTTGGAGGGGATGGAATGTGAGTCCACCGTGGTCTGATCCTGCAGCCGGAATCTCCCTCTGTTCTCAGGCTTCCTCCCTCGCCCACGCCAGAGTCTTTTTCCTTCTCCATCTCTAATTTGGCTTCCTGGAGAGACTTCCTTCCTCTGCGGCTCCCTGCTGTTTAATGGAGCGCATGGGGAAATTGAGAGGAATGGCCATGTTAAAAAGGAACAGCCCCCGTCCTGGGTGGGGGCCCTGCGAGTGCCACCCGTGGGGCTCCTTTTCGGGGCCTGATCACCCCTCTGTGATGGGGGTCTCGGGCGCCACATCCAGTGAGCAGGAAGGGGGCAGCAACCCAGCAAAAAAGGAGAAGGCCTTGGATGGGGGTGTCTAATAATAATAATAATTTTTTATTTATACCCCACCCTTCCCGGTTCAAAAAACCGAGCTCAGGGCGGCTAACAGCAAATTCAAAGCACTTAATTGATGCAACAAAAAAGCAGCATAAAATACAGTATAAAACGTGAATAACAATAAATTCAGAATTCAAAAATCAATGGCAGGGGCTTGATTTCCCCCGGGTCAAAGACACAGCTGAATACACACACACAGGCAGGGAGTTTCAACAGTGCCCCCTGGAGGCTTTGTTATTGTTGTTGAGTCGTTTAGTGGTGTCCGCCTCTTTGTGACCCCCTGGACCAGAGCACGCCAGGCCCTCCTGTCTTCCACTGCCTCCCGCAGTTTGGTCAAACTCATGCTGGTAGCTTCGAGAACACTGTCCCACCATCTCGTCCTTTGTCGTCCCCTTCTCCTTGTGCCCTCCATCTTTCCCAACATCAGGGTCTTTTCCAGGGAGCCTTCTCTTCTCCTGAGGTGGCCAAAGTCTGGGAGCCTCAGCTTCAGGATCTGTCCTTCCAATGAGCCCTCAGGGCTGATTTCCTTCAGAATGGAGAGGTTGGATCTTCTTGCAGTCCATGGGACTCTCCAGAGTCTCCTCCAGCACCAGAATTCAAAAGCATCCATTCTCCGGTGATCAGCCTTCTTGATGGTCCAGCTCTCACTTCCATACATCACTACTGGGAAAACCAGTAGACGGACCTTTGTTGGCAAGGTGATGTCTTTGCTTTTTAAGATGCCCTCTAGGTTTGTCATCACCTTTCTCCCAAGGAGCAGGCGTCTTTTGATTTCGTGGCTGCTGTCACCATCTGCAGTGATCATGGAGCCCAAGAAAGTCAAATCTCTCACTGCCTCCATTTCTTCCCCTTCTATTTGCCCGGAGGTGATGGGACCAGTGGCCATGATCTTCCTTTCTTAACCCGGGACAAAATACTTGGCTAGCCCCCCTCCCTGTAGTTAATGGTTGTTCTTCTTCTTCAAAGCAATTTTTTTATTTGATTTTTCCAATACAAAGTTATAACAACCCGTATATATATGGAAATACATCTAAGCCATGGGTAGGCAAACTTATGGAGTCATTGTTAAAACCGTGTTGATGGAAGACAATCTTACTTGGCTACGAGAGATTGAAGAAGAAGAAGATAAGTCTCTGCCCCACGTTGCCCAGCCAGCTGCTTTAATAATAATAATAATAATAATAATAATAATAATAATAATATTGACACCTGGTCCCTCTGCCTGTGTTGCAACCCTTAAGCCGCAATTCCCATCATCTGCCAGGAAGAGGCAACAGAGAGCCATCGAAGCCTCTGGGAAATACGGATTTTTACCTTATGAGAGCAGAACCCCTATACTTTGCGGGGTGCATGTACCTTTTTGGTATGTGTGTGTCAGGCAGGAATGCCGGACAATTTCTGGGGAAACCTGCCTGTCCCAGCTTGTCTGCCTGCTGCCGTCGGTCTGCAAACGTTCAGTAAATAATTGCATTATTATTACTTTCCTTTTATTGTGTGATTTCATACGGCTCCTCCTCCCCGGAAAGGGACTCGAGGCGGCTGGCAAATAAAGCACAGGAAGCAATGATTTAAAAAGCAATTGAACGTTCAGGCCTAGGATTGGAGAGTTGGGTGGGACGCCCTGAGATCCTCTAGTCCAACCCCGTGCAATGCAGGAATCTCAAGAGTTGGGAGGGACAATGGGAGTCATCTAGAGCATCCCTTGCTCAAGCCCACGACCCTGAGATGACGTGGGACATGAATTCAATCGCTGTTTTGTTGTTGTTTAGTCGTTTAGTCGTGTCCGCCTCTTGGTGACCCCCTGGACCAGAGCACGCCAGGCCCTCCTGTCTTCCACTGCCTCCCGCAGTTTGGTCAAACTCATGCTGGTAGCTTCGAGAACACTGTCCCGCCATCTCGTCCTCCGTCGTCCCCTTCTCCTTGTGCCCTCCATCTTTCCCAACATCAGGGTCTTTCCCAAGGAGTCTTCTCTTCTCCTGAGGTGGCCAAAGGCTTGGAGCCTCAGCTTCAGGATCTGTCCTTCCAGTGAGCACTCAGGGCTGATTTCCTTCCGAATGGAGAGGTTGGATCTTCTCACAGTCCATGGGACTCTCCAGAGTCTCCTCCAGCACCAGAATTCAAAAGCATCCATTCTTCGGCGATCAGCCTTCTTTATGGTCCAGCTCTGTCAGGGAACTGCCATCGGAAGGAAGGGAGGTGAAAGGACTCAGACAGGTTGGAAGAGACTCAGCAGCTGAAGAGGGAACCAGCAAGGGGAGAGAAGCTGAACTGAGGGAGGTGAAAGGGCTCAGACAGGTTGGAAGAGACTCAGCAGCTGAAGAGGAAACCAGCAGGGGAGAGAAGCTGAACTGAGGGAAAGGGAGCTGGGGGATGGCTCAGAGATACTTCCAGCGAAAACAGTGGTGAGGTTTCCGGACCTCCTGTAGGGACACCCACTCCTCGCCGGAAACTGTCACGCAGAGAGTCCAGAAGACGTGTTTCCGTTAAGGAGCTTTTATGTTGGAAGCGATCACGAAAGCAACCACTGTCGGAATCTTCTAGTGACTAGAGGAGCCATGTCAGAGGGGCTCAGTCACAGACAGAGGTTTGTGGACTTGAACAAACTCTGAGGGAATACGATTTTACGCACAAGCAGCTCATCTTCCCATCACAGCATTCCGACAGTCTTTGAACGCAGCTTGTGCAGGAGAAGGCATAATGAGCAACCCAGCAGGAACCGGAGAAGCAGGGGCTGGAGCGGGTCCAAGCCTGGAAGAAAGGTACCGGGTGTTGGAGGTCCAGCTGGCGCTGCAGACGGCGAGGCTGGAGGAGAGGAGGGCTCAAGATGCAGACAAAGGGAGAAAGCCACCCAGCTCGCCAGAAAGGTACCAGGATTGGTGCAGAAATTTGGGGGGGAGCCCAAAGACTATCATAGCTTTCGGACAGAAATGCAATATGCCCTCAATCTGCAGTTTGATGATTTCCCTGATGAGGAATCACGAGTGGCTTTTGTGATTGGGCATATTGAAAATGGGGCGAGAGACTGGGTTAGACCCCTGATGGCAGCGCATAGTGACGTCCTAAAGGACACGATGAAGTTCTTTCGCGCCATGGATCTGATGTTTTCCAG